GTTTGCTGTGGGGAGACTGAGGCTGAAGGAAATGCTAAAGAGGTGGTTAATGTGGAGGAATGCAACAAATGTGACTAACGATTCTAATCACCACGTGGAGTCCTGGTTGAGAGATCTAAAGAACCTTGAAGAAGATACAATCAACTAGTTTTATTATGTGGAAGTTACCTACTAGTGCACTTTACTAAATCTAAAAATGGAAGTTATGGCTAGAAGGCAACAAGAATGAAAAGCACTTGAAGGTGCATAACCCTCGCCACTTTATTTCAGCAGCCAATGGCTACTAGCTACACTACCTCAGTCTTTTGCACATGCGTGTTCAATACTAGTTACTACTCCCTCACCACTTTATTCTTTATTTCAGCCACTAGCTACACTACATAAGTGACTCCTTCACTGAACGGATTCACCACTGGGCGTGTGCTGCTCTCAGAGTCACTTCACCGGCAGTCTCGATCCTACTCATCTGTACCATCAATACAGCCAGACCAGCAAATCTTCTCCACACGCGCAAAGCATCTAGCATCTAAGTAGAGCGACCGTTCGCGCGATCTCTATTTGACGCACACTCGCCTCGACAGCTGCCCGTTCTCACTCAGCTGTCCCTGGCTTCTCCGCTCCAGATCTTAGTTTATACATCCATCTCGCTCCTACTTGATATATGTCCACGTTTCACGATCAGAGTTGCCGCTGTTACAGAGAAAACGTGGACAGAACGGAGACCGTACGACCACTCACACACACACACTCACACCCAGACGACCACTGCATAACCCTCGCTGCGCAGGCGCGCAATCTCCTCACTCCATCCGCCTGTTTTTGTTTCTCACCGACCCCTGCTTGCATGAACACTATATTATCGCATACTAGCCACAGAGAGAGAAAGAAGAGAAAACCAGAAGTCGCACCTCCAACTCCTCCACCACCAGCACAACAGACACACCGTCAGAGACACCAGAGGTGCCCAGCCTGCGAACTGGGGCAGCTGGTTACAAGAGCCTTTTAGTGCATGCAACTCTCCCACACACACCCAGTGTCCAACCGAATGTACAAACAATCACACATGACAGCCACTACACATAGCAGTAGGACATATCTAAATATACTGTGCTATAAACTATATATAAAGACCTGATCTAAAAAGCAGAGGCATAAAAACTAATAGTCCGTAGCGCGCAAAATAGAAATATATATAAAATCTGGGAAGAGAGAATAAAAACTTACGTGCAGACCAGGCTCAATACTGCGCTTACTGCGCATGCGCGTGTCGATCTGCTCGTACCTGGCTATAACGTAGTCTTGCGGCTATACTATCTCGCGCTTTAGGCAATGCGTCGGTCCTAGATACCGCAGGGACCACACGGCATATGACCCAACTTAACAAGCTCATGGACAACCATATTAGGTAAAGGCCTAGGCATGATTATCGGACAATGATGTAGTCATTGATAAGGACATTTTTTTAGCAACAGAAGGTAGAGTAACCTCGGAATTTGATAAGGTTCTCCACTTAGTATATGCACTACGCTAACTGCAGGGTGCAGCAATTTACTTGTGGAAAATGGAAGCTGTCCTCCACTTACTTTTGCTCCTTCTACTCACTGGACAAGGCTTTTCTCAGTGTTTCACTGACACAGACTGTACTGGAGGACTGGTAGTGGCAGCAGATCAACGAGCCTGTTGTGTGGGAACAGATGATGGACTTTCTTTCAATAATGGCACCACCTGTACTCTCTGTGTAGGTATGTCAGTTGTAGCTCGAGACTTATATAGTCCTTGCATCATGAGGGCATGGCAACATACAGTGCATGGGTTCCTTCATACTGACTATGATGTGGAAGAGGGCGGGAGACTGGACACAAGGTTTCTACTAAATTTAAAGGGAATAACACAGTTTGGTGGTGCTCTTGTTGTCCCTGGTCTCATTACAGCTGCAGCAGATGGCACTGCAAGTAAGCATCACGTGTAGTAGTTAGCTTTACCTACACATGTTTAAATGTTTGCAGACACCTCAGACTTTGAAAACCTGCAACCAATCAGAGTAACAAACAGTGCAGAGATTCGTCTGTTCACTGCCAATGATGAAATCACTCTGGAGTATGATGACAGAGTGCTACTGAGGTTCACTCCTGACAATGCTAGTCTTATTCCTGGTTTAGAGGCTAATGGAGAGTATATCAGAGACACTGCAACAGTCAATATCATTGATAATGATTGTAAGTGCTTCTCCCATGATCGGGTGCTGTTTAATTTTGTACATTGTGTGTTTGTAGTGTTGGACATTAATTTCGTAGAATCTGACTATTCTTTTGAGGAGGGTGCGAGTTTTCCGTGTACACAAATTACACTTCTGTTCCGGACAAATCAGAACCCCTTTAATATAACTCTTAGTCCTGTTACTGTGGACACAGCTGAGTCTATGGGTTTGGGATTTTTCATTAATTCTGCAACCATTGGGCAGGGATCTAGAGCTACAGCAGGTATATGCTTATAAACATGGCATGAGTCAATATCACTTGTAGTCCAACTTCAAACAACCCGGTGCTAGGAATAAGCTGTATTCTGAGCTATGGCTGCGCGTCTGCACCGGTATCAGGATTGGACAGGAGTCCTTATCACACACATCTAGCGAGCGCTAGGCGTAGTGAAATTGTCTGGCTTCAAGTTTACACCACAGTGATTAGTACATTATAGTGCAACGATGACGCAGCAGAAGAAATTCCGCATTGGGATTGGCTAGTTGACTACAAACAAATAGTCAGTAACGTCAGGCGTCTTGGCGGGTACATGAATCCTCCTCGGCTGTCAAACTATACGACCGCGCCTACGGGCTACGCCCGCATCTGGTCTAGTCAACAGCCTCGAAGTATCTCCTGTACCGCCGTCGCGCCGATACGTTAACTATCCTAACAATACACCCTAATAAACTGATAAAGCCTCAATGCATGTGGCCTCTACATAACCACACTAATCATACTACGTACTCTGTAAACTTGGCATGCCTGTTGCTTAGCCCTGTTCCCAGGCCTGGTAGCTATATACACACTGTTCGCGCATGCACCAAAATACTCCCATTGAGCATCTATACCTAAGCTTGACTCTTATGATTACAGAAAACTCTATGATATTGCTCTTGTTCTCTCTCTTTCCTCACCTGATATTATAAGGTGTTGATTTCAGTGATCTGCAATTCATAGTTCCAGTTCCCGCCAATTCTCGAACTTTCAGAGTAACAGAGTTCATCACAATTGTCGATGATGATATTGATGAAGATGAGCAAAGCTTTGCATTGGTCGCTGAGATAGGACCTGATGTTCCCGAGAATATCAGCTGTTTCCAGATTGGAATTGGGGTAACAGAGTGTCATGGACGACGAGGAGCGACTGAGATTAGAATTTATGACAATGACCGTGAGCTGTTTACTTATCGTATTGTATGCTGTTTTAGCGCTTTACCCTTGGCGCGCATGCACAGCGAGGGTTGGTTTGTGAGTGTGTCTGTCTGTCCGTCTGTTAGATACCACGTTTTCTGCGACTACGTGCCAGGAGACAACAAAACAGCGATACCAATGGGTTCATAGCTAAACAGGCTTCATTTAGAAAAGGCGATTTTCGTAGAAGGTTCCGGAGAATTGTGCGTGGGCGTATGTTTCAGATAATGGCACAGCCAAAACGCTAGTTATTTATGGTGAATTTAGGTATATTTCTCGGATTTTTCCTACCTTGTTTTCCAAACTCATTAGCATAGTCATATTCCTCTCCATACATTCTCTATGGGAGAGAAAACTCGTGCGCGACTCACCCGGAGCGAACGTCCGTCTCCATATGCGCAGTGGCTTTCTTTGCCTGCTTCGTACGCGGCGAAGCGCTAATAGTAAAAAAACGGGCGTGACCGGGTGGCAAAGGTCAACGTGAAACGTAATGCTCAAAACTTGGCCACGCCTATTTTTCGGGATGCTCTAATCGCCTGCGCGTGCCGCAGGAGGCAGAAGGACGCCATTGCGCATAATGGAGACGGACCGTTCGCTCCTGGGTGAGTCGCGCATGGGTTTTACTCTCCCATAGAGAATGTATGGAGGAGGAATATGAATATGCTAATGAGTTTGGAAACAGGTAGGAAAAATCCGAGAAATACCTAAATTCACCATAAATCACTAGCGTTTTTGCTGCCATTGGAAAAAAAATCTGAAACATACGCCCACACACAATTCTCCGGAATCTCAAAAAGTTGAGTGTAAAGCACGTGAACAAGCCAATATGCAAATTAGCACAGGCTTACCTCGACCAGGTCCGCTCTCTCTGTGTAACTGAAGCACAAGAAGTCACAACGAAGGTCGTGTATGGTCCCCCGTGCTATCGACTACTGTAACTAGCCCGTGTGAGTCGTGTCAGACTCTGCACGAGCTACTAGCAGGAGACCACGAGTAAACGCATACTAATAGCCCAGCTCACAAATAATTAGCGGTATTACGCATTTCGCCGAGGGTTTGCACTTCAGTGCTTTTCATTTTTGCCAGCAATGATCATTGGATTCACTGAGAGAATTCGGACTGTAGCAGAAGATGAAGTACCTGGGGTGGACTTATTTTCGCTCCAAATAAATGTAGCCAGTGCAAGGACTGCTGAGAGGGAGCATCCAATGGAATTCCGACTTCAAGAATCCAGCACCAATGCCACAATAGAGACACTAATAGCATCTAGCTTTGTCTTTGATGCCACATTTGGTCTCAGAGCAAACCCAGATGATCCCATTAAGGAGGCAAGGGACCTAGACCCAGGATCACGGACAGTGCAACCTCTGATAACAGCTATTGTAAATGACTTGATACCTGAGGACACAGAATGTTATACTATACGTATATTCCCTGTTGATGTTCCTGGTCGCCGTGACCTATTTAAGTGCAATGAAGATGGAGCAGGTGCAATCGAATGATAGAAGGTTCTGACTATGCCCAACAGACTAGCGCTGTCAATCTCATCGACGACTATTTAGTTAGTGAATTAATGAGAATCGTTTGCTTTAATCAGACAATCTATGATGATTCACATTTGGAGCCAGATGAATACGTGGGCCTGACACTAGGAGTCAGACATAATCCATTAACAACAGTGTTGACAGTGGTGCAGCCAACATATGATCAAGCTTCCATACTCATTGTTGACAATGACAGTAGGTTTTACCAGTAGTTCTACTGGTACTTTTTATCATTCTTATAACCTTTTGAAGAGGCTGTGGTTGGTCTTGAAAGAACATTCTACAATGTATCAGAGGGAAATGAACCAGTTGAAATTTGTGCCATTGTCGTTCATCCTGACATAATGTGTCCCGTTAAATTTCCTTTTAATCTTTTCTTCTCAGTGATTGAAGGTACAGGAATTTTAGCCTTATATTATATAGCTATCATTTTCCCTCTTTCACATGTTTCTGTAGATGATTCTAGAGTGTTCACTTCACTTGTCTCCTTTGATGTTTGTGATAAAAGTGTATGTTTAAATGTGAGCATTACTGATGAGAATTTCACATTGGAACTGGCGAGAACTGAAGGTCTTGATAATAGAATCACTCTTAGTCCTGTGGCAGGTATGGTTTAACTCTCCACTACAATTATTTAACATAACCTATGCCTACTATATACAGCTACATGTAACACTTAAATCTTGTATGTCACACTTTGCTCAGTTTATGTTTTGAGGTATATAGCCAAACTTGTTTTGATGCAGTATAGTGCTTATGCATAGCTATAGTGCCGTCATACTCATGTATGATGCTTACTGTTTTGTTTATGAAGTGGAATGCTCTAATCACAGGGGATTGTGGTGATCCACCAGAGATTGAAAATGGACTGATATCGTACATCTCTTTCAACGCAACTACAACTGTCACCTATGAGTGTGCTGATGGCCATTACTTCCAAGAAGGCGTTGAATATAGCACATCGCGAACTTGCCTTACCAGTGGAAATTGGTCGGAAGAAAACATATTGTGCAGTAAGTTGTCATACTATGCAATTTACAGTAGATAGCTATAGCTACCAGCTGCAGAAAAGATACAATTGCTTGAGGTTTGTGCATGCCTCTGTCAATGTTTAGTGAAATGAGGGTTTTAACTGGTTCTGCTAAGGAGATGGCAAGTTTACCGAAGAAGAAGATGATGAAGAATTGTAATCGCATGTTGAATAGTTGTCGTGAATTTCGTATCGGTATGGCCAAATTATCCCTTGCAGACCTGCAGCGTCTTTGGGCATGTGTATAGCTAGAGATGGGCCCGTGAGTTGTTGCTGGTGCAGCATGAAGGATGAGCTAGGCATTCCTATCAAGTTCTGAGGCATTTGTATGAGGATCACATCAGATTAAAGTGTCTACCGACACTCAGAAAATTGGTATTCCTTGTCAAATAGCAGCCCAACACGAGACTGGGCTGGTATACACGAGGTCAAAGTTTTGAAAATGATATATCCACGACAGCGATAGTTGGTGTTTGGTAATGATAACCCATAATATACAACACGTAAAAAACACACATTTTATGGTATAAAGTGAAAACTTAGATAAGAATGAAGAATGATCTATTTAAAGTCCAGCCAGTGTAAAATGTATGCTGGCTTGCTGTTCCTTAAGTGGAGGATTTCATCAATGCAAGTTGCAAGTACATGTACCTACTCTTATGTACCTTTACCAAAATAAGCACCGTACCATGTAATGTAGTTGACTTGTTTGCCTTGCCTTTCTACCTCACTACCAAGTTGTTGAGAGATGCTGAAGATAAAATTTCATTTCTAGAGCGCAGCCAAATTCACAAACATTATGACCAGCTATTTCACTAATGTGAATGTGCGCAAATAATTAACTTAAATTTTAATTTTAGCTCCTTCGGAATCCGAATGTGGTGATCCTCCTGAGTTGCAGAATGGAAGGATCTCACACTCGAATGAAACTTTTGTCTCATACAACTGCATTGATGGTTATCAACTTCAAGAGGGATTAGGATACGGTACATCTCGATCTTGTCTTGCAAATGGAATTTGGACGAATGAAAATATCTTATGCAGTAAGTTATAGTGATTTTCGTACTTTACACAAGGTGAAGCAGATGGTTTTAGATTGGGCATTATACAGGATTTTGAGTTTGAGGGGTGACAGCAGATATTTAAAGTAAAGCCTCCACCAGGAATGCTCTTCTATATAATTATAATTATATAGAAAACATTACTCTGTAGCTGGATAATATATTAAGGTCCTAAGATTGGACTCACACCACTACATGACAGATTGCCAGTAATGTGCATGTGCCAAAATCACATATATAAGTACATGGCTTACTGCTTATTTTAAAGTCACTTCAGATGCTGAATGTGGTGATCCTCCTGAGTTGCAGAATGGAAGGATCTTGAACTCGAATGAAACTTTTGTCTCATACAACTGCATTGATGGTTATCAATTTCAAGAGGGAATAGGATACAGTACATCTCGAACTTGTCTCGCCAATGGGATTTGGACAAATGAAAATATCTTATGTAGTGAGTTATATAAAATTTTCATACTTTACTATGGGTTAGCTAACTAGTAACTATTAAGAGTATATACCAATAGAACAGCTTTAGAGTCTAGTTGAATGTACATAGCTAACTGTGTTGAAGATTTTGTTTCACTTTCCACAATCACGATTTAGCTAATATTATTTTATAATATGCGTATTTTGTCAGTGTTGTTAAACTGATTTCTGTTACAGTATCAAGCGTTGACTGTGGTAACCCTCCTGAGCTACAGAATGGAAAAGTATTAAGTATTACCCACAACACAACTACTGAGAATTCCGTTGTCACTTACGAGTGCATTAATGGTTACCGTCTTCACGAAAACACAAGACGTCTCATGCAGTGAGTTACTTTTCCTCCATCAGAAAACTAATGTTTCATTTCATATATATACAAATAGTAAAGATCGATGATAATAACTGTGAAGGCAGTGAATGCAGGCTCAGTGTTGGTGTCCTGGCAGCCATTATCTGTGGAGCAGTTATCATTCCCCTATCATGTCTTGTTGCTGTGGCCGGCTGTGTAGTCAAACTTAGACTGCAAAAGTTAAAGAAATCTGAAAATATTTTGTGAGTTTGATTTGTGCACATTATGAATGTTTCTGATCAACTGACCTATGGTCCAGGAAAATATAGTGCACTAAGTGTTTAATTCAGCCGCTTTTTGGTGATTCTTTGTGTGAGGGAACTATGTGCATACGTTCTGGCACAGATATAATATAGCTAGCTGCCGAGTTGTATAAGTGCTGTTTTATTTTTACTCTTACTTTAGGTCCCATACTTCAACTGAAGCAGGCACTCTACCTCTACGTTACACAACTAATACTAGTGAGGATGATTGTTTCCAAACAAAGTTCTTATTTGTAGCTACTTTTGATCTTCGCCCAGACCCATCTCCAGTTCAACAACTGCAGGAAGAGCTCAGAACAAAGAACATGCTTATCCCAAAGAGCCAGCTTCGGCTAGGCCGAGTAGTTGGTCAAGGTGAGATGGGTATAGTAAAGTTCTGCTTGTCTTTTAACTCTTTACCACACCCATTCCAATGTAGGAGAATCAGGGATAGTGTATTGCGGATACATGAAAAGTAGTCAAGGGAATGAGGTTGTTGCCGTAAAAACCGGCAAAGGTATCTAATAGTATTAAGTAGCTATGAGTCTGACCTTTACGAACTTCTTGTGTATATAGCTCTATTGGCAGTGAATGACAAGGATCGGTTATTGAAAGAGGTTTTGCTGATGCTCAATTTTAATCACCCCAATGTGATGTCGCTCATTGGGTTGTCATTTGAAGGAGAGATGCCCCTGCTCATTATGCCATTCATGTCGAAGGGAAACGTTCTGGGGTATGTTAGAGAGCACAAGGAAACTCTCTTCCTTACAGACATCGACCATGAGAAGGTGGAGACAATTGGAACAAAATTGAAGTTGTCAGTTACTATAATTATGTGTAGGTACAAGAAGCAACGAAGACAGGTCTGGGAATGTGCTACCAGATATCCAAAGGGATGGCTTACCTTGCAAAGTTCAAGTTTGTTCACCGTGACCTGGCCGCAAGGAACTGCATGTAATTTCACATCTCTGACTTTTAAAACGATCTTACCTCTTTATGGTGGTAAATGATTAGGTTTATGATTTGCTTCAAGAAGCATAGAAAATAAATACAGAATGCTGAAAATTTCAGGACGTGTTCTTTGGACTGATTTTGTTGCAGGATTGATTGGAACGGTGTCATTAAAGTCTCTGACTTTGGACTGACAGAGGACGTGTACAGCTATAACTATTTTCGCCCCAAGAGCACTAAGAGTGGGGATGAGGAGAAACTCCCCATCAAGTGGATGCCACCAGAGAGCATTGAAACAAATGTTTTTGATGAGACCACGGATGTAGTGAGTTGGCCATAAGAGAATACTACAAAGCACGTCTGTCTTTCAAAGTTAGTAATAATGGCAAAATGATATGACTGCAACACACTAAAGCAACAAAATTAAGGTTTTATTTCGTCATGGATAGAGGGTCGTTACAATTGGTTTTTAAGTATTACTATAGGGCACCCTTTCTCGTAGTGGTCATTTGGAGTGACATGTTGGGAGGTGTTCACATGTGGAGGAGTGCCGTATGCTGGGGTCCCAGTCACCACTCTACTGAGTGAGCTCCGCTCTGGACACAGACTTGATCGACCCAGCAACATCTCCTGCTCTGATGACATGTAAGAGCCAGAATATCATCTAGCTGCCACACGACAGGAGTAATTCAACAGGACAGGGAAGCGAGCCTAGCTACCTAGACATCAGTAATGCACGATTATTGTAAGTTAGGAAGAGTAAAAATTTTTAAACCTGGCTGCCGATGCTCATGTTCAATATCCTAAATCATGTCATATATCTACATAATTATTTAGAGCTGTTATACATAATCTCAGTGACAACTATCCGTGCCAGTGCTTACACACCTACATTACTCAGTAACAGTTTATTTAATTCTTATCCAATCAATCCACAGATGGTCAGTTGTAACCTCATGCTGGTCAGCCAGTCCTCAGGAGAGACCAAAGTTTGCCACTCTGGTCAACACCCTCACTGACCTCCTGGACAGTGACTCCAACTACATCAAGCTACTGGGATAGACTTTAATGTTTACTTTATACATGCGACTGTACTCTAATATACATGTGACTGTTCCCAATTTAATTATGATATATAGAAGCTAATTGTAATATTCATACTTTTGATTATGTAAGCCATCGTGGCAGACTTTTATATAATTATACTGACGTGTTTCAAGCTAGGATTGAAAAAAGTGGTATTTAGCTACCAGCACAGAGATGAGATATATATCTCCCAGTAATTTCATTTTGTATGATAGAGCATCAATAGATAGCTAGACATATAACTTTTGACTATGGCAGTTGTTCATGGCACATACATGAACCCTGCAAGCTTGAAAAAGTTCATATATAGAACTCTATCCTGCTTGTACTAGGAGTAGTAGTATCGGTAGACTCACTAAAGTGCAAACCCTCGGCGAAGTAGCTTGCAGAGAGTCTGACACGGGCTAGCTACAGTAGTAGATAGCACGCGGGAGTCGATACACGCCATTCGTTGTGACTTCTTGTGCCTTCAAGATAGACAGAGCAAGCGGACCCGGTCGAGGTAAGCCTGTGCTAAATATAAGCGCATGCGCATTATCCGCCAGCGATAAAATGGCATTAGCCATACAATGCTGGAAGCGCTCTAGCTCTGCAACGGAGCATTTTCAGAGAAAACCCCACATATATTCTGACCTTCGTCGCCCGTTGGGTAGATGGTATCGTTTCTGGGACGAACAGACATTCGAGAGGTGAGATGTAGAGTAACAGACACACAGACAAACCCAACTACAGTAACCCTCGCTGCGCATGCGCGCCGAGGGTTAATTATATACCACAAACTGGCCTGCATTGGTGGAAATGTAGAGGAAACTGGACGGTTTTACAATAACAGTGACGAAGAGGTAGCTCAGCACTGTTATCATAACTTTGGTATATACAAAAGAAGTGCCATGTTGTGTAAACTGTGGCTGTAAATTGGACTCTAAGTGGTACATGTGGAAATGAAGGGGATATAGGGATGGCTCAAAGCGCCAATAAGGAAGAACAAGGGGTCATTTCACAGCTAAGACACACAAATTAACATAACACCATCCCTATATCTTTGTTTTATCGTAATTCCCTAGGACGGAGCTCTGCTGATGCTAAAGGCCACTTGGGATTATGTCTAGCCCTAGTCCTAGCCCCAACGACATGCGGGGGTGGAAGGGGTGGAGTTGTGGACATCGAAGATGTGATGCTGGGAGGCATGACAGCAGTAGGAAGCAGAGTCGGTGATACCGTACCGTGGGGTGACGATGTATAGATGGTATCATGTGAATTTGTGTGTCTTAGCTGTTCAAAATTTTGTATATACAGGAGTCAAAGTCTAGCCACCTCTCTACGTTTCTCAGCACGGATAAAACACTTGTTTTATCCATATAACTGAGATCCCAGTACTTTGTAACCATTCGCAGAGCAAATTTTTGGACCTTTTCTACATTCTGTGAAGAAGGAGACCAAATTGCAGCAGCATATTCTAGGTGAGGTCGGACCAGTGACTTGTAAAGCTGCAAGAGCATTGTGTCTGGAAGATGTTGGTAGTAGTTCCGATAAAGAAGGCCAATCATCTTCTTAGCCTTCATACAGACATGCTGAGTGTCACGAAAAGTCAGAGGATGTGGACACTCCCAGGTACTTGTAGGAGCTAACACACTCCAGTCATTGACCAGATGTATATAGAGGGATGAGGGTTTGAAAGAAACCTTTTTGCTTGACATCATCATAATTATATTTGCATTTATTGCCATTCAGTGTAAGAGTATTTTTACCTTCACAAAACACAGTTCATATTCTCTTGCACTGACACAAAGTCCACGGGGGAGTCAATGACTTGGTAAAGTAGCACATCATCTACAAACCTGTGCAGTCTTGGAGATTCAGAAAATGTAATACGTGACAGGTCGTCAAAGTAAATCAGGAAAAGCAGGGTCCCAGAATTGATCCCTGAGGCACACCAGAAAGAACAGGCGATAGCATTGACTTAGCCCCATTTTCAACCACAAACTGACATCTTTCAGTCAGATAGTCAGTAAGCCATCTCAGGATAACACAGTTCAACTGTAAATTTTCATCAGAGGATAATTATGGTTGCTGACCGCCCAGTGTACTACGATTGTAATAATTATAACCTGCAGTACATGGGTCGGGTGGAGCCGGTATAGAGTAAGCCAGGGAAAAGTGCACAAGGGAGTGATTGACACTGGAAATGTCAAGTCGTGCTATATATATAATTTCCTTCACACCTCTCTCTTTCCGATTGCCATCCAACAGTAGATAACTCATCATCAAACTCACCTTTCTGCTGAAGGTAATCAGGGACCATCTCCCTCTGTGCCTGTCATCGTCGCTGCTTCAAGTGTAGTCTTGCCTCATTCATGAATACCGTTTCCTGGAATCTTTACTTTCAAATCCAACTTCAATACATATTTACCCTCGGCGCGCATGCGCAGCTAGGGTTACGGTAGGGTTTGTCGTCTGTGTACGTGTGTGTGTGTGTGTGTGTGTGTGTGTGTGTCGACGCTTATTCTGGCACTACAGGCCACGAGGTGGCTAATGAGCGATACCAACGGCTTCAGAACTACGCGAACCTGAAAATATAAATAGGCGATTTCCTGAAACGACTGCGTTCGAGAGCGACAAACTGGCACGGTCGCGGACCGAGTTCCGTGGCCCAACCCATCATTAAGCGGTGCGCATGCGTATAGATACGCATGCTATAGCCCGTGTCATATTCTCCGCGAGCTATATATATACTAGCGGGAAACCGCGGGTAAACGCAGCCCATCCGCCATCCATTAGCGATACCGCTCATGCGCAGTTCGCCGAGCTTCAGTGCTTTTCATTTTTTACAGCTTTTGATGACCTCTAGCTGTCAAACGCTCTGCTGCCTCTCACTAATCTCAGATGTTTTATTCAAGAAAACTTTGCTCTATAAAAAGTAGTTTCTGGCACCAAGTAGCTACTGAAACTTTTTTCCAACCAACATTCTAACAATATATGCCCTGTTCCAAAGTGAAGTGCTCTATTTCATTGGTTCCTCATTCGGCTTGTGCCCACTTTCTCTCTGCTCACAATGAGCTATTTTTATCAATGTCCATGTGTTGACTGTTCACACTCTCCTTTTGTAAACCCAGGGCTAGTAGACCCATGCAATATGTACTGAAGATTACAAGTTAAATTTGTGGAGTAACAATAGATGAGGTGGGGGTGGCAGAGGCTGAGATTTGGTATATATATTATTGGAAGCTACATGTCCATCCATACAATTGGACTGTGTGTATAGCTGAAGGACACGTCCCTCTCTATTTCTTGAATCTGTGTCCTTTATAAGTTCTAGAAATTGTAACGTTAACAAACATTATCCCCCCAAAATGTCAAAGTAGCTAAGTCTATTCTACAGAGAGTAGCTATAGCTAAGGGGCTGGTCTTTTCTTGCAGGGCGTGTGACAAGACTATAAGGAGATCAGACTATAAAAGAGATTTATATAATTACACCTAGTGTGTATAACAGACAAACTAACCAAGTAAGGTAGGTTGATTCTCCATCATTATCTGGAGAAGTAACATGCTATAATAGATGAAGTGGAATTTGGCAAACCCATATTGAACACATAGTTTGCACCTGAAATCTCGTGGATCTATTGCTACCATTTGACTGGGTTTTATTATAGAAACACTCAAAAATTGATACATTGTAGTGAGAGTGAACACTAGTCTTCACAAGTAGACCGAGTAAAATGGGACGGTCCCCAGTTGCAGAATATGCACTGTCCAATTCCACTGTAGCAGAGAACCACCACAGCAATGATGAAGACTAGGACACAGAGAATGCAGGGTCGCCGCTCGAGGAAGAAAGCCAGGAGGTAAAGAAGAATCACAACCATCTGGTCTTGTAGAACAAGAGCACAGGCTGACTTGGGGACCAGCAGCACTGGCAGCATCCAGTGAAGGCAGTACATGATGTGGTGTAGTGTTGTGATATCAACTGACAAGTCTGGGCTTCTTGATTCCACGTGAAACTGTCTTCTTACCAGTTGAGCTTGACTCGCGATCGTAATAATGATCCGGTCGAGACCACTGGAGCTGTAGGAGACAACACCGTGTTTTTCTCAGTGTCCCAATTCTCCCGCGGTGGGCGAGGCGACTCGGAGACCACGAGCAGGACTGCTCACGTCTACCAGTAGTACGTTGAAACGCACGTGTTCTGAGCATACGATTAATCCACCAACCCAGAAAACTACGGAAAGCAGTGTCCGCCTCGCCTGGTCCGATCCCCTCGTTTTCGGTTTACACACACATATCCTGAGTTAAAATTTATACTCTCTATGAAGTTGACATAACGCATAAATAGAACATCAGAAAAGGCGCATGCGCACATGTCCGGACAACTACACTAGACTTTCACGACTTTCACATTCGTCACAGTCAGTCAAATCAACCGTGAGGCAAAGTGTCTGAGCGCCTTTATAACTATACGCATAGCGCTGCCTATGGCCTAATAGTTGAAGCTATCTAATACAGATAGCAGTTACAAGGTCAAGATTGTTTCTTGCAGGCAGTTGCTGAACAAGAGAATGTGGACGTGATGTCATTAAGCAGTTATAGCTATGGACTAACCTTGTAACCTATGCACCGTTTTTACAAAACCAGTTCTTGTTTCTTTGAATTGATGTGGTAATGCACTGCTCATGATAACACTCTACCATTTTTTCTCCTTCGTATACTGATCGACAATAGCAACAAACCTTAACTCTTGCTAAAAGAGTTCTCTCCTCTTTCTACTGACAGGAAAAATCTCACGTTTGTTACTTTCAAGACAGTAAGATGTTTTTGCATCGTTCGCATTTAAATTAATGATCTTTTTGTACTGCCTTTCGCCCCAGCATGAGTCACATAACTGTCGGGGGCACCCCTGTCCTACCTTCCATAAGCCCACACAGTATTGTTTGTTTAGAAAAAGAAGAAAGCTCAGAGAGAGTGTAAACCTCTCCAAGGGTTCCTCTTACTAACACAGTCATCATACTCTGAAATCATTAATTAAAAGTTCTTGTGCTCTAACTCAGAGTTGCTAATCTAGTTGGACGATTGTCTGGAAATTGCGCTGCTCATGGGCCTATAACCTTCACTGTCCAAAACCAAGTATTATTGGAGAAGGCTCACAGGTCGGTCTGTTTATCCTGGCAGAAGCCAGGAATTTCAGTGCAAGGCCTTGGAAGATGGTGTAAGATTAATCTGAAGCTGACAGTCAGAAACATAGAGAGAGTGCGAGTGCTCATCTGGGAGTATGGGTCTGTAAAAACAGCAAGAGAGGATTACTGCTTTTTTGTGCATGCATAATTATTATATACAGTATACTATATCGCAGTATTGTATCTTAGCTAGTCCGAATCTTTTTTGAATACCTATGTGCTACTGAAAGGGCTGTGTTTTGTAGTTCTCCCTTGTACTCTAGTAGCTTCTATTATACAGTGAGATAGTAGTAAATCTGAATTCCACTGATAATTATGCTTTCAATAGTGTACTCTATCAGTAACAACCACAGAAATTACTCTGTTTGTTCAGTTTAATTTCCGTTACTCTCTCCTACTCTCGCAGCTAATTCATTTGGATAGTTTTGTGAAGTGATTCTTAACCGAATTACACACTTCCTTACTAATGTAGCTACTTTCATTTTGTCCAGTGTCCTGCTATCAGCTAGTTCATGCATCCTTTGGATGGCTATTTCGACAGTGAAACTTGGCCTTTTCTTTTGCTTCAGGAGAAGGGTCGTTGAGGAAGAATTGGTCGAATCCAATCTGTGTGGATTCCCAGTCATTTTCAGGACTGGTCTGACGTGTAAGAAGCCATGTTGTCAGAATTACAGGGTCACTACCCCTCATTTGCTGCTGACCGGACCATGTTGTCACCGAGTGTGCATTATTGTAGGCGTTGTGCCAGTTGACTGTCCAACCAACTGTATCTCCATCTATGTCTTGCCGCCCAGTTAGCACGTACCATTTCTCAGCATCTCCAACTTTGCTGTTGTATATACCACCAAACACCCCAGTGGCAGGGTAAGCTGAAGTTACCACCATTTTGGAGCCAAGTTCATTGTGCCATGTCTGCCCATCAGCTATCTGTAGCTCACATCCCTCTGAAAAATAAAACCATTTGCACACAATATCCCATTCAACTCCTAGAACTTCACTACTCCAGTAAGACTGGACTTACTCCCAATAGCTGATTGTTACAATTTCTAGCAGTGTAACTATTTACTAGGTAGAATACTAGCTACCTGCTTTCCCGTGATGACTCCTCAACACCAAAAATCCTTTTGTTGAACCTGCTCTTCCACACAGTCGGGCCCCTTGAAACAGCTTCGAACAAACAAGTTTCTTGATTGTAAGAGCCATGTTGACGTCTCCAATTCAAGCGGCAGATTATGTCCTGCCCTTAAAAAAGCGCGCATGGAGCTGCAGCGGATGTAGGTTTGTATGCGTTCTCGTGGGACGACCGACATTGTGGGCGTGCAGACTATACAGACGTGTTCCGGAGTTGTTAGCTACCCCTCGCTATATATATGCAGTGCACGCCACAGTAGCTACCCCGTCTCGCAAAGTATATACTGGGCGCTATCTATAATTATTATCTCTACTACAGCCACCACAAAAATGCTAAAAATATTCAGGGGTATATACAACAGAGTGGTAGCTAATATCTAGCTACAGTGCATCACACCATGTAGTGTTCACTACTTAGTAATAGATCAAGCTTCTTTTGGATGGCTTCTTCTGCAGTGCAGCTTAGCCTTCTCCTTGATCTCAGGTGGCGGCTCCTTGAGGTAAAAATGATCAAAACCCACCATGGTAGACTCCCAGTTGTCCTCTGGCTTGGTCTGAGCGGTGAGTAGCCAAGTGGTAATGATAACAGGGTCCCCGTCAGGAAGAAATTGAATTTGACCAGACCAAGTCGTTCCGGAGTGAGCATTGAGCGTTGAATTCTGCCAGTTTACTGTCCACCCCAGGGTTTTCCCTGCAGTGTCTTGCCGACCAGTCAACACATACCACTTCTCGGCTTCGCCAACCTTACTGCAGTATTTTCCACCAAACACACCAGTGGCTGAATCAACAGAAGTTATATCCATTGCCGAATCCAACTCGTTCTTCCACGTCTGTCCCAGTGAAACCATTTTTAAAATGAGATGATCTCTGCGTAAGCTATTATCAACGCCGAATGGGAAACCGGCTAGCCCACCAGGTCTGTACTCCGCTAAGAAACAAGAGCGCGTTTATGCAAGTGCGTGCAAGGAGACGGCGTGATGCCACGAGGAGCCACGCCTTCTCTCGCGAGTCAGGTTAGCGAACTGGGATCGATCATTTGTGTCGACCAATTCAGGCTCCACAAGAAAACGTTTCGGTGCAGAAGACACAGTGTCATCGGTTCGTGAGTAGCTATAGTTCTCTTGTGTCTTCCTCGTGATGGACCCTCTTGTAGCCTCTCCTATGAGAGGCAGAGTCTGGCTCTATGGAATCTACACAGGCTCACTTGCCGTAACTCATGATCTATAGTGTCATGCAATCTGTCATCCGAGGTTGAAATCATTCACAAGTGCTACGTCCGTAACACTGAATCTTGACAAGTGGGATCTGCTGGCTATATCTTAGAGGTGGAAACCCTACAGTAGAGTAATGTACAATCTCCCACGCCACAGCAAGGTGTGCCTTGGATATTTGGAGTGATAATCTCTCACCCAAAGCGAAAATTCTTGTGCTCTCTAGGAATAAAGGAAAACCCACTCTGACTCACTGCTAGTTAGGTCTGTATATTATGCCAGGATAAATTAATGAAAAGTCTTTGAACAGTGCATAACCCTCGCCACCTATTCTTTATTTCAGCTGCCATGGTATAGCTACACTACCTCATCTTTGCACGTGCGTGTTCAATACTAGTAGTTACTACTACAGTCAAAGTGTAAAAAGCACGTGACAGTTACATACAAACCCTCACTCACACTTTATCTTTATTTCAGCCACTAGCTACGCTACCTAAGGGACTCTGGATCACTGGGCGTGTGCTGTCTCTCACTAACCAGAAATCTCGATCCTACTCAACTGTACATCAATATTACAGGCAGACCAGCAAATCTTCCCCACACGTGCAAGCATCTAGCATCTAAGTAGAGTCGACCGTTGTCGCGCGATCTCTATTTGCTGCCGTTTCATCAGCTCCCTGGCCGTCTCCGCTCCAGAATCTTATTTACCATGCATGCATCTACTTGATAATAAATCCACGTTTTCACGCTAGAGTTGCCGCGGGGCGTATACAGAGAAAACGGACGCGACACACACGCACAGACAGACCAACTGCAATCACCCCTCGCTGCGGCATGTGCGCAGGCGAGGGTTAAAAAATAATAGGCAGTCAAAAAAGAACAAGAAATATCCGGACAGCAATAATCATAAAGGGAGAAAGTGAACCAGTGCACTATTAACACAAGTGAGCTAATTTTCATGCAGGGCAACTAGCAGTCTGGGGGTGGATGGGGGTGACCACTGTGTGACTATTCGGTGTGAGCGAAATTGAAATGTCGGTCGAAACCTGGCTAATAGCAGTCGAGCGGGACTCTACAGGGACAGAGTTTGCTGCAGATTCAAAGCTAAACGTCTTGAAGTGTTGTGTGTTTTGTGTTGCCCAAATGTTCAAACCTCTAAATGAGAATAGGCATAATCGGTCGGCACCTGAGGAGACGAATGTGTAAGCAATGCTTCATATAGTTTCGATTGCATGTAGCCGAGCCTAAGTCGAAGAGCAGTATATACATGTGAAGTAGCTACACTAGCCACTACAAAAATAGTTTGACATGCCTGCAACACAACGTGTCAATCAGCAGAGCTTGGACATTTTAAGCATCGTGAGAGTAGGCTATAGCTATAGCACATAAAAGGGTTAAGGTTAGTTCTTTTCACAAGACTGTGTTTCTCTCTTTTCGGACTACAATGGTGAATGGTTCAGACCAGCGCTCACATTTCTCGTGAACTAGCATCGCTCCATAGGACGTCCACGACAGGGAATCATCATTTCAAACTGAGTAGAGTCAGATACAAACTGTGTCATTCTTTAATGCTGGGATTGATTCCTTTGGTTGTTCTGGTGTGATTTTCACTCGGAGCTATGAATTTTCTTTCGCTGTTCGTCCAAATGTCAGTGATATGTTCACGTCACCCTTCTTCACATCTTGACTTGATATTTCGTTCACAAGAACGGCCTCAGAACTTGTGCTGGCAATGTATTGTTTGGTGGCTTTTGTGTGCATTATGGTCAACACACATTTGCGTTTTGTTTTCCACATTGCCATCAGGTAGGATTTTTTGTCTAGTCCCGGGGATATGAGTTGTCGCATATGACGTAATCGCGCACGTCTACAATGGCATGAAGCCTCCACAGAGCAATCTGTTACTACCCGACAGCTTGATCTCTACTAGAGTATACCCTCGGGAGGATAGAGCACTCTATCCATGAGCTCCTGTAACATAGCCACCTTGCTCGGAGGACATTAGGCTCAGTGGCTCTCTTGAAAACTTTCTGCAATTCTGCACTTTTTGAATGAACTCATATGGAACGAACTCACCAAAGAACTTCTTCCGTTTTCGTCTGGTCAATTTGGTACGTACACAGCAAACTCTTGAACATCATGTCGCTGTCTGCTCGGCCAATGTGTCTCTGTGCAATTCAATGATGTGGCCAAGGCTTCACTAGTGTGAAAGGTTCGATGCAGTGCATACGCATTTCCCTTCTGTCTTTGAGCTACTCAGCATCTGCACCGCATCTTTCCACCACACCACCGAATCGAGACACGGGCATGACCTCATAATACCTCTATGACAGCGGTGGAGTAAACACAGCACCTGTAACTGCCGTGTTTTGCTGACACTGTCACCGAGTCTAACTCTGGCAGGACCTGGTTGCCGTGCAGGCAATTGTAAGGGTTTGTGGAGATCAAATGGGGCGGGGTCACTATGCTGCCAAACACAATGTCCGTAGTCTATAGGAGGGGCAGCGGTGCTAAACTGAGCATGAGTTTGAGCCGTGGCAACGAGTGCCGTGTAGCCTTGTGGAGGTAGGTGATACCGCATTCACCGAGTGCCCTCGACAGTTGCTCAAGAGCATCACTGGTGTGAGATGAGGGGACATAGCGCACAATTCCACGCCACCCCCTCCTCCCAAGAGGAAACGAACCGATGGTACACAAGGTGAAGTGGATTTCCGTGTACCCTACTAGCTTGAAACTGCTCGGCGATAAAACGAAATTCCGCAATCGGCAGAAGATTTGTAGGCCGGGCTAGAAAGGTAGCCGCAGGAGGCAATGGTAGGACTCTAGTGTAGACGGGTATGAGTCAACCCCTAAAATCTTCTTAGAATATTGTGCTTGGACCTTAACCTTCTTTCCCTGCTTGGTAGCAGCAGTCTGGATCATCTTGGTTGCATCGACAATATCAAATTGGATTGTTTGAAAGCTGAAGACAAAGAAGGCGGTGAATGGCTGCAAGGTTCCGTGTATTGTCGTCCCAAAATTTCACAACGTGATGTTGGGACGCTCATTCAAAAGTTGCTGGACAAAACGGGCCTTAAAAACAGGGGTGTCTCGTCAGTATCATCTGGTTTCATGATCAATTTCTCTGGATAAACCCCATAGCACTCGAGAACATGGTCGACTCCAGGCTTTGTGCGCTCATTCCTACCAGTCAGAATAGCAGTTGATGCTGCCGGCCTGGCCAATGTGGTCTCGGAAAGACGCTAGCACTGGTCCGGGGGCTGCTCTCAACGGTGGCAGGAGTGACTCGGGCCAAGTGAACCATCCCTTTCGCTTCCATTTCCTCCCAGTGAAATTTTCGTACAGCTGGCGCCCTGTGCGTGCATCGGGAGTGGAAAACAGGGTGTCATCAAAGTCAAAGAGGTAGAGCCGTGTGGCTTTTTGCTCCCCAGTGCAAATTTCCACCGTGTCTATATCAGTATCGTCAGCAGCGGCAGCCAGTTTGGTAAATCTGACCTCTAAATAACATTCCTGACTTTATAGTGAAGATTTGCTGGGCAGTATAATGTTCTTCCTCGGAAAGAGCTTTTGCTGAAGGTTCAGAATTACATTCAGTGGGTTCATCAAATACATTTTTCTCACGAACTGCAATACCAATAATTCCTTCAAGCTCAGTGTTTTGATAAACTGGCTTAGGACGCTGCCGCTCTAGTAACTCATTTGCTGCTTTAAAAGGTACATTCTCTCCGGCAGAGACTGTTATGTGAGGCACCGCATTCTGGCATGTCAGGCCTCGGGGCAACTCAACTGCAGCTACTTGCACCTGGCCATTGTCAGCAGTACCTGTTACACAGAGTGAGACTTTACTACCAATGTTGGCATCCAGACAGGACTCTTTGCTCGGTTCAAAGACCAGAGTGACATGGTCGGCACTAATCCTCGGATGAGTGGGAGCTACTGCTGAAACCAGCCTCCATTGGGACTCTGGGGTCAAGAAGACTGCTGTGTACACAGCTTTGAGGGTGGTAGACTGGGCAAGAGCTTCAGAGCTGTCCAGTGCATCTGGGGAACACAGAGATACCAGCGAGTAGACTGGCGAAGTGTTGGAAATCATTCGTGGGTATGCCAGAGATGGCGGCACAAGTAAAGTTGTTTCGTCCACTTCCCATCGCTTGAAAATATTCAGTGCCGTTTTCTCGTCAATTTCATGCTGGTTTCTAGATCGATAGCTTTCGAGTGTCTTCTGTGAGGGACATGGAATTTCAAGGACGTGGTATCTACAGCCAAGAATTGACGAGATATAACTGTATATCTCGTACTCCCACTTTCTCGAGTGGGTGTTATCAACAACTATGAGTTGTTTCCCCTCAGCTAGTGCTCGGAGGAAAAGATCTAGGCAGTAGGTATGGGCCATTGGTAGGAGCTTTGTTGAATATTTGTAATCGCCACCCTTCATAAAGTAAAAGTCAGCACTACAGATGGCTACACTTGCTGAATCAGTGAGGTATTCTGAGCAGTGGGTCGTCAGGAATGACTTCCCACTTCCAGGCACACCACGTAATGCAATTACTATTGGCACTTTGGAGGATTCTGTTAGGGCTGTACAAGTGGTGTCTTCCTGTCCAAGGCTGATGATTTCGTCCACAGCACTGTCAAATTCCTTCACCTTTCCTCCGTTACTTCCAGCATGAATAGACGTAACCAGCTTGTCATGCTCATCTTCAGATATGACACCACTTGTACTGAATGAATCAACTCGTTTCACAAGAGCAGAAAGAAAGTGGGGAGGCAAACCAGACAGGGAATTGGTAACCTCACAATACCGCATATAAAACCCGTCTGCCTGTTTTGGAGCAGTCATGGAACAGAGAGACATTTTTTCTATGCGGTTTGACCCAATCTCCATATCAGTGAAAGGTTCATACATTGCGGGGGTGATCATGCTTGTGTGGGGATCCCGCTGCATTGGCCTTGAGAGCTTTACAAGTGTCATGTGTGCTGTATATTCCTTGTAGTTTCCAGGAGTGGAAAGACCTGCCTCCTGGAATTGCTCGATAAGTAAAAAGACAAAGTTGTCAAGGGCAGGGCAGGGTGCCACCTTTGCATACACCAATCTCTGATGGAAATTGCTGACCCCTGTGATAGTAAGGTGGGAGGAGCGTGGCAAGACATGGATGAACCGTGAGCGGACATTCTCCATGACCTTTTGGGCAGTGGCAACATGCTGGTCGTTTTCGAGCCGGACCATACAGAGTGTGACATGCAGGGCAGGAATTGGAAGACATGCATCGGCCAGGGCGGGGGTATACTTGGTGATGTAACCCTGTATCTCTGACACCTTACTTTGGACATTGGAATCAGTGATTCGAACACAAACAAAATGAGTTGGTCTACTACGATCAATGAGAACACGTGAAAGACTATCAGAGCCAGTTACAATATCCTCTTCTTCGACATCGACATCAATGAGTTTAGACTCTAAACGGGACTGATTAACCTCAGATTTCAGGTTTTCATCATCCTTCTTCTCTTGCTGCTCAGCAACAATGTGTTGGATCAATCTGCCTCCCCTGGACCCAAACACGTTGTCAAATTGAGACCGCTTGTCCCACACAATCTCCTCCCTATACTTAAAGTACTGGATTCTGTGTTTAGGCACAGCCAGAACATTGTTCCCCACAGTAGCTAAATCTTCCCAGCTAAAGGAACTGAAGGGCTTCTCCATGATCCCCAAAAACCGATCGAGGTACCCGACCTTGAATTCTTCAGATGGAAGATCAGGGTCCCACAGAACACGTGAAATGACCTCTTCTGAAGTTCGCATTGGTGCTTTTTTCTCACCATCACCCGTTTCAGTGTTTTCCTTTGTTTGCAACTTCCTAGGCTTGATACTTGCCTCTTGTTTTGATTTCTTATCGCTGTGACTCGCCTGGTCAGCTGTAGTAGTTCTTTTGGAGGCAGAGCTACCGCTTGAATGTGAATTTTTGCACTTTTCGCCAAAGCGGCATTTTCCTTGAAGGAAATACTTGCAAATAGGTACTTTTTGTGTATTAGTATTGTCTTTAGCTACAACTGGTCGATGTGGTTGTAAGCTTAGAGGATGATCACTCACCCACTGGCGAGCAGCATCAATAAGACAGTAGAGTATTGGGCTACCCTCAGAGTCGGCAGGGATGGCACCTACGACGTGCTCCTTCAGTCCAAGAGACTCTAAGTGGCCTGGAATGATGACTTTAGGAGGCGAAGTAGGATACTCATCTACAACATAATATAACGGTAAAACCCTCTGTAACAGGACACAGATATGACTCACCATTTAGTTCCAGCGTCATAATCGTTTGGCTGCCATGGCTGAAGTCTAGCCTGTAGCCCCCGTTGCCTCCAATAGCAGTTGGCTTCATTGTGTGCCACTGTAGCTCACTGGTAAAAGTGGCCTTTAGAGCTTCTAGTTCGTCTTCTACTTCCATGGCGATTGGTCAAAAGATAGTATTCGAAAATAGTATTCGCAAACTGCGCCAGCTGAGCAACTTCATATACACAGCGATGATTTCCTACGGTTGTGCAACACTGCAAGATCATCTATGAGCCACACCCACAATATTCTGTCGTCATGCGCAACCCTACCCCCCTGCCGTCAGTGAATTTCCTACGGTTCCGGTTGCGCAACACAGAGTTGCGCGCACGTATTCAAATTGCGCATGCGCATGTTTGTGTACGAGAGTGATCGTGCAGTTTGGCAACATTCGACTATTCTTTCCCCTCCCCATGCTACTTCTGGCAGCAAGCAGATGGGTCAACCGGTTGCCGCCCACTTAGCAGGTATTGTGGCTTCGTTGAACTGGCGACAGTGGAACTGTGGAATGAGCCGTCAAGACGCGACTCTACTAGCTTCTGTGCATGCCGTGCTCGCTAAAATTATGACTTCATACTTATCACGCCGCCGAAAGTCAGTGTGTGAAAAACTAGTTGACGCAACTCTACTATAGTAGTTTCACCAGATCCTCCCTCGTTGCGTACGTGAGTCCGTGGCACGTGCAATGATTGACAGTGTACACATGATGAAAAACTGATGACTGCTGGAGCATAATTATTGTTATAATACCCAGAATGAGGTATGTATGATGTATTTACAATCCTCTCTGCTACCATGCTAAATGCAATAGAGTTTCACTACATGCTTGGAGTACTGTATTATTCTGCTTCTCTAGTACCTTGTGTAGTAGTGTATATACTACAGAAAAAACACCCACTGATCATGTCCGTGGAAACACGCACAACATTCACACAGCAGCTGTGAGTAGCTAGCTCTCTCGATCACCTTGGAGTCGAGTAGCGTGCGCGCGCGTGACGGTGTTAGCAGTGCGCATGCGCTGACAAGAAACCTCTGTATGTGTATATACACTATGTGCAAGGTGCAATGCTGTCGTAGTTATGCGCATGCGCGACTCGACCCGCGTACTATAATTATTCCACTTGCTTAGTCTACACTCCATGGTTCTATATACTCACTGCGCATTGCTGCAGATCTTGTTGTGGTCACAGAAAGATAATGCGGCGTTACGTAATTGGCGAGCAGGTGCTTCCTGCACTTCAATCATATCCTGCTTTTTGTGATCATGTTATCTGTAACATTCACATGCAAAACACTGAGCATGTACAATTCAAGCAATCAACTCAAGATTGTGAAGGTGGTATAAAAAGGTTCTGATACTTTTAAAGCAAAAGCACCCTGGTAGCCCATGTTGGGAGAATCTCTGTCAGTACCGTACTTAGTATATAGGGATTTACATGGTACCTATATAACATCATAATTAGTATGGGGCTATGATAGGGAGTTTTGTTCATCTTCTTCTTCTTCTTCTTCATCTTCAACCAGCATAACTCAAAAATGAAATTTTGTAAGAATGTAGATATCAATAACCACATGTGCAATGTCATACTTTTTGTTTGTAAACAATGTTGTTTACTGTAAACAGCAACAAAAGTGCCCCAGGCAATACATTATAATGGACATATATGTGTTAGTGTAATTCACATTAATTGTAAGAGCTATGTGAACGAAACTTTGTACGTATGCCTATTTTATCATTTCCATGACAACTACATGACGACCGCATACTGTTCGGAGAAACCACAGACGATTATCTTCATAATTACTTGTTCACTCCTCAAACTTGCTAACTATATATAGCATGTATGGAGGTGAAACTTGATACACATACGTATTAAACTGTTTCCATGACGACCACAACAAAAAAAATAGCCTCAGGCACTTTTCTTTAAAATTACTTCTTCACTCCTCAAACTTGCTAATGGCAGCACACATGGAGATGAAACATTGTATGCATATCATTTCCGTGACGACAGCAGGCATTTTTTCTCTATTAAATAGGGGCTTGCCCCCTTCCACAGAGATAATACGTAGTAGTATATAAAAATGAGTGGAGACAAGTAAATTTAAAATCCTGCGAATTAAAAAAAAGAAGCATAGAGGGATTGTATAAAAAGAAAGGGAGACAAGATAGGTATGGGATACATGAAGCATGGTTAATGAACAGATTTGAGTATGCTGACACCCCCAACCCCATCACACAATCCCTATATTGTTGCCTAGGCGAAGTATTAAACATTCACCATTACAATATACTCAGAACCTACAATACACTACTTGAGTAACCAACACCCGTATAGAGTCCAAGTGGAGTTTAAATGGGAATGTGGCAGTATAAATGTTACTAAAAACAACAGGGACATGGTGGAAGAATGCTTGCTTTTAGTAACTTTTAGCCCCTATAAGAGTAGCACACCAGGCAACAATATAGGGATTGTGTGATGGGGTTGGGGGTGTCAGCATACTCAAATCTGTTCATTAACCATGCTTCATGTATCCCATCCCTATCTTGTCTCCCTTTCTTTTTATACAATCCCTATATGTTAATTCGCAGGATTTTTAATTTACTTGTAATAATATGCTAATTAATACTGTCCCACACAGCTTACTGATGACTATGGTGACCGATGTGATGCATCTAATTCTGTATTCATCGACGACTGCAATTATCCATCAGCATCGATTATCTTGCAACATGACACATTGAATATGCCAATAGCAGTCAGATGATCGCATCCAATGTGAGCCGTCAAGAACAAATTTTCCCAGGCTTATCACAATACATTTTAGTTACTGAAGTTCAACCAGTCAGAGTTCTTTGGAGAAGATCCCAAATTTAGTTATTTTCTATGGATGATGTCGGATTCATTTATGTATAATTATACCAACAGAATGCCAGAATGGAGTAGGTAATGACATTGACAGCAATTATGGGGATGATGCAAACTGAGCACACTTTTCTGGGGAAAAGGCTCTTATAAATTTGGACTGACATTTTAGTTTAAATGGAAGAGTGCAAGAGAAGAGTGCAAGATGAAACAGTGTCTGAAGATAGGGATATAGGTGCAGCTCAACAGCACATAAAACAAAAAATATCTTGTGTATGTGTGGTTATACTCTGTTTCTGTGGCGCCATCATCTGGCACTTTTCCTTCCTTAAACAGGTCACGTGAAGCTAGACCTATAGCTAGCTCTACCTTTGTGTTTTTACTTAGGTTGTTGGCTACACATTATGCTTCATGGATATAAGCAAGGAAGGTCGGAGTATCCACAGAGGTATAATCACCGCACTTGGCCAATGATGTAGGTCCAGTATCAGAGATGCTTTTGCAATGCACACTGGATATAATCGTGTTGCAAGAGGTTAACAACATAATCGTGCTCTATATGCTCAAGCAATGGAGATGCCTTTCATCAACCCTAAAGGTTGTTGGGACAGGTAAGCTTTGCTGCCTTAGATTGATGTCAGGGATTAAGCAGATGATGGACAGACTGACTGGGTATTCGTCTATGGAAGTCTGTGGAACTGATGACCATCTTTGTAGCTATAGTCCTAAGTTTGTGTGTTCTAGTTTTCAATGATAACTAGGCAGCAGTGGGAATCAAGTTTGGCAAGGTTCACAAATTGTGGCTGTGGCAGGGGACAGCCTGAAAATTGCAAGCTTATGAAGATATCTTGTGCTTTACTTTCAGTGCATTCCCACTCACCCTTCTTCCCATTCTGGGATGGACAAAGGTAATTGTGAGCGTAGACGCCTCTTGCTCAACATTAAAGGGAATATGTCAGTAGATAAGGGCAAATTTTCGTGAGATAGAACTGAACAATAGGGCCCAGTGCAAGGATGTATTAAGTTTCCATTTTCAATAACAATTTATAAGTTTAGCCCTTACACACTGCCAAATTCCCTTTAACATTTCGATTGCGGGAATAAGAAAAGCGCACAATAGTGCACAAACCCCATTGGGCAAAGAAGTGTTCAGTAGAGTGAAACAGCAACCACCTCTAGTTGATAAAACTTCTATCATCACAGTGCAAAAGCCATTCTGATGGTTTTTTCAGAAAGAAATGTGACGTAATTTTTGTACTTTATTTCTGATGAAACAATTGACTTAAGCCCAATAAGCACGGACAGTTTTATTCAATGGAAAACCTCAGATTATAATTAAATCCACACACCGTCGCTCCCAATCTCAAGACTTGAAAGAATGATGATGAGTTTGTAAAGGTAGAAAGTACGAGAAAGTTAACTGTACCGTGGGATTCCAACACACAACCTCTTGGTTTCTGGGAAAGTTCACTCTGCTATGGGAGAGCTATACAGATACTGCAAAGCACAATGTGATTAAATACTAGCTATTAATTTGTGATGTGCATTGCTTGTTTTATGTTACACAATAATCTTGTGATAGCCACACACAAATTTCCTTGACAGGCCCAACAGTGATTCCCTCAAGTCTCTTTTCCCTGCCTCTTCTCACACAATAGGGGAACACAATAGTGGGTTATGGGCCTACTTAAGCAGCTTACGGAAGACAGGCTCCTTTGTTGCTAGACATTTATCTACCTCATAGTGTTCGCTATAATATTATACCTATATTTATCACCAAGGTAGAATTAGGCTATATATTTACAACTCTGACACCCTTCCTATCGTCATGTTGCTTAGCCTCCTTATAAAATGTGCCTTTCTTGAGAGCCAGTAATGATGATAGACGGCCATCACAGCACTCTGTTGCATGTCTCAACAACTTGGTAGCGAGGTAGAATGGACAAGGTAAGGCAAACAAGTCAACTACACCCAGGACAGCAAAGCTGTCCTGGGTGGGATTCGAACCCACTACACTCTGTATAGTCTAGGCGAGCGCTCTACCAACTGAGCTACCAGGGCAACTCAGTTGCTTGGTAGGGGTTCGAATCTACAACACAAGGCAAACCTCAAACCACTGTGCTATGCACATTATTATGTAATCCCATGTATAAATTTTGCAATATTGTGTCATTGCCTTCTGATTTATTCATTGAACCTGCACTATTTGAACAGTTTTAAAGTGGTAAGTTATTGGCAAAAATAGCATGCAAGCCCTAGTTTGTTATTAGTCTTCGAGTTCTTCTTTGATGTTAAAGGCGATATAGACAGCCTATATACTGTACGGAGCAGACAGCCAGCATTCCATATGTGGTTAACTGTATATGCTTCACTTGGCGATTGGCAAGGTTGTTCAGGTAGCTCAGAGTTCCACATTCTCGACAGCAGCTCCCCAACCATTTCAGGCCAAATTGTAATGGGACAAGTAGGTACATACATAGGTATATACATAGCTGCCTTTTTCCTCTTGTATTGTTCACCTTTTTCTTCATTAATGCTTTCATCTTCAATTACTGCAACAGATCTCCCTGCAAAAACAATTATGTCTGCTCCTCCGTGAAATGGTGCCGCACGAGTTTGCGACTCAGGCTTTGAAAGAGTGTGCTACTGGTTTCAGTTTTCATGGTGACGCTCACCATAGGACTATACCTTGGATGCATCTATGAATCGTGATATCCACACCTCCTATCCCAGGCCCACACTCTAGGTTCTTTGGCAAAGTCTTCTTCCTCAACAATCAAAAACCGTTTGGTTTGCATAGCCTTACTGACCGCCGCCGCCAGAAAACGGGCAGGCCCGTAGCTATATAGTAGGAAGCGGATGCTCGCACGCACTTTTGCGGTTTCTGTTTTCTAAACTTAAGGCAAATTAATACACTAAGGAAATAGCTCGAGCCAATAGAGAGGAAAGTGAAAGGAAAATAAAATGGAATGTAAGTTATAAAAAGGAAAGCGGCTAGCTACTGCGTGTAGCTACCGGAAAAGAGCACACAACACCCACATGGTTGTTTGTGCTTGTAGCTATTACCTAACTATAAAAAGTACTTGTGATTGAGCCCTGCTAGAGTTGAAAGAGAAGACAGACGACCTGCTACTTATTTGTGCGGTGCATTGGCTCTCTTGTGCAGTTGAAAGGTACAGTGAAAAGTAAACGACAGTGGTAACTGACCTTGCTATAATTATTATAGATGAGAGCTGTACTGCTACGCCACCTGAGTTTCTTTCTTTTCCTGGTGGAAATCAATTCTCAGATTTTTCCTTATGTCTCATTTACGAGATCGACTAAGGCCAACCATTCCTATGTGGATGGCAGTCTAGTGGGGAATCATTTCAGTGGTGATGATAGTGTTCAGTGTCACACTGACCTAGCCACATGTTGTAGTAATGGCCAGGGTTATCATCGCGGAGACTGGTATTCCCCAGATGGAACTAGATTGTCGTTTAATTCAGGGATAATATATCAATCTCGCACAGCTCAGAGAGTTGACTTACACCGCAGAAGTAGCGCAATCTTACCATCTGGTATTTATCGCTGTGATATTCCAACTCTATCTTTTGATAGAGACACAGTCTATGTTGGAATCTATACTCCTGTAGGAGGTCAGCAAACTTCTGGTAGCATTAATCAGGAATTCGGGTTGGATTTACCAGTCACGTTACAGTATAGTTTTCAATCATAATATACAAATTTTTATGTGCTACTTTACTTAGGTGACATATCAATGGCATCTGTGGCTTTCGATCCTAACCAATTAACCATAACCTGTATCTCCACTGGTGGACCCGCTACCTATGTCACTTGGACCAGAAACTCCACCACTGTCACCAAAGGAGCCAAGACTGTGTTGAATGACTCAGTGACTGCACAGTACATCCACACTCTGACTGTGACCACCGGAGGAGAGTATACTTGTGCGGTGTCTAATAATAAACCGTCCTTTGCATCAGCTATGATCACTGTAGCAAGTATGTTTGTAACCTTGTCTTAGTGCTCTTACATGGTGAACCCATGGTATAACAGGTGCTTCAGTTCTCATAGGCATTACAGCCGTGCAGATTGGCCCAACTAGCATTCAGGTGAGCTGGACATCTCGTGTTCACCTAGGAGATATCACTGGCTACACCATTTCCTACACTGGAGGAAACAGTAGTGTTAGTGTCCACGATGGAAACAGCAACAACTATACACTGACTGGTCTTCAGAATGGGAAGATGTACATCATATCTATCGTGGCTACATTAGTATCAGGTCTACCCAGTAGGCCACTGGAGATCATTGTTAGTTTAGGTATGTCCAAAATTGATTTAAAAGTTACATGAAGGAGTGTGTGAATTATGTTGCAGTTCCATTTGTGGCTCCAGTCGTGGATACACATTCTGTTACCACTAATGCCACAACCATCACAATTACTGGTAGTGTTCCCAGTGGCTCAGTGGTGACCGGCTTTGTGGTGGAGTGGCAGAGAGACACCTCGATAGGCTGTTCTGATGTGAATAGGAGTAGCATTGCTCAGGATGGTGATTTTGCTGAATTCAAGATAACTGGACTAGAGGAGGGCAACAGATACAACATCACTGTGAAAGCCTCTAATGAAGCTGGCATTGGTCCAGCCAGTAATGTTCTAAGTGCAATGACTGATGAGACAGGTGAGACCCATTCAAATGAGTGTCCCTCACCAATATGACAGTGTGTTTTCTATAAAATACAGAGCCATCTGCTTCTCCGGACTCTGTCTCTAGTGCATCACTCAGTGCCACTGCTATCAGTGTTCAGTGGGGAGAGGTGGCTTGTATCCACCGCAATGGGGAGATCATTGGCTACGTAGCACGTGTATTAAGGACAGAAGAGGAGGTTGAAACAGTGATCGTCGCACAGAGTGAAAGAGAAGTTGCTGTCACTGGGCTGTTTCCATCAACTGAGTATGCAGTTCAAGTTGCAGCCGTAAATGCTGCCGGTATTGGACCATTCAATACTACTATTCCCATCATCACTACTGGTAAAGGCTTGTAGTTAAGGTCGCCGATAGTAAAGGGACAAAATGTTCCCTAATGTGTCCCATCAGGCAATAAACTCATGTAAATGCAAGTTAATGCTTAACTATACGACTGTGTCACAATGTCCCCTTATCGAACTTAGAAGTTTTTAGACTGGTGTTATGGGCTTGACAGGCCTATTTTACCTTAACTGTAGCTATTCTTTCTCATTCTACTATGCAGATATACTCACGTTGTCACTGGAATCTAGTACCACTACATCTTTGACTATATCGTGGATGGTGGATGATGATTGGACTGCCACAGGCTACAACATATCCTATTCCAATACAGACACTGTTTGTTTCACTGACTCAAACACCATCTCTGGTCTAAGTGGTGATGAGACCATGCGTATATATACAATGAGCAGTCTACAGGAGGGAACTGCCTACTCCATAACTGTACTTGCTACCCTCAATGGCGAACTGCATGATTTCCACACAAGAGCCATAACAAATTCTACCGGTTAGTCAGTTAGTCAAATACTCCCCATTGTAAATTTGTGCTATTATATTCAACCCTCAAAGTTCCATCTGCTCCTCCCACTGATGTGATTGTATCAGAGGTGAGTGTGACTAGCATCACTGTCCAGTGGGGGCCAGTTCAATGTACTGATCAGAATGGAGAGATAATAGGCTACTCAGTGAGGTATTGGGATAATGAGAGAGACAGTGAGGGAGACAAAACTGTCAAGATGGTGCCAGGAGACTCCAGTGGAGGAATGACCATAATCTCTGAACTCAATATACAGACAGTCTACACTTTTGAAGTGGCAGCAGTGACCAGTGCTGGAACTGGAATCTACAGTGTTGCTGAGACTTTTGAAACTCTTGCCTGTGAGTGAATGTTTATTGTTCTGTGTTCTGATATTAATCAACCCACACAGATCTGGTCGTTTTTCTGGAAGGATCTGTCATTCCTGCCCATGGCTATGTGACAATCAGAGATATTGGATCCACTGATGACTCTGCTTTAACTTGTCAGAGTAGCATTCCCCCATCTCCTGGCAGTCTTCATTCTGCTGATGTAGACTGGTTTGCACCAAGTGGAACTAAAGTGGGTGACGGTAATGTCCCAGGATTTACCACAAACAGAGGACCCATGGTAGTGAGACTGAAGAGAAACACTGGTGCTCCAGCAGAGGGAATCTATAGTTGCTCGTTAGAGAATGCCACATCCCAATTTCATACATTCTTTTTTGGGCTTTATAACGTTGGAGGAGGTATGAAGTTTGTTCTAAGATTATGGTATTTTCATGTCTAGTCTTTTTGCAGGAAACATTTTAATATCATCTATTGAAGTTACTAGTGTGTCAAATCATCAGTTAGCTGTCACCTCCATCTCCACTGGTGGACCTGCTACAACTGTTACTTGGACCAGGGACTCCAGCACTGTCACCCAAGGAACACAGACTGTGTTAAATGACCCAGTGACTGCACAGTACACCCACACTCTAACTGTGACCACCAGTGGAGACTATACATGTACTGTGTCTAACCATCAATCGTCTGATTCAGCTAGCATTATTGTGGAAGGTATCATTAACATCCAGCATCATTTTAAGGCTGTTATGAGCATTTGTTCTTTCAGCTGTCTCACCACCTACTGAGGTCACAGCAGCCCAAGAGGGTCCCACTACCATTATGCTGTCTTGGACTCCATCCAGCAATGCCACAGGATACAGGATCAACTATAGCAATGAGATACAGCACACTGGTAGTGACAGTGGTGTCAGTGGTGGTTCTACTGACAACTACACTCTGACTGATCTCATGGAAGGAGCTACATACTCCATATCCATTGAAGCTGTAGCCTTCGGCATGCTTGACAGTCCTCCCACTCAACTGCAAGTCTCTCTAGGTTAAAATAAACACTGTTTTAAAAGCACAAACACAACTATTCATTCTTTTCCTCTTATCAGTTGCAGTTCCCGAGACACCAGTCATTGACAGGGGTAGTATTGTGTCTACAGCCTCCACTATATCATTCTCCTGGAGTGTGCCACATGATGTGACTCATTCCTTGGTGACCTGGCAAGCAGTAGATTCAGTCAGAGGACCTATAAACAGTGCTACCGTTGATAAATTACTCAGCACTTATTCAATCACTGGCTTGAGGAGTAACACCAATCATGAAGTCACTGTAAGGGTATTTAATCCTGCTGGAAGTACTTCAAGCGGGTTTAATCTCTCAACAACAGCAGGTTAGTAGATAACCAAACTGGAGTGGAAGGATGCAGCAAATTGAACAAGAACACAACGTTACATATTTCATAGGTGCAAACCCAATTGTGCTCCTAATTTTCATTCACCCTAAAGGTTGCATGAAATTATAGTTCATAGCATACCAGCCATAGGTATATAGATAGATAGATAGATAGATAGATAGATAGAGAAATAAATAAAAACCACCATCACCATATTTACAAACCCCAAAATATCCACACAAAACACATACACAAATACACATGACATGACATGATAGTAGGACACTGGGTGCCCAGCCTTGAGAACCGGGACGGTGGGTTAAAGAGTCTTTTATGGCTAGCCAACTCTCCCCACACACCCAGCATCCAAACTCCACATCACAAACAATGACAGCCACACAGTGAGTAACTGTACGATAGTACAGTCACGACAACACATGTAGAGTACGATACATATAAATATAAATATATAAATATATACACAAACACAGATGGTACAAAAAAGAAATTGGTAGCATTGTAGAAAAATAGAAAAATAGAATCTAGCTTACTTACTGGACGTAAAAAACAAGGTAGAATGACTCACTTGTAGCAGTAAACACATGGTAGAAAAACAAGAATGACTTACTTGTAGCGGCATGTCAATGCCATTACCATTGGGCAACGACAAATGGCAGGTCCGACAGAAAACTTGTGCTTTTAGTTTTTAGCTACCCAGTTTTCATAACCCAAACCTTCCTCTTCTAGACAGCCGGGCTCTGCCAGACAGTTTGGACAATGGAACTATAACTACCTCCAGTATGACAACGACTGGACTCATCACCATAGGTAGTAGTATTGGGTCCATATCACTCCTGGTACTATTGATTACGGTGGCAATCATCGTATTTATTATCATAAGGAGACGTGCTAAAAGGTTAACCGATCCATGTGCCCACAGTTTGTTTTTTGTTTGATGGTTTTGAGTATAATAATATTAATGTCGAATCTGGTTTTATAGCACTAATTTTTTAATGATTCACCCCTTTAACACTTAATGAGCCACGGACACATTCATGTATCCAGACTCCAGAGACTCCTTAAGTCCTGGGGTTATAGCTACAAGTAGGAACAAATAATATACGTTTAGGAGTTACCCATTGAGTCCAAAGAGGTTTGTATTTGTTATAATGAGAGTCCACAGTATATATAATTCATATATTTCCACTGCAGAATTAAAACTGAGCCTGATTTTAGGGGTAAACTGAGACAAGAAGACTCTATCGACCTACAAACAGATAGCAAAGCCCAATCGTTTGAAGTACCTGAAAGTGAAAAAGGTATAATAGTGTCTCAAGCTCATCTAACATACATAGCAATATTATTATTTGCTCATTATTATAATACTGTGTTGGCTTAGAAGAGGAGCTGCTTTTGAATCTTAAGAGAAAGAAATTGATTGTTTCGAAGGTACAAGTACACCTCTCTAGCACCATTGGAAAAGGTAACGTCATTGTGATGAGCTATTAGCTTCATTCCTTTTTATTGTGAAAGGGGAATTTGGATTGGTCTACAAAGGATATGTTGAGAGCGACACAGGGACTACATTGGTAGCTATCAAAACTAGTAAAGGTAGGTACTGAAACCTAAAATCAGGCAAATTGTTTATTGCACAATCATAGTATTACACACCTATTCAGCATTGAGCTGCACTGTATATAGCTATATATACACCTACGGGTCGAAGATTATAATAGTATAATAATAAAATGTGGGTGAAGGAGGCCAATGTATTAATGCACAGAGTTTGCATAACCTCATTATGCAACTGAAAGCAATACTGTTACTATTGCATCACGAGTGCATAACAGAAACACTTTTTGAAAGAAACAGGCTTGAACCTTGTCTTGCTCAGGCTGCTGTATAGATAAGTGAACAGGCTATTGCACTCTTATCTGGATATTAAGGCATAGCATCTGATTTATCAAGAGATAACACCAGAAATATACATCTCAGCAGTCACTTACAGTCTAAGAATAATGTAGTATTATTATATACCCACCTATTATACTATATTCACTTGACTTTTCAGCACTGTCTTCAGAGGTAGAAAAGAAGAACCTGCTGAGAGAGATATCCAAAATGGCTTCATTTGAACATAACCACGTAATGAGTCTCCTCGGAGTGTGTCTTGATTCAGAGATGCCCCTAATGATTATGCCATTGATGGTCAAAGGAAGTGTGTTGGAGTATGTCAGGAAAATAAAGGAAAATCCACCACAGGTGCATGCAAGCTCACAACGTTGGCTACTCTGTTTACCTTTCTTGTCGTAAATAATATTTCACCCTTTTTATAGGATAATATAGTACTGAAGATAACATTTTTGAGAATGTGCCATCAGATCACAAAGGGGATGAAATATCTTGCAAGCTGCAAGTTTGTCCACAGAGATCTTGCAGCAAGGAACTGCATGTGAGTGGTGTTTCTCTCCTGAAATTATGGATCAATAATAATAGCGCATTACTGTTTTTCCACAAGCTACGTATTTTGAAGAAAACTTTGTATTATTATAGAGTAATTATGCACAACAGGATTGACCAGAATGATGTGATAAAGGTGGCAGATTTTGGTCTCTCTGAAGACATCCACAGGTCGGGTTACTTCTTCCACAGCAAGGAAGATGTCATGGCCAGGGAGGAGAAGGTGCCCATCAGATGGATGGCTCCTGAGAGCATTGAGAGTGGCAGATACAGTGAAAAGACTGATGTGGTCAGCTCTTAATGTTCCTTTGATGACTAGCTTTTTCATTAGATATTGCGACATGCAATTTTACAGCAAATAGGAATTATCGCGGAAAAATTAACTTCGCAGATTGCTGGTTCCACAATTGCAAGTATTGCCACTCACAAATTAGTTTTCGCAAAGGAACCTTTCATGTCTGCCTAATGTATTCTGCCTGGATATTTTGCACCTCTCTGAGTACTAGCTCATGCGCATCCGTAAAAATCAGCTTTGGTTGCAAATGCCTGGCCATACAGGTAAAATTGTGTTTTATTTTAGTGGTCGTTTGGAGTGACATGCTGGGAAATATTCACATTTGGACGAGTCCCATACTCTGGTATCCGTGCCATGAGCATCCTGAGTATGCTTAGGGAAAGGGAGAGATTGGAGAGACCTACTAATAATGCCTGCTGTGACAAGATGTAAGAGAAACTAATAAAATGTAGTTTCACCCTTTTGAGAAAAAATTTTGCCAATTCTCTACATTAGCTATGACATCATGAGTGAGTGCTGGTCAGAGCAGTCTAGTGACAGGCCAAACTTCACCAGTCTCCTTGATACTTTTGATGATTTGCTAGAGAGAGAGTCAGGCTACATGAACCTCTGCTCTCCAACTACGCAACTGTCCGACGAAGGGGGGCAGTAGTTTATACAGATAATTTGAGACCACTTCCTTCACAATCCGCAATGTACCAAATGTTTTCGGTTGTGAAACTTCAGATATCCAGGTTTAGGACTTTAGGTCAACTGTCAATTATCAGTGACTGTATACCTATTGATTTTGTTTTGTACATAATTATGCTAGTGTGTTGTTTTGCACTCATTGTGCGCTGCAGATGGTTTGAGCGGATGGTTCATGTATAAGCCATTATGAGTAACTCATGAGCCTGAAATTTCAATTTTATTAATTATTGCCTCATAGAAGAATAGCATACACAATAGTGGCTCAGTTTAATAGCACTTCTCTTAGACTGCCTTATAAGGAAGTGTGCCACAAGAGTATGACAAGCACATGACAGTTTTCTATTGTCTAGTTCGCAACAAACACGAATATCACACAATACATGTGACTTGCAGTGTCATGTAGGTGAGATGGAGGCCTATGTGTGCATATGAACTAGAGAGGGGTTGTTGCATGGGGATTTTCAACGACAGTAGCTATCACTTCAAGTCTTGCCATTCCTTAGGACCTAGCTGTACTTGAGTAATTTAAACGCTGTTGCACTGGCACAGATAGAGTTACCCAGGTTATTTGGACTGAGGTATATATGCTGCAAGTCTCCAAACATTCACTTTTTAAGGAGGTTGCCCATGGTTCCTTTGTCTATGTGGGGTACATTATAATATAGAGTAAAAGTTAGCAAGTGACACTCTCGGAATTCCCTAGTTACCTGGTACAAATCTACCTGTCCAGGAGTGAGGTCAGGGTGTGAAACTGTCAATGGTTGATATAATTGAAATGGTCCCATATCTGTGTATCATACTCGTCCAGGGATTAGGTTAAGAGCGAGATACACAGATTAATAATCTAAAGTTGCTAACACAAAAATTCTTCGAAGAAATATAAAAAGCAAGGAGACAAGACAGGGATGACCTAGTGTATGTGACACAGTAGTACAATGGATGATGGCTAAATGATTGCATACTATTTCAAACTGAATAAACAGTCATGTTTTCAAAAAAAATTATATAGAGGGTTGTGTGGAGGAAAATTTACATATGAGCGGTAGCTACCAAGACACAAAGGTGTAGGAATGGGGTTAAAAGTGACTTGGTTCAGCTACGTATGTTTTTGCTTGCCTCACTCGACGTGCATCACTGTATAAATGGTATGATTAAACTCAACAAAACAACCTCAGATTTGCTGGGCCCTCCAACAATGAAATTGTTTAACTGATGTAGTTACCATGGTGAAATAAACATGTGTACGAATATCATAAGTCCACTAATGGTAGGGGCATTATCCCCCAAAATATCGCATTTTCCCACACCATGCATGTGCATAAAGGAAGGAAAGGAGACATCTAGACCCTGAACTGTATAAATAAGTCGTATCACTAGATTTCATTCACTCTGATGAAGGCTGAGGTATATACTGCAGCCGAAACGTCAGTTATGTATATATATTTTTTTATGGTTGGGATTTTGAAGAATCTTATTTTGAAGAAGGAGACAAAATAATGTATAACAAAGGGTGGTAAAAGGCAAAGAAACAGGACAGGGATTACCTAGTGCATGTGATGCAGTAGTATACATAATGGCTGATGGCTTCATATTTCAAACTTATATACATTACTTAAAATAATGTCTTTTGTCACGACATCACCTTTTCACTTTTATAATGAGGTACATCAACAATATCTTTTCTACACCATGCTCACATCCCCGCACTGCGGTTGACTATGTATTATGTATGGTCAGTACCAATTTACAACCCACCAGCCAGATAGCACAGTGAATTTTATCACTTTGAGAGCTTTGTTGGGTGGGTTTTCTTTCCCTGGATTGAGTATTTTAAAACGTTTTTTCACGTTTTGCGCTTTTATCACGTCGTGTCATTCACCTTGCAAACAAGCAAACACAACTGGTGTACTTTTATCAAGTATACAGCCTTATGTTAGACGCTTTGTTGTGTACATGTAGGTCCATTATAAATCAGGGCAAGCTTGCCCAAACGAGGCCGTGTCAGTAACAGAAGCAACTTTTATCCACACGTGTTGGGCCTATGTCTTCAGCACCTTGTTGCTGCAAGATGATCTTGATAACAAGAGAGCCAACATGAGAATAGAGTCCCAAGGAGACCCAGAGGAAATGGCAGTGGCAGCCCAGAGCAGGAAAGGGGGTGGTGGTCTCATGGAAGAATCTGATATGAGCGATAGGGAACCCTCACTTAGGGCTGACCAGATACAGATGGCATTACAACACCTATCATACTAGTATTTTTTGCTGATATGCTATATAGCCTATTACATTTTGGTATGGTGCATAATGAGGTACATATTATGTATATATAATATTAACATAATATACAGCAAACTACATGCATAGTTGACAGTACCATTCTGTTGCAGACTTAATGAGTGACACAGATCGTATTTTTCTGGATCTATGTATATAGCACCTTTTTTCGGGCTGCAGCTTATAATTATATATAGTATGCCAAGTTTATATACACTACCATTCTACATTGTTTCAAACAAAACCGCAGACTGCAAATCTGGTGTGATAATAAAAAACAAACAGTTCCAACTATAGAAATAATCTTACAAAACGGTGTGATATATATGTACTGTGGGTGTTGTTTAACAAGTGTGAAATTGACTGCTACCTCTCCAAATTCTCTTTCTTCTCTATCCCGCTTCTTTCTTTCCTCTTTCTCTGCTGCTGTCTCGAATCGGAATCTCTGCTCTTTAATCACTCTCACCTTTTCTTCCATCTCCTACACACAACCGCTGTATTTTTTTGGTTAACAGTAAGAAAACATCATACCTTCCTTAGTTGCTCCATTTTTATCTGCATCTTTTCAATTTCAGCGGATATCTCAGTTAAGGAAGTCAAGTTATGACACATCAATTGGTACTCCTGCCAGTAGCTGTAAAGATGTCGAAACACGGCTGTCTGTGCCTCACGAAACACATAAGGTCCAACATCTTTTTTGAGTATGGCATCAGCCATGTGTTGCGGTATGTCAATGTGAAGTTTAGGAGGGACAGAAGAGTTGAGATAGCATTCCTTCATCGCTTTCAGCTTGTCTGATAGAACGAGCTTGTTGGTGTGTGAATGGCACATTCCCTGCGTGCATGAGTATTTATGTGTGTATTAGTTCGCGACAGCAAAGCAATGATGACTGAGTTAAGCATTCACAATGATCTTGAGGCACTAGAGTTACAAGATGTGAATCATAACAACAATTCACCTTGTACCGCTGCACCTCCAGCCAGAACTCCACATCAGCCTTACAGTTGGTGTCTGATGTTCCACGGACAGATAGGAAGGAGAGGAACAGTTCTCGAGAAGACTCCTTCTGCAGAGCTTTGCACAGTAGAAGAGCTTCATGGGATTGAGCAAACCTGAGATCAGACTGAAATGCAAAACAGAAGACGTAATGACTCAAGTTAGCATCATACTAGACTTGTGACATACATTAACAGTCACCCTGTGCCTTCCTCTCCCTTCCTCCTCTTGTTCATCTCTCTCCGTAGCAAGTCCACTGCGAGCCTTATACTCTGGTGTGTCTAAGAACTCTGCCAGCCACTTTTTCTCTAACTTGGCTTGGACGTGTTTCTGGGCCTCTCTGAAAACAGGGGTCTTCGGTCTGGATGGCAGTCGATCACGACCTCCTGCTGCCACAATCTACCGTAACCAATATCAAAATATTACATACTAACTGGGAGACCATTAGGGAGACCACTGCCCCCACAGAAATTCACATTTGTAAGCAGTTAGTGCAGTGTATAAAATAGCTACTGGTTGTGACTCATTGTTTGGAAGCATGGACTTATGTAGTAGCCATTTAATTGCCATTGTTGTATATACTTAATAATAGATAGCTATATACAATACCTGTCTCTGAGCCTCTCTTCCAGCCGGACTCTTGGGCCCCAGTAGGTACTGTCTGGTAAAGTACTTCTCCCTCAATTGACGGGCTCGTAGGTCACGAAGATGGCGCTCCTTGGAAGGGATTCCCCGAAATGCCTCGATCTCCATCCAGCACATGAGATGTTGGGCAGCCTTTCGCTCATTCAGAAACATCTGAATATTTATGGTGGGCCTTAGTGAAATTCTATACACTGTGTGTATTAGGACAGGTAATCTTAAAGGTGTTACATATTGTGTGCGGGAAGGTACACAATGAGACAGACTCGTGCTGACCTTGAAGTGCTCCAATTCATTGGGATCACTGACAATGTCATTCAAACCCACAGCTCTTCTTGGGGATGGTGTCATTATTGATTGGGACGGTACAACAGTGTTGAGAGGTGAGGGGGAGTGGTTGGGGATATGGTAAGGGTGTGGGGAGTGGATGTGGGAGAGGTAAGGAGTGTCTTGTGGAGTTTTCTGACTAGTGAATGGCAACAGGTCATTTCTGACAGCCTCATCCACAGTGAACTGTGTGAATTGGGTATAAATATAGTAGGTAGTGAATGTAAGGCAAACTCTCTACCTCTTCTGTGAGTTCATCTAGAGAAACTGCTGATGGAGCCCTAATCCTTGATGCAGAGCCAACACGTGAGAAAGAAAATGTATCCATCTATTTGTTACAATAGGGTACAATAATTACTTAGGTAACTCGTAAGATACTCCCAACATACTTTCTGAAACTTAAGTTTCTCCTGAACTTTTACGATCTCCCATTGTTCCAGGAGGACATGTAGAATGTGATCCTCAACCTCATCAAACAGGTCATCATAAGGAGGGCAGAGACGGGATGAGACTTGGGCTGGGAGGGAAGGAGGAAGGGAGAGGGGAGACGGGCAGGACTCCACTAGATAGCGACCATTGAAAGCCTGTCAAGGAAATGAACAGGAACTGCATCTGACACATGACGGATTATTCTACCATTGCCTTGGCCTGAACTGTAGGAGGGTGGAACGAGGGACTAACAAAGAGTGACTTAAACTCCTGAACGTCTCTCCAAAATAGGAGGCAGTGAAGTGGTACCTGCAGTATATTAAAGACAAACACTACAATTATACACGTTCATTCTGCCTTTCTTTAATCGCAAACATTCATTTGTTAGTAATAGCCCACCCACGCTGACACTCACTTGGCTGCTGAGTGACTTGAGGTATTCCTCAAAGTATCCACCAGCATTCCTATACTCAGAGGCCAGACAGTGAACCATACGTGAGGTTGGGGAGGGGGTGTGATGGGTTGGAGGGACAAGTGGGGTTCCAGACACCGACAGGATGTGGAGTGGTGGTACTGAGGAGGTATGGGGTGTAACCTGTGAAGAGAACCAATAATTTAGTTACACTAATTGACAAATGAACGAAAATCTAGCATGGATTCTTTCCAGTAAAGCCAGCATTTACTAAAACTGTACATACGTACATCACAGAAATATATGTTACCGCTCTTGAAGGAGGGGGGTGAGGCAGATGCCGAGCTGTGTAGCCTGTAAGTTTGTGGTATCCGCTACTCCCGGTAGGGGGAATAGTGTCCTGTTGGAGGTTTGGAATGGGAGATGGTGTGTAGCTCTGTCTTAATGACTGCGGCAGCATCGAAATACTTCTGTGATTACTGCCATCCTTGTACTGTTTCACTGGTTCTAAACCTGTCCTTGATTTATTACTTAGTCTGGAATCACTAGCACCTCTTTTGTCAAGTAGGTACGGCAGACTTAAACATTTGGAACTTTCTCTTTGGAAGATAATGCTTGAATTCTTCAAGAGATTGCAATCTGTAATGCTTTCTTTTGTAGCCATTCTGTTACTGCTGCTCCCTCTTTCCACTGCTTCACTTACTTGTTGTGATGAAACACTGCCTGGCTCCATAATCTTTTTACCACCGTCCGTAGATACACAATCAGAGTCATGATGAACACAGAGATGTGATGTACTTGTACTACTTGAGTTTGGTCTAGTTATTCGCTGTACATACTCTCGTGAACTGATGCCACTCTTTCGTTGGTCTCTTCTTGTTACACGACAGAAAGTCGGTGTTTTCAAAGGCAGCAGTGGAGTCAGCACACGAGGGTAATTAACAGGGCAAGACTGATTAGAAACAGAGTGAATGAGGATTCCCAGGGACGTATGAGGTCGAATGTGTCCTTTAGAACTTTGCTTTTGAGAGTGATGCAAAAGGAACCTTGGGTACCTACAATACACATTCACATGTACACTGCAGCTATCTAAAGAAACACTGACCAGTAACATCTCAAGTTTTCGGCCAGCATTTCCTGAATTGCCTGGATATCATCAATCTTCCCCGGTTCCTTCCCCGCTAGGCTCAGTCTGAACTTGGTGTCAGCAGGTAGCTCCAGTGGTCCGCCAGGTGTAAGATATCTCTGTCGCAGACCTCTCACCATGCTATTAATAACCAGCAGTTTGTGTAAAGAGAGTATGTACAACTAAGATGCAACGCCCTTGTCCATAGTCAAACATACTTGGTCTGTTCCTGTGGTGATGTACAGTACTTGATTCTCTCAGCATCAAGCCAGAAGAGCCAGTTCTTTTCCCCAACCGTACCTTGGAGAAACTTCCAGAATAAACTCATTTCCCTTTTTGAAGATAGGTGAGCAACCCCAGGTGTTGGCAGAGGACCTGCATTAATACACCTGAATCACACCTACAAAAAAGAGGGTAATATACCTGCAACTGATTGACTTCTTTTCTTGCTTTGTTATTAACTCCATTCCATACACCAGTCCACAATCCTTCAGCTTCGTAGCAAGTGCTTGTCAGTGTCTTGCACAGTTTGAACTCTGAGAAGATGTCACTTTTAGTAAAGAGTGGAAGTCGATTGTCCAGGATCCACTGCCAACACTGCTCCTTGTCAATAGTCTGTAATAAATGAGGCTTGCAATACTTATGTAGCTAGTATTCAGACAAATTCAGAACTCACATCTCCAATGCAGTCATCAGTCAGGAACATAGTGCTCATACTAGTAGCACTGAAAACCTCTGATACATCTCCTCTCCACCCTGTTCTCTCTGCCACTACACATCCACTGTTTGGCAAGACTTTCTCAAAATGTCGGGTTTCTTCATTGTAAATGATCTTACTAGGGAATATCTGGATGCAAAGAAGGTGCAGCTGAGTTAGCTAAAAGAAACTTCCATCCAAAACAGTGTGCATGGTCACATACAAGCTTGCACATGGAGTAAACAAGCCATGATCAGAACCGTTGTAATATCAAACGGGCAAAGATACCGCTACAAATTGAAGGGGTCAGAGCCAGAGTGAGCCAACGCTGGTTTTCCTTCAATATGTTCTAAGTAATAGTTAATGTACGGAAGTCAGTGCTGTGCGCGTAATTATGGTACGAGGGGCGTGGTCGAGATAGTCATACAGCACGAGGCGCAGCCGAGTAGCTTTATGATCTATCGAGACCACGTTCCGAGTAGCAATTATCACGCACACAGCATGTGCTTCCGTACATGCGTGGGCGATTCAAAAGGCGGTGACCAGGAAAACCGGCGAACGGAAGAGAGGACGAGAAGCTCGCGGAGCGCCCTTCCAACAGCGGTTTGTGTCACCGTCTGAGTCGAACTCCGTCTACGAAAGGCCTCCGAGGGCGTCATTCCTGCAAAGCGTACGCTAGTCCGCAGATATAGTTCAAAAGGCGGCGGCCAGGAAAATCGGTTTTTTTGCAAGTTCAGAACGAAAGTGAGAACTAGAAGCTCGCGGAGCGCCCTTCCAGTAGCTGTTTGTGTCACCGTCTGAGTCGAACTCCGTCTACGAAAGGCCGCCGAGGGCGTCATTCCCGCAAAGCGTACGCTAGTCCGCGGATATAGTACAGTTCCGCGCGATATAGTACAGTTCATTCAAAAATTGTTCTGTATGATGAATATAGTACTGGCGGCGCCTTTGAATCGCCCACGCAAAATACAATAAATGTCCTTATAGAACAAAACCTGGCAAGAGTTGTATATTGAGGGTTGGCTCACTCTGGCTCTGACCCCTTCAATTAAGCTTCTAGTTCATAAATGCTCCTGTAGCAAACGCTAGGAATGCTGCTCGTGCTCATGTTATAGGCTTCTCTAGCTCTATATACATACAACTTGTGAATAACATTGCGGCTCTTACTATATAGGCTAGCATTAGTAGAGCTATTATTATTATGGACGACCTGGTACAAGAACAAGATGAAAAGCAGTAAAGTGTAAACCCTCGGCTAACTGCGCATGCGCAATACTGCTAATTGATGGGCTGGGCCAGCTATTTGTATGCGTTTACTCGTGGTCTTCTGCTAGTAGCCCACGAGAGAGTCAGACACGGGCTAGCTACAGTAGTAGATAGCATGCGGGAGTCGATACATGCCATTCGTTGTGACTGCATGAGCAAGGTACACAGAGCGAGCAGATCAGGTCGCGGTAAGCCCTGTGCGATTTGGCTTTTTCGCTTGTTTTCAGTGCATATCTCTCGAACTAAGTCGTTTCAGGAAAATCGCCTAATAATTTTTCAGGCTCCCATAGTTTGGAACCCGCTCGTATCGCTAATGGGCCGCCTCGTAGCCTGTAGTGCCAGAATAAGCGTCGACACACAGACAGACAGATAGAACGACTACCGTAACCCTCACTGTGCATGCGCACCGAGGGTTAATAAGTGATCACGTCATACACTATCAACAAGTATGGTAATACTTAGTATATGGGGATGACACATGTCACCCTGCATTGTATCCATACATTTTAGATTTGTACGTTTCACAATCAGACCCCACTTCTGACATATCAGTCTCATCCGTTGATCTATTCAAGAAAGTAAGTTTTGTTGTCATTGTTGTTGCTGTTGTTGTTCAGTTTCAACAAGTGTATCTCAAACACCAGATAAAGAGTTGAAAGTTTTCACAGAGATTGGAATCCGTTACAGGTCGTCCAAGGGCATATAACAACAATCCAGGCCATACACCATGATAGAGCCAAGTGTGCTAATACCCAAGAGTGATAAAACTTTGTACACATATGCAACCCACCATTAATATCATAATGTAAACATTACACAACAACAAACAGCTTCATGCAGGCAATAAAAACTAGTACATAAAATGTGCTTGAGCTATAACTTGCTTGTGGTGGGTCCTCTCACAATTTAACTTGGTACCATCATAAGAGTTCATCAAAACAGAAATTACAAGTTTGTAAACAACAACAAACAGCCTCAGGCAAAACAACTTGCAAATGGTGTTTGTGCCTATAACAATGAAACCTGATACATGTGAATGACGACAAACCGTCTGAGGCAATAGCTTAAAGTATGGGCATTATGCCCCAAAAAAAGAAGGGACAAGTAAATCTGATGCAGTAGTACAATGGATGATGGCTACATAATTATTTTGAACTGACATCGCTAGCTCGTGTAAAGTTCCCTCCACACAAGTATGTGTGTGCTCCCTTGTATGAGACGCAGAGCTACAAAGATTGTTTGATAGGGAATGTTCTATCCTTGGTTACAAGTTGTGACTGCAATGTGTGAAGTGTAAGACTTCCACATTTGCTCAACTAACCACTTGTACAACGCTGCGTTCTTGGCCCTGTACAGAATCATTCACCCTTGTCCTTGTACTTTTACACCTCATGTCAGTTAGTAAAGGTGGTGACAATAATATAGGGTTTGTGTGGAGGAAACTTTACACGAGCGAGTAATGTCAGTTCGAGCCTTCATTCATTGTACTACTGCATCACATACACTAGGTCATCCCTGTCTTGTCTCCTTGCTTTCTCTACCTTCCCTATATTCGCCATTTTCTAATCAAGCAAATTTATTTACTTGTCAGAACTACAAATAAACACAGATGTTAAAACTGTGGTTCTGGTCTATGTTTGTGATAAGAAGAAGTTAGTGTATACAGTGGAACCTCTTAATAAGGGACACCTTTGTACACAAGCCGCTGTCCCTTATTCGGAGGTTGTCCCATTGGAGGGTTCATGTCAAAACTGTCATTAAGTTTTATGCACTTTTACAGCATCAATGGTGCATTATATTGTGATCCTGAATGCTCTGTTTATGTAGTTCTCCTACTACAGGAGTCCAAATTACTTGATAAACATGATATCCTCTGATAAAGGAGTCAAACTGTGCTATAGAAAGAAGCGAAGGCGAATGAACTGGTTGAGATGCTATTGATTTTAGTCTCGCAGCAGACTCTTTGCTAGTTGTGAATTCACGCTCGTTCGGACGTGGGCGGGGCTGGCACATATCTAAGGTAAGTGTGCACTAGTTAGAGTGTCCGTTATAAAGAGGTGTTAGCGAGTGCTTCAGGTACAGTGGGTCCCGGTTAATATCATACCCGCGGTGCATAAAAAAAATATGATAATATGCGGGATATTCTATAATGCGGGAGTGTATACTGTGTATACTCCGGGTGTGTATACTGTGTATATTGTGAACTAGATAGCGCACAATGCAGTTTGTTTAGCTAAGCTAATGAAGCCAGGTGGAGAATGGAGAGTTGCAAAACTCCAGCGAAGGTTGTAGAATGCCTAATTACGCATGCGCAATAATGACAATATGCGGGCAAAAACCAAAATTGCTCAATTTTTCTATGATAATAGGCGGGATATGACATCATCCGTATTGTATGTATTCTATAAAACGGAGTGAAATGTATGGGAAAGCATAGGAAATGGTTTTGGATTTCAGGTTTGTATGATTATAAACGGGATATTCTATTAAACGGTATGATATTAAGTGGGATCCACTGTACTGGTAAAGTGTCCATTATTCGGAGGTGTCCGCTATTCTGAGGTTTTTAAAGTACAGTATCTATGGGAAAGCAGTTGGTACATAGCGCACTGTCCGTTATACAGTAGGTGTCCGCTATTCGGAGTTTCCGCTAAAAAGAGGTTCCACTGTAGTTAGTGATAGTTATTCCTTTGCACCATCAATTTGGAGTGGTGAGCTACATATCTTAAATGCTGGCGTAGTGAGACTGAAACAACCCAAAAAGCAGAGAAAAGACGTACAACATGAACATGTTGTGACTTTACTAACATGCTGCCTTATCGAACAGGCTACTAACTGCCTGAGCAAAAACTGTTGCAACATTTTCTGTTGGATATCCACAGCCATCAGATAATATGAGGGTGCCGATAATCAATGTTTTAGTCTAGCTACATAGGGTATATGTGGTTGTATGAGATACACCTATAGTTAAATCCACTGTCAGAGCTAAAAAAGTACTTTTTTAGTTAACACACATCTATCTGCACTTAACTTTTATAGGACTGTACAATAATTGTGCCTGACAAAAATGTTATTTCAGTGGGTAGTATAGGGGATGGCGCAAATGTTTTACTTGAAAACTGTGTTTAAAAAATATCTGAATCTGTGCATAGTGTTTTTGCCAAACTCGATGTGTTACCATCATCCATGGCATTATAATATACAATTCTATTGGGACAAGGGTCAGTCGCGTTTCTTGTTTTTGCCGACTGATTTGTCTGATACGCACGCGTGTATACCCTACCGTACCTGCATGATCTGATCATTAACCCTTAGCCAGACACAGGCATGCTCATAGCCTCCATAAGTCCATAGGAATTTGTACATGGCTATAAGACTAGGCATGTTAAATCAATTTCCGCTTATTTAAAGAGGTACCCATGGCTTCCAAAGGGTTAATGCAATGGTACTTACCGGCAGTAATAGAAACGAGTTGAAGTATTCCACAAACGTGTTATCTTCCAAGTATAAATGCTGTGGAGTAGGATTATGCTTCGATCTTACACAGAGCATAATTAGCTACGAGCCTGTCCAACTTACAAGGGTACTATCAGTCAAATCGTCACCACGAGGAACCGTTCCCTGCATGACCTTCCCGATCGACGGCGACGTAGCGTGGAGCAGGGCCCAAGGACTACAGGCTTAGCTTGTACTAATCTTGCGTTGCTAGGCAACATCTACCCTGCAGTGTAAAGGTCAAGGAGGAGCATACGGTGGGCGGGGCTGAACTGCAGGGCGAGCGATGGGAAACGCTGGCGGATTTTCATCAGCTGGCCCATCCACTCCTGCAGAAGGATCTACACACAATGTAACTCACGGAGATGGTGACGGCCACAGAGCTTTCAGGCATCGTGAAATGAACAAAGGGCAGCTTCAAGAAATGTCAAGAAATTTGGACGGTGGGTCTGGCACCTGGCCAGATTTTGTAGTACTGTAGGATGCTTTTAGTAAAACTGTCGCATCCACAGTTTCAAAGACAGAGATTCAACTTTTGTGGCAGAGGTTTCTAGTGTTGGGCCCAGGAGAGGATGGTGCCCTTGACAGAGCGGTATTTCAGAGGTCCCCTTATGATGAGGACATCTTCTGCAGACAGGTCTTGCACCCCTATGGATCTTAGCCTAAGGGGTTCTGTCCAAGTGTAATAGCTTAGATCCACTACCCTACAGTATACACATTATCTGGATTTGTCAGCCAGTGCATCTACTCCATTGGTGGTTAAAACGATGTTTGTGAGCAAAAGATAAGTTGGGTAGTACTTAGTATAGATCTACGTGGATAGGGATAACAAGGTTTGCATGCATTGTGTTGCATGCATGCACGCAAAGGGTTATATGATTGGCCTATATGTCTGTCATCGTCAGCACTATGGGTAAACCCTAATAAAATGGCAATAAAATTGGCGTTCAATTTACCAATCTTTGGATCTTTTGCCCACGCCTATCAATCACCGTGCAAACTACTGCGCTTCCTGTGCAATATGGTCAAATCAAATGACACTCCCAGCACAAACACCTCCATTTAAATAAAGGGAAATAATAATTATTGAGCATAGGTGACATTTCATCCTAAGCGACTTCCAAAAATAAAAGGGGGTGTGGCCATTGATCTTTTGGCTGATAACAGCCATGTCCCCTTTTTCCAAGGACATGGTGCTTGTGTGTGCCATGGCTTTCCCTCTTAGTACCCACTTGGCTACATAAATGCAATGACATTGTATTGTTACAAGGAGATTAGCAGTAAAAACAGGCTAGACTTTTACTGCTAGTGCCATTGCATTCCTTATACAAGTGGCAGGCAGAGTCAAAAGTCAGTAGATAACCATGAAACTTATGACACGTTGCTGTGGCTGCAGCTGCATGTCATTACTTACATTAAGACCTGTGTCCGGGAGGTAAACAAATATTATACTATGCCTTGGCCACGAGCAGATATGGAGAAGGTTTTCGGGAAGCAAAGGTGCCCCAAACAAGATATCCTTTGAGAGCTTTGCCAAGTCTATGATCTGGTGGCAGAAGGCACCCGTCAACTACAAACTAGAGTGTCAGTTCAGTGAGAGTACATTCACCAGCATCACCACATGGATGTTTTCTTTTCAGTAATGTTCTCTTGGATGAGTGATGTAGATGGTATAACTCCACATGTTCTCTCAAGAATTTTAAAGCATGTTCTTCCAAGTTATTCGGAGGTAAATAACCATCCTGTGTAGCTTTCATGTAACTACATAAACCACGGCCTTGTATTGCAGAACGAATTGCAAATCATTGCAGACAAAATGATAAAAGCAATCAGTCCCTCAGCAGGTGAATAACTGAACTCTAGTTGGAACTCTTGGCTCTTATATTCTAAGCCTGTCATTGCTCACCACTCAGATCCTCCAGTGGTGAAGCAGGAGGAGTTTCGGCAATGGATGGACTTGTTGCCTGAAGAGGCACTGACAGATGCACTTAGGTTCAGGATACTACACATTGATGCTGACACAAGATCATGATTTATTATACAAAATGTCAAACTATGATACTTGTTCATTCAAACTGAAACACATAGCTAGTCTAGAGTGTGAATCCAATTTGTTTAGAGAGATGACTGTGGTGTGGTAAATCTGCTGACTCTGAAGGGGTGGAGGTCGTGAGAGGGTGTGTCCTTGCTGATCAGCTCAGCTACAAGCTTCCCCACAACTGGACTGAGTTTAAACCCGTGACCTAAGTAATTGAGCTCTTTTAACACATTAAAGTGCCCAGAGCCTCCATAAGTCTGTAAGAATTTATATGGATGGGGGTTATAATACTAGTACTTTATACTATCATTTTCTGCTTATTTAAGCAGATACCAATGGCGTCCAAAGGGAAGTGTAAGCGTTTAAGCTCAAGTTATGCAAATCCGGGATCCCTTCCATGGTTATAAAATAAGCATAGCTACTGGAAAAAGTGTCAATCATCACCTGTAAATCCTGCAGCAATTACAATGTTTTTATGTTTTGGATGCCTATCAATGACAGGATCATAATCTGGAGATGCCTGTAGTAATTATAATTATCACATGCTCGTAACAATTATCATAAGCCTACATCACTTACTGTGTACATGCAATAATCAATGATGCTAGGTTTGCAGGCAACTCCTCTGAATGTAGAACTAATGAAGTCAGCTACTGCAGGAACAGTCACAGGGCCACTTTCAGTGTCTCTGTTGTTGGCATCAGTCCATATACCACCGGCACTACTAATCTGATGAAAGGTAGACAATACCACATTGGAGAGTTTAGTGAGTTTGAACCCCTCCCAGGGCAGCTCTTCTTTTTTCCTTGAAAAAAAGAGTTGTCCTGGGGACAGTTAACTCGTTTGCTTTTGCTTTGCTCTTACCTCGTTAACATGCTAATCAGCTTTATTCAGTATAATTATTACTACTAACAATGAAAAGCACTAAAGTGCAAACCCTCGGCGAACTGCGCATGCGCGATACTGCAAAATTGATGGGCTGGGCCGGCTATTTGTATGCGTTTACTCGTGGTCTTCCGCTAGTAGCCCGCGGAGAGTCAGACACGGGCTAGCTACAGTAGTAGATAGCATGCGGGAGTTGATACATGCCATTCGTTGTGACTTCCTGAGCCCCCAAGGTACACAGAGCGAGCGGATCAGGTCACGGTAAGCCATTGCGATTTGGCTTTTTCGCTTGTTTTCACGGCATATCTCTCGAACGAAGTCATTTCAGGAAAATCGCCTAATAATTTTTCAGGCTCCCTTAGTTCTGAATCCGCTCCGCTGGTATCGCTAATGGGCCGCCTCGTAGCCTGTAGTGCCAGAATAAGCGTCGACACACAGACAGACAGACAGACAGACAAACCAACTACCGTAACCCTCGCTGCGCCTGCGCGCCGAGGGTTAATGAAAAGCACTAAAGTGCAAACCCTCGGCGAACTGTGCATATGCGGTACTGTTCATTGATAGGCTGGGCTATATAGTATGTGTTTACTCGTGGTCTTCACGCTAGTAGCACGCGGAGAGTCTGACATGGGCAAGCTACACTAGTAGATAGCATGCGGGAGTCGATACACACCATTAGTTGTGACTTCTTGAGCCTCCAAAGTACACAGAGCGAGCAGATTAGGTCGCAGTAAGCTCACTGCGATTATGCATATTGGCTTTTTCGCTTGTTTTCACAGCATATCTCTCGAATGCAGTCGTTCCAGCAAAATCGCCTAATTAATTTTCAGGCTTGCATAGTTATGAAGACGTTGGTATCGCTCACGGGCCGCCTCGTAGCCTGTAGTGCAGACCGTAACCCTCGCTGCGCATGTGTGCCGAGGGTTAATTTTTTTAAATACATTACCCTCAGCGCACTAAAAATGCACATGCATGCTTGGTACCACTAATTAATTGGCTGGGCTATTTTGCTGTATTATCTTGGCAGCTCACTGGGCCAACAACACTACTATAGATAGCATGCTGGATTCGATACTCGCCCTACAACTTCTGCTGCCTCCAGGGTACGCGGAGCAAGCGGTTCAGGTCAAAGGAGATAAGCCTGTGTGAATTTGAATATTGGCATTTGCAGTATATACTTCTAAAATCAAGCCAGTGTAGCGCTGAAACTTTGGCATAACTCTTTTGACAGACAGACAAACACACATGTACTAAGCACCTGTGCATGCGTGCCGAGGGTTAAATATATTATACCTTAACCATGTTGGGGTACTCGTCAACTGGAATACTATAGAAGGTATCTCCATGTGCAATTCCAAAGGTAGTTGGAAAAATATCTGATGAATAAGCATCAGCATTATCCACTTTCCAATATATACTCTCAACACGTTTCACCTAAAATATTTGCAAAAACATTCACAGTTAGCAACAGAGTGGAATGCCATTTGAAGCTAGAAAGCACTGTTCTGTTCTTACACCAAAAATATAATAGAGGTAATCATGTCTGAAAGTGAGTCTTACTTTGAAAGGTAAGTCAACTCCAATGGAGGAGCAGAGAGCTGGAGCCCACGGTCCAGCAGCAATCACCACATTGTTGGCCTTGAAGGAGCCTCTGTTGGTTACCACGGTGACTCTGTCTCCAGGAATTATCTCAGTCACTTGGTGGTTGTCTAGTATTGTCCCTCCCAGTTTGACAAATTCTTGCTGTAATGATGAATGATGAACAGGATGAAAAACCTGAAGTGCAAAACCCTCCGCGAACAAATTGATGGGCTGGGCTATGAGTATGCGTTTATCGTGGTCTCCACGCTAGTTAGTCGCAGAGAGTCTGGCACGGGCTAGCTACACTAGTAGATACCATGCAGGGGTCGACTCACATGGTCTTCGTTGTATTTCTTGTGCCTCCAAGGTACACAGAACGAGCGGATCAGGCCGAGGTAAGCCAGCGTGATTATGCATACTTGATCTTTTGCTTGTTTTCACGGCATATTTCTTGAACGCAGTCGTTTAATTTTTCAGGTTTGCGTAGTTCTGAAGCCATTGCTATTGGTGCCGCCTTGTGGCCTGCAGTGCCAGAATAAGCATTGACACACACACAGACAGCCAAACCGTGTACTGTAACTATAGGCTTTGGCAACATAATTTTAGGGGTGTATGAGTATTGAGAATTATGTTCTTCACTTTTTTGCCAGTCGTAAAGAGACTTTTTGTAATCACTTTTTTGCACAGTCATAAGCACACTTCATTGAGAAAAATGGGCACATTCGAAAGAAAAAAGGTGAAAAGAAAAATAGGCCAAAATTTGAGCATATCTGCCAAGGCCTAACTGTAACCCTCGCTGCGCATGCGCGCCGAGTGTTAACAAAGACATACAGTACAATGATTGTCTATTACTCTTACCACACTATGGAGTGCATTGACTTTATTACACCACAGCATAGCATTCCTACAGCTAAAGTCTATTACACTTCACATGAGCCCTCGAAAATTTACATAACTTTGCATCCAATCCATAAAGTAACATTAATGTGAAAAGTTTGCTTCATGACCAATTCCACATTAAGTAACGTACCACCGTATAATACTTGTATAAACAGTTTACTAGTATATATACATATATACCTGGAAGGCCAGCAGAGATCTACTGGCATACAATATCCCTCCCATCTCCTCATAGATACATTTGTGGGTAGAAGGAATTTTCAGCTGCCGTGGGTATCGTTGGTTTGCCTCTAGGCCACTGAAAGTCTGGTGAGGTATGCCATTCAATCTAAGACTCTCTAAATTAGATATGATGTACTCCTCTGTGTCTTTACCAAACACAAGATACCCTGTGTTCCTGCAGTAAAGGGTCATGATAATCAGAGGTGCAAAAACAAGGAGAATGTGTATCCTGAACACACTTAGCTAGGTGGGACTCGAACCCACAGCACTTGGCTCTGCTAACAGGGCAGCTCAGTGATTTTGTGTGCTACAACCAAGGCAGAGGCTAACCCCAAACTATGTGCTATGGTATATACAAAAGCAGCTGTATAGAAAAGAGTATTTGAACCACCTATGAGGCACAAGTGTAAATTAGGCAGATGCATTTATTACGACGGGTGGGGGTTCAGGAGGCAAGGCAAACGTAGGACAACACAACAACCCCCCAGAATAATGTTGTAGCTACAGAGTGCTGTAATACTGTAATACTGTACTACTGTACTACTGGGGCAGCTCAGCAGGCACAGCCGTCTACAATAACACAACACACAAAAATGAGATGTGGGTGAACAGGATGCTGGCCCAGACAATGCATAATGTCTTCTACACTACTTATCCTCCTATCCATTCTGATAACAAAGTAACTACTGTTTGCTACAAATCAAAATGCTGCTACTTGAAAAGAGTAACTCCTGCACGTCTCTCGAGGTCACTCCACTGCTGAAAAGCATCAGTCATCATCTTAACATAGAATGGCTTTTTGTAAGCCATCCTGGTGATACGGGTGTGTCCATGGGAGCTACCTCGAGAGTGGTTTCTTTCAAACTGAAACGGTAAAACAATGACAAACCATGTGAAACATCCTATACCTGTTCCAGTAAAAGCACATCTTCTATTCCACATCTTGCGACGTAGTAAGAAGTGCTGCTGCCTTGAATCCCACCACCTACTACCACCGTGTCGTAATAAACAGCCATCGCGCCCACACATGACACACCTTCCAGTGATATGCGACCACTTGCGTTTGTGACCTACACTTTTTCTGCCTGCAGTTAATAGCCGCCCTGTGCCCAGTAGCCAAAACTCGTAATGTTCCAGTATGGCTGGGACCCAACCCGCTTTTCTTGTAGGCCAGGATGCGTTGTAAGTCAGACTTCCTGCTTTTTGCGCACGCTCTGGGAAGCGTTCGTGTAAACGTTTTGGCAAACGTTCGTTGAAGCGTTTCTGTATCGATGGCTTCCTTAGCGCACGCTCAGGGAAGGTTCGTGTAAACGTTTTGGCAAACGTATAAACGTTTAGCTAATCGGTTGATGTGTAAATGGAAGAGAGAAATTCGATGGCTTCCTTAGCCTTCTCCACCTTTGAAGGAGAGAGCGAAGGACGATCGTCCTCTCTCCATCGGCATTCATTTTGCTTGGCCAGGAGGAAGTATATTGCGCATGCGTTTGTAATGTCGCGAACGATTGGCTAAACGTTTACAGAAACGTTCGCGAAAACGTTTCCCGGAGCGTGTCAACGAACGTTTAACGAGTGCGCAAAAAGCAGGCGGAGTTTTGTCGGGTTTGGTCCACTATAGCTGCGAGAGGACCGTCGCCTCTCGACGTATTGTACGGAGAGGCGAACGTTGCGCCTAGTTCGTTCATGCTGAAAAGATGTATGAGTGTATCGTCATAGGGGCAGGAATAGAGGGTAGTGCGACTGCCTACAATCTTGCAAAGGGAGGAACAAAGGGAGTCTTGCTATTGGAGCAAGTGAGGACCCTTTTTTAACTACGCGTACCGTGTGGGTATAACACAATTATAATAAACCATACGGTTAGTTGCACCTTATGGTCATTAGCTGGTTCACCTCTCATAAATACTATTGCTGGAAAGATTTTCAATCAGAAGAAGGTAGTTGAGGGCCTACATGTTGAACTACATGGTCTGCGCTACTCTGGACACTTCTACAGCTAACGTGTTAGCTCTGCTTATGAGAGATAAGAAAATGTCAAGACCCCAAACGTTTCCGGCCTTGGTTTGTTAGGCACAATTTTGTGGATAGGCAAAATCTCGCCAGTCAAAGGCGAATAGCATGAAGCATACTGGGGACCAGATCTTGCATGGCTTTCAAGAATGGCAATGAAACTTCATGCATTTGAGTGCACTTTGAAGGAACCTCAAGGATAATGACACCTTAATTTGACTCAGTTCAATAATTATTATACATCAAAACCTGAACCATAGTCAAGTACAACACAAACGTGCCTATCTGTTCATAATTACACACGGACTTCTTTTCGTTCACAGTACGAAGCCTGTCACAATCGAGGTAGTTCTTGTGGACAGTCTCGCATTACCAGAAGGGCTTATGAAACTCTGTTCTATGTTGAGATGATGACTGATGCCTATAAGATGTGGAGTGACCTTGAAAAAGAGGCTGGCACAACACTTTACAAGTAGGTACAACTGATAGTAATGTAAATGCGTACAAGCTCTATATAGTACGGAGAGCACATAAGTTCTCTTATGCTTTGTGTCACTGAAAATACCAAGTACTGTACTGGTGATAGCCATAGTGAAAGACGAGAGTTTGGAAAGTTAGTTTGTGTCCATGTTTGAATTCGGAGGTATTATCTAGATAATATGGGTCGTTACCTCACTATTTTCCTTTGCTTCTACAAAAAAGCAAACAAGGGCAGGGTTTAGCAATCAGGATTACGACAACTCACAGCAACGATGTATGCTTTATGCACGCACTGCTTATCCCTGACAACCTACTGTCTTCATGGACGATAATTTGCACCTTTTGGTTGGTTAAAACCTTTTATATCTATTTTAAACCTTGCTTTGTTTTCATTAAATAGGCGTACTGGTGTAATGGTGTTTGGAGGAAACGGGGATCCTTATGTCCAACAGACAATAAAGAGTATGAAAATTGCTAACATACCGCATGATGTGCTCAGTGGTGCAGAGATTAACAGAAGATTTCCAAAACAAATGAAAATCCCTGATGATTACATGTGTGTGATTGAAGAAGATGCTGGGATTCTCTATGCTCAAAAGGCACTACGAGCAATGCAGGTTAATAAATTGTATTATTTACACCACTTTTTGCCGCCTCTGTGCGTTCACACTGCTTACAATGCAATAATGTACCTTTACAAAGTATTTGCTTCATTATCGCTTTATTGCTGCATTTACATAGTTCTGGACCATGATGGGTTTTGCACTTTATATAGCTAGTACTTTTCATTTACTTAGGAACAGTTTCAGAAAATGGGAGGGACACTGCTGGATAGGCACGAAGTGACAGAAATAGTTCCAGGAGACATTGTCACCGTGGTAACCAACAGAGGTCTTTTCAAGGCCAACTATGTGGTGATTGCTGCTGGACCGTGGGCCCCAGCTCTCTGCTCCTCCATTGGCGTGCACCTCCCTTTTAAGGTTCCTTATTATAGTATATACCTATGTTGCATTCATGCAATTTAATCGACAAGGTTAGTCGCATTGAGGTTGGATACTGGAGGGTTGAGGATCCTACCCTCTTTGATTCTAGTACATTCCCAACATTTCTATATGCTGATGGAGAAGGCCACTTTCGCTATTATGGCCTCCCAATTGAGGAATACCCAGGATTGCTCAAGGTGTTCTTTCTCCTATCCTCTTGCTGAAGAATCTCATCAGCTTTTATTGTGTGTATAGGTATGTGCTCATTTTGGACCAAATGTTGACCCAGACAATCGAGATGCTGTTGGGGGTCCTGTAACCTCATCAATGACTTCAAAGTTTATAAATGGAACTTTCAGAGGAGTGCAGAAAAAGCCGAGTATCACAGAATTCTGTATGTACACAGTAAGTCATCCAAGTACTAATTCTCTTCTTGTTACTCACCCCTCTGGGCCAAGGTATCACCAGATGATGCCCCAGTTATTGACAAACATCCTCAACATGACAATATCATCATAGCCGCAGGATTCTCAGGTATGGCTATACACAGATAATAATTACATGATGTATTATGCTACATATAGTGTACTTAAACGGAATGTGGACTGAACTAAACAATAACATGGTCCAGTGCAGGAATGTAATTATGCTTCCGTTTATGTATCTGCTCTGAAGATGGTCTTCTAGTTATGAGGAATTGTTGGATTTGTTCAAAATCCCAACATTGGCCAGCCACCGAGAGTACCAAAGGGTGTCTACATTACATCAATTTCAAACTCACCATTCTTACCTTCCTCCTGACATTATAACCTTACAACCATCTGCTTCAACCCGTTGAAGTGCACCAAGCGCTCTGCCAGTTTGTTGCTCTCGAACGCAGTCGTTCAGCAAAATCGCCATTTTACTTTTCTAGCCCATGTACCGCTAAAGCTATTGGTATCGCTCATAAGCCGCCTCGTTGCCTTTAGTGCGAGAATAGTCGAGAGACTCGACTACAGTAACCCTCGCTGCGCATGCGCGCCAAGGGTTAATAAGCCGGTGCACATTATACATGCAGAATTTTTTTTTTATAAGTAGCAGTTTCTAAATTTAGACATTAAACTGCTTTGAGGAAGGGTTTATAGAGCAACCAATGATAATGCTCTATTATTATATTATACCACTGTTGCTGTACTCACACTCCTCCACAGGTCATGGGTTCAAACTAAGCCCTGTGTTTGGGAAGCTGCTGTCTCAGTTGGTGATGAAGAAGACACCCTCTCATGATCTCCACCCTTTTAGATTATCACGATTCTTATCCACATTTATGTCTAAACTATAACACTGCATTTATGCATAATTTTTGCAAGCAGGAGGTGCTGCGCATGCGTGCGCTAGCCGTTTAGCTATAAAAACGGTGCGGCAGCACGCTAATTGCTAGTCAATCGTGGTATGCACTCCATCATGACCCTTCTCCCAGTGTTGTGTGCCTTCTTGCACTTGCCGCTTTTGATTGGTAAGCATAATGAAGATGCTTTATGCAACCAACTTTTATGCAAAACTATCACAAGGCGGCCAATCGCAAGTACGACTGGTAGACGGATCCAGCAACTACTCAGGAAGAGTGGAGGTTCTTTATGACGGCCAGTGGGGGACCATCTGTGGGGAGTTCTGGGACCTGTTTGACGCCATGGTAGTCTGCAGGCAGTTGGGGATTTACTCCACAAGTACGTACGCGAAACGGTATTGGCGGAGTTTTCCGCGCTCAACGGCAAGGGGTGCATGTAGATAGCGAGGCAACATACCTGCAAAATACTTTCATACTATGCTGTTGCAGGCATTGCTGTTTATTCTGATGCACACTATGGCCAAGGGTCTGGAGAAACTTTGCTTCATCCCCACTGCAATGGAGGAGAGTCAGACCTGTTTGATTGCCACGTTATTCTTTTCCCAGACTGTACACATGACTTGGATGCGGCAGTGGATTGCACTCCACGTACGTTACACTTAGTCAGTGTATAGCAAAAACCCTGTGTCGTGCTATATTATGATTGTATGCAAGGCTGCTGTGGATGAATAATGGGAGACATTTGTGCATTATTAGTGTTTTTTTTTCTGCAACAGATGGTGAAGCCTATCTGGATATTCGACTAGTTGGAGGCACTGCTCACTACATGGGTGTGATAGAAGTGTTGTATGACTGTTGATAGTGGAGTATGGGGTACTGTGTGCAATACCACATGGAGCTTCAGTGATGCTGAAGTTGCCTGTAAATCACTGGGATATACTGATGGTGAGATTACGTTCCAGCTGTAAAGAGGGCAGGGTCTACCACTATTTTTACACTCTCAAGTGTGCATAGTTATGTATGCTTGGTGTCTGGGCTTGAATTATTACTAGAAAGCTTTCATTGCTTACAATACTGCATGTGGTATTATATTATACATGCTGGAACTTCAAAAACGGGCATCAGATGCAATATTATACTATAATGCTACTCGCCCATCCCTTGCATGCCTGATACATACTTGCAAGTTAAGGAATTCATTTATGCATTAAAGACAAACTATTCCATAGTCCTCCGTAGAGCACAATACATTACTTCTTTTAGATAATTATTTGGACCCACAATTCTCATTTCAGTTTCAGTAGGAAGCAAACCTGTAGACTCCAACTATAAAATATTAAAACAAGGGCCCACTGATGCTCCTACCAATACGTTCTGTTAACAAATCAAACACAGATAAACTTACTGCACCACTCAATGCCTCTGTGGCTGTAGGTAATTTGCTTTTATGCAGCTGTTGCTATATAGTATCCTATGTACATTTACAGTGATTGACTTTGGGTCTTATGGTGAAGGCAGTGGCAATGTGTATCTTAGCTCCCACTGCTCGGGAAGTGAAGACAGACTTCAAGACTGTCCATTTAGCACATTTCCTCCCTCCCATTTCAGTTTCAGTAGGAAGCAAACCTGTAGACTCCAACTATAAAATATTAAAACAAGGGCCCACTGATGCTCCTACCAATACGTTCTGTTAACAAATCAACACAGATAAACTTACTGCACCACTCAATGCCTCTGTGGCTGTAGGTAATTTGCTTTTATGCAGCTGTTGCTATATAGTATCCTATGTACATTTACAGTGATTGACTTTGGGTCTTATGGTGAAGGCAGTGGCAATGTGTATCTTAGCTCCCACTGCTCGGGAAGTGAAGACAGACTTCAAGACTGTCCATTTAGCACATTTCCTCCCTCCTGTACTCACTCCAATGATGCTGGACTCCACTGCACAGCATGTGAGAAAAATAGATGTTACTAGCTACTTCAATGAATTGCACCATGAGACAAAGAACATTTCTAGTCTCATTATCCTATGTCCCTTTTGTGTATGAGGAACATTCCTAAAGTTATGTATATATAATTATTGCCATGCGTGCAGTATCAATGACTTTTCATTACTCTCTTGACATTTCCGCCACTGTAGATGTGTGTGGTGCACACACCTGTCATAAGAATGCTGAGTGTGACTCACTCAATTACTGTGCCTGCCACACCGGATACTATGGGAATGGACTCATATGTATCAGTAAGTCTTAGTTAGGATAGTCAGGTGCATAAGCATTCAAAGAGACCTAGTAGCTACACTGTGTCACATCTCCTGGCTCTGCATATTTTGCTATAGCACCCACTTCATTACCGATCCTGGGGATCCTGTCATCATAATGCTAAAGTATGATTATCTCTCCTGCTGCTGATAAAGACATAGATGAATGTGTGGAGGGCTCTCCATGTGATGAGAATGCGGTGTGTCATGATGAAGACGGCTCCTTCACCTGTGTCTGCAATGAAGGGTACTCAGGGAATGGAATAGTGTGCACCGGTATGGCACAGATACTATGATGTCCTTTTCTATGACTCTACTGTTGTTGATATAGATGTTGACGAGTGTGAAACTGGGCACAGTTGCCACCAGAATGCAGACTGTATCAATAATCCCGGTTCCTTCTCCTGTCAATGCCACAATATGTTCCAAGGAGATGGCTTCAACTGCACTAGTGAGTCCATCGATATACAACATAGACTATAGATATATAGATACCGTGGCACGCCGTGCGTACGCATGCGCACAACGTTTTTCACGGAGCGTCAGACAAAGGGGGTGGAAGATATCACTCCGCTCACAGCGAGCTTCTACCTGGAGCGTAGCTACATATGCAAGCGGTCCCTACGAATGGTACCCCCACAGAGATTTCCCTGGTGACAAAGTCTCTCTACAATGACACTGGTCGAGAGAAACGAAAAGCTAGATCACCTGTACAAATAAAATATTTTTACACGTTAAAAAACCTCGCTTGCGCACCTGGGTGCCCATCGACGTAAGACCAGTGAATCCTCAAGTGTTGCGAGAGGTCTGGGGACGAGCGAGACTACCTGCGCATAATCGACTATCGATCGTCTGTCATTTCACTCGCCACGTGGTCCTGTGAGCCAAGAGGACTTCAGCTTAGAGATGGTTTGGCAGCGGAGTATAGCGGCTTTTGAGCGCGTAAGCCTTAGCTTACGTTTAGCCCTTCGTGGACGCGTGAGGAATTTTATTGGGGGAAGATTGCTAAAAATGTGCCGTGCATTGTCACACGCGTGAGCTAAGCTGCGTGTTGCATGCTGTACGTATATACAGCGCTACGCCGACCGATCGCATGCGCCTTTTAACTGCCCATGCGTATTGAGGGGTGCAACAGGCGCTGTATGTAATCTCTCATAATGTGTAGGTGGACCCTCTCATCTGGATGTGAGGCTGGCTGATGGAGGGACCTACTATGGCAGAGTGGAGGTCTATGATTCCAGTACTGGGATCTGGGGCACTGTCTGTGGCATCTCCTGGGATCAGAATGATGCCCAGGTGGTCAGACGGCAGCTTGGCCTGGAGACCAGAAGTAATTTTTTACTGTATCTTTAACCCTTGGCGGTCATGCCCAGTGAGGGTTACGGTGCTTGTTATTTTTGCACTACAGGCTACAAGGCGGCATACGTGCGATACCAACAGCTTCAGAGGCGATTTTCCTGAAACAAATGTTTGAGAGAAATGGCAAAAAGCAAAGCCAATATGCATGGCCTACCTCAACATAGTCTGGTGTCCAGACCCTTTACAAAAACAAGTGCACACGTAAACCCATGTGCTAGGGCTGGAGAGAAGGATCTCGTAAGTAACTGCGAGCCAGGGAATTTCATTTGACACTTTGCGAAAATGGTTGCGGTCACATGGCCTTCTCTCACGATGTTTTTAAAGTGAACCACCCTTGCGTTGTGTAGTATTGCATACCAACACTTTTCCTGGCATTCCAGCCTTGACCCACGGAGATGCATTAGCATACATGTATTTATTTATCATAGCCTTCTCTTTCTCCCTCACGCATGTGTTCAAGCGTGTGCTTGTTTTTGTGAAGGGTCTGAACACCAGACTAACCTTGACATACGTAATACACGGCTCTCTATGTGAATATACCTTCAAGGCAGAAGAAGGTGTGTGCATTGGGTCCCGCATGCTATCCTACTCTATTCGAGCTACTAGCAGGAGACCACGAGTAAATGGACAATGCATGGCCGGCAGCCCCTTCTAGTCTTGCGGGGCCAGACATTCCGTGGACCGTCCCATGAAAATATGAGTGCTAAAGGCTATTGATCGCCATGTCTGGTTTCTGGTCACAGATGACATTTGTAATACTAAGTACAGTAGTACGTATTATTATAGGATAGGGATGGGATACAAGAAGCAAACCTATTTGAGCATGCTGACACCCCTCGCCCAAACTACACACTTATTGTTACCTAGGTGACGTGTTAAGCATTCACCATTACATACCTATCATGGTACTGAGTACAGGTATCGAGTTTAAGAGTAGCAAACCAGGCAGCAATAATAAGGATTGTGTGATGGGGTCGCGGGTGTCGGCGTGCTAAAATGTGTTCGTTAACCATTCTTCATTTATCCCATCCCTATCCCTGTGTCCCTCCTTTTTATACCATCCCTATAATTAACCCTCGGCGCGCATGCGCAGCGAGGGTTACGGTAGTTGTCCCGTAAGTGTGTCTGTCCGTCAGTCTGTCAGTCTGTCAGTCTGTCTGTTACCACGTTTTCTGCCACCGCGCGCACGAAATCAGGTAAATAGCGATATGATCGGGTTCAGTGCTACACTGGGTTGATTTTTAAAAAGGCGATTTTCGTAAAACTACTGTGTTTTAAAGTTATGGCGTGAAAACCAAGTGAACAAGCCAATATGTAAATTAGCACAGGCTTACCTCCGTTCGCTCTGTGTGTCTTGAAAGCACAACAAGTCACAACGAAGGGCATGTATCGACTCCCGCATGCTATTTACTACTGTAGCTAGCCCGTGCCAGACTCTCCGCGAGCTACTAGCGGGATACCACGATATAAAAAGCCCAGCCCATCAATTAGTGGTACCGCACATGCGCAGTTCGCCGAGGGTTTGCACTTTAGTGCTTTTCATTCCTAAAGTGGCAGGATTGTTTTATTTACTTCTTACATTTTCCCCTCACTTTGGCAGCGGGGGACTCTAGAGTACCATTTAAGTGTTCCATTGCAGGCATAGATGCGTTTACTCTGGTCTCAAGTCACGGATATGGAGAAGGACCTAATGAGGTCTTCCTACAACTCTACTGCACTGGCTCAGAGAGAAGAACCAATGAGTGCAACCATACCACTTATCCCTCTACTTGCTCACATGAATTTGATGCCGGAGTTGTTTTCTGGCCTGGTACGTAGCACGTTATCATGTTAAGTACATACATATTATATATATCCTGAAAATTGTATAATAATTTTATACTAGCATCAGCTATGTAGCTAGGTTATAGAACAAGTCACATACACAATAATACAATATACACATATCCGATCTGATAGTGCCAAGCCCATTCTGAATATTGCCTTCATCTCCAACTACTATCCCTTGTGTGTTATTTCCATTGGGTAGTTTGTACCTAAGTAGGGCGTGGTACATCATTCTTCTGTTATCATGGCCACCCAGATAGCAATTACTTTGATATTCGACTAAGAGGCCTGGGGTCTCCGTGGAAAGGCAGGGTGGAGATTCTCTATGATGTAACAAACAATTACTGGGGTACTCTCTGTGGATATAACATACCATCTGCTCAGGTGATATGTCGGCAACTTGGATTTTTTCACGGCTGTAAGTTTTTAACAGTGTATTATACAATAGAAGCCTCCAATCTATACAAACCTACTTACACTGACTGCAGCGCTTAAACGGGTTAACCCACTAGATCCCTATATTTCTCCTTGTTAAAGTTCGCAGGATTTTTTTAAATTTAAGTTACTATCTGCAGATGTCAACATTCTCATCGGACCACCCAGTAGTTACCCTGAAGTATTTTTTAAAAAGAGCTGTGTTGGGAATGAAAACAAATTGTTGGACTGCGTCAGTGAAACAACTCCAGAATGTTCTAATTCCACTGATGTTCGGGTGGAGTGCTATCCTAGTACGTTTTATTGGAACTAAGAATGTACTATTTACAGTTTGGAATTCATGAAAAAAGAAAGAGATCCAATAAGTCAAAGCTAATCATTACCTTTGTCGTAGTACGTAGCTTTAGCTGAACAATAACCGTTGGGATTTTTCTGTCCGTGGGTGGTGGGGATAAACATTGTGGCTAAAGGCTTATTCATGGAAAGCGTAGGTGAGAAAAGAGAGACCAGACACACCCTGGCAACCTTCATATTGGCTACACTCTCACCCTATCTGGAACTAATACACATCCTCACTTTTGCTTCCCTGTAATCTTTGTTGTCTGAGTCTATCCTCTGTTCTTCCCTTGCTCACTTCCAGCCTCTGATGTTTTATCCTTAGCTTCCTACATGTCTAGTCCCTGTTTAATTCCGTTGTTCTCTTTTATCTTCTCACCTTGTTTCCACTTCACCTCACCCGGCCATTCAGTCACTTCAGTCTCCAGGGACATATAAGTGCCTAAATTGTATATTTGTTCAGTTGTGGCTACTATGACAAAGTTCACTATTAACTTTGGCTTATTCATGTGTTCTGTTAGTAACCAAATAATATTCTTCATTCAGATCTACAACAACAATATCAAGTTAGACTGGTTGATGGAAATCCATGGGAAGGCAGAGTAGAAATTTTGATTGACTTAGCCAGCAGACACTGGGTAACTATATGTTATCCTCAGTGGAATATATCTGAAGCAAACGTTGTCTGCCGTCAACTGGGATACAGTTCTGGAGGTAGAAAATGTGCAATAAAACCACCTAAAAGGTCTATGCTCTTTACTACACACAGCAAACTATATCACAACGTTTGGGCAAGTAATGGGGGACTCCTACTACATATCGTGCAGTGGACAAGAGATAGGATTTGGGTTCTGCAGTAATGAAACTGTATATTGTGGTGTACAAACTTATGCTGGTGTTGTTTGTCATTCATGTGAGTTGTTAAATTGCAGATCTATATTTAATCTACGTATCTCTTGCTAACACTTAATTAAACAGCCTACATAACGCAATAGATTTCTTAAAATACCCAGCAGTGTTGTAGCTAAACATGTCTCTTGTGTTCCAGATTCTTGTTCACTGGATTCTGAGTGTCATGAAAGTGCGTTTTGTGGCTCAGCTAGTGCCTGTGTCTGTAACTCTGGCTACTGGGGCTCTGGAAGATGGTGTGGCAGTAAGTCAACCTGTGACCCTTTTGAGTAGCGCAGCTCATATTATGATTAGCAAACTATTTTACGACTATACATAGGTTGGCTCCTTGTCCTCCTCAATGTTTACTATTTAGAGGAGGCTTAAAAAGAATTCCTAAATACAAATAGTTATACACCTTGTGCAACTCTTAACTACGGAAGCCGAGAAGGGTAAACAACTTTCATTTTGTGAACTTGCAATGGAAGTCAGCAATGGAACTTCGCAATGGAAATTGTATTGAAACCCCACTTATATTTATACAGCTGGCAGTCACGACAGACTATACACTAGTCAATTGTCACGCAACCTGCTCTTTTCGTTGCCAGCAGTTCACGTTTTGGCCGACTGAAAAGGGTCAGCAACTTCCACTTCCGCAGTGCTACAATGGAAAGTTTGGAATTTGCAATAGAAGTTTGCCATAGAAGTTTGCAGTGGAAGTTTGCAATGGAAGTTCATAATGGAAGTTCTAAAGTTCGCAATTGAAGTCTGCAATGGAAGTTAGCAGTACCAATGCGGTCAGCAGCCTATATAGGGTGCTGAGCGCAGGGCACATTTTGCTCGGCCTGGCCACATAATGCCACAGGCAACTGATCCGCTTCCTTGTTCTATGAGTCTGTGTGTACTGAGTGTGTGGTTTAAGAACCACTGCCACCACCGCGGATATCTGCCTCTCTGCCATTGCCCCCTACAACCAAGTCTCACAGTGGTCCAGACTCTCTGTGAGATGAGGTTGAACAAGGTCGTGTGTCGGTACACCAGCACCGGGGCATCCATGCCTTCACCAGTGTAATACATTTAGCACAATTACTGTGCAGCTCTCCGTTCTGTGCTAGCCGGCACTGCCAGGTACAGTGATCAGTGTCTTTTCAGGCGGGGAATTCCATCAAACTTCCATTGCAAACTTCTGTTGTAGCACTCCTGAAGTGGAAGTTGCTGACCCTTCGGCTTCCGTACTTAACACACTGGACCTCATTTCCAGTGCAATCATTCGTTTTGAAGCAGCGTAAACTTAGTGTACAAAGCACTAAGCTTGAAATGTTGGATACTCTGACCGGCTCACGTATAATATACAAGAACATTGCAAAGTCCAAATATTGAATATGCATATATATAGTTTTACATAGTAGTCATAGCGGCTCTGCATAGCTGGATGTAGGTTCTAAAATTAATTTTTATGCTGTTTAGATGTCAATGAATGTGTTGAGGGTACTCACTCCTGTAATGCCAATGCCAACTGTGTCGACACTGACGGCTCCTATGTGTGTGAGTGTCGACTGGACTTCACTGGAGACGGATGGACATGCAGCTGTAAGTGTGGATGTGTGCGGCAGAGCATTTTGTTAGAATGACTTATTGGTGAGCGAATGTAAGTAAGAAACCTTAACAGAATACATTGAGATTTACGTGAAACTATAAACAGCTCACGAATTCCTTGATAGAAAGAGGAAAAAATGGAGTAGAGGACTGCAATAGGGCTTCAAAATACGGGCTTACTTAAAAATTAATACATTAGCTGGTACATGATGGAAGTGGTAGAAATATAGTACTAGTACAAGATAGTACTAGTGCATATACGTATCCTGTAAGTGTCAAAGTCCTTAAAATTTATTGTAGTCAGGTTAGTGTGGTGGGAACACCACAAAACTGTGAAAAGAGCCATTGTTAGTATGGTAGTATAATATAGAGATTTTTCTTCTCGCTGTTCAATTTCGACAGGCGTATCTCAAAAACCAGGTAAGATACAGAAATGAAACTTTGCACAAAGATTGTAATCCATGACCTGGCATGCAAGAGCATTTTTATTTGTCAATTTAGTTTACATGTAAACCAGAAATAACAACAACAAAAAAGAGCCCCAGGCCATACATTGTGATGGAGAAAACTAACTATATAGGTACTGCGAATACCCAGAGTGATAAAACTCTAGTGTACATACATGCAACCCATCTTTAGTATCAAAATGTAAACATTAGTATGCTTGTAAACAACAACAAACAACCTCAGGCAATTAACTGTGTTTGTGCCTATAACTCGCTTACAGTGGTTCCTCTAACAATGAAACTTGTTACCCTGATGTACCATGATGTGAGTTTATCGAAATGAATGGTTTGCAAACAACAACAGCCCCAAGCAATAACAACTTTTAAATGGTGTAACTTGCTTGTGGTGAGTCCTCAAACATGGTACACTGATGTACTAGAAACTTGTGAATGACGACAAACCGTCTGAGGTGATAATCCTCAAAATATCCCATTTTATTGCACACCAAACATGTGAATACAGTTAAAAGATTCAATGTCTGTTTGGCGTATTTAGCCATCATCCATTTTACTATAATACTGCATCACATTCACTTATACACCATTAATTCGAAGTAATTTTACTTGTGAAGATAAGCCATTTCTGCGACACTTGATGGCAATAATTTTCTCTGTTTTTTGGCGATCAAAGTCTGGATGCAGTATTTATTAATGCCTCTCTGATTTTGTCGCTATTCCGTAACGACACGTAAAACTGCTGAAATTTAATTTGCACACGTGTTCGCTCACCAAAAATGTGTTGTATTTGTTCTAGTAATAATGTTGAAAATCATCGACAGATTTGGACAAATGTGCACTGGGACTTGTGGATTGTCCTGAGAATTCTTTTTGCATTCAAGCTGCTCCAGGGTCATTTTCCTGTGTCTGTCTACCTGATTTCTCAGGAATTGATTGTAGTAAGCAGTTTCTGCATGCATACACATCATACATGAGACTCCCACTCCCGCCAGGCAAATAGTTTACTTATTGGTAATTAATAGAAGGAAAAATTAGCTACATTCTCAGGGGACCGACATCTGGAGTTCAAATTTCACTGCTATTGGGTTATTGAATTATGTATGTGTGCGAGTCATGATTCCTAGAATATTGCATCAAGATACCGGCTGGAATATTGCGTCATTATGTCACACTGGACAAGTTCCATTGTCCTAATGTGTTATGAAGCTACCATACATACATTACACACATACCTGAACGAAATAAATAGCTTGTTTTGTTGTTATTTTTAAATTATTACTGCCTGCATACAGAGATGAAGTAAACACCTACGTTAGTGTACTAGGCACAATGTTAACTGGACATGATGATACACCAGGTTGTACGGATGGGGCAATTGCACTAGGGAGCACATCAGCTGCTGGTACAGTCAAAGTCTGTTACAACAACACATATGGCACGGTGTGTGATGACTACTGGGATGACCTAGATGCCAGCGTTGTCTGTAACTACCTTGGACTTTCAGGGACTGGTAAGAATGTATGAATGGCTAGAAACCTCCACGAAAGCACATAATTTATATCTCAAGCAAACTCACTAGCTTGTGTCATGACATAGCTGTGCTAGTATTATACCTGCTATAAAAAAGCTTACCACTGAATATGTACTCAAAAGCAACTGGAAAAAAATCCAAAAGACAAAAAGGTTCTTAGGTACAGTACTAGATAACTCTTATCCCTTTCATGGAAGTACTCTTAGTGTGAGAATCTACAGCACACTTCCATTTACTGAAGTAAATACCCTTAATGATTCTCATACGTGTGAAGAATGTGTGAAGAATGTGCTCTGGTATTAACCATTGTTAGGTTCAGTTGCAGTGAAGAATGCCAGATTTGGTGAAGGAAGTGGTCCCATTCTGCTGGATGATTTACACTGCACCGGGAGTGAGGCCAGTCTACTGGACTGTAATCGAAGTGCTGCTCTCTATGCCTCCAACTGTGAACACAGAGAAGATGCTGGTGTTAGGTGCCAAGGTGCATACGCAAAGCAACAAAAATATTCCCACTCACTGCATGTTTACGATGTACAGCTAATTGTGAGCTTGGTTCAGTTCGTCTGGCTGTAGACGAGACGCAGCAGCTCTATCTCCAGCCATCCAGCTACCCTCCCTACTATTATGTCAAGGGAGAGCTACACAGAGGGAGAGTCACTGTGTGTGATGACAGTGGTGGCTATAGGACTCTCATAGTGTGCGACGACTCATGGACCGACAACGTCGCTGCTGTCGTCTGCAGAGAGTTGGGGTTTTCACCATTTGGTAGGTCTCAACCACTATAACCCGACCATCCTTTGTATACCACTGAGCCCACACTCTACTGAATCTTTGCCCAGCATTCGCATTTTGACTATCGATTTAAGTGTCATATGAGTATCCCACATTTCATGCATCACCAAACTTCCCCCTGCACATATTTTAAATAATGCAGGTGCCATAGCTCTTCAGAGCTCCAGTTTTCCACTGAGTGAAGACCATTATGTTGGGACGGCAGTGCAGGCTGTAGTGTCTGTCAACTGTGCTGGAAGTGAGGCTGGACTTCGTGACTGTACCTGGATTGAGACAAACATTGATATTGATGGTAGATGTTTCATTGACCAGGTAGCAGAAGCCGTTTGTCAAGGTAGAGAACTGTAGTACTCGAAAGAAGTGTAATTTTCATGATGTGCATTGCTTTTGCAGACTATTCTGTGGGAGAGGGGGACTGTACAACAGGTGATATGAGACTGGCAGACTTCACCGACTCTCCAGAAGGAGCCACCCGCAGTGGCCAGCTCCAGGTGTGTGTCAATGGAGCCTGGGGAGCCGTGTGCAGTGATACTCAGTTTGGCTATGCCGAGATGGTCGTGGCCTGTAGCCACATGGGCTTTTCTACCACAGGTGATTTTTTGGTTATTGGTTAGTGTAATCATACCAATTACCAGGGGTTGGGAGTGACCTGGGTATGTACCTACAACATTTCTCTTATGTTCTAGTGTCAAACACCAACGGCCGTGGTAAATCTTCCAACCACTTTATATTGATTTCTTAAGACAGTTATGTATTGGCAATACTAGATGGCCCCATGCTAATATATCTCTTACCACTTACTCCTAGACCCAGTTCTCAAGAATCCCATAATAGCTCCTGACCTACTTCCTATATTCCTGGACTCTCTGTTTTGCTCTGGGTCTGAGGTCACTTTACTGGACTGTCCACCAGCTCCTTATGGTCTCCACCAGTGCTCTACCAGAGAAACTGTTCACCTCCAGTGTAGAGGTGCTTTATATACACATTGTGTGAAAAAATACAATAATACATAGTACAGAGGTGACTTGGATATTTTTAGTAAAGGGCAAGTATGAATGTATCAAAAGTCTATTTTCGCTTCACAGGTATAATAATAATAATAATAATATAAGGCATATCTCACATTTTATGTAACTCCTGACTGTTACATAGGTCAAGGAGTATGCTTTTTCCCTCACCCATAATTATAGACACTAATGAGTGTCATCTGAGTAATGGTGGATGTCAGCAGAACTGTGTCAACACTCTTGGCTCCTACTACTGTAACTGTTACCAGGGATTCAGCCTGGGCGCAGATGGTTTCATCTGTACTGGTATGTTCACTAAATTGTGGAGCGTAATTGTTTTAAGTAACAACTGCCAATATACATATATGACATATGTCCGTATATTTTACTGACGGGACAGCATCTTATCGACTTGTATTATAAACCACACATTTTGAGGAGTTTTTGAATTTTAAGAAAGACAGTATGTGAAGCAAAACTTGATATTATTTAGTTAGCCTTAAGCTATGTCTAACATTCTGAGGTGTATGCCTGTGCATATTTTAGGGATCCTGCCTACTGCTACAGATGTAACATGCATATAATGTAGAGTTATTGATGTACGTAACTTTATCATGTCAGATTTTGATGGATGTAATACTACCGGTGAAGTGAGACTAGTAAACAGTAGCAGTCCCACGGCGGGGACAGTAGAGGTGTGCTATAGTGAAGGGTACAGGGTCATATGTGACAGCTTCTGGGATGAGTTGGATGCAACTGTCATCTGCAGACAGCTACAAATCCCCCTAGGAGGTAATGAATACCCTAACAAATATGAAGCACTAAAGTGCAAACAAAACACACGGGCATAAGTATTCTTGGCTTGCCTATTTTACTCTACTCGTGGTAGTCTCTTGCCAGCTCGCTGAGAGTTAGAGTCTGCCACAGGCTAGCTACACTACAAGATAGCATGCGAGAGACGATACTCGTCCTGCATTGCAACCTCCAAGGTATGCAGAGCAAGCGGAGCTTATCTGGTCAAGTAAAGCCTGTACTAATTTGCGTATCGGCTTTATCAGTAGGTTTCACACCATAACTTTCAAACGCAGTACTTTTACGAAATAATCAACCCAGAGTGTTGCACTAAACCTTTAGGTATTGCCCTTTGGTTGTCTCATTGCGCATGGTGGCAGAAAATGTGGTGACAGGCAGACAGACAGACGGACGGACTTACGAAGCAAGTACCGTAACCCTCGCTGTGCAGGCGCACCAAGGGTTAATTAGTAGCACCAAATTGCAAACACACAAATGGCAGTAACACACTCATAAGCATGTACGGGTTTGTACTGCTAATTGATGGGCTTCAGCTGCGATGTTGATTTACTCATTCCTCGCAAGCTTGCTGTGAGTCCTAGCTACATACTACTAGTACATGTAGATAACGTTTTAGGCATCGCAGAACTCGACTCTCGTCGTCTGTTGTAACCTATGATGCCTCTACAGTATGTAAAAAAGGCGGAATGCGGTCGAGGTAAACTTTGCATCTTGGCTTGTTGATTTGGTGTTCACGCAACTTTCAAATGCAGTATTTTTACGAAAATCACCATTTTAAAACACAAGCTAGTTAGAAAGAAGTAACCACACACAAAAATGGAGTTTATCTTGTGCAACTAGGTGCAGAACATAAATTCCTATATTTCCCAGCTGCTGTACACGAAACGCCACGTGGGTCTTCAGTGAGAGGGTTTCTTCTGAACAAGACACAGTGCAATGGGAGTGAGGAGAGCATCTTGGAGTGTTCCACTCTGGGAGATAAGCTAGGCATCCCTGTGGAGTGTCCGAGTTCCATGGTGGCAGCCGTTGTCTGTGGAGGTTGGTTGACATGATTGCATGCCTGCATGCGGGTTCTCATCTCACCGAGGGCAGGTCTTCAGTTTTTTTACTACACACACTACATTGGGCTGGAATTCTAAGAAGGATCCTACAAATATAGGACACACAAGGGACATTTGGTTCTGCCCAATACTATTAGTATTATGTAGCTACTACCTCCTATAGGACACCTCTGAATAAAGGACACTTTCAATGTCACCAAGGTGTGTCTCTTATGCAGAGGATTCACTATATGAGATTACTAGTTTATTGCGCTGGCTGCATACTGTTTACATTCCGTGTTAGCACTTCCATACTCCTAACTGTATAAGTATAATGTACAGTATATACCTGCACGTGATGTGTTTCATGAGACAAAATATTGTTTCTCCTTTATGTCTAATCCTACCCTTTCATTCAACATTTCAATTATCGTCTGAGTGTGATAGACATCTCCTCCGCAGTATCATGTATTGAAGGTGATGTAAGACTCAACCCACTGACCTTGGGAAGTATAACAGAGTATTATTCTGATCCTGAAGACTCCACTGAGGACTACTACTTTGTCCAGAACCAGTTAGCCACAGGCAGACTGGAGGTGTGTGTTGGAGGGAGATATGGGACTGTGTGTGGAGACAACTGGGACCATCCTGGAGCCTCTGTTGTCTGCTCTCAACTTGGACTCTCACCTTATGGCAAGGAATTATAATGGATTGTAAACGACATGCATAGAAGTATTAGAGCCACTCACTGCATTTGTTTTAATTTTTGTGCCGATCGCGCCAGTGTGCAGTTACGCACCAAAAGTTTTCGGTATTTATTCACCATGCGAAATTTTCCTGCTGTGTGCCACCTAATGTGTTAGTTCACGACAGAGCAGTCTAAAACAGGCTAAGGCTAGGTTCACAATATGCATTGCCCCGTTGCGCTGTGCTGCGTCGCGTCCTGCCGCAAAGATAGAAATGGATTCTATCCTTGCGGCACGGCAACGCCGCACAATGCGACGGGGCAATGCGACATATTGTGAACCTAGCCTAACTGTAACAGTTATAGCATTTTGAGCACCAATGGACTCGATACACACAGTAATTATAATTCCTCCACGATGTGCTGAACAGATGAAACCTGGTCGAGGCAAGCCAGTGATTATGCATTGCTTTTTGACACTATATCTCTTGAGCACATTAGTTTCAAGAACTAATGTATATAATGTGCCACAATAAGCGTAGACCGTAGACAGAAAAACACCAAAAAAACCAAATACTGTAACCCTCACTGCATTGCATGAAGAGGGTTGAGGGTTGATGAAATGCCACCAATTTTCGGTATATCTCATACAGTGAAGGTCTATGTTCCCTGGTTATCATTTCAACACACTGTGACTCATTATAGAGCTTGCACAGAAATTGAACATGAATATTAGCGAGTTTGAGATCCACAAAATATGATTTAAGAAACACTGCACTTTCGACATGCCATAACCCGGCACCCACACGATGGGATGTCCTTGAGTGATATTGTTATATGCTACAGGAGCACTTGCCCTTGACCCGTCAGTGTTTAGCAGCGATGGTGTGCCCTCAGAAGTTGGGTTTAGCTGCACTGGGAACGAGACAAACTTGCTGGACTGCTCCACCAGCATATCTACCTGCTCCCCACTGCATCAGGCAGCCGTTCTTTGCCAAGGTACATATGTATCAGAGCAATGAGAACGTTCTTTACTCACCATGGCACAGATCCAGATACGACCCATGTTGACAACTGCACCCACGGTAGTCTCCGACTGGTGAATGGCACCCATCAGGTTGGAGTGGCTGAAGGAAGATTGGAGCTCTGTCTCAACCAGGTCTGGGGCACTGTGTGTGGAGATCAGATTGGAGTCACTGAGGCCACGGTTGCTTGCAGACAAATGGAAGGATTCTCAGATGAGGGTACGTTGGCTACTCCTCCGTATTCCCAAACACTTCCCACACTCCCCACCACATGTGATGACGGTAATGTGTAATGCACTATGCCTGTTAATTTTACGAATGTGTAAAGAATGGATATACCTTACAAAATATGTGAAACTTTTAAACTTCATGGGTTGAATTTTACTATGCCTAGGAACAAGACTGAATTTTGTGTGCTTTGCTTTAATGCATTGGTCCCTATCATAATGTATGTCTTGGGGCTGTTTTTTGTTGTTTACTTGTAAACAAAATTGAAATAAAAATGCTCTTGCACGACCTGTCATGGATTCCAACCCTTGTGCAAAGTTTCATCTCCATATCTTAACTGGTTTTTGAAATACGCTTGTTGAAACTGAACAACAACAACGACAACAAGAAGAATTTTGAACAGTGACTTCTTGAATAAATCAATTACCAATTATGTGATTTTAAGCCATTTCTTGGGTATATGCTTTTTAGACGATACGGATCAGACTGATGTGTCAGATGTTAAATCTCAAATGTATTGGCATAATGCAGGACAACCTGTGTCATCCCTATCGTACTCATTGATCGTGAGTTCGGGTCCCTATAGGAGCGGGAAGAGTGTGCATCAAAAGAAGTCGTGCACGCATTCGTGCATTTGTGCGCAATTGTGTTGCGTGCATTCTACGGTGTTATAATAGTTTTATAACTTGTTGGGAGGCAAAAAATTCTTACATGTTTGTTCCATGTTAATATACGTACCTGACATGGCCTTAACACCGAACAAGAAATGTAGGAATTTTTTGGCCTCCCAACAAGTTGTCAAACTAACACTGTAGACCGGGCGCAATGGAATTGCGCACATATGCGTGAATGCCTGTGCGACTTATATTTAGTGGGAGACCCAAATTCATGAATATTTTAATGAGAAATTAAAACAAAGCCTAAAAATGCGAAATCTTGTTCCTTGGCATATACACTAGAATTCAACCCATGGAGTTAATGTGATAAGGTATATACATACCCCAGTCCAAAATCATGTGTCAGTTAACCCTAATGGTCCAGCATGTCACAGGCCCTGCTTTGCTCTGGAGCTTCATTCTTTTCACATGTATGAATCACAAACTGGACATTTTGTGCTCAGGTGCTGTGGTAGTTGATCTACTTGAAGTAGGCACAGGACCAATATTTCTGGAAGATCTTGTCTGTGATGGCTCTGAGTCCTCACTGCTGGAGTGTGCAGAGAAGGCAGGTCCCATCAGAGCACATTCATGTCCTCACAGCAGGGATGTTGGATATTTTGCAATGGTGATTCTATTGTATGCCACAAACATACGTAATGAGAATGATACTTCCTGTGCCTAGATATTGATGAGTGTGCTAGTGGACAGGCAAACTGCTCTCAGATATGTACCAACACAACTGGCAGCTACATGTGCCTCTGCAATGATGGTTATGTCCTTGACCTGGACCAGCATACTTGCAATGGTAAGAACATTACGTGTATTCAACATGTGTCATTAACAAGGCCAAGGCAAAACAAAAGGCAAACAACAAAACTATAATACACCTGGGACATGTCTGTTTTTCCACATGGTATAGGCCTCAAGTTTCAGTGAAGCTGCATGCAGTGCTTTTGCAAGAGGGAGGGGGGAGGGGGAGGTTGATCAGAGAGAAGAGGGGCACATACCTGTATAGACATAGAATGCACTAGACAAGAGAAGAGCCCACTGGTAGGGCGCTTGCTCTGAACATAACATGTACATCGTCAATACATTTCTTATCTAGATATTGATGAGTGTGCTGATGACCCTTGTGATTCTAATGCTGTCTGCAGTAACATGCAAGGCTCTTTTGAATGTACATGTATCCATGGATTCACTGGCAATGGCACACACTGTGATGGTTTGTTACATATTATATATATATATATATAATTATATATATACATGTTTAATATTTATGTTTCCATATATGAGCCTTTTACAGCCACTCTTTGATCAACTGTACTTTTATCAGAAAGTGTCACTTTTTCCCTAAAGATGTTGACGAGTGCCTTAGTGACTCCGATAGCAACTGTACTCAAGGATGTAACAACACTAGAGGCGGATACGACTGCTTCTGTTTGGATGGGTTTCTGTTGAAGTCAGACGGATACAACTGTGCAGGTTCGAACAACAATGCACAACGATCCAGGGGTATATACATAGAAAGCCCTTTAATTATGTGTGTGTTGGAAGGGGGAGGGATATTTGGATAAAAGTGACCACGAACATGTTACTACTGGAAATAAGTGGAGGTAACTCTACTACATCTAACCCCTGTATCCATGAGAGTTTGGACCACTAGACAATCTGTGCCACTCGACTCGGTACACAATAGTTACACATAATTTTGATAAGCATACAGTTCAAGTGCATCCACTGATTTTCGACCTATAAAACTTCAAGGACATGTATGTACGCTGTCATGCAACTCACAGCGAATGAAGCAAGTGTACTTAGTCATCTGAATGCAGCTCATTTTCTGACGTCAATGAACGCACAAACCAAACAGCAATTGCAATCGTCAATGACATCCGCATGTGACTTGGATTTGCTTTGCGTAAATGCCTTGTATTTATTCTATAGTTTGTCTATTTTACATCTACAGACATTGATGAGTGTTACACTGACATGGATAACTGCAGCTCTGATGCTCAGTGTAGCAATAACGTAGGCAACTATACCTGTGAATGCATTGCGGGATACACTGGTGATGGCTTCAACTGCACTGGTAATTTTGAGGAGCCAGACGGCCTGAAATATGGGTATCAATATTATTATTATCATGGTGTAGATATTGATGAATGTATGGAGGGAACTGGTAACTGTGATGTCAATGCTGAATGTATCAATTCAATTCCACTCTACTCCTGTGAATGCAGCAGTGGGTATGACGGAAATGGAACAGTTTGCGAAGGTGCGTACATGCAGAGGCCAGGAATTTGCCTTTTGACCAATGTGTTCATACAATGGATTTAGTACATAGTTTGGGATTTGCCATTGCGTTGTGTTGTGTTGTGTTGTGTTGCACACTCTATGACCTGCCAGCTGAGCTGTATGTAGCTCCGTGGTACATAGAGCAGTCTGTCGGTGCCATGGGTTGAGTCCCACCTACGACTGCTCTTTTTAAAATTGGTGTTCTGGAAGTGTTTGATATGCACCCCCCGATTCATACGTATGGGGCTGTAAATTAAGTCACGAGTCTTTAGTTTTTTACCTGAATGACCCTCAATCATAGAATTAATGTCAGCCTTATACGGGCTCATATACCCCGATGCCTGCATGGTTTTTTTACATGAAGATCTGATATTAAATTCTGGTACGTTTGCAGACATAGATGAATGCGTGAGTGGTGAAGATGACTGTGATGTGAATGCCGAGTGTACAAACACAGATGGTGGCTACAACTGCAGCTGTAGACAAGGCTTTCATGGCAATGGATCTTTTTGTTGTGAGTAACTCAAAACCACAGGGTACAGAGACTCCTTTTTGTTCTGCCTCCTCAAGTGCATGATGCCCTTTAGAAGCCCTCCCCTCTCTCTTTCTCCATGTTAAAGTGTGAGCTGTGTAATTTCATTTTAGTCTCATTTTAGTCATGACAGTTCTCTAGAATACAAAACCTCCACTAATGCACAGACTGTGTGGAGGGTCACAGCCAGTTGGTGAATGGCAGTGTTCCCTCTGAGGGCAGAGTGGAGGTTTGCCATAACAACAGCTATGGAACAGTCTGCGATGATTTCTGGGACACTCTTGATGCTCGAGTTGTGTGCAGACAACTTGGATTTGATAATGGAAGTATGTGTGTTACGTGTATATACCTCAGTGTATAGAAAAATTGCGTTTGTACCCTTACGCCAAGGCTACTGTACGTACATAGCACCATATGTTTTAAGGCACAAGGATAATCCTCAATTTGACACAAGGCTTAGCATAAAAATGTCCTTGTGCAACAGACAGAAGGGGAGAGTTCATAGTTGTTGATTTACATATCTTCTTCAGCTGCAGCAGTAGTAGTAGTGGAGTCCTCAGCTGCTGGTGGTGATCAGTTTGTTCTTGATGATGTTCACTGCAATGGATCAGAGAGCTCTCTTCTGGACTGCCAACATTCCCCACTCTATGTTCATAACTGCCACTCCACTGAGGTGGCTGGGGTCAGCTGCTACAATGGTACAGTTGTATACATCCTAAGTTTTATCCACACAACCCTAGCCAAATCCTTACTGAATCTATGTTACACTACCAGTCCTTGATCATGAGATCCAGACAATGACCCGTCTTTTTCACTGATGTATCTTAAAAAAATTATGGTTCCTCACAAACTTTTCCCCGGACCTTTCTAGAGTTATGTGCAGAAAACTCAATACGTCTGTTTCTTGGTGACGATGACATAGCCTTCTACCATGGAGAGTTTGATCCTGCCTTCTACCATGACAAGGACAGGCTGACCAGGGGACGGGTCGAGTACTGCACTAACCAAACCTACCACGGAATATGTGGAGATGATTGGAGGCGTGCACAAGCCTCTGTGGTCTGCAGAGAGCTAGGATTGTCACCATATGGTATGTCACCCTTTATCTTAATTGCTATTTTGTTATGGCACGGTTTTTTTTTTATTGGTGAGGGGCCAGGGAAACTTATAACTCTAACGGGCCTGCATTGTTATGTTTTACGAATGTACAACACATTTCTCCCACTTTCGTACTCAGCTGTATAACAGATCCCACCCATTCATCACCTGGAAAATGGGTGGTAACAATATTTCTTGATCCTAGATATCTCGAAATCAAATCTCAGAATATTTACATAGCGTGCTCACTGAGGTATATAGGTGGGGCATCACTTTAATAGTACAGCATGCAGTTCCGTTATAAAAGGTTTAGGGCCTACTTTTAAGAAGTTCCTTCCCTTTTGGTGTGGATTGCTTGGTGCGAGACTAAACATATGAGAATTTAACAGAATATGATGAAAGAGAAAGGAGAGGCTACTTCGTACAATGAAAGATGTTACTAGTATGGAACTGGCCCTACATGTACATGTGTTGGCCGCCGTACATTCTTATATTATGTATGTATATTCAACAGTGGCCTTCTTCTATTGACCCAAGCCATGACAATACATGGATGTGCGAAGATTTGGTTTGCACTAGTAGTCTTATATTTGTAGGTACTAAGAGTTACTGCTGTTTTTTTAAATTGCATACAGGAGCAATCCCAGTGACAGAAGGACATTTTGGCTCCTCAGTTCTCCCACTGCTGCCAAGTGGAGCAGTGTTTGTGTGTGATGGTAGTGAAACCACTCTTAGCCAGTGCAGGAGCCTGTCTTACGACACTGCTGACAACCATGAGTGCATCAGAGAACATGCAGGAGTCGTTTGTCAACGTCAGTCACATGTGTAATTTACTGTTAGTATGAGGAGGTAACTTACAACATTTTAAAACTTCATTGGTTAATTCTACTATGACTAGGAACGAGGTTTTTAGGCAATGCCTCATCGATATGTTTCAAGTTCCCATATATTTCCATATATAGGAATGGAAGTGGAAGTGTGCAATTAATAAAAGTCGCTGCATACATGTGCAATTGTGTTGCGCTCGTGTTATTTTTACCAATGCATGTTGCGGATGCTCATCTTGGGACCCAACTTCATGGCATTAAAATTTTGAAAAAGGTTTTGTTACTTGGCATAGTATTTATTTCAGCATGTATATACCTGCAAGCAAAGTATGTACTTTATGTCCCTGATACGTACTATACAGTAGATTCTACTGAAGAGGGGAATTGCAGCACGGGAGAGGTGAGACTCAATGGGTCCAGTCCACTGGAGGGAAGAGTGGAGATCTGCATCAACAATGCCTGGGGGACCATATGTGGCAACCAACTCAGCTCTTCTGACCCTGTAATCATCTGTCAGAGCCTCGGATACCCTTTCACTGATGCTTACCCCATCCCACTGCCTGACACTCCCTATGGCAGTGGGCCCATCTTCCTAGACAACCTTGACTGTGATGGGAGTGAAGAGGGAGTCCTCAACTGCCTCTATTCTGTGGGAGTTCACTCCTGCTCTCATGACCAAGACGTTGCCGTGAAATGTGTCGGTAAGTTAGTTAAGCCCGTCACCACATGAGGCAGCCAAGTTGCCAGAAATATTATGTAGGATAGCTAATGTTGTAGTGTTTCAGTTGCTGTGTAACAAAATAACCATGTACAAGGTAGCGTTGCAGACATACCACAAGTCCCTCGTGCATTTTATTTGCCTAAATGTGATTAATAAAGTGGGTATACAGAAATTTGTCCACTATATACTTACTATAATTTTTGCTGTCTGTTGCAGACCGCAACGAGTGTTTACCGGACAATGGGTACTGTGAGCATATCTGTGAGGATGTGATACCGACCAGTCTCCAGCACCCTGGCTACCTCTGTTACTGCAGGGAGGGATACATGTTGGATGACAATGACCATAACTGCACAGGTTTGGTTTAACCGTCTTCCTTGCTATGTACATATACTGAGTGAGAGTATACTGTGCCATAGCATAGTGGCTTGAGATGTGTTGTGTTGTGTTGTAGATTTGAACCCCTACCAGCTGAGTTGCCCTGGTAGCTCAGTTGGTAGAGCGCTCGCCTAGACAGCAGTGTTGTGGGTTCGAATCCAACCTGGGGCAGCTCTTGGAAAGAACAGTTGTCCTGGGTGTGGTTGACTTGTTTGCTTTTCCTTATGCCTTGCTATGTCGTTGTTACATGCAACATTATCACTGTGCATGTGGATGCAATTTCAGTGAGGGGCAAAGGGGTAAAGCCTGGGAACAAGGTTAATATTCTGTAGCGAAAAGATATCCTCTCCTTAAGATGTTGATGAGTGTGGTGAAAGTCAAGGTCCTTGCCACAAAAACGCTACCTGTACAAACACCAATGGGAGCTTCATCTGTGAATGCAACCTTGGCTTCTATGGCTCCGGTGTCAACTGCACAGGTAGGTTTACAGATGAGCTCTACTATTATTCCTCCAGTTCATTAGCAGCTGTTACCTCCCTTCAGAAACATGTATAGATGGAGTGGTGGGACTTGTTTCATCGTCTGATCTGATTACTAGTACACCTGGTGGCCAGTTGAGGGCAGGTAGAGTTGAGGTGTGTCTCAACCACAGCACGGGGCGTGTGTGCGACGACAGCCAATGGGGAGAGGAGGATGCTGCAGTCGTATGCCATCAACTGGGATTCTCTCTTTATGGTCAGCACACAAGAAAACAGCAATTAATAAATAGGACAATGCTTACATCCATACATGTATACGCTCATGGTTCATAGCTAACATCCATTGATGTTTTATCCAAGTAAAATAGCAGTAGTGTAACTCTGAAGAAAAGTATTTGCTTATAAATAACCTGGAGGAGTGCTTTTATACAGGTTCAAGGGTGTTGTTTGAAGAATATGCCACCTGTGTCATTCTACTTGATCACGTGAACTGCAGTGGCTCTGAAAATCGCCTGTTTGACTGTCAGTTTACCATCTCCGACAGTACCTCAGTCAGTGGTGGGTGTCAGGACCATGCCGGGGTCATCTGTGAAGGTAATGATGCACAATTAAGGTACCGATGTAAATTTTTTAAATAGAATTTTTGTCTAGGTGTATACTGCACCAGAGAATTAATTGGAAAGAAAATTGACTAAATGTATTCTTACCTAATGTACCTGCATATATCATGTCTCTTAACAGGTAAATGCAAGTACTTTGTCCTTCAGATAACTCCACAGTTTATTCAAACTGCACCACTGGCGACATTCGTCTGGCTCAGGGCACCACAAATTTCATAGGGGCTGAGAACAGCACGGTCCAAGGGAGGCTGGAGGTGTGTATCAACCATGCCTGGGGCTCTGTCTGTGGAGATGACTTCTTTGACACCAACGACGCTGCCGTCGCCTGCAGACAGCTGGGCGGCCTCACTTTTGAAGGTCTGAACTCTATCACAATTTTAAGTACATATGTGGAACCAATTATACAACAAGTAAATTCTTGGATTTGAAATGTGTAGAGGTGGCATGAAAGTACAAGGAGGCATGAGATGACTGGTGCAAGTGATGCAGTGACACAATGGGGATTGGGGCTACATTTTAGTGAACATGGGATGGTTAATTGTTTATAAACAATATGGTAGACTATAATTTTCCTAGGGGGCTTTTTTACCCCCCTTCCGACATCTGTCCATATGCAGAAGTATAATTAGAGGAGACAAACAATTAGAGAAGACAAATAATCCTACAAATTTCCAAAAAAGGAAGGAAAAGATGGTATATAAAGAGAAAGGAGCCGAGATTGATATTGTGGAATAAAAAAAGGGAGACACGGTGGTTGTTGCACCATAGAATAAAACTGTGAAAGTGACCAAAAACAACATACTGTAACCTCAACCAAGGAGCTGGCATGAGCTACAAATTGTGCCGCAGTAGCTACTAAGGCAGAGTTACAGTTAGTCACATTTGAGCAGAGAGCACATTAACTCCATGCCTTTGCGACAATATAGTGTTGTGGAAATGAGCATATCTCAACAACTTGGCAGTGAGGTAGAAAGGCAAGGCAAGCCAAACAAGTCGACTACACCCAGGACAGTTCTTTGTTTTGAAAGAAAAGAAGGAGAGTTGCGATTCGAACCCACACAACACTCTGCAGTCTAGGCGAGTGCCCTACCAACTGAGCTACCAGGGCAACTCTCCTGGTAGGGGTTCGAATCTACAACACAACACAAAGGCACACCTTAAACCACTGTGCTATGGCACAGTATACTCACTCAGTATGAGCAAGTTGCCCATGTAGCCAATCCAATGTTCAACTGCATTGTGTTGTTTTTGTTCTTTGTGCTATCGCCGCCACTGTGCACCACGGCTCTAGCCAGTCCCACATTAGTAAGCCATTTGTATTCAAGTAGACCCTTATACTGTAGCTCGCCTTTCTCTTTCTTCTTTCTTACATATGTAAGTGTGTGCTGTTTATATTCAGTCATCCTGAGCCATCCATCCCCGAATTTTTATTTACTTGTGGAATTTCAGTAGCATTACAATTATGTACATGTTTGGATAGTCATGGACATTATTTAATCCAACAGATGGTGGTGTGTATGGGTTTGCTGTGCCCGGAAGTGGACCGGTGTTCCTGGAGAAGCTCCACTGTGGTGAAGATGATGGCTCACTGTTTGACTGCCAGAGTTTCTCTACTGACAAACCATCCACCTGTGACCACACTAGTGATGTAGGCATCCTGTGCAAAGGTAACTAAGCCACGGATTAGCACTTTAAGTTGTCTCAGCTAACTTTGTGGGCAATCACCATATTTACAACCGGACAAGCAATCCGGGAAGTTTCCAGTGAAATTTTCCCACTGAATTGCAAAGGTTTTACCCTCAAATTCATTCTAATATACAGTATCAAAACCATGATATAAGTTGAGCATGGGGAGGTAGGTGGGTGAACAGTAGAAAAGCCCCTTGTATATAGTTTGGATGTCCAGGAAATATATTTGGCACTCATTTTGTGTCTATTTTCCAATGTGAATGTCACATGCAGAAGACTGTCCTACAGTTGCACATTATGCTGACAGAATTGATTTTCTTCATGCTGTGTATGTGTAACAGATATTGATGAGTGCTCGCTGCATGGAGGAATATGTGATCACATCTGTAACAACAGTGTTGGTGGATTTGAGTGCGAGTGTCATCCTGGGTTCGCTGTGGGAGACGACGGCACAACTTGCTTTGGTATATACATTATTATTATGTCAAGCTGCTTGTAGATTACTATATACAGCAATGCATGTTAGTATGGATATGTTGACACCCTTCTTTACTTTGTTGTGCAGATTTTGATGAGTGTAACAATGAGGCGCATAATTGTGACTACAATGCAGTATGTAACAATACAATTGGCAACTACAGCTGCATATGCAATGATGGATATGAAGGAGAGGGCTATATGGGGCTATGTACTGGTATGTTAGAACGTGTGATTGACTATCAAAACTTATTCACGACTTGCTGTAGATATCGATGAGTGTCTGGATCCTTCTCTCGTATGCCACCAGTTTGCTTACTGTAACAATACTATGGGTGGCTATAACTGCAGCTGTAGACGCGGCTTCACTGGAGATGGCTTCAACTGTACTGGTGTGTAGGAATCTTGAGTGTTATTTAACCACAAGTCCCTTTTCAATGACAATATCAGTCACTGATCACACAATAATACGTACATGTTAGTTTTCTGAAAAAAAATCTTTGCAGATACCAATGAGTGTAGGATGGAAAATGACTGCCACGATATGGCAGAGTGTACCAATACTGAGGGTAGCTACAACTGCATGTGCCATTCAGGCTTCTCTGGAGATGGAACTAACTGTACAGGTATGATCCTGGCTTGTAGTCGATCCACATGCGCATTCTCTATGCATAATCACAGATTGAAACCTATAATGAAAGTGAATATTAATTTCTATACATAGATGTGGATGAGTGTGTGACTGGGAGTAATAACTGTCATATGAATGCTTTGTGCAATAATACTGAAGGAAGCTTCATGTGTATCTGCTCTGCTGGCTACTCTGGCAGTGGGACATTTTGTGAAGGTTTGTTGCTCATCTTTTTTCCTTGGAAAAGTGTTGCCCTGTCATGTTTGCACTTTCATGCCGTATGATTCATGTTGAAGTTTGTTTATTGTATACTTACACAGCGCTGTCACATACCACAATGTGCATGCATGATACCACCGAGATTTTAGACTTGCATTCACTTGCCATGTAATAAACTGAGATATATCTTTATCTACTGATACACTCTGTATAGATGTTGATGAGTGTGAGTTAGGAAATGACCAGTGCCATCAGGACTATGGGATATGTACCAATACTGACGGAGGGTATAACTGTAGCTGCAAGGATGGATTTTTGGGGGATGGAATAACATGTGAAAGTGAGTCTCACACCAGAATTAGTCAGATAATATGGCTAAGTTAGAAGTTATATAGCATTCACATACTTTGTGGAAAGAATTCTAGTGGTGTTGTTGCATCATTGATTTGTACAGATATTGATGAGTGTCAGAGAAATGAGGATGAATGTCATGAAGAAGCCGAGTGTAAAGACACTATTGGGAGCTATAACTGCACATGTAATGCTGGCTACACTGGAGATGGATTTAACTGCACTGGTCAGCACATACACATCTTTATTATCACATGGAATCTACGTAGCTTCTGCACAGATATTGATGAATGTGAGGAGATGCTACATGACTGCCACATATTTGCCGAGTGCATCAATATTCCTGGTTTCTACAACTGCTGTTGTCTTGAAACCTTTGAAGGAAATGGGACATTTTGCAGTGAGTTATCGTATTGCAACCTAAGAGCAACAACTTTGTGCACACATACACACACAAAACTTCCCACTATTTGGCGTAAATCTAAGTTTGCTTTGACGAAGGGGTGGGATAGCTACAGAGCTGCACACACCAGGGGCTAACACAAACATAGTGTAACTATATAGTGGAATGTTTCATGTATTTCAGACTGATATTAATCAACCAAATGCACATTGATGTGGACAATAAAGATTACATTACCACAATTTTCACAAGAACTCTTATAATGCAGAAACAGGTAGCAGGTTTTGTTCAGAAAGACCAATCTCCCTGCAGCATGTACAGATGGGAGAGTGAGACTTGAAAATGGTTCATCGAGGGAGGGACGTGTGGAGGTGTGTTTCAATGGACGATATGATACAGTGTGCGATGACTTCTGGGATGAGTTAGAGGCCAGCATCATCTGCAGGCAACTCAACTTTACTGTCAATGAAACCAGTAAGAATTCTTATTCTTGATGTCATTCACAGCCAGCAGCACAAAATGTAGCATTCTACATAACACCAGAGAGAAATCATACGTACACCATGTATATACATAGTAGGTACGTAGGGCCAATTGGGTCTAAAGCCTTGGTTGTTCAAATGGTTTGGTCGGAGCCCAAATTTTAAGGCATATCCAAGCGTGCACAGATCTACGCATACACCTCGCATAGTTTTGTACACTTTTGCAAATATCCCAATCCCCAGACGAAGAACCATGAAAACGAGGCTAATCGATAATTATTAGTGATGTGTCATTTTAGCCTACATTGCCTGTTCTTGAGCTTTATAATACGCATGAACGTTTCTACGGGGGTGTGAGCGTATAACTCCCACTACAGATACTACTGGCTACGGGCCTGTTGTGGGTTGTGTTGTTTGCAATAGATGCAGTCCCAGTGAGGGGAGGTGTGTATGGAGAGGGTGAGGGGCAAGTCCTCCTGGATGACCTCCTCTGTCAGGGAGACGAGGAAAACCTCATGGACTGCTCACAGTACTCTGGTGGCACTCACTCCTGTGACCACTCACAAGATGCTGGCATCAGATGTGAAGGTGAATTCACAATTAATTTCTAGATCTGTACAGTAGTCGGCAAAAATATCTTTTTATGAATATGTGCCTCCCTAATAGTTTTGAGTTTGCATGTGCATGTAGATGTATGACAGTTCATACATTATTTCATTTCTCCAACACCCTACTGTACAGCTGCTTGTACAGAGAACAGTGTGAGGCTGATGCTAGGAGATGGCATAGAATTCTATCGAACAGTGGATCACAGGCAGGCAGTGTTTTTCAATGACACTCTCAGTAGAGGTAGAGTGGAAGTGTGTCGAGGAGGAGAGTTCAGAGCAGTATGTGCTGATAGTGGCCACATGTGGGACAACCATGATGCCATGGTCATCTGCAGAGAACTGGGTCTTTCTCCTTATGGTGAGTCCGTAGCTACCCTAGCTCTATTGGCGTGTGCCCATTGTACATACAGGGACTGTTAAAAGCTCCGTCATTGCCTTGAAAGTCTAGGAACAAAGCTATTGTTTGCTGCATATCTTGGTACAACATCGTTTTAGCCTGTACTCCATCAACACCCAAATCATTCTCTTACCTACACTAGAGGGATGCAGTGCAATGTTTAGAATCACTTATAAGATTACGATAAGTGCAGTGCGGCAAATGCGGGGCACAACATATATATAATATAATTATATATATATGAAAAATTGTGCGTTAAGATGACTAGGTGGGCTCGCTTCAATCGCCAATGGTATAATATGATCATACAGGGGCCATTAGTCTTGGCAGTGGCTTCTTCAATGGTCAAGGTTTGGACGTTGGAGTGACCAGAGTCAGGTGTACAGGAACAGAAACTTTACTAGACCAGTGTGAACTAGACAGTTTCGATGAGACCACTGACACTTGTGAACATCACGCTGGAGTCATTTGCAGAGGTATATATGTGTACATGTGTTGGATTGAAGACTTACGTATACATGTCAGTCTTTTGTCCTATGATATTCAAATTAGGAGAATCACAATTCTTGTGTTTTTTTTTCAAGGTCTGGACACAAAAAGAAGTAACTGTTCTGATGGAGATTTACAGCTAGTGGGAGGAGTCAACCCCCGTGAGGGTCGTGTTGAGGTGTGTTTCAGCCAGGCCTGGGGCTCCATATGCCCAAACTCATTCGGTGGTGACGATGCAGCAGTCATTTGCCGACAACTAAACCAGACTCTGGGGAATCTTGGACCAGGTACACTGCATATTATGTCTGTTAATGTGAAGTCAAAACTCCTGTCCATTCCTCTTGTTCCACTCACACTCATATTGCAGGAGGTGAGCCAGTTATCCAGACTGAATTTGGTCTGGGAGAAGGCCCAGTGTTTCTGGATGAGCTGAAGTGCACCAGTGACAATGAGAGGCTGTTAGACTGCCCATCCCTCTTCTTTCTCTCTCGTTGTAGCCAGCAAGACGTTGGTGTCAGGTGTAATGGTAAGACTCTACACCTTAAGATATGATTCTGTTTGGATGGATTACAAAGTACAGTGCTCAGCTCTCCACTCACTGGTACTGTAAAACCGGAAATATTGGCGCTCCATTAAATTTAGCAAATTTGCCATTTAGAAATAAGTACTGTTGCTAAAATTTAACATTTTTTCTATAAGAGGTCAAAGTTAGCCACAACTTACAAAACACTAAAAAATATTAATGGCTGCCAATGTGTGGAGTCTGAGTAAAACACTAAATATAATTGCCGCCAATATTTCAGGGCTTTACAGTATACTGAGAAAGTGCCACTGCAGACTATATGTTATGTCCATCAGATATTGATGACTGTGAGTCTGGTCTCTCCAACTGTGCTGATAATGCCCGTTGTGTTGACCAAGTTGAAGGCTTTGGGTGCCAGTGTGTGGAGGGATACACAGGGGATGGTTTCAACGACTGTACTAGTGAGCTATCACACTTGCATATGATGCACACATTATTGGTATTTCATATCTTACAACAGATATTGATGAATGTGGAATTGAGCAGGATCAATGTGAACACAGCTGCACTGACACCGAAGGATCATACAATTGCACCTGTGGTCCTGGTTTTACTCTAGCCCCTGATGGTCTCAACTGTCTTGGTACAGCCTACTAGGATTCATCCTAGCATCATTTCAGTGGTCATATATTTTCAGATGTAGATGAGTGTGAGACAGTAAGCTGTACTGGTCTTGACCTGGTCTGTGTTAACAACAGAGGGTCATACTCCTGTCAGTGTATGCCAGGCTATAGCAATTCCTCGGAATATAACAACTGCACTAGTAAGAATACAGTGTTGCTCCTTTCCACCCTCCCTTTATTCTTAACTCTGGGATACATGTTGTAAGCTGTCTGTAGCACATTTTTTTGCAAAAACCGAAACGTGGGGGAGGTATGTACCTTCACATTATTGTGAGCTGATTGAATAATATTATCAGGCAAATGAGGTGTGTATAATTGCAGAATGTTCCATGGGGTGCTGGTTGTCCAAGAGTGTGTTCATATTATATAATAAAATATTTGCATTGAAGGAAATCAAGGGATTACACTCCTCATGCAACCTAGATATAGATGAGTGTGCCCTTGATCAGGATCTGTGCAGTGAGTTTGCCAGCTGTAATGACTCTGAGGGAAGCTACAATTGCTCCTGCAATGATGGGTTTTATGGAGATGGCTTCGATTGCACTGGTATGTATGACAGGTAGAAAGTGAGAAGTGACCTTTTAATAATGATTTTTTTTAAATCTGCGAATTAAAAAAATGTGGAATATAGGGATGCCATAAAAAGCAAGGAGACAAGACAGTGATGACCTGGGCATGTGATGCAGTAGTACAATGGGATGATTGTTACATCTTCAAACTGACATATCTTGCTCATGTAAATTTTACTCCACACAAGCCCTATATTGTCGCCACTCTTACTCATGACATGAGTTTTGAATAGTGTAGTGTGAAGACTGGCAAACTAATTCTGTAGGGAAAGCAACCGGTTAGTTGAGCAAACATTGAAGTAAACACAGTCACGATTCAAAACTGAGGACCTGTCAGAGAGGGCATTTGCTACCAGTCTTACATGATTAGGAAACGAGTCATAGCTGCACATCATACAATAGAGATCACTTGTGCTTAGGGCTTGTGTGGAGTAAAATTTATATGAGCAAGAAATGTCAGTTTGAAGATGTAACAATCATCCCATTGTACTACTGCATCACATGCCCAGGTCATCACTGTCTTGTCTCCTTGCTTTTTATGGCATCCCTATATTCCACACTTTTGAATTTTTCATTTACTTGTCTCCTTTCCTTTTTTACGGCGTGCACATGCATTGGGGCATAATGTCCATATAAAAAATAACATGTATTTATTGCCTCGGTCTGTTAGTCGTCATCTACATTTTTATTTCACTTCCAAAGTAGATAAGTGTACAAAGTTATAGGAAAAGCAGCACTTAATTGCCTGAGGCTGTTTGTTGTTGTTTACAAACTTGTAATTCATGTTTCAATGAACTCTTGTCATCGAACATCAGTGTACCAATTTTCATTGTTAGAGGTCCCACTATAAGCAAGTTATAGGCAATAATATAGTTTACAAGTTTTTATTGCCTGAGGCTGTTTGTTGTTGTTTACAAACTTGTAACTTCTGTTTCAATCAACTCTCATCATGGTACATCAGTGTACTAAGTTTCATTGTTAGAGGACCCACCATAAGCAAGTCATAGGCACAAACACATTTTACAAGTATTTATTGCCTGAGGCTGTTTGTTGTTGTTTACATACTTGTAATGTTTACATTTTGATAGGTTGCATGTGTGTACACAGTTTTATCACTCTGGGTATTAGCTTTACCCAGTTAGCACACTTTATTTGCCTCTATCATAATGTATTGCCTGGGGCTGTTTACGAAGAAATAAAAACGCTCTTGCACGACCTGCAAAGATATCCATATCTTACCCGGTTTTTGAGATACGCTTGTCTAAACTGAACAACAACAACAACAACAACAACAAGAAAATTGAAAAGTGACTTTTTTGAATAAATCAAGTACCGATTATGCAATTTAAGGTATTTCTTTGGATACATGCTCTTTGTGACGATACAAATGTGTCAAAAATTGGATCTGATTGAAATAGAAAGTGAAACATGAAAATCTCAAATGTATGGGCATAATGCAGGACAACCTGTGTCATCCCTATAATTATACTAAGTACGGTAAAGCAGCTATCATTTATATACATATTATTTGTACATGCATATTCGCACTTGTAGACATTGATGAGTGTTCGATGAACACAACAATGTGTCATGACCTGGCACAGTGTGTTAACACAAATGGCAGCTACACCTGCAAGTGTATGACTGGCTACGAGGGAAATGGTGTTGACAACTGCAGTGGTACGTGAGTTCACTAACTCTCTGGTGAAGAGATGAATCTGGTGTCTGAACACTGGCTTCCATCTGCAGATGTAAACGAATGCATACTGAAACATAACTGCAGTAGGTTTGCTGACTGCTCCAATACTGTTGGAAGCTTCATGTGCACCTGCCAACAAGGTTATGTGGAGCAGGCCAATGGAACCATATGCTGTGAGTGATTGTCCATAGGCCAACTACGTGTATACATTTATATACACGGTGCACGTTCATTATCATTATGCATGTAGCTAGAATAGGAAGAGAATGTTATGTCGTGTTGTAAAAGATGAGGGACATTGTATGAGGTATCATAATGCTTTTGGTTTAGTAAGGGACGGAATACACCTACGTACACCGCCACTGGAAACTGTATGCTTTGGGGTGTAACTGTAAATATATCACTTGCTGATTACTCTTTGCCAGTGTGTGCAGACTGGGACATTCGTCTGATGCATGGCTCCGTGGACTCGGAGGGAAGAGTGGGGGTCTGTTTCAACAATGAGTATGGTGCAGTGTGTGATGATCTCTGGGATGACCTGGATTCTGGAGTGGTCTGCAGGCAACTGGGATACAGTGGAACAGGTGCTCGAATTACAATTTAAGTCTGGACAGTGTTGCAACCTAGCCTCATGACTGGTGAAACGTTGAAGCTCTCCTTAAACTAGTCGCACTCTGCCCTCTCGATTTTCTCCTATAAAATTACGTTGTATGATTATGCCAGCATTTTCTATCCTTCATCTGGCCAATGGAGTGTTTCGAACATGCATTGGACTCATGTTATTGCACTGGCTGCAGTTATGTATATCCTATGTGAACCATTATCTGCAACCAATGACTTTTATTTCCTGTGTAGTTCATGATGCCACCCTCCGATCACACTTTAGTACAGAGAGGAGAGATATAGTACTGGACAATGTAATATGCCAGGGAACAGAGAGCCTTCTCTCTGAATGCTCTCTGACTCATAACACCAGTGGCATCACTAGCTGTGCTGCTACGGAGCATGCAGGAGTTAGATGCGGACGTAAGTGGTACTGTGTGTATAATGTGTTTATTAATACCTTCAAATAGTTACCTACATATAATGTACAGTAAGTACACCATTAATAGGGAGATTTATTTTGAAAGGGGGAAAAGGCAGGGTAAGAATTTCAATGAATGTTAGGTAAGAGTGCGATAAGGAAGTTACCACATATTCTGGAACCTGAATTCTATTTGGCAAATACGTACATTAATGTAAATGTTTTTTTTTCACGCACTACTTCTCTTCCAAGCTACGTAACTGCTTGATGCGTGCTGGACTTTATATTATCAATGAATCCCTATTTTCAGAGCTATGTATGCAGGGTGAAGTGAGGCTCAATAATCTCTACACTCCCGAGACCATTGAGGATTTTTTCAGAAACCCTCACCAGCTTCAAGACCTGTTCATCAGAGAGGACAAGAAGGAACTTGCAAGAGGCAAGGTGGAGATCTGTGTCGATGGAGTGTGGGGCACTATTTGTGAGGGAGAGACATGGAACAACAGTGCAGCCTCCGTGGCCTGTCACCAGTTGGGGTTCTCTCGCTTTGGTATGTGCTGCCGTACACAGAAGATTCTCCCCTCAGGGAATTATTGTTAGAATCTTACATGTACTATAAGATTACTGTAATAAGTGGCCTTTATGATCTACAGAAGATCTTTACAACTAAATTGGGACATTGCTATAAGCAAATCTGGCAAGAATCTTGTTAGATTTTTGACCTCATAGAGAAAAGCAAGAATAATGAAAAGCACTAAAATACAAAACCCTCGGCGGCGTGGAACCACGTATATGTGGTTTAGGCTGTGTCACATGCGTGGTCCTACGCCGCCAATTACTGTTGTGTCACACTGCGGACATACCTTCTTCGGGCGTCTATCGCTCTCCATCGGTCAGCCCCCTCTGCATATATACAACACGCGGAATGTACGAGTGCTGATTGCCAGCTCAAAAAAAGTCACCAGAAACGACCAGAAGTTTGCTCAGCCGCTGCCCTCACAAGAAAAATGAAACCGTGCTATTTACGGCGAGAATCACGTGATCATTGTGCGCAACCCGGTACCCGCCAGTGTAACACACGCATGCATTTATTTCTCGCTTCCTAGAGGTAAACGAATAATGATTAGCATATTGGCTTGTTAACTTGATTTTCACGCCATTACGAAAATCGCCACATTCAAAATGAAGCCGGTATAGTGCTGAACCTTTTGGTATCGCTCTTTCGTTGTCTCGTTGTGCGTGGTTGCAGAAAACGTGGTAACAGACAGACAGACAGACAGACAGAAAAACTTACGGACCAAGTACAGTAACCCTCGCTGCGCATGCGCGCCGAGGGTTAATAATGTGTTTTGGGCTCAATTGGCTTTGCATCCCTCCTTCTCCTCTTCAAAGGCTGCCTGTGGCCATCAATAAGGATTGATGATTGAGCATACATAGATATATAGCACTTGGCCTTGTACCTACACTAGGCAGAAAGGCCTCTTTGTGTCCTTAGTAGAGTATTCATCTTACACACCTACTTGGATGCCGCAGGTGCTGTAATACAAGAAGATAATATTATGCGCACAGGCTATAGCAGGCTCTTTTTTGCTCCTCCACACATAAGCCAAGGTATGTAAGTTACACATAATAATGTGTGGGGATGTAGAGTTGACCCTGCACTGGGTTCCAAGAAAAGCTACACAACACCCCTAGCAAACCTTGTTTCACCCTACGCTCTATATACCATAATACAGCTTTTGCTCAGCAAGCTGTATTGATGCCAGGTGTCGCACGTCTGCAGCTTTCCTATGCAGTTGCACCTACGTAGCTACGTAGTACAACTAGTAGATATCCAGGAGGCTATCGTACTCTTGTCCATTGTGCGTACATATAGCCAGGTACAGGCTACTAAATCCACGTCTCTGCAGCAGTAGCTCGACTCGAGGATAAAGACGCATATACCCAAATAAGCAAAGGACAGGCAAAGGCTAGCTGCTTCAAGGGGTAGTGTTTGGGGCAGCACTGGACTGAATATTCATCCTCCAAGTAACTTCATGCCTCCACGGTGCACTGAGCAGGTGAAAACGGCCAAAGTAAACTGACTTTTTCACTCGTGTTTCAATCTCTTAAACGCAGTTGTTTCAGGCTTTAGCATCGCCTTTTTATTAATTATGCCCTTGAAGCTCTGAAGCAGTTTGTATCGCCTATATGCCGCCTCGGCCTCATAGCCTGTAGTGCCAGAAAAACCGTAGACAAAAGACGGACAAACCAAGTAATATAACATGTGCACACGTGCCGAGGGTTAAAAACAGGACCACTACAGCTGCCTGGGCAGCCTCACCAGCAACTTTCCTTCACAACCACCAGAACTGCTTAAGAGTGGCCAAAAAGTGTCAATCTACTGTGCAACCACCACCACCACCACTAGTATAGAGCTTGAGAGTGGCATACCAGGTGACAATAGTAATTGTGTGATGGGCTCTGGGGAGTCGGTGTGTTTACAATCCGTTCGTAAACATATTATATCCCATGCCTATCTTGTCTCCCTTCCTGCTTGTACCATCTCTGTATTCCTGCTTTTAAAACATGTAGCTCTTCTGGTACACTGCACTATAGGTCTTATATCTTGAAAGACTAGACTTTGATTTGGCAATCTTACAACAATCTTCTATTCTCACTGTTTTTCTTTCCAGGAGCACTGGATGGAGATGTGGCTCTGGCAGATGAGTCCACTGTGATCATGTATGAGGTCACGTGCAGTGGCTACGAGGACTCTCTCGCCTCTTGTGGACACAGTTTCAGTCCTTCACCAGCCTCTGAAAACCTTGGCTGTGACAATGCCTTTGTCATCTGCCAAGGTATACTCTATGGTTACCAGTACTGACACTTTCTTGGGTGCTCTTCAATTATTACAACATAATTGTAAGCTACACCATTTTGTTTACTTCTAGATATTGCAACTGAAAACGGAAACTGCAACACTGGTGAAGTACGGTTGGTAGATGGAATCATCACTGAGAATAAAGGAAGGGTTGAAATCTGTCTCAACAATGCTTGGGGCACTGTCTGCAACTACCTTTTTGATAACCTGGAGGCAGATGTTGTATGCCGTCAGCTCGGGATAGCTGAGGGAGGTAAGACTAATGTGTGTCTGTTTCTTACTCTAGTTTTTAAGCTTTTTCCGATGTACGTAGCTCACAATGACTCGATGGTATATGGAGCAGGGAGTGGACCTATCTTTTTGGATGGTCTAGACTGCAAAGGGGAGGAGACGACCCTGTTGGAGTGCAATCCTCAACCCAACCGAGTGTTTAAATGTACTCATGATCATGATGTTGGAGTCTCCTGTGAGAGTAAGAACATGAGATCAACCACAGAGCAGTATCATCCCGCTATCCTCTCTCTTGCTATACCTGCAGCACAGTGCTCACAGGGACAGACTACCTCCTCTAGTTATGGTAACTATTCTTGGCCTCAAGGCATACTTGGGAACACCAATTATTCCCAGCGGTGCTATTATGGCAACCTCCCATCTCAGTATGCAAGCTGTCATGATAAAAGTGTCAGTGTGCGCAGGTTGTGTGACAGACGAGGGTTCTGGAGAGACCCTGACTACAGTCAGTGTCCCACCCTCAGACGCTGCCAGCTTATGCAGCTTTCTGTAGTGAGTTGTCAGTTAACAGTGGGACAATCTTTCTAGCAGAATTGCACACATTTCTTGTAATATAACACACAAAAGTAAGCATGCAAAACAGTTGAAAAGCAGATACAAGTGGTCATGGACTACTTCATTCAAGTATCATGGTTACTATTGATATGGTTGTTAAAAAAGAACTTGTCGGCAGACATTTAGAACTACACACTTGCAGATGATGATAACAACAGAAACGGCAGTAGAAGTGGCTGAGGAGCTGCAGATGATTCTCTCTGGTGCCCCAGCAGAGGACCAGACAGCTGATAATGTTGGTATTGTGGCTAATGTCCTTGCCACGTTGGCCAGTGGGACTCAGATCACTGGAGAGGTCAGTGATCTGTTCGACAAATCTCTTCAAAAGTTACAGTGCTTTATAATTTTTTGTTACTCAAAATGCACCAGAGCTTACTCTACTTATGGGCTGAGTAGGTATGTGGAGCAAAAACCCGTGCCTGGGTCTGACATGGGAGACTACATACGTACGTAGTTGCTCGCCATGTCACCTGTAGTTGTTAGTTATACATACATGTAATGGAGTTGTTGCTCCACACACTCAGCCCACTGGCCACAACTCAAAATCGTTAGAGTGGGGCTAAAACAGAAATTCAAGTGGCTGGTTGGTACTGGTATCAGCAGGTGTGCCATAACTTTCCAGTGAAACTTAGAAGCAGTGTAATTTAGGAGTGGGGATCTGAAAGTGAACTTTGAATGCAAAGTGAGAATGGCCCCAATGGGCTTCAGTACTAGTTCAACAGTGGAGTGTCCCACTCCGTAAACTGTTGTTTTGAAGTTTTCATGCACCAATACAATCCGTTGCTCACAAAAAGCATTCAGATACTATAACATGTCTCTCTAAATTTAGGCATTTGAAAATGCTGTAACTGTTGTCAGTGATATAATCTCATGGCCTGAAGACACCCTTGCAGGAAATTCTTCAAGGTAAGATTTCAAACGATAATATGACACTGTTAATAATATTATGGAGAAATTCATTTCCACAAGTTGTATTCTAAACAATGATTTCATGTGCTCTTCGCATGTTTAGCATCGTACAGTCTGTGGAATGGATGGTTCAAGGGCTACTGGGTCAAGCTAGCTTCACCCCAGTCACTGTTGTGACGGATACACTAGAAGTAGTCATTCAGGAGGTAAGTGACAACTGAAAGTACTGTAGTGCGAAGTTGAGGGATTTTGATGCCATCACAGAAGTCTGCTGAAGACCTAGGAAGATCAGGAGCATCATTTGAGTCAAGCAACAGTGGCTCCCTCTCACTACCCTCTGGAGTCTTTCAGACCATGGGAACTGGTGCGAGGATCGCTTTTGCAGCCTATACCACAGCCTCACTGTTCCCTGTGAGAGATATGAATGAACAATTCTCCATTGCATCTTCTGTTGTTGGTGTGATCATTGATGACATGAATACCAGCTCTCTGGCACAAAATGTCACAATTTCTCTGTCCATTACAAATGTGAGATATACATAGAACCATAATTTCTAATGTATGTGCACATACATACTTCATAGTTAAGACAAGTAATAAAAAAGAGGAATATAGAGATGGTATAAAAAGAAAGGGAGACAAGATAGGGATGGGATACATGAAGCATGGTTAACAAACAGATTTTAGCACGCTGACACCCCCGACCCCATCACACGATCCCTGTACTGTTTCCTGGTGTGCCACTCTTAGACTCTGCTTGGACTCAGAATAATAGTGTTGCTTACTCAGTTGAATGACACTTTTTAATTCTGGTAGTACAACATTGTTGTGACTTGTGTTTTCAAATTACAGTATAGGTACTGATGGTTAATGTTTAATACTTCACCTAGGCATAAATATAGGGATCGTGTGATGGGGTCAAACATGTATTTGTCATAGAAATTATGTAATACGCATGTGTACCAATTAAGTTTTATCTCAATGCGTGGTACTGTTAGTAAGTTAGAGAAGTGAAGAAGTAACTTTTTTTTAAAGCGCCTGAGGCTATTTTATTGTTTGCTTACAAACTTGTATTGTTGTGTTTTTGATGTTTGATGTCGGTGATGGAATATATTATGGTACACCGCTCTTCCCATTTGTGAGTTACACCAACACGTGTCCCCATTATAAAGTATTGCCTGGGGGCTATATGTTGTTGTTTAGGGTGAACTACATTGTTTGCAAACAAAGAATGACGTTGCACATCCCGTTATGGATGGTTGTAGGATCGGGTATAGGGTGAGGAGATTCCCCTATTGCTAGTTAATCCTCGGCGGGCATGCGCAGTGAGGTTACAGTACTTGGTTGGTCTGTCTGTCTATGTGTGTCTGTCGACGCTTAGTACAGGAAACGAGGCGGCCTATGAGCGATACCAACGGCTTCAGAACTGTGCGAGCCTGAAAACGACGATTAATCCTAAAACGATTGCGTTCGAGAGATATGCCGTGAAAACAGCCAATATGCATAATCACGCTGGCTTGCCTCGACCTGATCTGCTTGCTCTGTGTACCTCGGAGACACAAAAAGTCACAACGAAGAGCGTGTATCGACTCATGCATTCTATCTACCAGTGTCGCTCGCCCGTGTCATATCCGCGAGCAGGTAATGCGTAGGCCACAGACAATAAATTAGCAGTGCCGCGCATGCGCAGTGCGCCGAGGGTTTGTACTTCAGTGCTTTTCATTAGCTCGTTGCTAATAGCTATGTAGCTACTACTGCCCTTCGTCAGTACATATGGGCTAAATTTAGAAATGTTACTAAAGATAGAACGAAACAATAGGGCCCAGTGCGAGAATACAATTAAGTTTCTGTTTTTAGCAACAGTTTCTAAATTTAGCCCTTATATACTGCCACATTGCCTTTAAGCTCTCAACGTTACAACTAGCTCGTTTGCAGAATCTTGAATTAGCCATCAGCACTGCTGATATTATAGCTAATGTGTGGAGAGAGTAGTCCCTAAGAAAATCATGGACCCAGTTGCGGATCGAACCAGAGACCTCCAGCCTATTAGGAGGTCTTCGGTCCCAGCCCACCTAGGTGGGATAGGCTGTCGCACTGTGGCGAAGAAGTTGTGAAGAGAGTTGGAATCAGTTAAGGCCTATAACATCAGCATACCTTACGCCCCGCTCCTTCCAAACACAGTGGCTCAGTGGTAAGAGTGCCTGACTCAGGCTTCGATCCCCAACAGAGTATGAAAATCAGGGACTTCTTGTTAGCTATAATAATTATATTGCTATTGCCACAGGGGTCCAAGGTACCACGCTGTATGTACTGGAATGAGACCAGTGATAGTAAGTTACACATCAGAGCTTCTGAGATTGACACTGTCTCTTCTGTTCTCATTCATGTATAGCTTGGGAAGGATATGGATGTACAGTAAGCCGTTATGATGAAAAGGCCTCTAAGGTTAACTGCTCTTGTAACCATCTCACTAATTTTGGAGTGTTGGCAGTGAGTAAACATATAATAATAATATACCAAGATGTTCATAATGTTTACATACTATGTACGTATGTGTCTAGAACACAGATCCAGTAACCTGTAAGGAACTGACTCACACTCCAAATGATGACTTCACTGAGTGTATTGGTGAGTAGCACTGAAAAGAGCAATACTATTGTTTAATATTCGTCACTATCACAGAGAGAACTCCATCAGTTAATGTGTCTTTATATGACAAACTGACAGCCAGTGACTTCACTGCTGATCCTAACAGTAATTTATTTCGTGTTCAAGAAAGCCAGGAGATTGGTCTGTTGTGTGAAACTGAGCCCCAATTCACTGCCAACTGGTCCACCTCTAGCAACACAATGAGTGAGTCACGCTAGTAGCTGTTTAAAACTAGCACATAGTTTAGGCACCAACAGTACAAGTGCAGACATTGGAGCTTACTGTGAAAGTGGTCAAATGTTCTTGGAGTCACTCTATGTTTGTTTTTGCTGACCCACGGATACACCAGTTTAAATGCAGTTTGCACAACCTAGACTGCAAACCATGTTCAGCATTTCAGGATTGACCCTTAAATACTGTGAAGTACGAAACAGAAAAGAACAAAGGGTCACTACACAGCTAAGACACACAAAGCTACATGACGCCATCCCTATTATGTATCTTTGGCTGATCGTATTTGCCAATTAATTAATAGAACAAACATATAGGGATGGTGTGATGTACTTTGTGTGTCTTAGCTGTGTAATGACCCCTTGTTCTTTTTTGAGCCGTCCCTATATCCCCCTCATGTTGAAGAAATGTTTTTTCCACTCGTTTGCATAATTTTTATGAACAGTTTGTATATTATGTTCACTCTGGTTGAAGATGAACTGGTTCACCACTGCCTGACGAAGCAAGCAGTAACTAGCAAAATACGCATGAACTACTTGAACGCCCTAGGTACAAATACGTTCAACGCACCGCCCGGGCAATATGCAAGTGCAGCACTGCACACGCATCAGAACAACACCCCCTTAGCCACGTGCTGCTGAGTTTGCAGGAAATGGCGTCATTCGGTGTCTACCATGGAAGAGCTCCACGATCTCACGTAGGGACTTGCGAGAGCAAATGAACGATCGCTTGATGGCCATGCACACCTCCATGGAACCTGGAGGAAAAATTAGTGTTTCAACTGGTTCCTGTAAGGAGATAGCGGGTTTGAAGAAGAATATTATGATGATGATGACAAAAATCGTAAATTTGCGTATGAGCGAGTTCTCTCGTTGTGAACTGAGGCTGCGTAGAAAGTCTTTGGATATTGGCCTCTAGACAATTGCTAGTGATTTTTGCAGGCGTGGTGAGTCATTCTCGCCGAGTTTCTAGGCATTTTGTACGCGGATCATGTGAGATTTGCCCTGCGCCATCCCCCTACTACTACATATATACGTACAGCATCTACCGACAATCTAATTGTGCTCCAAATTTAATACATTTTCTTGTCTCCAAAAAAATCTGCTCCACAGTTCCAGAGACAAGTGTCGCAGGGGACACCATACAATATCCAACACCAGAGAGTGCTGGTCAATTCTACGTGCATCACGTATCACAGAACGTTGCAGTGCTACTAACACAAGGCCTTTTACTGAGTGACTCTAGTCCTGATTTAGGAGTCAGCTCATCTGCTGCTGGTCAGTACAAGTGCGAGGCTAGAAATGTGGATGAAACAGACTCTGACACTGTGACAATTGAAGTCAATGAAACTGAATACTGTGAGTTTTTCATTTGCCCCACACACATAACATAATATTTTACCTTCATATAGCCCATATACTTTATACAAGTACTTAAGTAACATTTGATACATGTATAGCATGGAAGAGTAACAAAAATCTATTCACAAGGAGTGTGTAATACAGATTCCAGCAATGTGGTGTACCTGAGATTCACTTCTGAGAAGACCAACACAGCAGCCACTCAACTTGGACTGGCCTCAGAGCAGATGGTTTTCCAGTACTACAGCACACTGGTGAGCAAATAATTGTTATTCCTTGGTCGACCCGGCATATTGATTGGTTAATGTTAGAAGGAGAAATAGTGTGAAAGGTGTGGTTTTCAAACTGAGGCCTAGAGACTGGGAACTCAGTGCCCCAAGCACTGGCTACAAGTCATAGACAGTAGCTGGGCTCCATATTTATGCTTGCTACCAGTGATTATTGCACATTCCGGCAACCCTACACTGCAAAGTTCCCTGCGTAGGTAAACTAAAGAAACATGAACTAGAGTGTGCGGACCAAACCAGATAGTTACTAATTATGGGGTTCTGCCGTCACATAATTAAAAGGGTGGGACATCAGTGCATAATTGGCAATGACCACTATAGCTATATAGGTATGAGGGAGAACTGATGTCGTAGCTCAATGCTGCTCCTGGGAAAAGGTTGGTTTTCACATGACCTGAAATTCCACTCTTGATGTATTCAGATTGTGATGTCTGCCAACACTGTATCAAGTACTCAAAACAATTATGCAGCGAAGTGTGATCAGTATGTTGGGTGAGTGCCACACTTATAGCCACAAACACACATTGTAGGTTAGGTGCAGAGCCGAGGTAAGTATGCGTGGTAGAGTGCTGAGGGCTCTATATCATGAAGAACTGTCACTTGAAGATCCCGTGGAAAGATGAGCCTGATGCAACAAGCCTGTGGGCTGCGGCACTACTAGCAAGCTAGTCTGGCAGGGCCACACCCTCAAGTGCGAGCAGCGACCGCTAGTCACTTCCCACTAGCTTCCACGATTACCACGGGACATAGGCGAATGTCTAGCTTAGTCTATGCCATGCCTTGTTTGCTGGTTTTGCATGGGCACATGTGTAGAGTAGCTGCAGTTTCTCCCTTGTTTGAATCGTAGTGCACATGCTCCCCAATGGATACCGTTGTCTGGGCAGCAGTATCTAGTGAAAATAGATACTGCGTTTGGACCAATGAAATTGCTCGATTTCAAATCACTGTGATCTAGAATATTGCAGTAATTGTAGCATATAACATTATTGTTTGACAGTCCTAATGACAGAAGCAGTGCCAGGATTGAGTGTAAAGTTGCTGAGGAGGGTAGCAATATTTTGAATATTGATGATGTCACAGACTTGCTAAACAACACCCTCGCTAAGACAAAGGACTTCCGCACCTCAAGTAAATAATTTGTACTTGCCAACCACAAAAAATGTTGACTCTCAACAAGCTTTACACCATGTGTGACAAACCACAATGAAAGGTTGAGCCTTCAATTTCAATATGTAAACAACACAAACCAGTTGGCAGTTTTTTCTGCAACTGTTAGGTATGTGTTTCATTGAGCATTGTCTGTAATGCTTATTCACAGAGGAAGGGTTTTGTGATCTGGAGTTGAATGTTTCCACACTGCACGGAAACTACTCCTGGGAGGAGACAGTTGTGGGTGACAACTCGTCCTCTACATGTCAGTTTGGACCAGAGGATGGTGTGGACCTCAGCCAGGGGTTTGTACAGAGGGAATGCCTTGGACCTCATATATGGGCTGATTACTACGGTGGATACTGCATCACAGAAGTGACAGCCAAAATCCGCGAGCTTGGAAATGTTAGTTTCCATTTTATTTTAAAACTGCCCATTAGCTTCCAGCAATACTACGTATTATACTTGTGTCACAATACAGAGGACGCTGGCCACAGCTGAGGATGTAGCTGATGTGGTTGGTCAGCTGAATGACATCTTCAGTGCCACATCTCCCCAGGATCAGAGTGAAGGGAACCTGGAGGTAGTGCTCACCATCTTCTTTGGGGCTGCAGAACTCTCAAACAATGTGTCCTATACTGAAACTGTAAGATGTTTTTTCAATTAGCTATGGCTCTCTGTCTCAGCACAGATATGCATACTTGGGGACATATATATACATGTGTGGAGCTCTCTTCTGGATTTGAGACCAATTTTAGTAAAAAAAATACACAAATTTTGCCACGCCCAACACATAGCAAACACATTTTTGCTTGGCTGATTTGTCTCTGATGAATGATCACACTTTATGCCTTGATAATTCCATTATTGGCGAGCAAAGCAAGCTCACCTTGTCGTCTGAATGCAGAATTTTTCCATAAATTAAAAATCCTGCGAATTTAAAAAAAGAGGCATATAGGGATGGTATAAAAAGAAAGGGAGACAAGATAGGGATGGGATACATGAAGCATGGTTAATGAACAGATTTGAGCACGCTGACACGACCCCATCACGCAATCCCTATATTGTTGCCTGGTGTGCCATTCGTAAACTCCATTTTGTACTCTTGGTTACTCAGTAGCATGACTTTTTGTATTTTCAAGCTGTAAGTCCTGACTATTGTGTAATGTTGAATGTTTAATACTTCACCTAGGCAACAATATAGGGATTGCGTGATGGGGTCGGGGTGTCAGTGTTCTCAAATCTGTTCATTAACCATGATTCATGTATCCCATCCCTATCTTGTCTCCCTTTCTTTTTATACCATCCCTATATGCCTCTTTTTTTAATTCGCAGGATATTAATACTTGTCTCCATTCATTTTTATATACTACTACGTATATCTCTGTGAAAGAGGGGCAAGCCCACTACAAAAATTAATAATAGAGAAAAATGCCTGTTGTCGTCATGGAAATGATGTAATACGCATGCGTACCAAGTTTCATCTCCATGTGTGCTGCCGTTAGCAAGTTTGAGGAGAAGTGCCTGAAGCTATTTGAACAATATGTAGTCATCATAGAAACATGTAGTTGTCATGGAAATGATGTAATACGCATGTGTACCAAGTTTCATGTCCATGCGTGGTACCATCAGCAAGTTTGAAGAGTGAAGAAGTAGTTTTAAAGAAAATTGCCTGAGGCATTTTCAAACAATGTGCGGTCATCATGGAATAGGCATACGTACCAAGTTTCATCTATGCATGCTACCATTGGAAAATTTGAGGGGTGAAGAAGTAAATTTAAAGAAAAGTGCCTGAGGCTATTTGTTGTTGTTTACAAACATGTACTGTTGTGATTTTAATGTTGGTGATTGAATACATTATGTCTACAAAGTTTCGTTCACATAGCTCTTACCATTTGTGAGTTATACTGACACATGTGATCCATTATAATGTATTTCCTGGGGCTATTTGTTGTTAACCCTCGGCGCACATGCGCAGCGAGGGTACGGTACTTGATTTGTGTGTCTGTCTGTCTGTTACCACATTTTCTGCCACCACACGCAACAGGACAACAAAACAGCGATACCAACGAGTTTATCGCTACACTGGTTTCATTTTTAAAAAAGGCGATTTTCGGATAACTACTGCGTTCAAAAGTTATGGCGTGAAAAGCAAGTGAACAAGCCAATATGCAAATTAGCACAGGCTTACCTCGACCGTGTCCGCTTGCTCTGTGCATCTTGAAGGCGCAGGAAGTCACAACGAAGGGCGTGAATCGACTCTCACATGCTATGTACTACTGTAGCTAGCCCGTATCAGGGTCTCTGCGAGCTACTAGCGGGAGACCAGGAGTAAACACATACTAAAAGCCCAGCCCATCAATTAGTGGTATCACGCATACGCAGTTCGCCGAGGGTTTGCACTTTAGTGCTTTTCATTGTTTACAGTAAACAATGATGTTTACAAACAAATAAGTATGACCAGTCTCTTCGGGTGACGGATATCTACATTCTTACAAAATGTCATTATTATAATATGTTATTTCGTTTTTGAGTTACGCGAGTACGAAGAAGGAGAAGAAGATGCACAAAACTCCCTATCATAGGCCCATACATCTATTATGCTAGCTACCATGCCCATCCCTATATACTAAGTACTACCGTACTTAGTGATTATTTGTAACGTCAGGCTCTGCATATACCGTAAAGTTGCATGTAATTCTAAATCCGTGTGAAACACGCGAAATATTTAACTACGTACATACTTACTTCACTTGCCAATGAATGATGTATGTATGTAATGTTCAGGTGGTGGAGGATGTTACAGGGATCACCAGTGGTGTATCTTCATGGCCTTCTGCTGTACTCTTCAACAGTTCATCCGGGTAAGTCAGTATGTTTTCTCAGTGTGCAAATATCCTCCTCCTCCATTTACACAGAATTGTGCGTTCATTTGAAGTGATATCGGAGAATTTGGTTGGTCAAGAAAACTTTACAAACACTTCATTTATATCTCCAAATGTTGCCTTGTCAGGAGTACAGGTACGCACATCGACGAGCCTTCATATTATGTATCAGTTCACATTTCCTCACACAGAATGAGACTGAGGAGCTACAGGTGATGGGAATAGATTTTGACTACACACTTCTTATATCAGGTATGTATTACACATAAAACCACAAATGTTTTTGCCAACCTAGTGGTTCGAATTGCTAGTTTTATATGGCACTGTAACCATACCATAATGTTTTGCATAATTCTTAGTATGTGTAAGCTGCTGAAATTTCGCACTCACATTCACTCAGCACTGATGCATGGCATTTTTTGTAGTTGTATGTTATTAGGTTTCCTCCCATTTCTTCCTAACCCTATTCTTTTTCCCTGATAAGCACTTGGTGGCAGTGAGATGAAAGTAAATACCATGAGCACTGGAAACTCTAGTACTGTATCAAATACCTCACTGAGTGATGGCTCTGGAAGTGGCTCCGAGAGTGGCTCTGGCCATAGGTCCTCTCCCGTGAATGTCACTACTGGTATATCTGAGGACGTGAGTCCAACTTACCCGGGCAACACTCCTGAGAGTAGTGACGAAACAGAATTTTACGACGCGAAAAACATTTCAATTCACTTACCACCTGCCCTCTTTGAGAATGTGACAGACACTAGTGTGGGGGTGTTGTTTACCTTCTATACTGGGCCAGCTCTATTTCCAGTGAGGAGATCCTATGATGAAGATTTCCCTGAAGTCATCAGTCCTGTTATTGGAGCCTCATTGGCTGGGCTAGACCCGCCAGTCAATCTCACTACAAATGTTACCATAATTCTTCCCTTTTCCAAGGTCAGAGTAATAACCTGTCCATCCATTTGCCCCTTCTTCATTTTTCCTCTCTCCAGCTGCTGAAGGAGTCAAATATATCATCACTGAACACTGCCGTGGTGTGTGTATCATGGAACTTCTCTGCTGCAGGTATGTAAACGTTATTTATTCTACATTTCTCTTCCTATCATCATCACTACAATTTTTCATGGTCGAATCTAACCGCAACTAGCTGGACTAGCCACTTCCCATACTACATTATACTAATGTATAAGTTGGGCAATGACTTTTTACTGCACTGCTGTTTGCCTTTGTTAGATGAAATGGGGAATTGGTCTACATCTGGTTGCAGTTTAAGTGCTGTTGACGAAGAAGACGAAAATGGAACAGGCATAGCCACTTGCACTTGCAACCACCTCACCAACTTTGCAATTCTCGTGGTGAGTCCGAAGTAATTACACACATAAAACTTCTTCATACTTATTTCCATGCCATGAGATACATGTGAAATGCCTAAAGACTGCATCGTGTAATCGGTCTCCAAAAATCTCAACAAAGATTTTGCATACCTGACAGTGCCTAACCTGTTTTCTGGCCCTCTCTTTGTTTGTCATTCCATGAAATATGTACACTAAGCCACGCTGTACAGCAGTGTTCAGTTGGTGCTCTCAAGTGTATAAACGAGCAAGAGAGCTGCCTCAATTGTGAGCTAATTTTTCCTGACGATAATTAAAGCTCTTCCCAAAAAAACAAACACACCTTCATTTTAGCGAGATTGTTTAGTTGCCCCAAGGCCTTGTGCAGCTTGTAAAATTCGAGGAGTAAATGGGAATTATTTCACAGAACATTGACGCCAGGGAGAAGGGAAAAGATGAGGAAGACATTGGAATATCCATCCTCAGCTATATTGGAGTGTCGCTATCAATTACTGGGATAATTATCAGCCTTATCACTCTAATTGGAGCAAAGTAAGGCCGTTTAGTCAATCACAGTGGCATAAACTACATAGGCAGATCTGAGCTAGCGGAGTACATGAAAATTTAGATATTACAGTCACTCCCCTACCTTTCTTAGGAGTTTACGTGGCCGAGATGTTACAAAATTCCACGTCCAGCTTTTCCTTTCACTGTTGGGGCTGTCCCTGTCATTTTTGGCTGGAATTGAGCGAACAGAAACTGAGATCCTGTGCACACTCTCCTCTATTGTCATTCTCTACTTCACACTCTCCTCCCTCTTCTGGATGGGGGCTGAGGCCATATTGATGTTTAAGAAACTTGTGGTAATATTTGGATCAGTCTCCAACAAATTCGTCATTACACTTTCACTGATATGTTGGTGTGAGTCATACATTTTATAGACAATAGTATCGTGTGTTAAAGTTCAACCCAGGGCAGCTCTTTTTTCCTTTGAAAAAGAGTGTAGTCTAGGATGTCGTTGATATCCACTTGCCTGGTTGTTACACCCAGTGATTCACATTGCTTCTACTTAATTTGTATGGAGAAAGAACTGTCTCAGGGGTAGTGTCAGTGCATAAGGGACGGGATGTTACTATTAGTAGCAGAGTAACAGAAGCCACGCAAGAGCACAAGCGTCTTGCACCATGTATAATATACTAGTGGAAAAATCATTTGTTCAAAATGAAAGGGGGATATAGGGATGGCTTGAAGCACCATAAAGGAAGAAACAAGGGGTCATTACACACCAAATATGCACAAAGCCACATGACACCATCCCTATATCTTTGTCTCATATTAAACTTTGCAATAAAACAAAGATATAGGGATGGTGTCATGTGGCTATATTTGGTGTGTAATGACCCCTTGTTTCTTCCTTTTTGGTGCTTCAAGCCATCCCTATATCCCCCTTTCATTTTGAACAAATGATTTTTCCACTTGTTTCCACTATTTTAATGGCTTATGACAACACTGCATTTTCAGTCACTCTGATGTTCATGGGTGTTGTAGAGATAACTGTTGAGCAGAAGCTAATGGGAAGATAAGAGTTCCCCTGCAGGCATCCTGGCTTAGTCTTGTAGACCTGGTTCACGCGCGTTTCGCATTGGGGAAACGCCCTCCTTGGCGCATGCGGCTCACTGATGCTGAGTTAGCAGCAAATGGCGTTGTTCAGTGACTACCATGGAAGAGCTCAACGATCTACCGTAGTGACTTGCGGCAAGAAACAAGCGATCGCTTGGTATGAGTGCACACGTTCTGTGAAAAAATCAACGCTTCAACTGCTTCCGGTAAGGACTGAAGAAGAAGAAGAAGATGAAGAATATGATGATGACACGAAAATCGCAAAATCGCGTGAGAGCGAACTCTCTCGTGGGGAACTGAGGGCATATAGGAAGTCTTGGGGCATATGTATAGCTAGGTATTGGCCTCTAGACTATTGCTAGTGATTTTGAAGCCATGGTGAGTCATTCTTGCTGAGTTTTAAGGTGTTTTGTACGCGGATCACGTCAGATTTCACTCGTGTCATCCCTATATAGAGCGTCTACCGATGCTCTGTATATATATATACGCCAGGCGGGCTACTGCCCTCGTGCCATTAATTCTGCGCAGAATTGTACGAGGAGTGGGCATGTTACAATTTTTACTAAAGGTAGCGCATATCAGCTCCTACCATGCCATGGAAGTTTTGGGTTTACCGTTGCCTTTTTTCAGAGTTTGAGCCCAGCCTGCACAACAGAGCATTCATCAAGAGAACAGAGCATTGTGGGTTCTAGTCATCCCACCTAGGGCAGCCCTTTTTCCTTTTAATTGCTATGCCCTATGTGTCGCTATATGCACTTGACTTGTGTTTACACCGTACGGCTTTTGATAAATTCGGGTGCTATCCATGAAAACTACATATTCTGGTCAGAGTAGAGATTATACAAGACATTTTCAAATCCGATCAAACCTCAGTGTGTTTCTTCGTTGCAGTGCTTCCTCTACCATTAATTATCTCCGCCATTGGAACCATGGGAACTAAAAACAACTACATGATACACATCCAGAGGGAGGCCAATCATACACTCGGAACGGATTCAGTCTCGGGATAGTAAGTGAACTTCTGAATTAGTCATGTTGCCCATTATTACTAATCATTACATGAACTTTGCTGTCAATATAAGCCATTAATTAGCCTAAACTAAACTATGTCATTAATTCCTCTTGGATGGGTGTTTATTGGAATTACACAAGACATCTATCTGCTTACTACTAACAGTTGCTTTGTGAGTGACCTGAGGCTACTGGCTGGAGTGGTGTTGGCCCCAATGGTCCTGGTGATGCTCTTCAACATCTTCATGCTGGTGGTCGCATTCCGTGTCATTGTCCAACAGAATAAGAAGAAGCTGTTTCAGGGAGGGGATCGCCATTTGATGAAGATGACTGTTAGGAACATTGTCAGTCTGGTATGGCTCATTGTTCTCTTTGGAGTTGGGTGGCTCTTTGGTCTGTTGACAATTCGTGAAGTCTCAAGAATTTTCCAGTACCTGTTTGTGATTCTAAATGCTTTTCAAGGCTTCTACTTTTTCCTATTCATTGTTCTCAACCAAAAAGAGGCCAGAAACTTTTGGTCGGGTTTTTTAACTAGAGGTTTGTTTAAGTCTTCAAGGCTCATGACATCACACAACAAAGTTTATGGGAACAGTAGTGACTACAAGCTACGAGGGAACCAAGGATACCTTACTGCGCTGCCTGCAAACACCAACCCCAAAAGGAATCAATTAGTGAATTACTTGACTCTCCCGGATCCTGCTACATTATATGCTTCAGAATCCTTTGTCAGTGCAAACGATGGTGCTCTTGAGCCAGACAACATTCCTCTCCAGCCTGTACGCACCATCAGACAGGGAAGTGCTGTAGTTGACGACTCTTGCATCGAGGTCACCACTTACTTTGATGACGAGGAAGACATGGAACATACTGGCATAATAGTGAACAAAAATTCAACATTGGATGAAATGCTGCCAATTCCAGGGTTAGATAGTACAAGTTCTGTATCTGACACGAAGAATCCTGCTCGCACGGAAAGTGAACATGCAACTATTGAGAATGATGACACTCCCACTCCTCCAAAGAGACGTAAAAGAAAACAACGCCGTGTGAGTGAGGCAGATATCAATGAAAACGACCAATACAAGCCAAAACACCATAAAAGCAAGACTATTGCTTCAGTTGCCACCAGAAAGACAGAGCCAGTTGCTAACAGTGGAAGAGAAAACGGTGTAATGTCAGCTGTAGAGAATGGAGCGAGTTTCAGGATGGGTGCTGCTGTTCTGCGTCAAACCAAAGTAACCAGTTTTGGCGAGCACCGAATATCACGCCAGAAGAAAGTGGTGGAGCCTCTGCAAGCCCCTTTTGAGATCCCCAACCCTCTTTACTCCAAAGAGGAATGAGACAATACCTTGAACTCCAACAAAAATTGCTAAGTATAATTATCGTGAATAAGTAATCATATTGAGGTAATTAGTGATGTATGTATACACGTGCAACATATGTGCACGCCACTGTACCATTATACTGTAGTTGAACAAAATTTAAGATGTGTCTTGTTCAGTATGTACACCCAGCCGAGAAAATAATACAGTGTCATACCCACATTAAAATGGACTGAAAGTTACCTTTCCAGTAATTTTACACTAGACCCGCTCTTCTGCAATATAAAAGAAACTCTCGCCAAGAGCATAGTGCTTACCTCGTTCCCAGGCCCTTTCTCTCCACACGTAACTAACATACAATGAAGTTCCCGTTTATCTTCCGAAAATATTGCATTTTCCAATGAATGCCCATGAGCCCAGTAAGTCCCCTGTGTATGGTGTGGAGTGCTGCCACCTTTTGGAATGTTTGCATATACCTGCAGGGTCACAATAATTTACGTACAATGTTCAATGTTCTGGCACTGCATTAAATGTACTGTTGTCTCTCTATTAAAGTCATAATACTCTAGAGCTAGTCCACTATCATCTCTTGTCATTGTGCGTCATCATTACAATAATTGGCATTGTGTGTCATTAACTGTCATCACTTGTCATACTGTCATCCCATATGTCAGCAGAAATAATAATTGGAGGCTGGCAGACCTTCAAGGCCTCAGATACGTAGACGTGTATAATTACTCACCTACAATTGTTCTTGGAAGCTTTACACAATTGTGATGACCCACACTACACTAGCAACAATAACCTCTGGTGCATGCCTCATCAGTGCATAGGCCAGAGATAACTATATTGGTTGCCAGTATGTAATGGTCGGGTTATGTTTATAACGTCAAATTATAAAATATAATTACCTTGAGTGTGTACAAAGTTGAACTGTGGGCACTAGAATTTGGGACAGACATACGTACGTACTCTTCAGGGTTTTGAAGCTGTTAATTTGGTGGCCTTAGCTTCTTGTCTTTTATTTAGCCCCTACCTGATGTGATGTTGCAGTGTTTGCTTTGCTTTGCCCTGTGACATCATTGTTGCTCGTATAATATCGTCAGATGGTAAATGCATAATCTAGATGGGAGTATATAGGTTTTCGGCCATGTGTCAAGAATGAGGTGAAATAGGAAGGCAAAGGCAGAGCAAATGCGTCAACTACACCCACGACTGCTTTTTTATTCCAATGAAATAAGAGAAGAGTTGCTCCGAGTGGGATTCGAACCCACGACACTCTGCAGTCTAGGCAAACGCTCTAACCACTTTGCTTTGGCACAGTAATTCTCTCACTAAGTAATTATACTTAGCATGTGTACATTCTGACTCGTGGAGATAAAGGTTTCATGACTTTTTTACAAATAGGTCAAAGTGTGTTGTGATGACACACAGTGATGCATACTGCATGACAAGTGATGACACGCTATGACAAAGCATGACTCAACCTTTCACAAAAAGCACTGCGACATTCACCTCTATGCAAAATTCGGCATCTTTTCTAACTAAAGATGCACAATGCCACATGAGGACAAAAGCTACGTATGCAATGAAGGTTCAGTTCCATAGTATGTTGTTACACCAGAAATCCCTATATACCATGGTACAAACACTGCCACTGTAGTATTATTATAACGTTAACATAATGGTGCCAATTATGTCACTGATGGAAAATGACAGAAATAATGTGTTATCTGACTACGTATGTATCTAGCAGGTTGCAAAGATATGCAGTGAGCTAAAAAATATCCTTGGACCATAATTATTATGACTGCATTCCTGTTGCTAATTATAATAGCCACAATTGTACTGAAAAGTGGCAATAGCAATACGTGAATGTGGCAGTATATAAAGGATGATTATTTTTATTTTGAAATGTTACTAAAAACAGAATTCTATTGCATTCTTTCACTGTGCCCCTATTTTTGGCAAAATTTAGCCCTTATGTACTGCTGCATTCTTTTAGTGTGCTCTCCATTCATAATAATAGTACGAAGGTGGTGGCAGTTTCCCCCCAGTGGACACAGGAAAAGCATATTCATAGGGTAGTGAATAATGTAATCATGATACAACCAGGACTGCAGTACATGAACAATTGGCACGTCCCAGTGAACAACTGCAGTGAGCGTGCAGGGCCTGACCTTTGAACGATTCTAATAAAGCAATGTAGACCTTGCGCTATGAATCCTCCTCCAATTACATGCACAGAGTAGAGACAATTGTTTTTGGTTGTAGCTACCCAGCTATAACATTAAATGATATAACACATGGGTTAACAAAACACATGAATTCACATGACTACACAAAGTGAACTCTACATACTGTAACCGTGCAGTTTACCTATGCAAAATACATAAATTATGTATACATACTACATGGCAGTGTTACTATTTGCAACAGTACATGTCCATACACACATACACTAAACAAAACAAGTACAATGTGACAGTGATCCTTGTGCAGTGTACCATAACAGCTGCAAGGCACTAGTAGAGAACTAACCGTAAAAGCTTAAGTATACGTAGCTATCTGCCGAATTAAGAAACAATATTCATGGTGATTACATACGGAAGACGTTATCGATAGACATTACAACGGATAACTGTCTAGCTTTCAGCAATCAATACAATTACCTTTATACCTATTGTACCTTGTACTCGATCTGTTGCACAATTTTCCATACATGATACTTGCGTGCATTGATGCAATGTAATTACTTAAAATTTGGCAGCAGTTTCAATTAGACAGATGTGCATGTGTGTAGGACATCTATGCTATCATGTATGTATCACTGTATAATAAATGGTGCCTATGCTTAATTAAGGAGGATACTAATACTGTAGGTACGTTCATACATTTGCACATAACAAAGGGATGCCCAGGAAAGAAGGAAACATCACCCCACCACTGGCAGGGATCTAACTATTATGAATTATAAATTATGTGGTCAAAGGTCAGTAATTACAACTTGGGTATATAATAATACCTACATAGTGTAATTCATGCACTCTGTAGGCGAAATATTATGGCAGACACTGAATCACACCACTGTTGCTTTGTAGTTGCAACAACCACGTACAACACAGTTGGATCAGCTAAAATAAAGCAACCCCGGCCATCAGGACACAGCCAAAAATATTTTAATTATGCAACAGCTAATTCAACCCTTCTCCATCTCTATATGTGCGTGTCCGTGCGCGCAAGCGCACTCGCATACAACGGCGCTGCTGCTAAATCCACCACACCGCAATTAACACTAGGGCGGCGGAGGCTCGGGTCTCATTAGTCAGCGAATCTCTTACGGCGTATATACGGCCTGTCTCCCTACTGCAGTACGACCATGAACGTCGTAACAGGCACGGGTGCCGGAGTTTTAACAATCGCTACTGGCACTACGTCTGCCCATCACCCGCCACGACTCTCCCGTACCACCCGGGAACCGTCAGATGTTTACCGTGAAGGACTGAAAAGATGCGCCCAAGTGCCGTCGGTATGCCGTGCTACCTCTCCGCGCCCTTCGAGTGGACTAACATTTGCGAGAAGACGGCACAGCCAAAGCCTGGATTCCCCTTATCTCTCACGGCCTCGAATGAAGCGACGTGGCGCTGTATCCTACGACAAAAACGACGCGGCTGCGGAGTACATCAGATACCTAGGTAGGTGCGGAGTAGTGAGAATTTCTGACAGGTGATTCGCAGATTTTATTCAGCTGATTACTTTATACACAGGCGACACGCTCAACCAGCAGAGACATGTCCAGACATGTACCCCTCTTGCAGAGCTACCTGCCAACAAATGTAAGAGAGTCACTTTCCTCCAAGTCAATGTGTATGTATGTAGAAGCTCTGGTCAGGGGTGTGTGTATTTGTACATCATTCTGGCTGGCCTCTACTCTGGTATGCCAAATACGTACACTGTCGTTCTGTGTTATGTTCTGTGATGTGCTTGATATGAGATGTGACAAAGGTTATGTGTTGCCCCATGCACAGTGTATATACATACTAGGAAATGGTCCTTTCCATTGAGTTCAGAGTCTATATTAGTAACACTACGCTTTGTACTACATGTAGTTTCCTTATTTTCCCTTGAGTATAATGGTCCATGAGGTGTTCCTGTCCACATATTAATTAATTTTCTCCGCATTCTATGCACATTACACAAAGCACACGGTGACATTACCACTTATTTTGCATTCACACTCCATGTGGTTGGTGTGTCCCCCCCCCCATCTTTGAAACACATCTCCTACGTATGTACATATGAATGAAGTTGTGTACAGGCATATGCAATGTTGCTATAAGGAGGCATCGCCTATTTCTCTTCTCCTGTTTTTTGCACAGTAGTTTCACTCTCCGTGCCCTCCCGACGCCACAGTCGCCGTGGCTCTATTCAGAACCACACTTCCCAGCAGTGCTACAAAGACCTCCTCAAGGGCTCTATCCTACAAAGAGTAGGGGCCGAAGAACAAGCCAGACTCATACAGGTTAGTGCATTAATGCCCTGCTGTGTGTAATTTAGATGTATGGTGTACGTGAGTTTTGCTGCCACCCCGTGTTTGTGCATGTGTGTTGTGCTTCTGAATGCTGCCACCGTGCACCAGCTCATGCATGCATTGATAGTCCTATGAGTAAGCCTTTGTGGTTTTAGCCTATACAGATGTTCTTTCATAAGTGTTAGCTACTAATGCCCCAGTAAAGTGATGCAGCCTAAGGTGATGTGGTCACTGTCAGTGACAAGAAAGAAATACAATTAACAGACTGGGACAAACTTGGTGTGTGATTTGTCCTGAACCTCAGGTGTGTCATAAGGTGTTCTTCCTTTTAGAGCCCTGTATACTGTATGTACAACAGGATGTTCTGGGTGGTGTCAGTGTTCACATTGGTGACCTCTTGGCATGGGTCCTGTACACATCTCACCTCACATGTATGGGCAATGGAGAATGGGGTTTAGCAATGGCACTAGCTGTTGATAATCGTTCCTGGGGACTGCACTGTTGTGCTACTCTCTGTCTGTTTCCTTGTGTACACAGCACTCTCCATAACAAACCCCTAGTAGTGCTTGGTTTCAGTATCACTGTGTTCACATACACTAGTAGGTGAATGCACTGCATTTTTGGTGAGCGGGAGCGATCTAACGATTGTGTGCATGCGCAAAGAAGCTGTTGATTCCTGTGTAGTAACTGTAGTGGACCCTCTCTCTCCTCGGCAGACTCGGCGGCAATTCACCTTGTCTGATAGCTTCGGATCTGTTGGAGCCTTGCCTGTTGCGTTTCCTCTGATTCCGCAGCACGTGTAGCTCTTACACGACTTCTCGCTAGTCGTGCTTCCCTTTCTTCCGCTGTTTCCGTGGCCAGGCGTTGCCTTGCCCGTTCCCTATCACGCAGTCGGCGTCGAGAAAGATGTGCCTCTCTTTGCTCAGAAGTCTCGCTGGCACGACCGTTCTCTTTCCCTTTCTCGTCGACGAAGGGCATCTTCTCTAGACCGATCAATCGCAGAAAGTGTGGTTGGAGTTATATTATACACAAGAAATATACGGTGTAAAAATTTGAAGTGTTTTTCGGATAAAAATAAGCGCGTGGACGACGTACGCGCGGTCGTATATAAATAAATATATAGAAAAATCGCGCCGTTCGTACCACTAGGTTAGCTCGCTCCCGCTCGCCAAATACTATAGCTTCTCTATCTTTAACATACATGCTGGACAGTGTGTTGTTGTTTTCTTGCAGGAACTCCTGCGCAAGGCTGACCACTGGGATTTTGACATCTTTGCCTTCAGAAGGGTCACTGGGGGTAAGTGCAAAGCAGGGGAGGGATGATGCATGGGTGTAATGAAGGGTAGGTGGGAAGTGGCATGACCCAAACTTCAGCGTAACAATGATGACACATCCTCCTAGGAGTTATGTACATACCCTGTCAACATGTGTATAGTATTGGAATACATGGCAGAGTCTGCTGTTCTGGCCCTAGGGTCAATGTTTACGTGAGTTTGGTGAGCTCTGGAATGCCTAGCAACTATGATGTGACCCCATTTGTAACCTTCACCCTATAAACCTGATTTGACAGGGTTCTATGCATTCTGTGAACTCTACCTGGCATATCCTGTGACATCAGTTGTCTGATACAAACGTACAGCGTAGTATGTACAGCTCATGATGCTGTGTATACAGTATTTTATAACTAGAGGATGCAACGCATTTTTCGTGAGCAAAGAGAGCAGGTCGTGTTTAGAATCACGTAAACATTTCAGTGCAGCAATGCTGGTCACAACATATATAATTCCGCATTCAGACAACTATATATATAGGTGTGCTTGCTTTGCTCACCAATTATACAGTATATATTTTTTAACCCCACACCTTTCTTTCTGCAGGTCGTCCACTTTTCCACATGGGTCTACACCTCCTTCAACAGCACCATCTCATCTCTTACTGGAACCTGGATATCATGAAAGTCATGAAGTTTCTCGGTAAGCTGCTGTTTTTTTAGATATAAAGTTCTAATCCTCATGTAATCTACAGCACTAGTCGAGTCTGCCTACCATCCTGACAACTGCTACCACAACTGCACACATGCAGCAGATGTAGCACAAGCTCTCCACTGCCTTCTAATGGAGCCTAAGGTAAAGCATGCACAAATGCTTGCCTTTGATATATATACACGTATATAATTATACACTTGTTAAGTAAAATATGTGGTTGCATTTGTTGCAGTTGAACAGTAATATTACACCATTGGAACTGCTGGCAATCATGATAGCTGCACTCTGTCATGACTTGGACCATCCTGGTGAGAATCATTAAATTTTGTGTCTGCACAGGTTATGGAACAATGGCACGATAGGTGTAAATACGTGGAAATACATGGCCATTGAGCCATTCACATCAGCACACACAGAGCATGAGTATTGCTATTACATCTGGCATAATGTGAGGATGCCATGAACAGGACATTTCCTGGAAGGTCATGCAATACCTTTTGTCCTCTTTCAGGGGTCAACCAGAGTTTTCTGCTGAGTACTTCCAGCTATTTGGCCTCCATTCATGGGGTGAGTGTTGTATCATGCATGTGTAATACAAAAGCAAAACCACAGACAGTGACACCTTTACGTAATTGCCACTCTGGGCCAAATTAGGATGTAAAGTTCATATTTTCTGTTGCTGCAGCAAACGAGCATCCTGGAGCAGCATCATTGCAGGGCCACCAAGGCCATTCTGAGAGAGGTGGGTCTGCTGGACCACCTGCCAGATCAAGAGAGAGAGGAGATCATCTCTCTGATGGAAGAGCTTATCCTGTCCACTGACTTCACCAGACACAAGACCTTCATGGCCACCTTTGAGGTATGTACAGAGGATGTGCACCTATGGCTCTTCCTAATGTCAACTTCTATACTGTGTCTTTCACAACAGGGAATGTTAGTGTCTGACCACTCCATAGATCTTTCAGAGCCTTCAGTCAGGAAGTTTGTTCTTAAGGTAAGTCTGATCTCAGATACATATACCACTGTACGCTGTTAAATCAATTCATAGATTGCCATAAAGGCTGCTGATGTAAGCAACCCAACTCGTCCCCTGGAGATCAGCAGGACATGGAGTGAACACATTATGGAAGAGTTTTTCAGACAAGGTGTGTGTGTTGCATTTGATGTAGTAGTACAGAAACATAATTCATGGGATGTATGTTACAGGTGACTGTGAAAGAACAATGAATTTGCCTATCTCATACATGTGTGACCGGTACACAATTTCACTTCCTGAGTCACAGTCAGGTAAACAAGCAAACCGGTTTAGTTTTGTAGTTTTCTTTTTTGAATAGCAACAGCTTCTCAGCAAAAGCCTATTGTCATTGCAGGATTCATGGAGTTCTGTGCACTGCCTCTGTACAAGGCATGGTCAAAGCTCTGTGGCTCTAAGCTATCTATTTCTCTGTGCAAGAATGTGGTAAACAACAAGACATGGTGGGACCAACGCATCCCGAAGTCTGACTCTGAGGAAGACTGCTAAATCCACCCTTCTTTTACATGCATGCACTCCTCTTGTGTGTTATCATTCCTGAAAAACTTATGTTATTTTGTTATAATAATAATGGTCCGCCCAGATGCTGGTTAAAAATGCAGTAAAACATGAGTGATACTGGTACAGAGTGTTAGGTAAAAAGAAGAGTTTCTGTCAGAGAATCTGCAGTGAAAAATGTCTTCCTGCACTGACAGTGGTAAAAAAGAACACGATACCTTCGTTACTACTCCAGCTGCAATGGTGGAATCACCAGACCGGAGCATGAACCTGCCCAGCTCCCTGCAGTCCTGGTAGAGCTCCATACAAACAGGTCTTGAAATGTCTAGCTGGATCACAGCAGTGCTGTTCCCACTAAGGCATCTGGGAGTGGGGGAGACGGTGGAATTATGCATGTATGCACGATGATAACCATAGCCTGGTATACACTTCCTATGTAGGTCTGGCAGGCCCATCAGTGGCATTACTGTGCAGAATGTGCAAGGGTGCATTGTATGCCCAAAGTAGCACTGCCCCCAAGCTGGGCTTCGACAGAAATGCAACACTATTTACAGATTAGACTGTCCTCTGCTTGAATTTAACAATCCTTGGGGTGCCCCCTATAGCAGTAGTGCTGTTTTGAACAGAAATTGTCAGGAGGGTCAAGTGGACAGAAAAACAGCATTAGCAGAAGAAATGCCCAGTGGTTTTCAGTTACTCTCTACCATCTAGAGTAAGGGGTGCTGATTGTGTTTTGATGTTTTTTTCTTTCAAGTTTATTAGTTGTCACCATCTACACAGTGTTCTTTGTAACGGTATAAAGAGAGGCTTGATGGGTAAAACATTACAATAACGAGTCAGAGAAGGGCCAACTTCTCATCACTTTGTGAGCATAAAATAAACCTTACAATAAGTATATACAGCAAATACAGCCAAGTTGAGACAGTAAATGAGAAAGCAAAACTCATCAAACTTTTAACTGTCGATCTCTTGTTTACATTGTGGTACTGCTAGCAATCCATTCTATCAGCAATAAATTATAAGCAGTATTCACTGACCAAAGCGGTAGAATTCATATACCGCACATAAAATACACGCAGCACAAATGCAGAGACAGTTCTAAAGGGGGGACACATTGACCCGGGAAAACACCGCCTACAGGTAATGGTGTGCTGCATGATAAAAAGCAAGTACTGCAGTAACCTGGGTTTTCTCTTGAGCACTTCGCCAGACCCTTTGTGAAGCACTGATATAAGTTTGGTAACAATGGCAGGCTCATTAACACAAAGATAGTGCATTACAACCTAAAATAAATGAAATAACGTTATAACAAGCTCTTACCAATGCAATATGTTTTTAGTTAGAACCTCAACAATACAATGGTATCAGGGAAAAGCTGCATACCCAGTGCTTCCAATTGGGAAATCCTCAACACAGACGTATTTATTTCCACACAGTGAATTTATAACAACAAGAGTTCAGCTTCTTAATTGGCCTCCAACTCACCGGAAAACCATTTGTGATTGGTGTACTGATATTGAAGGTGATAACCCTTGCTTGTATTTTACTAGTGGTCTTTGCTGGATTATCCATACTGCACAACACGTTTCCAATACTGAAAATAGCAAATTGGCGTAACACAGGAATATATATATGTACATAGGGTAGTTATCACACTGCTTTTTTGGTACACATGACATCGTTATAAGCTTCAGTTCTAGTATCTGTCCTACCGAGGGTGAAAACTTGGGAGGGAAATATACGCAAGGATAGACTATTATACAAAGAGAATCAAACCTGTTCTTTTACATTTAACATTCAGCAGGCGGCTAATTGAAGGGCTGGACCATGATGTCGATATGCACGGTTTCTTGCTAGCTCGCTGAGAATCTGAAAAGGCGTAGATGGCGTTCTAGGCATTGTGGGACTCGATACTTGCCTTCCACCATAACGTGTTTGTAGCCCAATTCCAGAGTATGCTCAATCAAAGAGGCAAAGCAGTGCCCTATGCCCTCTTTGGATAATATTGTGCATGTGCATTATTTGTATGAGCCGGCTAATGCCATCATTCATACTAAAGCATACAGACAAGCCTCACTTTCAGTAGTGGAATAAGCTTACGTCAATTTATTGATCTCCACTCCGTGGATGGCCAAAACAACTTGATCTCCTGCCACTGCCCATGGCTCTGTTCTTTCACTCAGTGTGATACCTAAAACAATGAAAAGCACTAAAGTGCAAACCCTCGGCGAACTGCGCATGCGCGGTAACGCTAATTGATGGGCTGGGCTATTTGTAGTATATATGTGTTTTCTCGTGGTCTCCCGCTAGAGTAGCTCACGGAGAGTCTGACACGGGCTAGATACAGTAGTAGATAGCATGCGGGAGTCGATACACGCCTTTTATTGTGACTTCTTGTGCCTCCAAGGTACACAGAGCAAGTAGACCCGGTCGAGGTAAGCCTGTGCTAATTTGCATATTGGCTTGTTCACTTGGTTTTCATGCCATAACTTCTGAACGCGGCACTTTTACAAAAATCTCCATTTTAAAAATGAAGCCAGTGTAGCGCTGAACCCGTTGGTGTGGCTATTTACCTGTTTGCCGCGCGTGGTGGCAGAAAATGTGGTAACAGACGGACAGACAGACGGACGGTAAGACCAAGTACTGTAACCCTCGCAGCGCATGCGCGCCAAGGGTTGGATCTAAGTCCAAAACTCTGTGCACACATGGATACACATCAATTTCCCCGTACACCCTTGTTGGCACATGCATATTATGTAGAAATTCTACACTGAGTGCATCAGTTGGTACAACACCACTACCACTACTTCAACTTGAGTATACCTGCAGACTTTACCATGGTGTTTGTAACAAATACACAAAGTCAATGGTGGCAGAAAATCAGCAGTACACCTCCCAGCACTACAAGATACACGGATCTGTTTGAGTCATACCCCACTATAACGCCCAATTTTGCATAATGTGCAGGTGATTCATTGCTCAACTAATGAGAAGCACTAAAGTGCAAACCCTCGGCGAACTGGGCATGCGCGATACTTACTGCTAATTGATGGGCTAGGCTATTTGTATTCGTGGTCTACCGCTAGTATATAGCTCGTGGAGAGTCTGACATGGGCTAGCTACAGTAGTAGATAAGTCGATACATGCCATTCGTTGTGACTTCCTGAGCCCCCAAAGTACACAGAGCGAGCGGATCAGGTCGCAGTAAGCCCAGTGCAATTATGCTATTGGCCTTTTCGCTTGTTTTCACGGCATATCTCTCGAACGCAGTCGTTTCAGGAAAATCACCCTTTTCTTTTTCAGGCTCACGTAGCTCTGAAGCTGCTGGTATCGCTAATAGGCTGCCTTCCTTGTAGCCTGTAGTGCCAGAATAAGCGTCAACACACACACAGGCACACAGACAAGCCAACTACTGTAACCCTCGCTGCGCATGCGCACCGAGGGTTAACCAGCGCATGTTTGTAGGTAAATGCCGAGTAACATAAAGAATAAGATCAAATTGGGAGCTAGAATCTCACGAATATTACCCCATGGCTCAAAGATTTCAAGCATGTTGGAAAATACTTAAGCACAATGGCTTCGTATAGGCAACCAACATCTAGTAACATACTACTCATCAACCAACATCTAGTAACATACTACTAACATACTACTCATCAACCAACATCTAGTAACATACTACTCACCCATGCACCATACACAACTAACACTAGTAGATAGCATGCAGGACCCAATACATGCCATCTGTTGTATATACCTCCAAGGTACACAGAGTAAGTGAATTAGGTCAAAGTTAGCAAGAGCAAATCTGTATGCTGGCTCGTTAACCCTTGGCGCGCATGCGCAGCGAGGGTTACGGTACTTGGTCTGTCGGTCTGTCTGTCTGTCTGTCTGTCTGTCCGCGCGAGTTCTCGCACTACAGGCTACGAGGCGGCCAATGAGTGGCACCAACCGGTTATGAACAACAGGAAGATGGATATCAACATGGCAATTTTCCTGAAACGACTGCGTTCCAGAGATATGCAGCCTTGTCTTCCCATCCATAAAACGTCTGGCGAGAGCATTGAAACACAGAAGAGCGGATAGATTGAATAAAGCAAATAGAGAGCCTCTGAAATACCTGAGCAATTGCACTAACCGCTAAAGCAACTACCCTGTGTTACAGCGAAACTCGTGTTACTGGCTCCGTTGATGACGCATGGCCCAGCATACAACTCACGCGTTTAGCGCCGAGGGTTTGCACTTTCATTAATTCACATGTTTCATATGTTGCAGGGTTGACTTGCTCTTGCTCACCACACGCATAATGCAAAAATTCATGAAGTATCCGTTAACAATACTCACTTTTGACTGTAGCTGTTTCTCCAACAGGTAATATAGCCACTGTCTCACCAACCTGTATGTGACCAGAATCTATTCGTCCGGCAACATTAAATCCTGAACCAGGAGCTGTAAGTTTAAAGGAATCATTTTAAAGACAACGGCCACACAACTGCTTACCTTTGAAAATATCAGATACACAGCAGCGAAATGGCTTTTCCACAGGTCTTGATGGAGGTGTAAACTGATCTACAATACACAACTTACACCATAGACTACATACGTAACTGGGAATGGCACTGGAGCATTTCCGTATCACACTTGTTGTAACCAGAAGTGAATGCGACAGTACATATATGAGGAAGAGGGCTGCATCTTACACTGTGACAATTTTTACAATTACTTAATTTTGAGTTTTGCTGATCCTCAGATATACTGTGGGAGTGCGTGTATGCATGTGTAGTTGGACAGCTCTAATGTGCGTAAAAAAATTTGGATATTGCTTGTTTTGCCAAAATTCGCATTACAGATTGTTAAACTAATGCAATTAACATCTAAAACAGCATCCAACAGTAGAGTAGTGCTTCTAACTTAGTATTACATCTAGTTTGCAATCACAAAATCCAACACAATCTAACAGTCATTCAATTATGAAAGTTAGAGCACAATTTCCCATTAATAATTACCTTTTTCTAGTACATGTGCATGTTTTTACAGGTGTGCATGTGTGTGCGTGCATGTACAGAGACCCACTGTACACGCACATCTTTTCTAGCTCTCACAATCCATGTATACAAGTTTGGTGACCATGGCAGCCATGAAGGATACCAGGAGAGCATTTGTATAGTATTGAGTCCCAATTTGCCTGAGGTGCCAGAATAGCGAAGCAGATATATAGAGACAATTACCTTAACACTTACTGTGCATGCACACTGTCAATATTGAGAAAAGCATTTACAGCAAAACATTAACCCTCAGCGCGCATGCACAGCGAGGGTTACTGTAGTTGACGTGTGTGTCTGTCTGTCTGCCAGTCCGCGAGCCATTTCACTTCATCAGTCATCAATCGCTCCACAAAAAATACCACATATTCAGCGTCAGATAGAGGTCCAAAAAAAATGTGTAGGCTTTTCTCTGAAACTGCTGCATTCGAGAGTTACGGCGTGAAAACCAAGTGAACGAGTCAATATGCAAACTAGCACGGGCTTACCTCAGATGCGCTTGCTCTGCATAACTTGGAAGCACCAGAGGTTGCACTGTAGGGCGTGTATCAACTCTCGCATGTACGGTGGCCGACAAGTGCCATCCTTCCAATTTCCATTTTGTTTTTCAATTTTCCAAATTCACCCCCCATTTTTGCATGCGCACGTTGGGATGTATACGAAAGACCCTGAAACAAAGCTACTCGTTCATTCACGGCTAACTATGAAGACAAGATTACCAAGTACAGCTAACAGCCAGTGCGCCGGGCAGCTTTACCTTCTCCTGTGAACGTATCTTTATATATACCGTGCTGACTGTGGACATTCCACGACAACGTGACGTCACGTAAGCTATGAATGTGATAAAATTAATTACAGTCCAAAATCTTGACAGTGAACACAACTAGCTTGTGCTAAGCAGACCAGACCCGTCTCCGTTTACGAGAGGGGTGTGGCCATGCGAGACTACCAACCATGCACAGCGCGTGATGGCGAACATGAAAGTGGAGGTACAAAATGGAAAATGGAAGGTGAATTTGGAAAATGGAAAGACGAAATGGAAATTGGAAGACTAGCACTTGTCGGCCACCGTACGCATGTTATCTAGTAGTGTAGCTAGCCCTCTCAGTGGCGACCTGGTAGGAGACCACGAGTCGGTAAAATGACCCAACCCATCAATTAGCAGTATACAATACATGCGCGTACTTCCACGCGCGCAGGTTTCGTGCCTGGCACAATCCGTTCGCGCATGGGCGAGATATTCTGTAAAATCTCCGTAACATAATCCCGTTCTCACATAGGCTTCAATTCTTCAATGTTTTGACATGGAACCCTTCTCTAGCAAGCACTTTAGTGCTTTTCATTCATTTGAATATTGATCATTTTTAATTACAGGGAATATTGTTAACAGCGCCCATTAAGAATTACTACATGTGGCCTTGTCAACGGAAGCCGCAGATACGGACTCCAAAAGGTTGACAAGCTGTTAGTAAAATTTAGTTATGTACTCTTTTCACATTTCACAGTATACTCATGATTTGTGAAAATTTACCAATTATTGCCAGAAGAGTGGGTCCAGTATACCACGCAGTGAGCTCAGAGACAGTGGATTTTGTTACCAGGTTTTCACCTGTTAATCCACTGCATGGAACGTAACTCACATCAGATTCCTAATATTTATTAACACATCCTACAGTAGGATTAACTATGCAAAATGATTGCAGAGTAGCTCACCTTATATCCTGCTTGTTTTAAGAACAGTTTGAGTTTGCCAACGATCTCAAGAAATCTGCGTTCTGACCACTCAACCTATAGATATAGAGTATCTGCATGCCCACATATGGGGGAGTTTCATGCAATACATGACCGACGTCGGTCTTGGACAGATGGTTTGTATCTACCATCAGGTCATTCGGCAACATAATACACACACAGGTTTATTACTGCACACGACATAATTGGTACACACTAAACTAGGTGAATGCAGTGGAAATTGGCCAAGTGCGAGTATGTGACAAAGGAGAGGTCACACGGCAATAGAACCTGTTGCTTTTTGACACAGGCACTATGTTATTCTATGTGGTGCATCAGCCTGTACGCCCACAAAGAGCGGGGTTAGAGTTTGCATAGATACATAGCTGGGACAGGGGAATGGAAAAAAGAGGTTGAGCCAAAACAGAAAGCATATTGAAGTGCAAACCATCGGGGCAAGGATCATTATGATGTAAACCATCTTTAAAAAACCTGTTAATCGATTGGCTGGGACACGCCATACCATGCACTCCAACCTGTTGACAAAACGAGGTTCTCGCTCGAACACAGGCTAGTTGCATCAGTCAGTAGCGTTTAGACTAGATACACATCTCTCGAGTAAATTCATCTCCTAAAAGTGCACTGAATGGGCTAAGCCTTGTCCTGGTGCTGATTATTCATATTGAATTTTCGCTTGTATTACCAGCATATCTCCAGTAGTGCAAGAATAAGCATAGGTACAGACAGACAGACAGACAGACAGACAGACCAAGTACTGTACAGTAACTCTTGGTATGAATGGTGTTGTGGGTTATTGATAAGCTTTCATGTGGAGAGGTGATGATACTTACAGTGTCCATCTTGTTGACAGCCACAGCCATCTGCTTAACTCCAAATGACCTTACAAGCATAGCATGCTCCCTTGTTTGACCACCACTCTCAAAGCCGGCCTCAAATTCACCAGTAGCTGCATTCACAACTAAAATAGACACATCTGCCTGTACAAAATACATATTCAAAATACTTTTCAATAGTAACACAAAGATTAACCTGAGCTGCCCCAGTGATCATGTTAGGAATGAAATCCCTGTGACCAGGTGCATCAAGGAGAATCACGCGCCGGTGTGCTGTTTCAAACTCCTGCTGCGCCACATCCATTGTGATACCTCTGCAAAAGCACATCAATACCTCCACTGAACACAATCACTGGTGTGTTGTTAAACTGGCAAACTGATGGGAATTTATGAGTGACAGGCATCCACAAATTATAAACATATTGTAGGTCGATATTATTTTACAGGGAGAAAAACAAACTAAAAACTTAAACACTGGGTCTGAAAACGCACATCAAAATTCAATGTGTCAGCACATGAATATAATTATGTATGAAGAGCGATGTGCATCATAACAAAGGCAGATAGCAACACCACCACGCTTGCATTTTACAACAGACTGAAATAATAAGGCCAGCTTACAGCAGAGCAGCAGTGCAAATAATCCATGCTCTTAGTTAATTAATGATTGGTATAATGAAAAGCACTGAAGTGCAAACCCTCGGCGCACTGTGACGCGCACGCGCAAGTAAACGCATGCGCCGTACCACTAATTGATGGGCTGGGTTTAGTTTTAGCTGTTACTCGTGGTCTCTTGCCAGCTCGGGCAGAGTCTGACGCGGGCTAACTACAATACTAGATAGCATGCGAGAGGCGATACACGCCCTGCGTTGCATCTTCTGGTGCCTCCGAGGTACGCAGAGCACACGGGTCGATCATGCCGTAGTAAGCCGTTGTGTATTTGCATATTGGCTTTTTCGCGCTCTAGCTTTGCAACAGAGCGTTTTCAGAGAAAACAGTTCAAACGTTCTGACCTTCATTGCCCGTTCAGTAGGTGGTATCATTTGTGAGACGAACGAACACTCGAGAAGTGAGATGACGAGTAACAGACAGACAGACACACAGACAGACACACAGACCCAACTACCGTGACCCTCGCTGCGCATGCGCGCCGAGGGTTAATTAACTCCATAGGACTATATAGGGCCATTGACCCAACCACAACACAGTGCGGAGCTAGAACTAAAAATAAAACAACAAAAACTTTGAATATTCAGAACTTCACAACTGCACAGCTGCACTCACCGTGTCCTCTCTTCTCCAGTTTCATCCAGAATCCAGGCATACGCAAATGATCCTTTTCCAATCTTCTGACTCTCTACCTCATTTCTGTTAAAGTATCAAAAGAGCCTTCTAGCATCTCAGTTAGCAAAACAACACAAAAACCTGTGCCAAAGGTAGGATTGACAGGGACCAGTATACAGCTCCACCCTCACCACTTTATAATTATGACATGTACATAGTCGACTTGTTTGCCTTGCCTTGCCTTTGTACCTCGTTACCAAGTTGTTGAGACATGCATTCATCAGCAAACAGAGCAGGGCTAGCGATTAGGTACTCCAGGCCAGTAGCACTCTCTTTTACATGTTGCAAGCCCTTTCTCGATCTTCCACATATGTACATGGAGGAAGAGCTGCCTAACCTATAACATCCGCTACTCCTCTAGCCAGCAAAGACTGCTGGCAAGAGCCACCTCTGGACCCGGATCGCGATCTCCAAGTAATGCTTAGCCGGAAACGCAATCTTGCAATCTTCTGCGGTCAATAATGCTCAAGATTTTTGTTTGACCTAGTATAGCTACTTCCTATCTTGATACCAATGTTTAATGTTTAAAGTTGCGGTGGTTACGAAGAAAAACAGTGGATAAACGGACAGCGACAGACACACACACCACACACACAGACCGACATGCCCTCTAGCTCTGCATGCACAAAGGCTAGGTTAATTAATTTTGAACATAGAGAAATAGTGCTAATGGACAATGAATCTCTGACTACTAAAACCTCACTTGTGCATGGCTCTCTTGGACACATTTCCAATGAGATACAGTAAGTGTCCCATCAGGGTGCTCTTTCCGGCATCAACATGACCTAGGTGACCAAGAACATTATGATCATAACTACATGAGACATAATATTCATGATGGTATCACTGCTGCACACCTACAACAACAAGGTTGATTTGAGCCTTGCTGGAACTCTCCCTTTGTTCGTATTCTGATAAAACATCAATTGCCTGATGCCTTGTTTTAGAAAGACTACGGTTGAATGCTGGGGAGAGATGAGTGAGATGGGCTGGAGAGGGCTGTAGAATAGCACTAGGCGTAGAGAACAGTACATGGGGCGAGGGACTGCGCACAGGACTACTTGAGTTACTGTGTCTATCAAAACTGCATGGTAAAAACAAACAGAAGCAGATCCATAAGTTTAACTATCACACAGAATATCACGCACCTTTCATCATCACCTTCAGTTTGGGTAACAAAACCAACTTTTGCCTGTGACTTAGGAGTTGCTTTCACCTTCATTGGCTTGTAACCTAACTTGTACAAAAACATGCACACAACTGTATCACTCATACAAAAAAGCAGCATCGCAGTGATAATCATGTGTGGCTAGACCAAAGGCACTGTTAGAGTTCTATTAATAGAGCGAGCTAACCTAGTAGTGGCAAAGGCATTGCACATATCCGCATGTCGTCCACTGAGCTTGTATTTGGATTACGTATTAATATTTGCGAAAATTTAGGATTTAACCAGCAAGAGAAATGTTGTCCATATAGAGGCATTCACTGCGCTCTTCGATGACTGAGGCTATATATCTTTCCAATCTTTGTGGTTCAGGCTGTAAAGAGGCTAGGATGGCCAGGCTATTCACCTGAAGGCATGTTGTAAGTGCAGATACAGTTGTATGCTTGCTCCCGCTTGCTGAAAATTCCGTACTTGTATACACCTCACTGTGTATGTGTATACTGTACCAAGCTACATAGCATAGATAGGTTAGTAGTGTTCCAGGCTGCTTAGTGTAACTTCTTAAAGGGTGGAAAGGTCCCTAAATAGGTACAACACACACAGGTGTGCACATGTGCCCTTGATCATGGGTTCATGTGAAGGATACTGCTGATGCAACTGACTATACATAATTTTGGGGAAGGAGACTCGAAGGGGAGGGGAGTACACCCCTCTGAATATAACCTGTCTATGCCATGTACCTACACAATGTCGAGGACTAATAACCAAAACTACAGTGGGTGTGTGTGCATTGCTGCAAAATAATAGTAGCATCAGCCAAAGGGGATTGCAGTATTAAATGTGTAGCTTCAACAAGAATGCAGAAGAGTGTGATAATAGCAGCATAATCAATACCCACGTTTGAAGCAATTGTTAACATGGAACTAATAATCAGTTTTGTAGGGACTTGGGAGAAAGTTATACAAAAATAAAACATATTTGTACATTACTTTGGAGACTATTACAAATGGGCCTTGAACCCCTCATTCTGTTTATCCTTAATGGTGTCATCCGGTGAATGAGTCAAGAAGTTAAACCTTGCTAGAGAGTTAAATCCAAAAAGCATTTTTGTCCTGGTCTGTTCATGAAGCATGTGTACTTCTACTTGTTTAACCTTGAGGCCCGTCGTGTTGGTTTGACAAAGAGTAACTGAAAACAGGCTTGGCTCAGATTGTAGAGGTAATAGATGGTGAGAATGAATGCAAGTACAAGTGTTGTAGGTGCATTTTGGATCATCAGAGGTGGGCTCATAGGACAGGTAAGAAGACGTAGATTCAAGACACTTCACCCACAAGGGACATCGGTTTCCACGGTGGAATAAGAGTGTTTCTTTGTCCGTGTTTGCAAGGTTTCGAAACCAAGTGGAGGTTCCAGTTTCTTATGTACATTTTGGAAATTCCCCAAACATGAGTCGGCAGCAACTTTCTCTCCACTAGCAAGTGATTGAGTCTTGCGCGGCTGTGTAACATCTGATGAATGTGCTGGGCCACCCCTTAAGGAGGAAAGGATGCCTGGTCTACTTTGATGCCTCTCTTTCAATGTCTCCTGGACAGCACCGACTGAAATGCCAGATACGCCAGCTGTTCTCTTGGAAACTGATGGTACGAAACAAGTACCTGGCTTTGGCTGAAGCAGTCTAGCAGAATGTGTTGCTGTGTGACACAAATTAGTTTCAGACTTCACCTTTATATTGGCTGATCCTAATTTTAAATCACTAAGTAACTCTGGAATAGTAGTTTCGCCAGACTTTGGTACACACTCACTCTTTTTGGAAAAATGTTGGGCAGCAAGGCTCGATAGACAAGGCCCTGCATTTTTGTTGGGAGTAAGGATAGGAGGAAAAACTCCCGACATGTGCTGTTTCAAAGTTGAAAAGGTTGGTACACTGGGGACTTCCATTACAGGCAGTACTTCACTTTTGTGCACAGAAGGTGGTAGCAGTCGAGTTGAGGTGTTTGTGTTGGCAGCATGCTGAGAAGCTAGACTAGAAAGAGACAGTCTTTTCTGTGATTGTCCGAAAGAAAGATGAGAAGGATTGGGCTCTAATGTTGATTCTTCTTTTAGACGACGTTCAGAATCATGGCAGGAGAGAGAGGGTTGCACTAAACTATTTGTAGCCAACGAATTGTGTTGCAGCACTACTTTCCCCTTTAATGAGTTTTTTAGAGCTATAGTATTGTTAATTCCAGTTCTCTTCTGCATATGCTGGGCAGCTAAACCTGAAAGGCTAGGCTGTAAGGTCCCACTTCTCTTATTTTTAACTTCAGAGCTACAAGATTTTGGAAGAGGTGCTGAGTGTATCCCACTCGTGCAAATTAAGACTGGCTGATTTGATGCGCCTTTGACAGGTATACTATGGGACATATTTAAACATACATGCTCAGTACCACCTTACCTTAGCAAACAGAGAAGTCAAGCATCACATGAAGCAGAAAACACCCACATAAATAAAGAGCAATAACATACCAGTGAAAAGGAGAATGATTAGCATGTTTAAGGACTAAATTTGCTCATGTATTAATGCTTAAAATGGCTTATGATGAAACCACATTATTGCTAAATGTCCCCCACTTACCTTCCCTTGCACTCAATGTAGTGGCAGCCTCTTCATTTCTTATTTGTGGACTAGCCACTGTTGCTGTGGTTGCCAGGGGTGACACTGGAGTCGTCGCAGCAGCAGTTTCTTTGTCATCGAAATATGAGGACAGGGAATGGTTTTCTTGCTGATCACGGCGGTACATGAACTGAGCTGTGTGAGAGATTTTAGGGTTGATTAATTGGATGTACCATTAGAATGAAAGGGAGCCTCAAATGTTTCAGGTATGGCCATTGACATTGGCTATACGGCATACAGTTTACAAATCCAGCATTCATGAACTTTTAATTTGCGATAGTGTGCAAAAGTTGGTATAAAACCTCAATTAGTGAGCTAAGCGAGCCAACCTAGTCGTCTTAATTACTACATACGGACTATATATACAGGCACGGGTTATACATTAATCCTAATAATACACGCGTTTTAACAGCTCACTTTGCTCCCCAAAAATGCGTTGCATACCTTTAGTGGTATACTAATCTATTACTAGGAATGCGCACGTGTATATTTTGCCTCGCGCCTGCCAGCCAATGCGTAAACACTCCGACTGAGGCCGCTCCTGCGCGCGCTCTACTGACTGCATGCGAAGCCAGACTTCCTCTGCGAGCACGGCGGAAGCTAGACTTCCTACGAACGACGGAAGTTACACTTCCTTTTGGTGACTAATTGACATTCCTAAGCGTGACTAATTGACGACGTACGTACGTACGCATATCGCGAGAATACAACCCGGAGTAGTTGTCTCGCGCTAATGCGCTCGGCAATTATATTTACCCCAAAGAACATGTAACAGGTACCAACACTTATGTATGGGAGGAGAGACGAGGTTGCAACAACACCCCCCCAATGCTCAGTTGTGCACCTTCCCTTCCAGTGATGTATGTCTGAATATTTCATGAGACTAAACCGAATCCATGGGGTTAGCGAGGAGGCAAGACTCAAAGTGGCATTTAATGGAGGTACAAGAAGACAGTGGGCTGAGTCTCACAGAAGCAGCTCTCCTACTACACCTCTTTTAGCTAAAACATGTACAGATAGGCCCCTTAGCAAACAAGCAAACACAAGTTTGTTAGCACAGTAGTAGCAGTGACCACAACAAAAGTGGACAAACAGGGCTCTTTTAACAAGCGACAGAACATTACAGGTGAGGTGCACACAAGCAAGTTTAGGCGTCTATTAAACTCATGTTATTGCTTCTTCTTTTTACCGTAGCATAAAAACTAATTTGGACGGACAGGAGGCCATTCGATAAATTGGGCTGTCTAGCTAGCTCTGTGCTTCAACTATGGAGACAGTCTGGCCTCGTACAGGATCACTACAGAAGGACGCTCCAACTTAAGGTCCTCATCATAGCTCATATACAATCAGTCCCAACTGTACGTCAATGACGTAAAATTTTGTAGTGCGCATAAAGTACTACAATAACAAATACAATGCATTATTGCTATTAGAAACGTGTATGTGCAGTTCCTGTCACACAACATACATACGTATGTAGAATATACCAGAGAAAAGAGATGTACATGTTTGAGATCACTAGGTAAGCTTGCTTCACTCACCTACAAATGAAAAGCACTAAAGTGCAAGCATGTAGCACAGCGCCGCACTAGCGTCCTATACATAAGTATGCACTGCGTCAATTGATGGGGGGGGGCACGCCAACAGAGGTATCCTTTTCTCGAACTTAAATGGGCCAGTACTAGCATTTGGTGCAACGCTGGACTCAAGTTACTTCATATCTCCAGGGTGCCATTGTCTGGTAAGCCATTACTGAAGTTTTTCACTGGGTTTCATGCCATGTATCTCTTAATTAAATCGTCTCAGACAATCTTTTAGCACTCTCTTCGTTCTAAAGCCGCTGGTATCATTCATAATCATACGTAGCTGCCTCGCAGCATGTAGTGACGGAATATCCATAGATAGACACACACACAAACCCAGCACTTTACCACTCGTTAGAAGTGGTAAAGTGCTGTTTATCGCCTATACACAAGTGCTGAAGATATTAGACCATGTGATGCCAAGCGAAAAAAAGAGGCGGAGCTCTGGACAGCTTTTCGGGCTTGTTGGCCCTCATCAGCAGAGCATACCGTAACTTAATTCTCTCTCTGGCATCACGAGTTTATAAAGGCTACCAGGAGCGCAGCGCTTGTGGTTCTGAGCTAATGAGATTCATCCCCACAAGGCTTTGCCCCTGGTATGTGCTGACCATGCCCAGACATTCGTGGTTTGGAGCCTAGGCCCCTCCCCACTCCTGCTGGTCAAGGCCAGTACCGAGCCAAAACTCGGAACTCAAAATCCTGGCATAGCGGATTGGGCCGCGGCAATGAAACCAGCAAGCACCCATATCCTGCCAGTGCATCCACGTGATAGTAAGAACATGCCTACTCAGTGTTTATCGCCTATACACAAGAAGTAACATTACATAATCCCGAGGGTGCCGGCCCGAGGGCTTATGTAATGTTACTGAGTGTGTATACCGATAAGTACGTGGTAGGGATTGTTCTTACGAGCTTGTATCCTGGAAACGGATAATCACCACGGCAACGTGATGTCTAACGTTTAGCGCCTAGTGCGTTTGCGGTACGCGCAGTCGCCCGTTGAGTTGCAGCTGGCAAATGGCGGAACTATCGAGAGACCCCGACTTCATATCTCCTAAGAAGCGAAACTGCAGCGATGTTGCTAGTTCGGAACGCAACGGTCTCAGAAGGAGAGCGGCAGTGTCAGAGCGATATTTTGGAGAAAGCTAACATGGAAGAGTTGAATTATTGGTTATCTCTTTTTGTAGGCGAAATTCGAAACAAGAGTGGCAAGCCGTATTCGCCAAAATACATCCACCAAATTCTCTGTGGTCTACAGCACTACATGCTCGATCGCAATTTGACGCTCTAGTTAGTAGAGTTCTTTGACTGTGTATACATACACTGTACTGTGTAAATTCCTCTCTCATGCTAATTGCATTCTTGATACACTTCCATATGCATTGTGCGTGGGCAGGGTCGTCCAAGAACCTTCTGCTATACAAATGCATGCATCAACTAATTGCATTCCCTATACACTTCCCTCGTTATTGCGCGTGGGCAGTATGGGTAGCAGCTAACTCACTCAATACATACTGCGGTGCGCTTTTGATGTTAGGCCTAGCCAGGATACGACCGTGCATGCCAAGGGTTAATTATGTCATCATTTCAACCATCCACAACATTTTTCCACTGGCCCCCAACAACAAACTACATACATCATCCTAGTCTCATGTTACTTATGGCAAGACATGCCAGTTCACCAAGGTTAATAATTTTCCACTACACTAGGAAACCCCAGGGCCCATTCAAAAAATTATATTACAAGGCGGTTTTCAGAAGAAGCAACTGCAAAAATACCAGCAGTGTTGGGTGAGAGAGGTGCATCCTCCTCGAGGGATCGGCCATATTCATAATAGTCATCATCTACACAAAAGCAGACACCCACAGTAAAAGGAGCCTCCACGAATACATCAATAAGCTTACCCTCCCCGTAGCTCATGTTCCTTACGCGCCGGTGCCGCGACATCCTTCCCTGTGCGTCGAGATTTGTCACCAGAAAAAGGGCACCGCTTTGCGCTGCTCTGGCGTTCAGTGGTGTCCGGTGAGTCCAGCTAGCTATTCGCTGCGTGTTACACTGGTATAATTTTTCTCGCAATTTTGTAGCTCTAAATAAACGAAATACGGTCAAGTCATCCGACTATAAATAAAACCCCCATTTTGCTGCTCGCATAGCAGGATTGTAGCTCGGCGTGTCGGGAACTCTCCGACTAGCGTACTCTCTCGGCCGACACGCCTTACAATGTCGACAAACGACGGAGGACGACAGTCTCCGATTGACGAGGCTCGGAGGACCCGCGTTAGAAGGCCGCTCTTCTAAAGAAGATGGGGCTCGGAGACGAAGCGAACAAAGACCACCACCCTACCCCTAGTGGGACGAACACGGGTAGCTGGCCTCCCTACCCCACTAGGGCCACTTGGTTGGCCGGGCTTTATCCCGCCCTTTCCGTATGGGCCGGTCCGCTGCGCCAAGTGCGCGACTTAGGGGAAAGCCAGTGGGCGGGGCTACGATACGAGCCGCCGGATGAAACGGGTTCCAACCACACCAAGGACCCGGGTCCCAGCTCCAAACGACCTAGATTAGAGGAAGAGGAGGATTCAATAACTCTCCTAGATGAATCTGAAGCCTTGGGGGTGGTTGAGTTTGACCCTAAAGTGAAGCCAGCAGGTACGTAGGAGCCACCTCAGGTGATACGCAACTTCTTCAATCTGATGAGGAAAGGGAATCGATCCTAAAAAACTTTCCCAAACCAAACGTTGATGTGGCCGTTACCCCGAAACTGGGCTCGAGCAACTGAAGAGCAAGGGAAAGAACCTTGATTTTGGTACGGAAAAGGCCCTTTAACACACGCAGAAACAAATGCTAGATGTCACTGGGCCCCTCACCTGCCTATGGACTGACCTGAACAAGGAGGCTAAGGTGTCACCGGAGGATGTCTTGCTCCTTATCCTGGTCCTGTTGCATTCCATCAGCATCGAGCGTCGCAAGCTAGTTTGGGCCAAAATGAACCCCAAACTAAGGAGTCTGGGCTCTGGGGAGTATGGCGAAAGGGGTATGGAATTGTTTGGACCTGGCTTCCTGGAGAAAGCTTCTAAGAGACTGGAGGTCGAGAAAACCCTCTCCAAGGTAACAAAACACAAAAAGCAATGGGGCAAAGAAGCAAAGCTTCCAGGACAGAGCATCCGACCAGTAGCCGACCCGAGCCAATACCCTTGGCACTACTCTGGTACTATATTCCGCACCTGGAACGCTTACCAGATTCTGCCTGGTGAATTGGAAACGAATAACCTCAACCCATTGATCTGGCAAGTGGCGACGGGATACCCCTTGGCGCTAATCAGGGAACCGAGACAAGGCCAACCACCGAGGCCGATACAGTTTGCAACGGAGCTCAGCCAGATGATTTCAGACATAATCCAGGAACTGGAGCAAGTCTGTGATACGGAAGGTCAACCCCAGACCAGTTTATCAGCCAGATCTTCCAACAATAGGGGTCAAAAACGTTTCCAATTTCGGTCCGTTCCGTTTCGTTGAGCTTCCGTTCCCTTCTGAAACACCGTTCATTAACCCTTGGAATTCATTCCGTTTAGAATCGTTGCCGTACATACGTTCGCGCGAAGGCCTCACTGTGAAGATATTTCTTCTAGCAACTACGTGGGTACTGCATTCTCGTCGTTTCACGTTTGCGCTACGAAAAAACCTTGTTTTGCTCCCCCGCTAGCGAGTCTCTACCACGTTTGCGGAGGGCGTGGCACGCGGAATTCACAACTGGAACGGAACGAAACTGGAAACGTTTTAATTTTTGACTCCTACTGTAGTTCCAAAAGGACGGATCGCAGCGACCGGTCGTAAACCTGAAGCCGCTGAACCGTTCGATGGCAGGGTGCAAATTCAAAATGGAGAGCGCGAGAACACTGAAGGACCTGGTCAGGAGCAACGACTGGTTGGTCTTGAAGGATGCCTACCTCTCGGTACCAATCGAGGAGGAGGACAGGAAGTATCTACGGTTCACATGGGAGGAGAGGGTGTACGAGTTCCAGTGTCTCTCCTTTGGGCTCAGCAGTGCTCCGCGAGTCTTCAAGAAGCTACTGAAACCATTCACGGCCCTCCTCAGACAGAGGGGGATACGGAGCATGATCTTCCTAGACGATAATTATGCTGAGGGCAGAACCAAGGCAAGATCTGAAAAGCCAGTTACATGAAGTCCTGGCTCTCCTCGGGCTTCTGAGGTTCAGGATCAACTGGGGAGGATGAACGCGAAATCCAACTACTCCCAACACACACACTGGTGGTCTGGGCTCACAATTGACACAGACTCTCATGACACTGACCTTACCAGAAGAAAAGGTGCAGAAGACCCTGAAGGGATGCCAGTTTACTCTTTGAAAGGATATGGTGTCAGTGAGGGACTTGTCCACTGGCAGTCTTGCCAGCTCCACCACAGTACAGAGAGCCCCAGGACTTGAAGATACGAACACTGAAGAAAACACAGTCTTTGTGCAGACCGTATGGTTGTTTTCTGAACGGGATCGCACCCGGCATAGAGCGTGAGTGGTGTATAGCAGAATGCTCAACCGGGTGGAACGGTCGCCCACTGCTGATGAACTACCATCAGATGGGTAGAGTCGCAGGTACACTCATCAGTCAGTGCTGCCTGAGTGGATGCTCGAGAGGTCAATCTGTCACATCGTGATACCCTGGGGCCATGCTCAGTGGATCTCTTTGCCACTCGCCTCAACAACCAACTGAGGAGGTGTGTCAGCTGGCGCCCCGACCCGTTCGCAATCGCAACGGATGCCTTTACTATGTCCTGGCAGGAGGAAGTCGGGTATGCATTTCCCCCGTTCTCCCTGATTGGCAGATGTCTGCAGAAAGTTCGCCTAGAGGGGTGTACAGTGGTTTTGGTGACCCCTGTGTGGGACGTCCAGCCCTGGTACCCGGTCCTACTGGACCTCCTAATAGAATACCCTCTGCTACTTCTGTCACACAGTAGACCCCTTCAACAGGGTACACCCATTGGTGATCAACCTCAGCTAGCCGCCTGGAAACTATCAGGGAGACCCACCTTGCAGAAGGAATTGCAGAACGGGCTTCAGCGCTCATCCGGTTAGGATGGAGCAAAGGTATTACACCACCAACACAGCGTACCAGTCAGGTTGGGCCAGGAGGTCTAGCTGGTGTGCTAAAAGGCAGATTGATCCTATTCAGGGGAGTCCAGCACTTTCTCGAATTTCTAGTGGGCCTCTATGACCAAGGCCTACAGCACAGGTCATTAAACTCCATCAGATCTGCTGTGTCAGTGACCCACAAACAAGTAGAGGGTAGTCCTATCGGGCAGCACCCCCTGGTCAACAGGCTTCTCAGGAGTGTCCACAACCAACGGCCTCCCCAACCTGGGATGTTGATGTGGTGACTAAAACACATGGCAGCAATGGGCTCCAATGAGTCCCTCTCTCTCAAACAGATCAGCCAGAAGCTAGCTGTTCTGATGGCCTTGATGAAGGTGAGTAGAACGTCTGAACTCAGGGCGCTAGACATCCTGTTCAGGGTCTACAGGCCAAATGGGGTGGTGTTCATATTGGCTTCCCTTACTAAGAAGAGGACGCCAGGACTTCCCCCCAAAGAGCTGTTTTTTGGTGCATTCCCTAGTGACAAACGTTTGTGTGTTGTGGAATGCGAAGTCTTACGAGGAGAGAGCACGAGAGTTCCAACAACAAGGGTCTGCAGAGAAGCTGTTGTTTCTGTCATACGTTCGCCCACGCAATCCAGTAAAATCTCAGAGGCTGGCCCACTGGGTCAAGGTCCTCTTGGTGGATGCTGGGGTCCTTCAAGGCACTCAGTCTCAGTGCTGGGAGCGTCAACATCAGCCGCCATGGCTAGAGGTGTTCCCCTGGCAGATATCCTCGGCAATGCCAATTGGAGCAGAGAATCCACCTTCAGACGGTTCTATGAAAGAGAGACCGAGACCAATAATGCGTCGAAGGTCCTTCAAGTGGGTGAGTCACTATATGCCATCAGAAGTGACAATGGTCAGTATGTGCGCTAATCAGTCACTATGCCATCAGAAGTGACAATGGAGTCACTATGCCATCAGCGCGATTCAAAGCTGCCAGAGGCAAAACGCTCCCAGCTATCCCTCTAGTCACAAACTCTCTTCCGAAAGCTGCAAGATGAGAAGTGACAATGGACAGAAGTGACAATGGTCAGTATGTGCTCTAATGAGTCACTATGCCGTCAGAAGGGACAATGGTCAGTATGTGCTCTAATGAGTCAATATGCCATCAGAAGTGACAATGGACGTCAGTATGTGCTCTATGCCATCAGAAGTCTGATGATAATTATGGGGTCCAGTGAGACTCTGCTGCGGCATGCACACCTTAGGCTTTGAACTCCAGAACTACCTGTGTAACATGCAGCGAGTCTCACGAAATATAATTACCAATTAGACGAGGGCCCGAAGTTGAGTTGGAATTATATGAGTGAGACGAGCAAGTGTTACACTGCCCACCCACCCTCTTGGTGCTAGAGAGTCCTCGCAGCAAAAGAAGCGGGATTTCTGGCAACGTGTTGGGGTTTTAGACTTGACCGTATTTCGTTGCTGTATCTCAAAATGAAATATTATACACTTGCTCGTCTCACTCATACAATCTCAACTTCGGGCCCTCCGAGCCCTCGTCGAATTGGCCCTCGGCGCGCATGCGCAGCGAGGGTTACGGTGTGCGTCAGTGTCGGCCCGTTCCCGTTTTGTGCCACTAGGCGCAACAAGATCGCCAAAAGTCTACACCAACGGGTTCGGCGCTATTTTGCTTGATTTTTCGCAAAAACACCGCGTTCAAAGTTATGGCGTGAAAACCAAGTGCACAAGCTAATATGCAAATTAGCACAGGCTTACCTCAACAAGATGTGCTTGCTCAGCGTACCTTGGAGGCTCAAGAAGTCTCAACCGAGAGCGTGTATCGACTCCCGCATGCTTTCCACTACTGTAGCTAGCCCGTGTCAGACTATCCGCGAGCCACAATAACCACGAGTAAACGCACACAACGGCCCAGCCATCGCGCACGCGCAGTTCGCCGAGGGGGTTGCTACAACGCCTTGCAGTCTTCTGATCCTACATCCCACCTCGTGTACATATGGAAAAATCGTGTCAATCGACCCCCCTCCAACATTACTATGCCTCCTCCCTCTCACTCGTCAAGCGAGTCCATAAAAATCACCACATGGAACTGCAGAGGCCTACTCAACAGCATTCCTTACATCCAGCATCTTATCTCGACGGGCACAGACATTCTGGTGCTGCAAGAACATTGGCTTTGGCCATACGAACTAAGTGAGTTACAATCTATCAACCCAAACTACACGTACACTGCAGTCTCCGACAGCCGCCTTACCCCCACATCCACACTTACTCGTGGCTGTGGTGGGTGTGCAATTATATGGAAGAAAACTATCCCTGCAGTTGTCATGTCTAACCTCGAATCTGACCGAATTTGTGGCATCAAAGACACACACACTCTCACCATACTTGGCGTTTACATGCCCAGCTCTGACCAACCCCAAGAGTTCTACAACAAACATTTTAGCTACCATAAATCAAGCGATCTCCAGCACGCCATGCTCCTCCCCACTGCTGGTAGTTGGCGACCTGAACTGCCATCTTGGGCATCTCGGAGGCCCAAGATCCTCTGACGAACCAAACCATAGAGGCATGCAGTGGAAAATTTTATTAGATAATCACTCTCTCTATGTACCCTCCCTCTCCGAAGTTGCGACTGGCCCCACCCACACATACTCCTCTGGTCCTTTTTCAACCATCCTCGACTACATCATCGGTAACTTTACGACATCTACAGTCATTGGTTCATGCAGTGTTGAGGAAGAACACCCCCTCAACACTTCAGATCATCTTCCCGTCACCTCTAAATTGAACTTGAGTATGCTCACAACCGCCTCAAGCACATCAAACCACGCCACCCTGGACTGGACGGCAGCCGTCAGAGACGGCTCCTCCTCCCGGTACGCCTCTTGTACAAACAACGCAATTGCTCCTTTTCTAAACACTCATCGATCGAAGAGATCGAAGCTGACATCTCCCACGTGTCCCGACTATTGATCGACTCCTCGCTCTCCACCATCCCTCTTCGTCAACCGAAACGTAACTCAACGCGTGTGCATGACTCACACCTCTCCACCCTGTGCTACCAGAGTCGCCAAGCCCACGCCAGTAGAAAGCCGCAGGCCGCCCCAATTCCGGACCTCTCTATGAGGCCAGGAAAACAGCCAAGAAGAATGTCCGACACCATCTATCTAAATGTCAAGCACAAGTGGAACGTATAAAGATCCAGAAGCGGGATCAGTCCTTTCGCTCCAATCATCCAAGACGCTTCCAAACCAGATCACAGAAGAAAGAGGGAGCCAGCTTACTGATAAATGGCTCCCCCACATCTGACCTCTCCGCCGTCCTACCTCACTGGGCAAATCACTTCGCCAGCCTGAGCAAATCCAAATGCTCCTAATCTTCAAAAGTTCTCGGACTCCATCCACAAGATCGAGTATGAAACTTACTCCGAAGAATATACCATCCTCGACACATCATTCGTTCCTGAGGAAGTCAGAGCTGCCATTAGACTTCTCAAAAAGGGCAGCAGCTCTGGTCCTGACCTGCTCTCTCCCTGCCATTTACTCCACGCCGGTCCCTCAATCAGTATCTGGCTCAGCATGATTTTCAATGCCATGGTCAATCTAGAGGCTACTCCATCCGTCTTCAAGAAAGGCATCCTTATACCCATCTACAAGGGAAAGGGAAAAGATCCTCTAAAAACAACAAGCTACAGAGGGATCACTCTCACTTCTGTCATTGCGAAGACCTTCGAGATTCTTCTCCTAGTCCCAATTCTCAGCGACCGGAATATACCACAGCTAACCCAGACAGCCTACCGGCGTGGAGTGTCCTGCACAGACGCAACTTTCACGTGCCAAGAAACCATCTCCAAATTCATCCGTGATGGTGACTCCATCTACTCCTGCTTCTATGATCTGGCCTCTGCATTTGACACTGTGGAATATCCAGTTCTTCTCACTCACCTTAAGAACGCTGGCATTACAGGAAAAACCTGGCGCCTCATCAAAGACTGGTACACCAACGTCCTCTCGTACGTACGCCTCGGCAAAGCAACCTCCCCCTCCTTCACTGTCAGTAGGGGTGTTCGCCAGGGCTCTGTACTCTCCCCACTTCTTTTCCTGCTAGTGTTGGACGCTACTCCAAGAGCTCAAAAACAGATCATGCGGCCCCACGGTCTGCGGTCTCCACCTTGGCGCTTTCGCCCATGCTGACGACATTCGTACCCTGTCCACAAACATCTCTGACTGCCAACTCCAGATCAATGTTGTCAATGAGTTTGCCACATCACAAGGCCTCACACTAAACATCGACAAATGTGAAGCAGTAATTTCTCCCTCCACCCCAGCTAACATGACATACATCGAAGCTGGATTGTTGAAAATTCCACTCACTCACTCCGCCAGATGTCTCGGAGCATGGTGGTCCCCTGACCTCTCCTGCAAGTTGTGGGTAAACAACAGCATTGAAAAAGCTAGGAGAGCCTTTTTTGCGAGAGGCAGTGGTGTATTCCATGGAAAGCTCAACCCTCTCTCCTCCATGAAGATAGTTGAACACTGCGTCCTGCCATGCCTCCTCTACGGGGCCGAGTCGTGGTTCCTTGACAATGGGTTGCTGGCCAAGCTGGAGTCCTTTCAAGCAGAGTTGGCCAAACGAATCCTCTGCCTCCACAAATACACTGCCAACAACATAGCTCGCATGGCCCTCAAATGGCCATCGATGAGGGCCCGCATTCTCATTATCAAGCTAAAGTTTCTACACAAGATCATTGTGGGTGATCTTTCCCTCAGCGCCCGAACCTTCCGCTCACTCGCTGTCACGGATGTCGAGTCACTGCTGCTGGTCTGACAATGCAGATTCCTTGAGTCCACATTCGACTCCTCATTCACCGCTTCTATACTCACATCCCCCAAAAGTGTCTCTCTCTCTTCAATCACGAAAGATTATACGGAAACTCGACATCTCTCTACTTCTGTCTGATGCCGCCTCACATCGCCCTCAGACCCTGGTCCAACAAATTGCCTCCAGTCAGGAGGGAAGCTGGCCAAAGCTATGGGATCTGGCCCTAGAGAGAGGGGTCTTTGGAACCACCTGCATCCAGGCCGTGTTGAAGTTTCTCTCTCCACCCTCACTCAGACAACACATGCCCCATTCCAAACTGCGGCATCTTGTTGGATACTCATTCCATTTGCTCCCATTTCCTGTCTGACCATTCCGAGCTCACTGCCACCACCCAAGAAATCACTGATGCCTGCATCTGTTGTTCTGACTCAATATTCATCTTTGGTCGATCGTTACATAATAGTTTAAAATCACTCCTGTATTCTTGACCTTCACCTTCCTTCCACCTCCTGTAAACCCAGGGCAAATGAAATGTTATGTTCCAATGGCGCATGGCACAGACGAAAGCTGAAGGCGCTGGGCGTGGCCTAAATGTTTATAGTAGCGCGTAGGGCTATTGGCCGCCCCCAAAAGTGGTCCCCCGGAACTTCTGCGGTCGGTCCCCTCACACAGTCCACACCGATCCCCGTCCAGGCCACCGCGGTCCCCGCCGCCAAAGGTCCGCCTATTATAGTTGGGGTGAATTTTTGGTATATTATACTGGCTTGCACGAAAACTAGAGCCTTATTGCTTCTTGAGGTACAGTTACACAGTTGACATGAAACCATTCCTTGCAGGTGCAGCACTCCACCATGGTACATCCAGGCTGCTCAGGCATACGGCAAGAGCAGTATACAGAAATACTCGATGACTATTTCACGGTTTGCCTCATTTAACTGGAAAAGCCTGTATACTTCTGGATTCCAAGCACACCATCAGGTGCTTCCGTATGCCAATGCAGCAGCAAATGCAATGGCAAAAATTCCACAATCTGCTGTGCCATATTGCATTTGGGTGTTCTTTTATTGAAACTTTCCTTGTGGCAAGTAGGGCTGCAATTTGATTCATTAAATGTGATGTCGAGATGATGGCGTCCTTGTGGCTGGCTTCCGAGTCAGGCATGATAATGATTATGATATGCCGCTGCAGTAAGGCGAGTGCTTTTGTACTTGTGCAGTAGACCGTTTCTGGTACAACATAACCTCCCGACATAGAAGCGCGAATCTTCCAGGTACGACTCACAGAGAAGCATGCGACTCATCCTGGTACAAGCCTCTTTCCGACAGAGAAGCGTGCGACTCATCCTGGTACAAGCCTCTTTCCGACAGAGAAGCGTCAACAGGAGTGTCATTCTTCCCGGTACAGCCGTACGGGCGGAACGAATATTTCGGGGGTCCAAATATTCCGTGACAGTCGTTACTGCACCCTCTGGGCTACAGCCCTTTCCTTGAACGCTGCGCATGCATGTGCTGAAGTGAAAGGGGGCATACAGCTACGGGCGGCGAGGGGACCAGTTTTGGGGGACCATCGACCGTACCGCAATTTAATTCACCTAGTAAGTATTGTGATCTGTTCAAAAAGGCCTTGTCAATGTTTTTACAGACCTGCCGTAAATCGTCGTGTAGCTGTTTTATAAGAAAGTGTGTAAGTGGTACACCTGTGTCCATTTACAGTGCTTTACAATTGGTAGCGTCTGGTGCACCAGTGAGCTTGCCACTGGCTAGCCTTGTTCCAGGTTTTTTGTTGGACTGGGAACAAGGCTAGGCACTGGCATGCCTCCGGACTTACTGCACAAAGCGCCACCCCTGCATATGATCTGGTAATGCTTAAATACCTGCCGTAAGTTACTGAGCTGGTGCACCAGCCAGCCTAGCTAGCCTTGCGGAGCCACTCAATCAGCCATAACGTGAGGAATGCTCCACCAAACTTGTTCAGATTGGAGTCCGTCAATGCCACAGGCTTTGTTTGATTTGAACTTCCTTATGCTCACCTCAATATCTTTGACAGTGAAGTTGTCATCAATGATGTCATCAAAATTCATCTTTGACAGGAATTCTAGGTGGGGCAAAGCCTAAGCTTGAGCTGGACCCAATTTTAGATTGAAAAAGTGCGTCTTGAAGTGGTTTGACCAGCAGGACTGTATTTTGAGAGGGTTGGACGGTGTCTTGAAATGCCTGGAATCATGTCTTGAACATTTTTTCTCTCTTCTTCCAAGAATTCCGTTCTTAGTTAGTGCGACATTTGTTAGCACATTTCTTGTTAGATGGGAGAGTCTTTTCTTCTCCTGGTGCTCAGGTCCTTGAGATGGGTGCCCTGCTTTCTTCCATACCTTCACGGCGGACTTGCACTTCCTGCTTAGGTCCCTAAATTCAGGATCATGAGAGAAGGGCTTTTTATGTGGTGGGAGAGTTGATGAGGCTGCCTGAAGAACAGCTGCTGAGACAAGGCGGATCTCTTCATCCAGAGAACTACAGTACTGACATATTTGTTGATTAAGTCTTCCATAGTGTGTATACAAAACGGAAGTCGTCTGTGGGGTAATCCGTGGTGGGGAGGTATACTCCAACAACAATGGGGGAAGTTGTGGAGTCATGGTAACAGCACAGATTCTCAATTCCAGCAACTGGTGTGGCTTTGAGTTGTTTGTTCCAGATGATTCCAATACCGCCGCATCCTCAAGTCAGATTGCTATCAGGATTGAGTCTTTGGTCGGCGGTGGCCGTCCCAACCATTTCTGGACGGATATCACTTAGCTCATGGCCACAGCCAGTGCTCACTGATGACGATGACGTCATGTTTGTCAGTCAAGTGCTCAATGTATGGGAGGCCATTTGAGAGACCTCTGCAGTTCCACTAAGCGTGACCGTAGCATGGGGAGGTGAGTTGTTGACCGCCACAGATGCATAGCACTGAGCCGTCTTAGTTGTAGCTGGTCCTGTGCTACGTCATTTACTACACATTTGATATGCTCCAGTTTGTGCTTTATGGAACTGGTGTTGGCGAACATTTCCATTCTACGCTCAAGTTCATCTAGTGATTGGCTGGATGCAGATTGTTGAGAGTAGGTCAGTGCATCAGCGGAGGCACACTCCACCTGTTGAGACATTTCTCGGATGATCTCCAAGCGGAGAGGTCTTTTATAGAGCGCTATTTCTCACTAGTGTTCTTGGAATACATTTGCTAAGGTTAAGATATCACTCACGATAGAGAGGTTTCTGGGGCGTAGAGAAGAGCCTTTCCTGCTGACTAATACTCAGCGAGTGAACATGACCTTGCTTCTTCGAATAGGCGCAGTCTTAGCCCAGTTAGGTCGTCGAGAGAGAGTGTGTAAGCAGTTCATTGGTACACTGCGAGGCCTGATTGTCTATGAACTCTGCAAGTTTGTCCATGGTTCCAGTCACGCTGTTGGATATCGGTGACGGGTGGGTGGGTGAGAGAGTGAGCGAGGAGACAAGGCAACGGGCAACGGGCGGACTTCTTCCGTACACAGTGTGCGCACGCGCGTGACACTAAACGCGCATGCGCTCATACACGTGGTATACGACTGGCTGGGCGGTAGCTCTTACTTTATCAAAAGCCGTATATACAGGAAACAAATAGCCGTGGAGACAATTCTACTTACTCGTGCAGTGGCCCTTTCAGGCAATGTCAGACAGCTTATCGGAAGGTAAGTCGTGGCGGAGGTAATCTCCGACCTTATCCACAAAGCTTATAATTATTGTAGACCAGAAACAGGAAGGAAACCAACCCCTTATGACCACCACTCACATATATATTGATCCACGGCCTGAACAGGCATTTGCAGAAGGTAATCACCGTAGAGATATTTCTGCCTCACTTCACAAAACTTACTGTAGCTTGTGAAAACCAGAAACAAGAAGGAAACCAATCCACTAGCCCTACTGTTTCGCCTCGGCTTGATCCAGGGTCAATGTCGGTTGTAGGAGACGGCTTATCGGAAGGTAAGCTGTGTCCACAGAGCAGGTTAGTCATCTACAGCAGTTATTATAGGAAAAGGGGAAGGAAACCAATCCAGTAGCCAGGAAGTTGCTACTGTGTCTCAGCTCGATTCAGGGGATATAGCAGACCACTTATCAGAAAGTAAGCTATCTTCACCACGTAGGTTTTGTCCAACTTTATCAACCGAATTCTAATGTAGAGTCTGAAAACCAGATAGAAGAAAGTAGCAATGCTGTCATGTCTCAGGCAATGCCAGATAAAGCAGACAGCTTATTGGAAGGTAAACTATGTTTATCACACAGGTTTGGTCTGATTTCACTTTTATTGTACTTACTGAAAACTAATCCTGTAGTGTGGAAAGTAATGCACTGTAACCTCACACTCTTGTGTTTCCTTGCTTTATCTAGGGACCAATTAGGCAATATAGCAGATTTTTTAAGGCCGTGTGCACTGCACAGGTTTGTTTTAACTTTCTCCGTAGCTTTTGATAACCAGAAACAGGACGGAAATGAATCCAGTAGCTGGAAAAGTTATGCTGTCACCGCGCACTCGTGTGTGGCTCAAGGGCCCTATCAGACAATATCGGATATAGCAGATGGCTTGTCGGAAGGTAAGCTATCTTCATTCGTGCTGATTTTGTCTGACTACTTTCACAACACTGTAGTTTCCAAAAACCAGAAACAGGATGGTAACCTATTCACTGAAAGTAATGCTGCAACCATTAAGCAAGTTCAGCTCCAGGTATATACTTGTGTTTGTGCGTTTGTGCGCATTCATCTTGTACATAGCCGCTCCACCCACAAGGGGAAAGGAGCGTCTGGTAGCTTTTGTCCTAACCTCTCTTCTAGCATAGGAGCTCCGCCTACAAAGTCCACGGGCAATTCTGCAATCTGATTGGAGATGTCGTTTTTGAGATCTAGGACCTAGCATTGTTACCAGACCCCTTTCCCATGTGATCAGTTGGTGGGGTCTGGGAGTTAGAGTGTAGGGGGTGCGTCTGTGCGGAAGGTTAAACATGGTTAACGGAAGGAGGAGCCAAGCGCGGCACGCACGTGCGGGCAGGGTCTGGTATGCGCATGCGAACGAGCCTATGTCGACCAGTAGCGGCCAAGTTGTTGGACAAGCATATACTCGGTTTCGAGTTGGGCGTCTTTGGTGGTTTAATTACCCCGGTCTACTCCTACATAATGAGTTAGAGTTTACTGTGCCATAGCACAGAGGTTTGATGTTTGTCATGTGTTGTGTTGCGTTGCAGATTCGAACCCCTACCAGCTGAGTTGCCCTGGTAGCTCAGTTGGTAGAGCGCTCGCCTAGACTGCAGAGTGTCGTGGGTTCGAATCCCACCCAGGGCAGCTCTTCTTAAGAAAGAGCTTTCCAGGGTGTAGTTGACTTGTTTGCCTTGCCTTGCCTTTCTACCTCCTTACCAAGTTGTTGAGTCATGTTGCATTACTCAGGATTTTACATCGTTTCTACCGTAACACATTATCAATTCCCATGGATCAGATGTGGCAAATATATTCAGGATGCATGGAAAGTGCTAAAACCATTATTGCGCTGTATGTGCACAGACATCAATATCAACATTGCCATCTAGTCTGGTTTCCTTGTTTGATAACAAAACCCCGTGCTTTTGTTTGCTCAATCGCCACTCTGATGTTTACATTGCTTATCTAATGAAGGCTCAAGATACTGTGTGTGACAGTGCAGGACAGGCCGAGCCACGCCCTTCTTTGAATGGTTAGTGTACTAACATGATGTAAGCATCCTAGCTATGGGGGTCAAAAGGAACTGTTACATGTCACTTTTGCCATTGAGTACTCTGTGACTTCAAATTCAGGCCAAGTTTAACTGTGTGGTCTTTTAATACAGTGTGCAGTTTGTGGACTTGTGATTCTTCAAGGCTAGATTCTACTTGTGGCGACTCTTCCAGCTCTACAGATTCTAGTGATGAAAGTTGTATTATGGAGTAAGTATGAGAATATCAATTGGGCTGTACCTGTTTCTGGGTACCTGGTGTGTGTCCGTCTGTGTTAAGGGGGGGGGGACATTTTGAAGATGTCAGTTCAAGGTATGTAGCCATCATCCCAATGTGCTAATGACTAGGTCATCCCTGTCTTGTCTCCTTGATTACGCACTTCTGTTTATCCCAAATAATGTCAAGATTTCACGCTGCATAAATATTTAACGGCTCGATCATCTTAGCAAGTGAGAGAACTCTCGACCATTTGGCATCATTCACTGTGCTCTTTAGTGCCTGACGGAGGCAGTACCTTTCCAATCTTCGTCGTTCAAAGGTGCAAGTTGCTAGGATGGCTCATGCCCTGCATTTCTTGAGCGACTCATCTTCAGGAACATGGTGTCTGCTTGTGGTGGTATCAAGAGTTGGGCATGCACCTGAGTGCAAGTGATAGATAAGACAACGTGATAGGTCGTAGGCTATAGGCCTTTGGTTTCTATGTAGACCATTACAAGAAGAAGTTAAAGGTTATTGCTCCACCACGGCCACGCCCCCTCCTTCTTCCTCCACGTCTGTGGCGCCTGTTGCCCCAAGGCCTCCGAGTTTGAAAACCTGAAGTGGAACGAAAATTAGACAATCACAGTACTTCTCACCATATGAACTCCCACAGCTCTACCTTTGGAATGTTCTGACTGGTGACCTGTCTGTAATATGGAGAAAGAAGACTTCTCTACACAGCAATCACAACCTATAATACTGTTATTTACCTCGCCAATTAGCCTGTGGCTGCATAATTCCAAGAAGTAGAGGAGGTGGAAGTCAAGGGAGTCCCGCAGCTGGTGGAGGCAGAGGAGGTCGGGGGAGCCCCGCAGCTGGTGGAGGCAGAGGAGGGCGAGGGAGTCCAGCAGCAGGTGGAGGTGGAGGAGGTCAAGGGAGTCCCGTAGCTGGTGGAGGAGGAGGTCGAAGGAGTCCCGCAGCTGGTGGAGGCGGAGGAGGTCGTGGAGTCCTGCAGCTGGTGGAGGAGGAGGTCGAGGGAGTCCCGCAGCTGGTGGAGGCGGAGGAGGTCGTGGAGTCCTGCAGCTGGTGGAGGCGGAGGAGGTTGAGGGATGATGGTTCCATCTTCAAACTGACATTGCTTGCTCGTGTAAATTTTCCTCCACACAAGCCCTATATTGTACCACTTTTACTCACAACATGAATTTGTTTAGTGTGAGGACAATGGTAAAGGGATTCTCTGAAGCCCAAGAACACAGCATTGTAAAACTCATCGTTAGTTGAGCGAACATGGAAGTCTTAGACTGCACACAATGCAGTCACAACCAAAAACTGAGGAGCTGTCAGAGAAGGCAACACCTGTGCATTATGTGCTAAGGAAATGAGTCATTCTATGAGGGAGCACACTCATGCTTCGCGACAATATAGGGATTGTGTGGAGGAAATTTTACACGAGCAAGCAATGTCAGTTTGAAGATGTAACCATCATCCTATTGTACTAATGCATCACATGCACTAGGTCATCCCTGTCTGTCTCCTTGCTTTTTATGGCATCCCTATATTCCATACTTCTATTCGAAGAATTTATATTTACTTGCTAACTAAGTCGCTCATGTAATGGTGTGCATGCAGGGTTGTTAACCCTCGGCGCGCATGTGCAGCCAGGGTTACAGTACTTGGTCTGTCTGTCTATCTGTTCGTCTGTCTGTCTACGCTTATTCTGGCACTACAGGCTACGAGGCGGTCTATGAGCGATACTAGCAACTTCAGGGCTACGAAAGCGTGAAAACTAAAAAGGCGATTTTCCACAAACGACTGCATTCCAGAGATATGGCGTGAAAACAAGCGAAAAAGCATGATTTCGAAGCGTGAGGCAGGCAAAGCGAGTGTGTCTAAAGCCAATATCGACATGGCTTACATCGACCAGATTTAGCCCGCTCAGCACTTAGAACCTCTCATGAATAATTCTCTTTGATGTTGGGTGTAGTAATCAAGTGTCTAAAACCCATAGTACTGGTCTGCCAGGAATAAGTAGTAAGTGTCTAAGTTGCAAGTTAGATCACTGTGAAGAATTTAGATCACTGAGGTTTCACAAAATATAGTACAAGTAAATAAAAAATCCTGCGAATTTAAAAAAAGAGGCATATAGGGAAAAAGAAAGGGAGACAAGATAGGGGTGGGATACATGAAGCATGGTTGATGAACAGATTTGAGCACACTGAAACCCCCAACCCCATCACACAATCCCTATATTGTTGCCTGGTGTGCTACTGTTATACGGAATAATGATGACAATGACAGACCCTAAAGAGTTTTAATTCGAAGAATTTTTTTACTTGTAAACACTGTTGTGTTAATTGGGGAGCTAACCTCCAGACCAAACAGCATGATTGTATTGTACAACATTATTTTCAAACTGCGCGCGATATGTGCTCCATTTTAGGTTAGCTAGTTTGCTCTAAGTCACGATAATATTATTAACCCTCAGTGTGCATGTGCAGCGAGAGTTACAGTACTTGATTGTGTGTGTCTGTCCATCTGTCCGTTTGTCTGTTACCATGTTTACTGCGACTACGCACAACATGACAACAAAATAGAGATACCAACAGATTGCTACACTGGCTTAATTTAAAAAAAAGTGATTTTCGTATAACTACTGCGTTCAAAAGTTATGGTGTGAAAAGCAAGAGTGAACGAGCCAATATGAATATTGGCTTACCTCGACCGGGTCCGCTCGCTCTGTGTATCTTGAAGGCAGAAGAAGTCACAACGAAGGGCGTGTATCGACTCCCACATGCTATCTACTGCTGTAGCTAGGCCGTGTCAGATTCTCTGCAAGCTACTAGCGGGAGACCATGAGTAAACTCATAGATACTTATAGCCCAGCCCATCAATTAGCGGTACCACGCATGCGCAGTTCACCGAGGGTTTGCACTTCACTGCACTGGAGATATTGTGGCTCTCAAAAAGGATCGCCTGTTGCCCGTTCAACTAAACCACATGGTTTTTTTTTGCTGGAGATCCATGCTCTGTTTGTAGCCACCCAAAATGTGTGTCTGCATGTGTGATCATGCTCGCTAGATGTGTACTGCACACTGCCTTCTTGCCGTGGCAGCCAGCCCTTTTAAAGTGTCTTGCAAACTGAACCACCTGTTTATCTTTTTCAGTGAACATTCTCAACACCATGAAATTGTAGAGAGAGGTAATGAACATGCAGAGGCTGATTCTTTTGTTCCTCGGACTAAAGGAGAAACCTTGTACCAGGTCGAAAGACATAATATTATAAAACTGATTATAGAATAGCAGATGCTTCAATAGCTCCTAGGTATCATCATCAGTTGCAGAAATGTGATGAGGATAGCCTGGAGCTATTGAAACGCATGGTATTATATATAATATATATAGACAGTTATCAAGTACTATTTAATAACCCTAGAAGGTGTTGAAGTAATTTTTCTTTGTTTACATGACGTAAAATGTAGGACCTTCCTCCTGTGGAATGTTGTGATGTACAGTTCCCTAATGATGGAAGACTTCTTCCTGTGGCAACAGTGTCACATTACACTGAAAAACTCTGTGAGTTTGTTCTACTTTCCCAGGGACTTTCTCTGCCATTGTCATGCTACATGTTAAGTTTTGAAACAATCAACTTATCGGTTGGAGCACTACATTATGTATGGAATGATGTATATGGGTATGTCCCCAGCGCAGTGCACACGTATCAACATTGTACCCATACGCATGCTCAGGTCAGTTGATTGGCTGGGTTACACTATAACTAGCTTTCTGAGAATCCGACACAGGTAGATAGACTGGTATATAGCATTTTAGGCACCTGCATGCATGCGCAGATTAGAAACGCTAAATGATGGGCCATCGTGGTCTCTCGGTAGTCTGAAGCTAGACTTGCGAGACTTGTATTTGCCCTCAGTTGTGACTTCTGATGTCTTCACAGTTCAATAACAGGTGGAATGTTGTCAAGATAAGCCAGGGATTATTAGTTTTTTGACACACCATAACTTGTTTAAAGTGTTCTTATGAAAATATATAGAGCCAATGCACGTTGTAACAGAAAATGTACAGACGGACAGATACACACACAATTTCAAACAAAGTACTGTAACCCTCGCTGTGCATGCAGGCTAAGGGTACACCTGTGAAACTCTTAAGGAAAAAGAGCTATATACCCTTGGTTGGGTGCAAACCTATGACATTCTGCAGTTTAGCCTACTTGAGTGGCACTTGACTGCTTAATGGAACAAATGAAAAGCACTGAAGTGCAAACCCTCGGCGCATTGTGACATGACGCGCACCCGTACCACTAATTGATGGGCTGGGTTTAGTTTTAGCTGTGACTCGTGGTCTCTTACCAGCTCGCGCAGAGTCTGACGCGGACTAACTACACTGTAGATAGCATGCGAGAGGCGATACACACCCTGCGTTGCATCTTCTGGTGCCTCCGAGGTGGCACGCGGATCGATCAGACTGTGGTAAGCCATCCCGTCCGTTGCGTATTTGCATATTGGCTTTTTAGCGCTCTAGCTTTGCAACGGAGCATTTTCAGAGAAAACCCCACAAATTTTCTGACCTTCGTTGCCCGTTGAGTAGGTAGTATCGTTTGTGAGACGAAAAAACATTGGGGAAGTGAGATGTTGAGTAACAGACACACAGAAGGACAGACAGACCCAAGTACTGTAACCCTCGCTGCGCATGCGCGCCGAGGGTTAACAATGTCGTCCAAGTGCTGCACACAGCAAAGTGAGCTAACGTAATCTTTGGACTGGAGCACTGGACTAGATGACTGACTACTGGACTCATCTGAATTAACATATGCACACACACAGGGACAGACATTAATGTACAAGGACACTCTCCTTGCTTGACATGCACAGGCTAAATTATGATACTACTCCAGATGTGTAACGAGTATTGGCATCACAAGAACTGAACTATAATGAAAAAAAGATTCAAATCTTTGTAAAGACACCCTGTCAATGTTCACAAGATGACCGACCGTTTCACTTTTATTTTCATAGTAATATTATGCGGCCTACCAAATACTCCACCAATTGATGAAGGAACAATACTGTGGAATAAAGCGCGGACATCTATAGCCAAGGTGTATTTCATACTGGTGTATCTTGGTTTATTTACGTCACTAACACACAATGCACTTTGTGTGTAATTTCACTTAGGTCAACCGCATACTAAAGTTTAAAATGTTATTGTAGTGTGTATTATGCACTTATTGCGAGTGTAAAATTGTGCACTCGTGCTAAAACCCACAAAGGCATTTTCTCTTAAATAACTTTTAGTTTTTCTTTTTGTTGCCATTCAGAAACCATACATATCGATGTTGATTGGAGTAAGCGGTCATAAAGTGTGGCAAGGCTACTATTGTGATTTTAGCTGATTAACCATACTTAAGTTTGACACTGGTGCTTCTCATTTTGAACAGGAAATGAGGGTTTTCAGAAGGCCAAACAGCTAAGTATGTGGATTTTACCCTTGTACTGGGGACAAAAGTTGGCATTGCCCTTCCCTCTCTCACTCTCTTTTCAATGAAAAGCACTAAGTGCAGACCATTAGTAAGGTTAATCAGCAGTGAAACCTAAGTACAAAGGTCAATATTCTTCAGCATTAGCACCGGGGTCCAAGGGTGTAATCGAAATTAAACACATTTCTCTCGGAAAATGGATCTGTAAACACTTTTTCAGATTCATTTGGCATTGCTAAAAGCTTGCTTGCTACATATATTTGTTTGGCCGTCTACGAGAGATAGCTGACATGTAATGGAGTGTTAATGCTGAAATTATTACTCCACGCGTAAGCAGGTATAAAAAAATTGCCGTTTGAACGCCTGACTCCCGGGTAGAAAAGCAGCTATATTGAAACGGTTAACTGCACCAAATTTAAGTAAACTGCACAAAGGTATGCAATACGAAATTCGGTGGAATCTTTAATTAAATTTCTTTCCCCGGGTTAATAGTTAATAGTCACAAATGTTACATTTTTCTGGCTAGTGTACTGAAAAACTGACTAAGAATGAAAACTGCCCTTACTACTGTCGTAGTTGCAAACACGGTATAGGAACTGTATCATTCTTGTTTTTAACATACAGGTGTTTGAGACATTCGGGCCGGTGAGAACGCCATTCTATTCCATCCGAATAAATTCCGTTAATGACCTACCTTCACTCGGTATCACATTCGGAGACGAAGTGTATGTAATTCCAGCTCATCCTACGCTCACCAAGTATGTGTTTCCCCAGGAGCTCATGAAGTAAGACAATTTTTAATTTCACTAAGTACGTAGTTTTCGGCACATACTTGTGGGGTAAAACTTGTAGATCCATAAAAATATGCTCATTATACTTAATTCCTGAGACCGTTTCACTCTTTTTGCTCAGCGCTTGGGGATGTCTTGTAATGGCACCAAACAGGAAACCGTAATTATGTAGCCCCTTGAATACGCACCTTGCGCATAAAAGGGGAGTGTCCTGGCCAAAAATGGCAACCGGAAGTAGATATTTTCAAACTCACACAACTGTTCCATTATTGTACCACTACCAGTAGCAACATGCAGCTGTTCAACTCTTTATGTAAATGTGGGGTGAATTATGCAAAAAAATGCAGCCCATGACACATAGCATGATTTGGCCCAAAAACGAGGTTTCTGATTTTCCCGTATACATCAAAGAAATTACATGATAATGAAAAGCACTGAAGTGCAAACCGTCGGCGTATTGTGACGCGCACGCATAACTAAACGCATGCGCAGTACCACTAATTGATGGGCTGGGTTTAGTTTTAGCTGTTACTCGTGGTCTCGCGCAGAGTCTGACGCGGGTTAACTACACTACTAGAGCGCATACGAGAGGCGATATATTCACGCCCTGCGTTGCATCTTCTGGTGCCTCCGAGGTACGCAGATCACGCGAATCGATCAGACCGCGGTAAGCCATTGCGTATTTGCATATTGGCTTTTTCGCGCTCTAACTTTGCAACGAAGCAGTTTCAGAGAAAACCGTTCGAAATTTCTGACCTTCATTGCCCGTTAAGTAGGTCGTATCGTTTGTGAGACGAACAGACATTCGAGAAGTGAGATTGAGAGTAACAGATACACAGACAGACACACAGACCCAACTACCGTAACCCTCGCTGCGCATGCGCGCCGAGGGTTAACAAGCAAATTTACAAGAAAAACAAGCTAAAATCATGGTATAAAATACACCTCGTTTTCTCTTGCTTTCTTTTAGCTAATGGAAAGACCTAGAACAAAGAATTATGGATTTGCTAGCTATGGAAGCCAGGCAATAGTTGTACTAAGCGCACAAAAAACGATCAGAGTGGGTAGCGTGTAACGGGGGATGTGGTCAACCGCGCAGCATGGCAACCCAGTCGACGGGCCGAAGGCTGGCGTCTCGCTAAATACTGCATGCACGGCTACATCGCCGATGTTAACGAGTGAGAAATCGATGGTCAGGGAGACGTTGGTATGTCTGCACTGTCAAGAACACGTGTCCATTCGTTCGTGTGCACGCTAAAAGATGCGCTGCCAAGGCGCCGGATTTTTAATGGCACAGTGTTACCATGGTATAAAAAGGTCAGACGCTGGATTCCTTGGAGAATACGTAAAATCAGAAACCCTTGGGCCGTGTAGTGCCCTCGCTGCGCTCGGGTAGATACATCCGGCCTCAGGTTTCTGATTTTACGTATTCACCTCGGACCCATCGTCTAACCCACATTTAAAATCTGCCCACACAACCTATAACATTGTCTGGCATGAGAACCATAAGATCGTAAAGATCTCATTAACATATAGCTTTTCCATCTGTGTTTACTCTTGAACACAGTCGTTTCCTGTAGCCAGACTCCCACTTGCAGGGAGAAAGTCTGGTCCACTGAAGACCAGTCTTGTTTAGTGTGCCCCCACTTACGTCATACTAACAGACCGATAAAGCAAGTGTTATAACCCTTGTTGTGCATGCACGCTACAGCCACTTGCTGTTGTAGTGTTGTGTATGCTGTAGAAAGTGTTCTTTGGCAATTCAGTCCTTTTTCAATACGAAAAGCACTGAATTGTAAACCCTCTGTGAACTCTGCATGCATGCTACCGCTTGTTTATAGGATGGGCTAGGTATGCATTTACTCGTCTCTTGCTAGTAGCTCGTGTAGAGTCTGGCGTGGGCAGCTACAGTAGTAGATAGCATGTGGTAGTCGATACACGCCCTTCATTTTGACTTAGGTACACAGAGCAAGTGAATAAGGTTGAGGTAAGCCCAGTACAATTTGCATTGTTCATTTTTTTTCTTGTTTTCACAGTATATCTCTTATTTTAGAATATCGTCATTTATTTTTCAGGCTTGCGTAGGTCTTACACCACTGGTATCTCTCATGAGCCACCTCGTAGCCTGTATTTCAATAATAGCTGCCGGCAAACACACACACAGACCAAGTACTGTAATCCTCGGTTAGTTACTGTGCACACTGCGCACGTGCTTGTGACCTATGTATATACACCTAGCTAAAATGACTTAATCGTGGTGTTGCAATAAATTGTGTGATTCTCTCACGTGTGTTCAAATCGAACCTTTTGTAGCCTATACATCCTTGTCGCTGGAAAGCTACGACGCTTTCTGTAATAGCTGCTTAAACACTAAAGTGCAAACCCTCGGCGAACTGCGCATGCGCGGTACCGCCAAATTGATGGGCTTGGCTATTTGTAGTATGCGTTTACTCGCGGAGTAGCTCGCGAAGAGTCTGACACGGGCTAGCTACAGTAGTAGATAGCATGCGGGAGTCGATAAACGCCCTTCGTTGTGACTTCTTGTGCCTCCAAGGTACAGAGAGCAAGCGGACCCGGTCGAGGTAAGCCTGTGCTAATTTGCAATTGGCTTGTTCACTTGGTTTTCATGCCATAACTTATGAACGCGGCACTTGTACAAAAATCGGCATTTTAAAAATGAAGCGGGTGTAGTGCTGAACCCGTTGGTGTCGCTATTTTACCTGTTTGTCGCGCGTGGTGGCAGAAAACGTGGACGGACGGACAGACAGACGGACAGAACAAGTACTGTAACCCTCGCTGCGCATGCACGCCGCTGAGGGTTAATCACAAACTCCGCAGAGGTAAAGGGAATATCATCATCCACATACTCTAGCTGTTATGTGTTAAATTGGCAGACCCTTTTACATCCATTCTTATACGTGCAGATGGAGAGGCTCTGATGCCTCCTGGAAGGATGACAATGAGGTTCCACCACAGGTAAGTGCCAGAGATTGTAAATTTTAGTTATGGACATTTAGGTCCATTTGGTATCAGCTGTGCACACACGATAATGATTTCCTGTCTTCGCTGATCAAAATGTTAGGAGTCATTTGATATGGTCATTGAATGAAGGTCCTTCAGATAATCGGTTACGCTGAGGAGTTAAGAAGTGAAACTAGATATGCTTAACCTAAGTGTACAGGGGCATCATTAAATGTGAAGAAAGTTTACCGTGCACATAATGTTTGAGTAGAACTCAGCAAAATAGTGATTTTACAGGTCCCCTGGCAATTTGCATCTGTCTAATAGTTACAGGATTATAGCGATGATGAGAATGAAAAGAAAGCCTCTAAAAGAAAAGCAAACTTAAGGTGGGTTATGCTGCAATGCCATATTAAGAAGCTGGGGGAGAGGGTGGCTGTGTCAACCTGTATGCCATGTACCGGTTACCTGTGCCCTATGTGCTAATTAACCCTGTGCAAATGCGCGGTGAGGGTTTCTGTGTGTGTATGTGTGTCTGTCTGTTTGTCTGTTTGTCTGTCCCTTTTTTTCACGGAAAGGGCGGCAGTTCTGAAGATTACACATTGACATCATGGTGTATAGGCATTAGCTCTACTTGGTAGATCAAGATTCTAGAGCAGAAAAGGCTGCGGAAGCTCCCAAGGTAAGTGTACGCGTAAATCACTTGTTTTAATGAGGCGGCAATTTTTACACATGTATGGACAGGATAAGAGGCTTGCAACAAAGACAGGGAGTTGATTCAGTGCCACTGAGCTTGCTGGGAAGGTTAGCGAGGAGACGGGAGAGAGCCTTTTCATTGGTCGGTCCGCATAAAAAGCGGTGATGGTTATGCACTGTTAAGTGCTTTGCATTCCATAATATGTTTCCATAATCGTTGACCCATCAACCATTGCATAGTGTTCGAACAGTGAATGCACTTCTACCGTGTGTGTGTACAGATTTACTACGTGCAGGACCGTGTGCCACTAAGGTCGGCCCAACTGTGTTGACCTGTACACAACTCTACAAGCACACCACTGTTACATGGCCTTTGACAGCAACCGGAGAGAGAAGCTATTATCATCGCACTAGCCACGCTGGTAGGAGCCGCATCTAGGTCTTCTTGGTATTGTGGATTTATCACAAGTATCGCCATCATGTCTTTAGTTGACCCTCAGATCCAGCTGACCTGATGATGCCAGGTTAGTAGGGTTGCAGGGCATGCCTATTTTATTTCGTTGCTGCTCCAGCTTTTGAGTAGCTTCCAGATAGTTTCATATCTTCTCTGCAGTGTAGGCAGATCTGCAATTGTTACAGTGTGAGTCAGTTTTAATTCCTCATGTAAGGTGTGTCAGACACAGACACATGTTGATCTGGTACCCAGCACATAGCACATAGGTTGACCATCATATTTTTGCGCATATGGAACCTGTACATGGCACATAGAGAACCAGCACAGGGCTTATAGACACTAGATACTCACACATAGTGTAAACTTTAGGGCTACTGTATGCTTGCTAAACAGTGTGCATGCCCTGTACATATGTGCTATGGAACAAATACCACCTGTATGAGACATGCGCAAGTTTGTGCAATGGAGGGGCCTTTGTTAAGTTTGTTTCAGAGAAGTGTCACTTGTTTCATACCTGAGCAGAAATACTGATTTGGAAGTATGTGACTTATGTAAAGTTGTTGTGACACTGAACCAAGTTATGTACAGAATCCCACTAAGAATAAACTCCACCACTTTTGTCACACCTTCCCAACAACCTCCATGACCCCTCGACTAACGTTTTGAATAACTACATTGTACCTTGGCTTACATGTGCACGCTATGCCTGTGTGTCTTTAATATGCCAATGTATCATATCACAGTGTTGATAGGAGAGAAGGGGGTGGAAAGTATACCAACTGCTTGCAACCAACTCATAATACATTATACCAACATTTACACCAGACGATTGTCTCGAACAAGTGACAATTGAGCATAATAGGCAAAACTGCCCTGTTCCTTACAACCCAGAGGAATAACCAACTATACTTGAAAGACACCCTCCCTCACCCAGTATTTATTGACAGCGATTTGTGTACAAGGGGTTTGCCACAAGTACGTGCAATATCGTGAAGAAAAACCGTGCCACAGATCTCCCGGTAGCCTTTTCTGTGCTCCTTCACGGTCAGCCACATCATATAAATTTGTAATGCAGGACTTTAAGAGTTTAGCCACTTTGTTGCTAACAGTCATTGCTAATTCAATTTGTGGCACGCGCGGAAATTTGGAACTAAAAACGTTTAAGGGCCAGTGAATTTATACACCGGTCGTATTTGTTATTTATTTTGTATGATGGCTATAAGGGCTAGCTGTAGCCAAAACATAGTTGTCTTTCCATTACCTTCCAATGTAGAAAACCAAAGAATAGAAATGAAAGTTCACTCCGAGAATTAAGGAGACAAACAGGTATCAGTTTCACTGAGCCACCAAGACTGCCGCAATCTGCATCCAGGAGAGAACCTGTTCCTCATTACCCCAGGTTAATTGACTATTAGCATGTCGATAATAGTTGTGTGATGGTTAACCCACAGGTGCTAAAAGCCGTACCTGATATGCCCGATCTTGTTTACATTACCGTCCGAGGTTGGAGACCCGAGGATGGTATTGAAATGGTTGAGGGGGTATCCAGTACCGCTGTAGGATGCAGTGGGTTGACCATACTTGTAGCCCAAGAACACAGCTGCGCCGTTCTAGCTAGTTATAGCAAAGGTTTACACGTCAATCGCACACCCTGCTGACTGTTTGAATGCCGACTATAGTGTTTTCCCGTGGTCCCCGCAACTGAGGCTTGGCCTAAGCAATAACTTGGTGGTTGGACTGCTTCACGGCATTTAGAATGGTATATCCACCACAGATAACAACGGCCCGAATCCTATAGGTTTATAACCGGTCGGGCGCTGTCCACTACCGTAATGCTCTACGTAGTTCTAAATAGGCGCCACAAATTTCGCACAATTGTATCATCATCATCACATGTCATATCTCTCACTAGTCTCGTACCCAGCTGCTCCACCCACAAGGGGAAGGAGCGTCTGGCAGGTATTGATGCAAAACCTGGTCCTGAAGACGTCATATCCGTAGTATCTGAACAAATCTTCTAGTACGTGATGCATACAGGGCCCCGCCTACCAAAGTCCGCGAACTACAGATGCACGTGACGTTGATTTGCCATTCTGCAATCTGATTGGAGATCTCGTTTTCGAGATTGAGGACCAAGAAATATGTCAACAGTTACAAGACCCCATTTCCATGTGATGAGTGGGTGGGGTCTGGGTACGAGACTAATCCCTCACTACTACCGCAGAGCAGTCAAAGCTCTACATCAGACCGCCAGACACCAGGAAATACTTGTGCTGCCGCTAACCGCAAGAGAGTCGTCGCGCAGCTCAAAGTGAGGTGTAGCTCCAGAGCAGCGACTATTGAGAGACAGAGCCCGCAGAACTCAACATCTACTGTGCGTCCAAAACAGCCAAAGAGCGAGAGACGCGCTTGTACCAACATCGAGCGCGGGACCAGGCTTCCAGGAGGCAGCGTCTAGTCTCCGAGACTATTAATTTTGCCACAGCATAGGTGCGGCACTTATTCAAGTATGGCGTCTATTTTCTCCGATGTTTGTCTTCCAAAACCACATGCGCCAAAAATAATTTAATGAGGCCTCACAGTTTTTCGTCCACGATTCGGGGTCATCATGTCTATAAATACATATGGCAACCGACTAAAGAGCAGAATCGCAGATTGCTGCCACCTTGGCACTGCCTTTGCTCGATTGACGCTATACACTAGTACATGCATATCGTGCATGCGCAAAGTGCAGCTACTGTTCGAGGGCGTCTACTATTACGTTCACCCCGAGCTACATGCAGCGTCTATATGAGGGCAACTAGTATTCAAGGTGTGCCGTATATTTGAGGAAATAGGGTGTGTTGCTTTGGTATACGAACAGCCATAGGGCTGTTACACCATTTTTATTTGTTGTGGCACACAAAGGTGTGGGTTCCTCACACACCAGAATTTCTTACCTGAGTGTTTTTAATCACTGCAGACCTGAAGTTAACCCCAACTCCCACGCATCAATGTATGATCCTGGAGGAGTGCATGCCGCCTACAATCCACATTCAGGTAAATATGGATATGGTATGATTACAGTAGGAGACAAAGGTATCATTTCCGCAGAACGGTTAAAAAACAAGTGTTGTCATGCCTTCTGTGCATGTGCATGCAAAAAAGCCAGAGACAACTATTCAGTTGCAAAGTGTTAGTGGATTTGTCTCAGATTATTTGCTTTACAAACATGACTTTTCTAGGAGAGAACGATTCCTTGCAACTACGTATGCACAGTGGCATGGCGTAATGGTTGTTAGTAGAGGTAAATTGGTACATAGGCAATGTCACTGGCTGCACTGGCTTTATACAATAACGAAAGTTACACACTTCATCTCCGCGACCAGTGTTTTACACCACACCATTTACGTACTTACAACTACCAGCTCAGCAGGCCTAGTAGGTGGCTTCGTATGACTCCTGCTGCAGCTACTCGAGGTCTCGGTTGCTGTGGCAGTACTAACTGTCTCTGGCATGTCACACATGGTGTTCTTACTCCTAACGTATTTTATATTATGTATGCAACTGTTATTATGGTGAATTATGCAAACATTTTTCCTCTGCAAGTATATCTTACTATTCGGTATAATATTTTCTGATTAGGTGTTTATCCCTTTCAACACATGGGGCCTACCCCACCAAGTGGAATGCTGCGACCTAGCCACTCTCAGGAAGTTCTCTTTTGGCATCCTGCTCAAAGATTATTAGCACCACAATACTACCAATACCCACCAGCAAACTTTCCGTAACAGTATTCACATGTGTAAAAGTCATTGACATTTAGTTGGTATGAAATTTAATTCGGCTATAGATATTTAATTGTGTTGATTTGTCACTGGGTTGCAAGACCCTTGATGCACAGTGTATGAAGATCTCTATAGCAAATATAATACAGTCTAACAAAATCCTGCAAAACGAACATGAGTATGCAGTGTCAAAATAAATACAGCACACAAGAGACATGATTGTTGTGATCCTATGTACACTAAGGTTCAGTGTCAGTCCTTACAAAAATATTTTAAGTGTAATAGGGTGCACTCGAAACCAACCATAACTATGTCGGCATCATTCAACATACATACGTACCCTTACATGATCGTAAAATACTTTTGTGCGGGGTTTTCTAAAGCATAAATGTCAATTATTAATAATTATGATCGTGAGAAAATCGATAAAAACCTGCGGATGCAAAGAAAAAATTACTTTACACACCACCACCGCAATGTTTCTTGCATACTTGTATGCATCACGCAGCTGTACGAATTTCGCAGCTACCTCACTATTAGCCTCGTTCCCATGCATATAGTTATGTTAAAATACGAGTTACAGGTGTTGTATCAACCACATGATTCAATTAACAAAATTGATTTTTACATTGCTGTTCCGCTTTTATGGGGATCTAACTTGTTCTCCCACCATACTTTCCTCCAAGTCAAAGAAACCAGGGTTATTGTATTGCTGCCTGTTGCAGTCCCACACTTAGGGAATGTCGATGATTTCTAAGTTTTTGGCTAGCAATGGGTCAGTCATCTGGATCAAACCTAGCAAATTTTTTAATGTTCCATGCCTAGAAGGAATTTTCAAAATAGACCCTTGTGTGCACCAACCAGAATCTGATTTATGCGTTATGCTGAACGAGAGGGGCTTGCTTTTCAACCAGAAACAGCGATTTCTTGGTTATGCTGAACAAGACGGGTGTATATTACATGGTTTAGCATGAGTCATCTCATACTGCCACCAAGTCATAGCATCGATCTCCTTAGTTCACATTAATTACACCTCGTCACCTTGTCACCAACATGCATTGGAGTTAGAGACACTTTAGTCATCCTACATATTAAGTGACATGCTTATTTACCACATGACATAGCTTGAGCTTGCCTATCTATGCCTTTGGTATAACTGAGCTTCGCCTGCTGAGCCGTAGAACAGCGCCCTACCAAGAAGAATGATATCAAAGGTTGGAGTCTAATGTCTAGGTGATATACCTTGTCCGTGTGTATCCACTTCATTTAGAATTGGCGTTACCCTAGTCTGCTCGTAGTTCAGGGTTTAAGCCTGCTTTGTACAGTCATCAAGCCAGCATACCTGAAGTTGAGATACGACCTGACGTAGGTATGCCTTATACATTTGTATTGCAGTTCTCTGCCATGTTCAGTTCCAGGAGAACAAGTTCCAGAATCAGTGATAAAAAGCATTGTACAGTGTAGCGCCAGTTGGTTAGAATGGTGCCATTTCCAGATGTGAATCCATGGTTATGTGAACTGTTTTGCATTGGGCAACTACTGAGCAAGTGAGCTGGAAGTGGCACCAATCGATGTACACATACTTTGTGTTCATAGCGTGGTAATTGCCATTCTACTGGGTCCAAAGCAAGTGTATGCCTATCTGCACAGACACCTATAGAGATTTCTAGTGCTCTAAGTTTCATACAACGAAAGTTAGATGTGAAAAAATGATCTGAAACACCTAATGTACAGTCTTCTCAATCTCTGATTGGCATCAACATTTCCCCATTGATGTCTCTAAGACCTTTCTCTAGTCTCTCTAAGCCTGAACCAATGATTCTGGAAAACTATTAATTTTTTTAATTTATGTTGTGTGACAGGTTGTCAGTACACACACCTATGATTTGTGGTCAACTTTTCCTACAGCAATCAGGCACACAGGTTCCCACTCACTTCGATATTTACGGCCTTGTATAATTATACCTCTTAGGGGAAAACTGGTCTTTTTGAGGAGGAAGCCCTTTTAAGGTTTCTACTTGTCGTCATGTACACTTCCTTTCACAGTGGGCCTGCACACACTAAACACTACTTCTGTATATAATACACTTATTGAATTTCTTGTACTGAGTGTGAAACACAAAAACAAATAAGTGGAGGGTAAAAAGAGCAGGTATTTCTTGGTTAATATGAAGATCTTGGCTGAAAGCTGGAAATTGCACCACCAGGAGTAAACTTACCTCCACAAACGGGTACACACCTATCGTCTCAATGATCTAGGGCACACTGCATAATGCTGCACAGTGAGACTCAAAGATTCCAGGTTAACCAGGATATAATTCATTAGCGGCAGCAAGAGTGTACAAATAAAAGTTTGTGTGCCGGTGTGGCGACTGTGTAGACTTTGACCCCTGGCTGCTGAGTGGCCCTCAGAGCACAGTGAGGTGCTTAGCAGAGTGTCCTGGATTAATAAGAGACCCACACAGGGCAGCATTATTACCTTAAATGCTTGCATGGAGCCATGCTGCAGAACAAGGACTGTGCATGCAAACCCACTGTCTACTTGTAGAACTGGCAATGTAATAATTGGCCTGTATTGGTACTCCTCTAAAGTTTTATACCCAGAAAGCCCGTGATTTTGCTATTTTTCAGTAAAAAGCTCTGTATTTTTCTGCCAATTGCAAGTTTTAAAAAAGTGCTGCCCTGTGTTTCTTTGATATGCACTTGCCTGGTATTCCATGTGATTCGTAGGAATAAAACACAGAACACATCCATGTGAACACAATAATCTAGTCAATCTAGTGATAAATTGTTATCCATATCACCCTCTCCAACTGCATGGATACTGCTGCCATCACCTACACATAAAAACAATTCTGTATACAATCCACCAGGCTTTGCAACAAGGTAGAACGTCATGTTCAAGGGTTACATTACACAAGATTATAGGGTTTTCCCCTTAAATGATAAAGGTGGCTAAAAATAACCAAAGAACAAGAAAAAAGAAGTCAAACTCTCAGCGCAAACGAATGCACGTTTCTTGCATGTAGTAGAACATAAAGCAATGATAGGCTACGACAGCATCAGTTTCTCCAGGCCAGCTGCATCATGGGAAACCTTGTTATCAAGGCCCCTCGTCTCCTTGTTTTTATACCACCCCTATATTCACCATTCATATAAATATACTAACTTTTCTCCTGTTCTTTTTTACGCATATGCATGGCATGCAATGCAAAGTAGTTTAGGGTAAAATTCCCCAAGCTAGGTAGCATGTGATTCCTTTCCTCTGTCGTCGTTTTTATTTGGTATCAAGTTGTACCAACACAATTTGAGGCTTCTTCTTGTTATTTACAAACTACTTGTAAGCACACCGTTCTGTGTTTAATGTGCTGCTTGGTCTTACAATTGCTCACCAACACTCTCTCTTGTAACAGATGCAGCTGTATCTGCCCCATGCTGAGACCCAGCAGCTAATAAAGTCTTTGAACTATCCTCACATCTGGCATGACGTGTACTGGCAGTTGGTGCTGTTGTGTTAACAGCATTACTTCTAAGTGGAGGTGGTGGTGGTGGTGGGCGTCTTCTAGGTTGGCCTATAAAAGGAATGGTAATATTAATATGTAACACAACATGCAGTGCATTGCATCTTGTGCGACAACAGCACATGTATTACCAACTCTCAATTAGTGGTATTACATTCTCTGTGCACATTAAGTAGAAAGCACACAAAAGAGTATGGCATAATAATACCATGACGACCACATGTTGTTAGAACAACAACCCATAGCTTCAGGTACTTTTCATCTTCACTCTTAACTTGCCAATACCACACATTGATATAAAATTTGGTATGCATGCGTGTAACATCACTCCCATGACGACTACATGTTTACCTACATGTTTTTAAACAACAACAAAATGCCTCAGACAATTTCTTTAAATTGCTTCTTCACTCCTCAAACTTGCTAATGTTAGCAGCATGGAGATGAAACTTGGTAAGCCTGTGTATTACATCGTTTCCATGACGACCACTTGAACAATAGCATCAGCACTATTTCTTCTTCACCCTCAAACTTGATAACTGTATCACACATGGAGATAAAACTTGGCCTGCATGCTTATTACCACATAATATTGTTTGAACAACAACAAAATTATAGCTTCAGCGGGCATTTTTCTCTAAGATTACTTCTTTGCTCCTCATACTTGCCAAACGGTAGCACACATGGAGATGAAACGTGGTACACATGCATATTACCATGACTACTACATGCTTGTAAGCAAAAACTGCCATTACTAATTTTTTTATAGGGCGCTTTCACAAAGATATACGTAGCATTCTATAAAATGAGTGGAGAAAAGTAAATTAAAAAAGAGGCATAAAGGGATGGTATAAATAGAAAGGGAGACAAGATAGGATCCATTAACACATTGCCCGGGACTATATTTGTTGCTTACAAACATGTATTGTTGTGTTTTTGATGCTGCTGATGATAATGCTTTTCATAACTACCGCCAGTCTCTTCAGATTACAGGTTACATGTATGGGTGTACATCTGATGGAGACAAAAAGATGAACATAATAGCCTCATGCATCTGTGTACCAGGTCCATCCCAATTATTGTCCCAACACTTATATACCTAGTTTTTGTCTTGAACCTGTACATGACTTCTTGTTAAGACCTGCATGGTTAAACATAACCACAGGTTAAATATGTATTACTTATACCACGTCGACTAGGGTTTTGCGGAAACACCAGCAGTAGGCGTGATATAAGTAACTAATATATACACCATGGTAACGGATTGCATCATCATATTCGGACCATATTTGGGCACGGCTGTGGACCCGCCGGCATTTTTAGCTGCCAGGTTGGTCGGACCGAACGCTCGTTCTCTTCAACGATTACACCATTGCAGGCATCCTTAGTGAAGTTCTAGGACAGTACTCAATGTGCTTCGGATATCCTTTCCTGTATATTTCACAGGTCATCCTTGTTATTTCACAGAATTCCTGTATATTCACAGGCAGATACATATGTTATCAGTTGGTGGTTATACTGAATAAACAGTGGGCGGCGTCTTTGAAAATATGTGCAACCATGGTATAAACTGTGATGGAGATGTGGTAGAAGAGCCCACATTACTGTTAAGTTCTTCCAAAAACAGGTCAAGGTAATGCCATTTATATACAACCATGGTTCCATGGTTAAGCAATAATTTTGGGTGCCTACTGATTATTCAGCATAATTATTCGCCGCCGCATGTGATGTTCCACGGGACATCCATAGGATGTCCCGTTAAATTGCAGAGATACATATCAGACACGTCGAGCACTGTTTCAAGAATCCCACGAATATAAACTATATACGTGTGGAAGGTTAGCTTTAGTTCTTTCTGACAAAAAAAAACTTATCAGTGTGTCAACTACATGGTGAAACTGCTTGTTTCTTTTCTGCCCCACTAACCAGGCTCGACAGAGACAAGGACATGCTTTTGACACCGTGGTAATTTCGAGGGTAGCTTGCTTCTCTGCGTACCTTTCGCCAAGGACACTTGGAACAGAGCAATTGTCGAAACAACCATCCATAATTTAATTGCAAGGATGCCCCACAATAACTGTTGCTGAGTGGTCTTGCTGTTGACATTCAAAGTGTTTTGGAGTGTCTGCTAATCGCCAGGGGTTCCCTTTGCCCCTCTAGCAAAGTGTGCTGTCAGAAATCTCTGGCAAAGGAGTCAGGTTTGGTATTGACCATAAACATTTCCTCCACTATTACGAACTCTGCCACCAGTGTGTCTGGCATTTTGTTTGTGGTGTAGCATCTGAGGGTGATGTTAGGGATTTCGTTGTATAGATTTTTTGCCACTTAATGTGTATGCCACTGTTTTCATCTAGTGGCAGTGGAATGGGAACATACTGTTCAGGTCTGTTTCACCCATTTAGTTTCTTATGGAGGGACTTCTGTACAATTCTTATGTCGTTTTCCAACTTAGTAATATTTCACTGAGATACTTGGTGAATGCTTTTCAGGGAACAGCTGTTCATGAAGGTTTTCCAAACACCTTTCACTTATGGAATGTAGAGTGCTATAACTCCTTTTGATGGATGCATAGATGTCTTGCACTCTTCGTTAATCTTCATGTAAGTTTGGTGGTCAAAGGCTGTGAAAATAGGAGCCATTAGCTTCATGCTAGCTAGTCTGAGTTCCCAGCAACCAGAGCGGATAGCGAGATAGAGACAGATGCTGGCATATCTTGAAATAAAAACTGTTTCCACAGTTTCCAGTCTTATTTCGCCATTTCGTCAACTAAAGACTGAAAGTTGGATTGATGCATAGACTCCTGCACCTCTTTCCTCACCTGATTCACCATAGCAAGAAAATGCTGGATCTAAGGTGAAAAGTCAAGCTTTGTGCAAAGTCTAGATTACCACCATCTTGGCCTCAATGTAGCGCTGTAGCAACACTAGATACAGTGCCGGACATGCATTAAGTAGAAAATGATGGGTTCGTTTTAACTGGACGGGCGAACTACTGTATCAAAATAGACGGCCATACAAAAAGGTTGTCGGACAATTTTCGTGGAAGTAGTTCATATTTTATTGGGAGCAGCAGACCGGCGTTTGCTATCGAGTGTTCTGGAGCACCACTAGGTAGACCACTGGTCGACCTATAGTGGCGAGTAGGCAAGTGACCTTAGCTTTGCGTGTTTTCTTTGGCCTACTACGAAGAACTAGCGGAATATGGGGTCGTAAAGAAATATTAATCCGAACCCACTGCGGGGCAATCACCCGTTGCAACAACACGCATTATGCTATTTGGCGGAACAACTGAAAAACACCCCAAGAACAGAATACTACAGTATACCTGAATTCTCATGGTAGGCCGATACAGAAGGTACAGTAAGAGAAGACGGAGAGGGGGGAGTTAGAGAAGGGACAGGTGATATTGAATGACACAAAGAGAAATCAGAATGCACATCAGCTTTTGCAGAAGTGGATTGAACACGTTGGTCAAGATTAGAAAGGAGCAAATTCACTGGTGACACACAAGTTGAAGAAATGGTGCCAGCGTCAACACAACCATCCGACATATCATCTAGAAGTGAAAAAAGTATTGTCAGTGAAAATTCAGGACGGTAATAATTGTGAACAAAACCACTTATTCTACCTGTCCTACAGTAGTTCGGCATACTTTGAACCCCGCTGCCACTTGTCCTAGTTGTGAATACTTTGAGCCCTGCTTACTGAGCCGCCCAGGTAGCTCAGTGGTACAGCACTCTGTCTAGAGTCCGAAAGGTGTCGTGGGTTCAAGTCACAATTATCCGTAGGTCAGCTAGAAAACTAGCTAGTCCCAGGGCTTCGACATAAATCCGAGTACTGTAGTTTCCAGGGCTCTACCACAGAGGTGTAAGGAAGGTACCTTTTACGGGCCGTTGGTTTCGACTTGGATAGGTTCTACGAATTATTTCTTGCCACTCCTCAGGAGACGGAATGTCTGAGCGAAAATCGTACCTGCACTCAAGCTCACACATTATGGCCACTTCTGACGGTACAGAAACAAGCGCGCGCGCGTAAACGCACGCGCGCCATTGCCTCTGGGGCTAGATATACCTACAGCAGGCTAGGCAGGGAGATAATTTAACCCTCGGCGCGCATGCGCAGCGAGGGTTACGGTAGTTGGGTTTGTGTGTACTCGTCATCTCACTTCTCGAGTGTTCACAAAGGATACCACCTACTGAACGGACTACGAAGGTCAGAAAATATGTGGGGTTTTCTCTGAAAATGCTCCGTTGCAGAGCTACAGCGCGAAAAAGCCAATATGCAAATACACAACGGACGTTACCACGGTCCTATCGATCCGCGTGCTCTGCGTACCTCGGAGGCACCAGAAGATGCAACGCAAGGCGTGTATCGCCTCTCGCATGCTATCTAGTAGTGTAGTTAGCCTGGGTCAGACTCTGCGCGAGCTGGCTAGAGGACCACGAGTAACAGCTCATCAATTAGTGGTACGGCGCATGCGTTTACTTACGCGTGCGCGTCACAGTGCGCCGAGGGTTTCATTGTCATATGTAATTCGGGGCAGCCTTTTACACTGTCGCTGCTTTTATGGCGGTATTAGTCACTTGGCTGCTTTGTGCTGCACTGAAAAGGCTTCCTGGCAAGTGAGTTTTGCTCGAATTCAGTCACCACTCCGAATACTGCACTAGGTCTGAACATTGTACAAGTAAATACAATTCTAAGAATTAAAAAAGTGGTGAATAGAGATGCCATAAAAAGCAAGAAGAGAAGACAGGGATGACATAGTGTAGTAGTACAATAAGTGATGGTTACATCTTCAACTGACATCGCTTGCTTGTGTAACATTTCCTCCACACAAGCCCTATATTGTCGCAAAGCACGAGTGATCTCCATCGTATATGCGAGGTGCAGGTGTGACTCATTTCCTAAGCAGGTGAGACAGGTAGCTAATGTTCTCTCTGACAGGTCCTCAGTTTTGAATTGTGACTGTGTGTTGTTGTCTAAGATTTCAATGTTCACTAACTAACCAGTTTTACAAAGGTACACTTTCTATACAGAATCCCTTTGCCAGTCATCACACTACACCATTCACTAAACAAACTCGGGTCATGAATAAGAGTGGCGACAATACAGGGCTTCACAATTAGTGTCCTTAGACAAAGCTGCAACATCACTAAAATTCATGACAGTGACCTACATTGGCAGAGCTTGAGGGTCAAGTTGTGGGTACTGCAGTGGAGACCCGTTTCTTCAAATCTGTTAGGTCCTTTTATGAGACAGCAGAACAAGATCATTACAAAGCTTCCTTTGACGCTACTTAGAAACTCAGTGTTAGACCCTAGAAGTCATTTTACAACAGCTACAGCAGATGTTCTTGATTTGGCACATCATTAAAACCCCCTTATTCGAAAAGTTGGTGGAGAAATCAAAGCACTATTGGTACTTCCACCTTCTAATGCTGACCTCGAGTGGCTCTTTAGCATAGAGGAGAGGAGACAAATGGACCCAACAACACTAAATTCTTTGCTCTGTGTAACGACACTCTATGCTACTATGACAACGCAAGTCTGGTTACGCGGGAATTTCTCATAATGGCTACATATTTATTTCTGTATCTTATCTGGTTCTACTTGCCGAAACTGAGCAACAACCACCACGCCAACAAGAAAACTACTGCATCACATTCACTAGGCCATCCTTGTCTCCTTTTTATACCACCCTATTCACCAACATTTTTTTAATTCGAAGAATTGTTTTGTTTACTTGTGTACAACGATGACAATGGTGTCTTTTTAATGTGGAAACTTCACCCCCAACGTGCACATGCACACACTGTGTTTGGCAGGCTGGACATCACCAAAGGGGACAGGGAGGCGAGACTATAATCCGCTGTGCGTGCCAGGTGCAGGCCACCGGCTTATTTATAGAGGAGGCCTAGTAGCTCTCTGTGTGTACGTGTGTATTGTAAGAGCCAGGGTGTATCTTAAACAGATGTTTATGGATTTTCAGCATATTCCACAGATATAGATTAAAAATAATTGTCAGTTACAAATCTACTTGATACATGAGTGCACAATGAGCTATGAAAATTCAAATCCCTCACAGCCGAATCTTATTGCTATCAAAACCTTATCTCTTAATTCCTGTTCACTAGAGTAGCTGCTGAGTTTCAGGGTGTTGAAACAGGTTGCAGCACAAGGAATCTGTAGTGTAGTCTATCATATAATTACAAAATGGTAGAACTATGACTAACCTTATCAGTCCCTTTAATCTGTTTAATCTGAAACTTGCACAATCCACCTAAACCCTAGGAGGAGCAGTATTTGTAAGCCGGCAAAAATAGCAACAATGTGAATATACACCTGTAGGTTCTTGAATCCACCAACCGGCACACACGGAGACCCAGTAGAAAATTTCAGTAGGAGTGCCTTTTCCTCCTCTCTCAGGCTATGCACCAGTTTCCAAAACCACACTTTCGTGCTCTCAGGAACTCCTGGTGCGTACTGCAATGCAATAGACAAAGAGCATCTACCCCCCACACAATAATTATTGCTATGTATGTCTGCTCTCCTGTATCCTGTAAATGTTGTTTAGTGTATGTGCTTGTGTTATTCAGTGACACAAATGGCAGGAAGGTTTCTTCCATCTCTACCATATTGAGAATTGACAATGGTAACACATGAGCTGTAAGTAGTGGTGCAGGAGTCGAGCTGTTGGCATTTGCACTAAGCAGTATAGTCGGCGAGTTGGCTAGGTCTGCTGCATGATACCGACCAGGAATATGGCCTGTATAAAAAGCAATTAATGAACTTCTAAGACTATCGGCTATGCATGCATTTTAGTACCATGGACGCCTTTCTCACTGCCAACCATTGAATCTCCTGAGTAAAGTACATAACTTACGACTGTTTGTTTCTCCCAATCATCAACATCAATCATAGGAATGCCGGAAAGAAAGAGGGACAACTCATTGGTCGTGAGAACTTGAAGACATTTTTGAGGAATCACCTGCAGTATTTAGGGTGGTTATAAAAACAATGTGCTGATTTGAAGTCTAAAACATACATGTATGAGTATACTCCCCTTTCAGTGTAACACTCACAAAGTCACTCAAGATTAGTATATTTAGTCATGTGTCATACATATATACACAGTACATAAATGCGTAAGCGCTGGCACAGATAGCTTCTCCGGGTTACCTCAGATTGTGTTATGCATTTGTGTTAGCTAGGATCAGGAAAGTGTTAATGCAGTACTTGTTTGCTGTTCCAAAATAAATGGTAGACAGTTGTGCAAATTGTGATGCTGAGACAAAAACTTGGGTTGTGTGAACCAGTGTGGTAATTTCAGATCTAATAAATCTTCATGACTGCTACAAAAAAACCATGGCAAACTTGTTTGTTCCTTGAGAATGATGCTGCCTTAAATTTGTTCACTAGACACTTGGCTATTGCCACCATGTGATTTACGCTTTGGAGTTGGGTGTCTTTGGTGGTTTGTCTGCTTTTTATTAAGCGTGAACAGGTTTGGTATTGTCCTTTATGCAAATTATGAGCCATGACAAAAGAGCACTCTGCCTCGAGCGCTGAGTGCTTTGATTTTAGTCCCACCTAGGGCAGCCCTCTTTTCTTGGAGAGAGTGTTGTTCTGGGAGCCGTTGAACGTTTCATATACACTTTTAGCACTGACTTGCATGCTCTGTATTACTAAGCATTTGATTACATACAAATAGAACAGTGACAAATTAAATTCGTACATTGCTTACACAGTACTAAGGGCCATGCTGCGATTTCACATCGAGGGGAGCTAGTAAACTAAGACCAAACATCATCATTAATCACCCCCCCCATCTTCACGACATGATCCCTCTGTCTTAGTATGCAATTCTAGACAAGTGGCAACACCTCTTAAAAGCACAGTGCAAACCCTCGGCGAACTGGTACTGCTAATTGACGGGCTTGGCTATTAGCTATGTGTTTACTCGTGGTCTCCCACTAGTATATAGCTCGCTGAGAGTCTGACACGGGCTAGCGAAAGTAGTAGATAGCTTGCAGGAGTCAATACTTGCCCTTTGTTATGCCTTCCAGATACACAGAGTGAGCGGACCCAGTCGAGGTACGCCTGTTCTAATTTGTATAACGGCTTTTTCACTTGGTTTTCATGTCATAACTCTTGAACGCCGTACTTTTACGAAAATCACCAAATTTAAATCAAACCAGTGTAGCACTGAACCTTTAGGTATCACTCTTTTGTTGTTTTGTTGCGTGTGGTGGCAGAACACGTGGTAACAGACAGACAGACACACTAATGGACCAAGTATATACGGTAACCCTTGCTGAGCATGCGTGGCAAGGGTTAACAATGATGTAGGGATCGAGGGGGAGGGATAAGCCCCCGAAAATAGGCAGTGTGGCAAAGATCCTAACCACCTTTCCTGCAGGGCCGCGTGATAGCGGTAGCATTCCTAGCCACACAGTCTTCTGCACTGGTGTGTGATGCAGGTGCACATGCTAAATCAGTTGTTTGCAATAAAGTACTTTTGGTGATACATAGCTGACTAAAATGGCTCTTACCAAAAATATTGAGATAAACCTTAAGGGACGTACGTACAAATGTAAAGCTAGATAAAGATCTTTCAGTTGCATTTTAAACATTCTTGCCGATTTTAGATAACATGAGATTTTATCCTTGCAATCCCTACCTGTTTAACACTTAGCATAATACAAAACACACATTAAGAGGTGTACAAACCTTCCAAAATCCAGCACAAAAAGCCTTTGTTTCTTTAGCCACACTTTTTTCGAGTTTGAACTCTGACACCAGCCTGATATACTCATCCTGTACATAGGTATGTTGACATGATTTAATAGAGCTGTTTGGAAGAAGCTTAAGATGGAGAGTTTCTTACACAAAGACTGATAAAATGAACACGGCAGCCAACTAGCAGGCTGCCATTCTGTTCATGTGTTAAGAGATTTTACAGATTGTCTTTCACAGGTTGCTTGCAACTAGCAGGAGGAAACTTGCGTGTTCTGGACACTTACTAAATCTCCAGAGATCCCTAAGGTTTCTTTAGAGGCTTAGATCATTTTGTTATTGCAGGGGTGCATCTAATCCCTCCATCCCCTATATTCTGATAGACCGATATTTTCCTGTACCTCAATCAGTTTTGGGCTTGCATTGCTTAAAATATGAACTAGAATTGACATTTCACGGAATAAATAATCATGAATAATTAATGAGGCAGAAAAGTGGTTGGGAATAAGTCGACGCCAGCATCCAAACTAGGGGCCTTATGTAGCAGTGAAACACACTACCACTATATACACCCAGAACACACGTAGAAGGCCAAAATATGTGAAGTTAAAAAACAGTCAAAGGAGTGTTAGCAAAATTAATTCATACACATACAGCAACAATACTTACTTTGTTTTCTGTTGTGACAGACATACTACACCCTCCTTCCAATAATGGAAAGGTAAACATCTCAAGATTTCGTGGTGACTGAACATTTTCTTCAAATGTTAGATCCAATACTGAGGAATAAGGATAGGCAATGTGTGCATACAGGTGGCTAAGATTCACAAATAGCAGCTAATCGCTTTTCTTGCAGAGGTCGTAAATGTTCCTTACCAGAGATATCATCGATAGATGTGAGATTATGATGGAGTACCTCGTCAAACTGCTCTAAATCTTCAGGATGGCTCAGCTGAATTCCTAACAGCTGTAACACAGGCTATACTAGAAAACAGCGAACAGTTTAATGCAAACCTGTTTTAGAAGAGGCTGCACTAAATGGAGTGGTATGTTGTCGCCATGAAACACTGCTTGAGCAAGAATCATACCCACATGGTGAACTAACGCCAAACGAGTGTGTTCTGCAAACTGGGTACTCTGCATGAGTATCACACCTGGTTGAAACCTGTGGTAAGGTTAAGAGACCACATACAACAGAATGTGAATTACGTACCTAAACCATGATACAAAATGTGGTGTGTACAACCATGTACTCCACAATGCAACATGTACGTACATAACACGCAGTTTATTTCTATACAAGGAACACACTATAGGAGAGGAATTACGCTGGTCAGGTAATACAAGGAATGGAGGTTCACTTAAAGTGAAGGGGTTCGTGTCACAAAGAGCACAACCACATATGACCAATTCAAAAGTTTTAGCAAGGTTTTGGATTCCCCACTAGGGATAATAGGGTCATCCCATTACAGTGGCATCGAAGTGTCTCATCTGAGGATAATGAATTCTGTTAAATGAGGCATATTTTTCTTGAACTTGTAACACACTACTTACAGATTGGGTTACTTCTCCAACTTATATCACCTACAATGCTTCGCAGACTGATAAAAATGATTATAAAACCAAAATTTGTCAGGAATCGAGCCAAGTCATTATGCACTGAACTACAATTCATAGACAAAATCCGATCTCCTCACTCCCTTCTATAGTGGTTGTTGCTCTGCTCCAGCTAACACTGTACAATGTAGTTGTGATTGAAAGAGGAGCCCTTTTGCTACCCCCACACCCCCAAACCTACAGGCACAGCTGTGAATAATGCCTGAGAGCAGTAGGAAAAATACAATGCATGTTACATTGTATGTACACGCACATTGCCTGGCCATTGTCAGAAGAAGAGAAAATATTGTCTGTTCCATTCACAAGTTCCTGGCAATAGAGAGACCAAAACTCCTTCCGAGGTCCAGTACATATGCCTGTTTCACCAAACAGCAACAATACAGATAATATACAGAATATGACAATAACATAGTTGTAGTTATACCAGCCTCGTTGGCGAAGGTGACAGTAAGTGAACCAGCCCAGTATGACGATGGAAGAAGGTCATAGAGCATGTCTTGTACCAGTGCCAAAAGGCATTCTGGTGGTGAGCGTGGTATTGACAGTAAGGAGAGGGCCTCTACTGCTGCATCCTCTGCATACTCCCTACAGGGTTCACAGATCTCAATAACACAACCCAGTGAAATCCCCGTAGATGTAACATACGTCAGTATTTTCAGTTTTCCTCTGATCCACATCAGCTTATTTTCAAAGTCCAATAAGCCCATGCAATGCTTTAGAAATCCATACTCCTTTTCTTCAAAAACCAAGGGATTTTGTCGTACAAACTTGTTGAAAAGTGCATGGTATGCCTCATGATGGGCTAGTGACACAAGCAGTGAACGAACCACCTGTAGGGATATAAACACTGTATGCACAGGACAATCCTTGGTACACACTTACTGTGCATGCATTATACGTACTTGTTGGATATCCCTAAGCAACCAACATGTATGAAGCTACATTACTGGTGAGTTTTATTGTATATGTTGCGGCCAGACAGCCAGACAGGACAGCATGAGCCCTGTAAGGGCGAATGCTGTTCTGACTGGGCACTGCAATATATTTGTTGGATATCCCTAGCAACCGACACGTATGAACCCACCTTACATTGCGCAGGATAGTATATGCTCATAAAACTCCCCAGTACGTAGCTTCATACATGTCGGTTGCTTAGGGATATCCAACAAGAGCTACAACATATACATACATACATACATAACTACTGCCAAGTCATGTCAGAAGATTAGTATAGTAGTATTTAGGGCCAGGCAATCACTGGTGTATCACTACGAGGTTGTATCTCCAAGCGCTAGCACAGATCACTAGTACATCAACATCTTGTACACTACTGTACTATGTATATCACTGATAGAAATTTCCCATTTCAAACTACACACAGTACATTTCAATCAAGTATAATAGTGAAAAACACCTTCACAGTTTGTCCCCATCCTTCCTCAGCATCACGGTTCTTTTGTAGCAAATTGCCCACTATGGATAGCTAAAAATTAATGCAGAAAATTGTATACATGCATGTGTCACATGTTGTAAGTAGCATATACTTAATAATAGGGCAGGGGGTACAAGCGGAAAGTATAATATATGTCTGTCCTAGAATGTAAGCAGGTTAACCTGACATTTTACAGAGCACATTTACTTCTCCTGCTTACACCTCTAGAACTATAACATGCACTTAGTATTCATACTAGATGATAACACTCGTGTACAATATTATATGTGCGTTTTCAGAAACAGGCCAGGCAGTGACTGCAAAATATTGATGTTCCTGCCCTGCCTGACACCAAGCACTGATCCATAATATAACAATAACCATGCCTCTCACTAACCTGCTCTGTTTTCGCTTCCATCAGAGCTAGCACACAGTCTTGGTGGTTCTGGAAATGAGCATAAAGTAAAGGGGACCAGCCTTTTTTGTCTACACAATCAACAGGGTGGCCATTCATTATAAGCTCGTTGACACATTCAATCCATCCTGAAGCTGCTGCTAAATGAAGTGGTGATGTCTTCTGCTCATCCTGCAATCAAAACATGAATACATCTACATAAATAGTGTAACTATCACTAAGTATGGTAGTACTTAGTATATAAGGGTGACATAGGTTGTCCTGCATTATGCCATAATATTTGAGATTTGTATGTACGTTTCACTTTCAGTTTAACTTCTGACATCAGTATGATTTGTATCGTCCATGTACCCAAGAAATGGAGAAACCCTATATTGTCACCACCTTTACTAACTGACATGAGTTTGTTTAGTGTAAAGTGTGAGGACAATGGTGAAGGGATTCTGGTAGATAGCGGAGAACACAGCATAGTAAAATTAGCAAATGTGGATGTCTTAGACTTCACACAACGCAACAACTGATGAGAGGCATTACCTGTCTCACGCGCTTTAATCATAGATGTGCATCATACACAAGGGAGCACACTCATACTTCGCGACAATATAGGGCTTGTGTGGAGTAAAATTTACATGAGCGATCTCAATTTGAAGTAAGTAGCCACCATCCATTCTACTACTGCATCACATTCACCCTGTCTTGTCTTGTTGCTTTATCTACCTTCCTTATATTCACACAAATATTTTAATTGGAAGAATTTTTATTTACTTGTTGTTTACTGCATTTGGTTTTCATCACAAGAGTAAATGTGTAAGTAGCTCTAAACACTATATACATGAGCCTGGCATGCAAGGGAAAGAAAAAGCGGTATACACAAACCATGACCACGTAACAGGCACTGCAATGGAGGCCTGGGGCGTACATAAAACCATAATTTAGGTGGGACATTTGAAGTTGCGAAATCAGTAAAATTTTTCGTCAACCACATGTTGATGAAAAAACAGCTGGTATGTTTTCTAGCTGCAAGTAGGCTCTTTAACGAGCAGAACAAGGCATAAAAGTTATATATAGTTTTGCCACACAAGTGACTTTTGTTGTGTTGGCAGCTCACTCACAAGGCCACACACCCAAGGATAACATTGTGCCCTGGAAAGTACACTTTGTGTTTTCAGTGAGTCTAGGGTAGGATATTGTGGCCTCTAGTTTAAGTGAGCAGTTTTGCAATGGTGCTGGGAGAACTCTATGCTTCGCTACAGTTATGGACGTCAGGTCAGAAGTAGTGTCGTTTGTTAGCGTTACAAAGAGGAATATGCTGTCATGCAATAATACATCAGCTCTGGTCCTGCTGTTTGGCACTAAAGCCATGTGGAAGCACATTTACCCGTGTTTAGGGCAAGCAAAAGTGCTTTCAGTGAGTATGGGCACTATTCAGAGCCCCTACGACAACAACACAAATGTGCTTACGACAATGGAATTTACCCTACAGTCGATGCTGGCTCCAAAATCAAGTAACAGCTGTAGGCATCCCACATCTCCAGCTACACATGACTTCATGAGTGGAGTGAAACCTGCAAAAGTTAACCAACACAAAATTACGGTGAATCATGAACTACAAGATAGCCTGTAGTGTATACACATTGCTCTAGTATTGTACCTGAATCATCCTGAAACTCTATTTCATCACTCAGCAGTGGGAGCAGTACCAACAGAAGAGCTACACAGGACTCCCTCCTTCCATTCCCATGATCCTCATCGTTATCATTTGCCATTACAGCCAGGTGTAGCAGTGTGGGGGGACCCCTTACAGAGTGCATGGCAGCCTCTGCACCATGTTGAATCAGGTAGCTCGCACACTAAGGCGGAAGTGACCGTTTTGTGTAAGATAAAGACACTACATTTGCATCAAACCTGAGGTTTCCGATTCCATACTGCGAAAGACAAGGTTGTGGGACTACCTTTCAGCTCATGTTTCAAAGCTTCCTTGAAAATCTCCCTGTAAAATTGTATAGGAATCTATGCTAAGAGTGTCATGGGTTCGAATCCCAACCAGGGCAGCTCTTCCTTTTCCTTGGAAAAAAAAAGAGCTGTCCTGGGTGTAGTTGGTTTGTTTGTTGTGCCTTTGCCTTTGACACATACTGCATGTACGTCGGTTATTCAAAGACAAGGTTTTATATGTACATAAAACAAACAGCATACACTGTATTCGAATTGCTAATTTACCCTCTTAGGGCAGCCAATGTTTGCAAGCACTTAAGAGATGGAATATCATCATCAACTGGAGTTCCACCTTTGTTTTGAACCTTTCTAAGAGGAGCCTCAACTATGATCTTTAGGAGCGACGTATGATGGGCGGTTAGTACATTCAGCACTGGCCCCATCTTAGAACCCGGCAGCAGCTCTCGTAGTGCATCTTCATCAGCAAGAGCAGCAGAGTAGATGAGAGGGTAGAAGCCATCATCATCATCATCATTATCAGTGGTCATGGAATCCAAAAGACCTTCCTTGAACTTGTGCACATCCTCAAGTACAGAGAATTTCACATCAGAATCAAACATATGCATAGACGAAAATGCCAGCTGCCATTCATCTACCTGAAAAAAAACCAGTAGTATGTCATCTAAATATTGTGTACTTCAGAAACTTGGTATCTACTTTATCATGTATTGTTGGATATTGTATGAAGCTGTAGGTACTGGGAGATTTTATCAGCCTATACAATCCTACATGTGCAAGCAGGGTTCATACATGTTATTTGCCTAGGGATATCCAACAAATATGTTTTTTGTTGCGCACTATACAGTAATAGCAAGTTGTAGGAGGTAGCAGTTACAAACAATGTACAGCTGCTGAAATGTGTTTACCGGTACATCAGTAACACAGTCAGCCTCCTGAACATCATAATCATGAGTATTGCTGTTGGAGGTTTCAGAGTCACTAACAATCCAGTCCATTTCTTCACTGTCACTCTCTGGAAAGAGGATCTGCTCACCACTAAGTACCACTCCAGCATTTGGGTCAACCCTTTGATCATCCTCGCTAGTACTCTCTGAATCTGTTTCACTTTCCTTTCCTATACATAACATGTGGGTTAATTTACATTGAGCAAAACTTCAAAACATTCACAAATACCCTGGTGCAATTTCTGCAACAGCTTTTCTCTTTGGGTTGACTTAACTTCCTGAAGCTTGGAAGAACGGGATGAAGGGTCACGTCTTGGAGTATTCACTCTGAAAAAACAACAACATATGTACGTAACTACTCATGATCGATGAGAGGCACAAATAAAGTTCACTAACTGTGCATCATCATCACTTTCCATGAGATTTTGAACCCTCTTTGAACTGTTGAGCTTCGGCTGGTTTTCTGGGGCCAGTTCATTATCATCATCTTCACTTTCGCACACATGGAGCTTTCTAATGACACGGTTTCTCCTCAGTTGCATTCCTGCCATTTCCTGTAGATATACAGGGTAACATTAAGTACATATACATATACACAATACAGAGTACTGTATGACACCTCTTCATCATCACATCTCTCCCTCCTGGGTTCACTCTGCAGATGATTGTGTTCACTGTTCTCATCATCAGAGTGTATGTACTGCACTGGTTTCTGCCGTTTAGAAGAGCCACGGACCCCACTGACACTGTCGTCACTGTCTGATGACAACTGCACATTTTAGACACGCAAAGAGAAGCAAGTGGAGATGATCAGGACCAGAGCTACTAAGACTGTAAGATTTTTCTATACACATATACTGTACTGTAAGTGAATTTAAATACTTGCATAAAATTGACCTATACTCGCAACTATGAGTTTCATTTGTTATAGCATTCATTCTGATAGCAGTTTTGTAGGAAAGCCAAGCAGAGATAATACATAGTTACTAACCACAGCAACACATACTCACCACAGTTTGTCTCCTTGCCCTGCTCAGTTCCTTTCTTCTATTTTTTCTTTCAGAGCCACAAGGTTCATCATCGATAAAGTCACCTTCATAGCTGTCTAATGAAAAACCCTTGTCTTGGTTGTAGGAATTGTGTCTACAAAATAATATTACAACTAACGTCACTGTTACACTTGGTGGTAAAGATGGGCAAATAAGAACTGGGTCAGGGGGAGGAGGGGGATCAGGTAGATGAGAGATACCAGCACAGCATGGCATAGTTCCAATGAAGGATGATATTAAATGCCGTGCATAAACCACAAGCATGGCTCCCTTGAAAAGTCCACTGCATACTTTGTGTTGTTGCACCCTTATTAACCCTCGGCGCGCATGCGCAGCGAGGGTTACGGTAGTTGGGTCTGTCTGTCTGTCTGTCTGTCTGTCTGTGTGTCTGTCTGTGTGTCTGTCTGTTACTCGTCATCTCACTTCTCGAGTGTTCGTTCGTCTCACAAAGGATACCACCTACTGAACGGGCAATGAAGGTCAGAATATATGTGTGGTTTTCGCTGAAAACGCTCCGTTGCAAAGCTAGAGCGCGAAAAAGCCAATATGCAAATACACAACGGCTTACTACGGCATGATCGATCCGCGTGCTCTGCGTACCTCGGAGGCACCAGAAGATGCAACGCAGGGCGTGTATCGCCTCTCGCATGCTATCTAGTAGTGTAGTTAGCCCGCGTCAGACTCTGCGCGAGCTGGCAAGAGACCACGGGTAACAGCTAAAACTAAACCCAGCCCAGCAATTAGTAGTACGGCGCATGCGTTTACTTACGCGTGCGCATCACAGTACGCCGAGGGTTTGCACTTCAGTGCTTTTCATTTAGATTTTGCAACTGGCAGCACATTCTATAAATTGTGCTGCACAACCCCCCCCCCCCACTTCGCATCCTAACTCTCAATGGCAATGGACTGTGGGGGAAAAACTAACACTTTGATGAAGTTGTTAGTCCTCATAGATTGAGCCCAATGCTTGTTTTCAAGGATAGGACTTTCTTTACCCTCTTCAGAGCTACTACCACACTCCCAGTCACTGCCACCTTCTTCTGGGTCACATAGGGAGGTAACAGGCTTCACTTTCTTTTCCAAGCGTTTCGACCGCCTCCTCAGCATCCCGCCCGCCCCGGCCGGCTATAATGTCTCTGGACCCCCGCGCGCCGCCGTCTCGTAGGCGTACAGCGCATGCGCAGCAACTAACGCGCGCATGCGCTTTACGTCTACGAGACGGCAGGTCAGATATAATTATACACACACACTGACAACACTATGATAAATGAGTTTGATGATCAGTGAACAATAATGATCGTCACTGGCTGTAGGGAATCTCGGCATAAGCTGGGTCATTGAATATTGATGGTGGGTTCTTCGTTTGGTTAGGAAGCTCCAGTTCTGCATACTGCAGCTGATAATAAATACAAGAAGAACGGCAAATAACATAGGTGGCATACTTAGAATGGACTTACCCCAAAGGGATGCTCTTTCTGTGTAACAGTTACAGTGTCATCATAGAGAGAATTTTCTGCTGGTTTTTGTTTATTTTTCCTTTTTCGTGGCATGGCATACAAATCTCCACTCTCTGCTGCATGGTGATCTATGGAATCTGGATCCTACGTTGATTGTAAACTCAGACACCAATTAATCATTGCACAGCAATGTTTACTTGATATATATGCTCATCGTTATGTGTGTTCTTTTTTGGAACTTCGAGTTCTGCATAAACTGGCCCACGGCTGTTTGCATACTCTTGTGACTGAGATGTACTTGAACTGCAATGTAATTCCACATATCCCCCCATCTTTGCTTTTTCTAACTAGAACTTACTTCATTTCCAGCACACTGCCACCTATATCATAGAGAGAGCTGATTTGTCGTAGTATTAGAGTACAAGCAATGGCTACCTGTCTGCTTCCTTCTACTTCGAGTGATGCACAGCCAAGTGAAAACAACACCAACAGTAATGACAGCTACGATAATCAAGGCTGTTAATATCCAAATCCACGCAGGAATTTCATCTGACTCAGCACTTGTACTTAAGTCATCTGATAAAAGGATGAAAACAACACTGGTTTTTAAACAATGCCTTTCCTTACCATTATCGGAATCAACACTTACAGACACACTGTTTGGGTCACTTTTGACTCCGCATATGTTAACAGACCTAACTTCTACAGTATAGTTTGTGTTGAATATCACCATTTCACCATCAGCTATCACTGTGTAGTTACACTTGGCACCAGAGCAAATTTTTTCCCTGGAGTAGTCAATTCCTACAATATTCAGTATGTATTTTACATCGCCTTCTTCTGGTGGTTCCCAGATAATAGTGGTGGAGGATGGCCCCCCAGAAACCTTCGTTAGATTTTTTGGAGGCAGTGGTTTTGATAGTTCGGCTAAAACAAAAAAGTGTGTTATATTAACACTAGGTAAGGTGTCTGTCACTTACTTTTGGCAGATATGGATGCCATAGAAGTACCAATTATATTTGAGATTGTTAGAGTAATACTGTAGTTGTCTTGCCGTGGGTTGGTGAATACACAACTTGTGTTAGTCGGACTGATACTCGGACATGCAATCCCTGATTCTCCACTGGATTGTGCAGTATATGTAATCACCACAGTTTCTACCACGGGGGTAAACACGGTTTCAGATGGAACTCCATACTGGATGAGAGGTATGTAATAACAACGGCATTACTATATACAGCTTTGACACTGACCATCCATGATACGTATATCTTGAAACATTCAGTGGTACTGTTGATGATGATGGGTTTTGATGGTGCTGGAGAAAACATACACCATTGTTTAGTTCTAGGTTGCAAATACTTTTAAGTGTAGGTAAGCTGCTCGAATTAATAAACATACATTCTATGCCATAGCTATGTGTTGTTAAATATCCTACCATTTGCGGGTATTTCAATCTGGATGGAAGCTGGAGAACTCTGTGAATTGATTGTGGTGACTTCAATGTTGTATGGCATGTTGAAGAGCACAACTGTGCCACCTGCAGTAATGGTGTGAGTGGTACCTTCCACTTCAACAGAGTAACTCATTAGCTCTTGAATTGTGACTCGGTAACTAAACTCTCCACCGGGCATGGGGGCATCCCACTCTAAGGTGATGGTTGGAAGTAGCTCGGCATTATTCTGAACTCTAAGATTCTCTGGAGACTGTAGCATCGGCATGCAATCTGAAACAAAGTAAATTATGTTTGAAGGTATAATTTTTTGTTACGAGATAGGCCCACAGCTTTTCCCCTCATGCATACTCAGTCTGGTGGTGTACAATACTAGGCTGCACACATTTAAAACAATTCACAGGTATATACTGTCTATGGTAGAGACTGATGATTAACGCAAAGAAGACCATACCCAACTTCTTTGACCTACCCTATCTCTACTGGAGGTTTTTGACATTATGCATATACGCATGACTATTGGCGTGCAGCTAATAATTATACCTGGAATAACTATACTTCCAATGAAGAAACAGATCCCACAGTCCAAGAAGATTCCATTGTGAGTCGACCATAGAACTTCGCTCAAAAGCAGTCTCTTACTCAGATGACTAGTTAATTAGCTAGCCTCTGTTATACTAAGAAACGTCTACCAGTATCTGTAGGCTTTGCCAATAAGGAGTGTTTTTATATTAGTCTTGTGTAAGCTGTGCAAGCTATGAGTAATGCTAACCTGCACTCTCCTCAATGATGACTAATAAGAATCCAGTAAATTCTGAGCCAGTGGTGTTAGTTTCATAACCTTGGCCACTGGTAAGAATTACAACAATTGTCTCATTCTCTTCACTGACATCATCACATATAGCAGTGATAGTTACACAGCGCTCTTCTCCATCCGCAGCACCTGGACTAAAATGAACTGTCCCACCGTCAGTCACTGTGTAGTCTGAATTGATGACTGTGAAGTAAAATCGATTGACTTCAGATAAGAATTGTCCTGACTCTATCTTTCACTTACTATCACATAGGTAATATGCAGTCAAAGCATGCAAATGGTTATTCCTTGAGTTTCAATGTGTGATATGGCCAATGTGTATGCACCATACTCATACTCTGAATTAGGTTATGAGTGACTCAGGTTGGTTTCAGTATTCTAAGAGAACTATTGATGTACATGACTTAGCTACCGACAAAAGATTTTAATAGTCTTTGATCGAGGCCAGCCATAATAATTATAGTAACCTGCTCTAGGTTCCTGCGCTGGAGAGGTTAGAATAAGACCAACATTCAGTCCGTCACCAGGAACACTTCCACTTCTCTTAGTGACACATATCACTGCACTACCTCCGTTTTCATTTATAAGCTGCCCTTCGTCTTCACTAACACTATTGATGCGTAAGGCAATACCTACATGTTGGGATGATTATGCACAATAGCAATAGCTGAACAAGGACAGTAAAATTCAGAGAGAGACTCGACTGAACACAAACCTGGTAGTTGTGCTCCAGATTGTTGCAGAAGTTGGGGTAACACGACAACTACCATCAAAACCAATCTAGTTACTTGAATCTCCATGCTTGGGTGAGTTGCTGCTCAAAAAATGTGTATGTTGTAACAGTGGTAAAAATTTTTCTGCGCTGGTTCTGCCAGAAGGAACGCCAGAAACAAGGATGTGACAAAGGTTTACTATTTGCTACCAATAGTAATAAGGCTCTGAAAGAACCCGGCGGCGAATAGATTATAGCACCAGCTAGTCATAAGAATGGTCGCATATCAAAACTCACAAACAAACAAACTCACAGATGGAAGAGATAAAAAGACTCCACAGGCATTAAAAGTAACAGTAATAAATTCCTGGTTAAGCACTTGTTGTTATGTGGCGATCGTCAGTTAGAGAGTGCGGCTTCATGCATGACTTCCAATAACTTAGCAATGCCGTACGACAGTCTTGCAGTAACAGGTTGTTTTAATTAACCGGCGAAAGACGTATTAACTTAGAGCCAGGCTCTGAAATCTGATTGGTCAGTCCGAGGAATACTATTTCACTTAGTATTCCAGAGGACTTCTACATATAGAAATCCTCCCCGAGCCGCACATATCAAGCGCTGAGAAACGTGGCTCACAACAGAACGTGGCTCACAACAGAAAATTCAAGAAGACGCTAATCAGCTCTACATAGCTAGCTCGAGATGCAGCACCCCGTTTCTTTCGAATTGAAGGCGTGCCGGTTGCCATGGCTCTAAATCAGTTATGCGCCAATTCTCGAAAACCACGCGATTTAGAAAGCCTCGGGCCCTCTAGTAGCGTCCTCGCTGGCGCTCGGACAGCTACAGACCGAGGGCCCGCGGCTTTCCGAATCGGCGCCTAACTTATTATTAAAAGTACGGTAGTACTTAGTATATAGGGATTGACATGGTACCTAGCATCATAGATGTATGGGGCTATGATAGGGAGTTTTGTTCATCTTCTTCTTCTTCTTCTTCGACCAGCGTAACTCAAAAACCGAAAGAGATAAAGCCAAGAAATTTTGTAGGAATGTACATATCGATAACCACATGGGCAACGTCATAATTTTTTGTTTGTAAACAACAACAACATTGCCCCAGGCAATACATTATAATGGGCAATACGTTATAATGGGCATACTACATGTGTCAGTGTAACTCACAATTGGTATAAGAGTTATGCGAGCGAAAGTTTGTATACACAATGTATTCAATAGCCAACATCAAAATCCCAACAATACATGTTCGTAGATAACAACAAATAGCCTCAGGCACTTTTCTTTAAATTAACTTCTTCACTTCTCAAACTTTCCAATGGTAGCACGCATAGAGGTGAAACTTGGTACGTATGCCTATTATATCATTTCCATGATGATTACATGTTTCCATGACGACCGCATATTGTTCGAAAATGCCTCAGGCAATTTTCTTTAAAATTACTTCTTCACTCCTCAAACTCGCTAACAGTATCACGCATGGAGATGAAACTTGGTGCGCATGTGTATTACATCGTTTCCTTGACGACCACAACAACAAATAGCCTCAGGCATTTTTCTTTAAAATTACTTCTTCACTCCTCAAACTCGCTAACAGTATCACGCATGGAGATGAAACTTGGTGCGCATGTGTATTACATCGTTTCCATGACGACCACAACAACAAATAGCCTCAGGCAATTTTCTTTATAATTACTTCTTCACTTGTCAAACTTGCTAACGGCAGCACACATGGATGGTATGCATTTCATTTGCATGACGACAATTTTTTCTCTATTATTAATTTTTATAGGGGCTTGCCCCCTTCCACAGAGATAATACGTAGTAGTATATAAAAATGAGTGGAGACAAGTAAATAAAAAATCCTGCGGATTAAAAAAAGAGTGTATATAGGGATCATATAAAAAGAAAGGGAGACAAGATAGGGATTGTGTTTGTGGAAGCACAGAGATGCTAGCGAGGAGTTAGGACTCCCACAGGTCATTACAACAGCCCTATATCGTCGTACGGTGGGAATACCTAGCATCATAGATGTATGGGGCTATGATAGGGAAAGTTTTCAATCTTCTTCGTAGGGTGGGAGTGGGAGTGATGAGAGAGTCTGTAGAATATTGCTATAGGTAATGAAGTACTTACTAATTACCTTTGATAGATTTGTCATGCTACATTTCCATGGAGTGCGCATTTAGGTGGAAGTGTAGTCAGCTGACCATAACATTGGATATACATGTTTATACATGGAAACATGGAAAAATTGTGTAACGCAAGAAAACAAAGTTCAAGTATGCAAGGTTGGCTGATATATTCACGAGGAAGTAGTAAAGCACCGATACGACGATATAGGGCTGTTGTAATGACCTGTTGGAGTCCTAACTCCTCGCTAGCATCTTTGTGCTTCCACAAACACAATCCCTATCTTGTCTCCCTTTCTTTTTATACGATCCCTATATGCACTCTTTTTTTAATCCGCAGGATTTTTTATTTACTTGTTATATTATAAACAACGTTGTTTGAGGTTTTAATTTACTTTTCTATCCGGTTTCCCTTGTTGCGCTTCTTTTATTGCCCATGCGCAAATATATCGTCACTAACGTGCATTTTCAGTGTACATCATCGAATTCTCTTTCCGGGCAAGGTACTTACTTGGCTTTGAATTTGTTCACATGATCTCCGTTCTGAGGATAAAAGTTAAAAATTACTATCAAAGGCTTTTGTTATTTTACCCCCATGTTCATCCATATCTTCAAACCCACTGTTAGCTATTGGTGCCTCTTCTGACAAGGAAAGATGTTGTGAAATTTTCTTTACTTCCTGCTCCAAGGTGTTTAGCTTCGATAAGATTGTCTGTAGAGCGGTGTTAATGCTGAGGAAAGACAAGGGAACACTACGGGGTTCGTTTGTGTTTCCAGGGTCCAAACGAATTTCCTTTTGAACATTATCATAGGGTGCTTCACCCGGCATCTTGACTTTCTTATGCATGTCTACTATTGCGTACGTTTCATCATCTGACACTTCCTTCCCTCGAGTAGTGTTGACAATATCGTCATAGAGTTCATTGTCAGTAATGGGCTTCTGCACTACAACAACATCATCATAATCAACACTACCACCTTCTGGTGCATATTCTTCACCCTCCAAAAGACTTTGCACACTTCCTTTCCATTTCAAAACTTCGACATCTAACGCCATCATATCATCATTCAGATGGAGAGTGACGTGATCCTGTGTGTGTTCACCTGACATTGGATAAGCTACAAGGGAAGTTTCTATTCTACAGTCACAAAGTGTTATAACGCCGGAAATGGGAAACCCAAGCTTCAGGGATGGCTCTTGGTTATCAACATAAAGAACAGCCTGCACTGGAAAAGAGTTGGTGATGCTGTTAACAATTTGCGGAAGATGGAGACGAACAAGCGAAGGTTTGGTTGAAAATTTCCCCTGGCACTCTTCTGGTAACAGTTTCTCTGCATTAGTGAGAAGACTAAACACTCTAAGAAACCGCTTTCCCCTCAACTTCGGCTTTTGGATACCTTTAACAACAAAGATTTCGTTTTCGGCTATGCTATGCTTTTCTTCCAGGTTGTGTACTGGACTGGTAGCACAGACAACAGTAGGCATCGATTCAGCAGCTATGATGTCACTGCATGCCTCGAAGGTATAACCAGCCAAAGCTTCATCATAATCACTGAATGGGTTGTACACCAGGCCAAACATCATGGTTGATGCCAGGGGAATGTGGTGCATGAACCCGTCTTTATCCTTTAAGGTAATGACGCGTGTTTTCTTCACAAACTGGATGTCGTATACTTCGTTTGCTGATAAGCTATGCTCAGAATCTTCACTGCAGTACCCTTCTACAAATTTAACCCGCAATGGAAAATGGTTGTTAAATTCCGTCAATGCACTTTTGAGTGACATTTCTGAACTGGTAAGTGAATCATGTATGCTTTGCAGGCTGGAATCTTTGATTCTTTGATCCTCCGAAGATGTTTCAGCTCCAATGCCATCAATGCCACTACCCTGACTCTCGAACTTGGAATCTTGCTCCATTAGGGGGAAAAGGGGTGAAGAATGTGGACTAGGTGGGGGGCTTGGTGGCAATGGTCTCTGGTAGCTTGGCGCATTCTCACTATCAAGTTTATTTTCTTCAGTTGTGTTGAGATACTCACTTGAATTTTTGTCGGACACTGGCATTGACTCCCTTTTCTTCATGGTTTTGCTTTTTGATGCAGCCTTGGAGGATTTCTTATAGAGTAGAGTTAGAGAATTTCTCCTTCGAAGAACATTGTGCAGAAGCATAGAGCGACCTTTATGCTGTGTGGGGCTCTCAGGTTTTGCATCGTGGGACTTTTCCCTTTTGCTAATATTAGTTTGATTCGCACTAGAAGGAGAGGCGACAGCCGAAGAAATCAATGTGTGCTCTGTACAATTGGTTGCCATTCTGGTTTTGTAAGGGTATTCAACGATGAGGACCTACAGGTATGAATAACCATTTTATTAGCTGATGAGTCAAAATGCTAACTATCTCTACTGAAATCTGTTGTAGACAATCCAGCTAGCTACCCACGGCGGTAGCTAATTTTCCAATTCTTTCATTGGGAACTTGGTGCCCTTTGATAACTAGTATAGCTTTCTCAATTTGGCTCTTGTGTTTAATTAGCTAATATCTAGCAGCAACTACAGTACATTGTTGATTCCCTACAGCAAAAGAGCTATGTAGCTATGTAGCTGCCAACAGTTCAGCTACAAGTAATGTATAATGTACGTTTTGAAACACTTACAGTTGCTTGCCCGCCAAATTGGATCAGAAATCTGCTCTTTTCCACCCAACGATCCTAGATCTGCAGTGTAAAAAGTGGGCGTATCTAGCTGGATTGGTGCTGCCGAGAACGCGCATGCGCGTGGCCTGTCGTAGGCAAGGTGACCTTTACACTCGGTGTCAGATAAGATGGCTTCGAAGGAGGAGAAAGGGAGACGCTTATCCTTACGCCGTAGTGCTGAATATAAGAGAACTCCAAGTAATTCCTGTGATAGTGGTAGGTCCTTACCTGTGATGTTGAACCACTTGGCTAGTTCCCCCTCTACATTTCCCACCAACTTTAGTGTGTGAATCTTCTGAGGACAAGACCTCTGGAACTACAACTTCACCCAGTAGTGCCCTGCACAATCTTACAGTCACTTACCACTATGTACAGTCGGAGTCTCCTATTACAAGTGAGATGGGTTTGTGTGGTATAGTACGAATTGTGTAAGGTACACTACACACTTGGTATTTCATTCCTCCGAACTTTTCTGGCTCTAAGACTTGGCTTATTTCGAAATTTTGGCTGCTAGCTGTTCTCTGTAAGAAAACGTGTGCAAAGTAGAGTGGACATGACATACATATTTATGCAATTTTTGATTATTGCCGCCCACCCCACTTACATACGTGTGTGTATCTCATTGTATAATATATGTAAGTACGTACTCTCCGACATTCTGGAGTAAATTGTGTTGCTGGTCAACAAATAAAAATGTTGGCATTGAGCATTACGTAAACATTTTTAGCCAGAGCTCACAAGGGTCTTCATAAGCTCCTGGTTATACGTTGCTAGCCTTGGGAACGAGGCTAATACGTTACTACAAAACAGTTGTATGCACTATTATGATGATACTGCAACAAATTTTTCAGCTTCAACCCGTTCTCTCACTGAGCTCTCATCTGCTCTTCCGTCTGATGGAGCTCCTCTGCGAAGCCAGCATCCACTGACGACCTCCCCTCCACCAGCCCCCCTGTCCTCCCCTCACAAACACACTCCCACTTTCCCCACCCTCTCTAATGGACGAGTTCGGAAGCGCTTGTAAGCCATTACGCACATTGTGAAGAGCAATTTCTATCTTGTCCTAGCTAACAGCATAAGTAATGCTAACCTGTTGTCTTACCTAGATTGTGTTGGATCACATTGGAACTTTTTGTGCATGCACAGCAAATATTTTTTAGTTCGACTGGGTCTTGTGTTTGTACAATTCTTCGAACATGTCCCTCTTAGCAGCTTTTGCCTTTGGTAATGAAAAGCACTAAAGTGAAAACCTTCGGCATAGAACCATTGCTACAGTGGAGCGATAATTTTAGCATACAGTGTAGCTGCAATAAGATTGTATAGCACACCTGGAATTTGCAATGATGATGATTTGCTAGCTGTTAAAAATATGAACCAGAAAGAATTTAACTCCGACAGTGGAGAGTGTGCTCATTTATCGAGGATGACGACTTTTACACCACTGGGCCAACTAGGCTGTATGTGCAACGCAATCATTCATGCCCGTGCGTGTATCCGTGCAAGCTCATATGTGAAGTTCAGTTATGACGAAAACGCATGCATTGCAGTTGTAGAATCCAAATGGCAGACCTTGCCGTGGTAAACAAAACACACTTTAGCAATTTCAGAGAAAAGGGCTTTTTTGTTTGTCACACCTGATATGCTAGTAATCTTTCTGCATGTCATGGCACGAGATGCGAGAATTAGAAGTGCGCACAGACGGATGGACTTGTACAAACCAAGTACCGTAACCCTTGGTGCGCATGCTGGCCGAGGGTTAATAATTGCAATAATGGCATGCACTTTCTAAGCAGCTAACAGTGTACATACATTTCATGGCACTTCGTACACATTATAGGTCAGAATGTGTACGTATGTATTCATGCCTTTGACCAACAGAAAAATTGACCTTGATGTTCAAAAATCAACACAAGTACAGAGATTACTGACGGTTGCATCACAATTGTGCAGTACTCGCCAGAGCTCTTCTCCAGAACATGTTGACTCTGGCAACTTATTGGTCCACCATACTGATCACTCACCAACACGTTGCACGATGGATCAGGAAACAATGTCATCACCATGTGTTGATGAAGATGAGGCATTCTGGAGTCAGGCTGCCGAGGTACTAGGAGGGGAGGACTGGGAGGAGGACGAAGCCAAGGGAGCTGATGGAGACAGTGCCTTCGTTGATGAACTCCTTTTGAGAGGCCTTATCAGGACTCCTTTCCAGTCAACTCCAGAGGCTAGGGTTAACCTATCCACTCCCCCTCAACAAGTTGTTCAGTCATCATCATCGTCATCATCATCTTTAACCACTCCTCTGTCACACAGGTCTCATTTATCAGCCCTTAAACTAAAAACTTCACCGCTCTTTTAGTTTTTCCCAAAATGCTGGCAACAACTGGTGAAATAAAAATATGTTTAGACTAAATGAGCATTATTATTCTTCATCAGATTTGAGCACTATTGTCCAAAATTAATGTGCCGTAGGTGCGTGAAAAAACAAAAACAAAGTACATACAATAACATCAATATATACTTAAGCAGCAGCAAAGTACTTGTGTACAATAGCCATCAACTTCATGTCCACTAGGGCCTTTTTGAGGGCTTTTGGTGTGGCTTTGTCTCCTGCAGTCACTTTCCATCTGTAAAATCGAGCAAAAGAAGCGTTAATGCCAAACAAAACTTTACGTCTATATACTGGAACAGGGAGCATGTTGCAAACATATTAGCATTTGGACAGGTATGTATAATGGTAAATGTACACAGTTTAGTTACACCTGACTGAATGTTCTACAACTTCTTTACTAACCCTTGGCACACATGTGCAAGCGCACACACACCATACCAGTGTCCCTTAGTGGGAGTGGTCCCACCTCAATGGCAGTGAGACACAGGTCGGGAGATTAAAGGGACCAAAACCTGTGGCCTACACGATGACAATTGGGGAGCTCCCCTCTCTGCAGCCATTTTGCAACTACAGGCTACAATGAGAGATACCAGCAGCTTCAGAACTAATGGTGATTTTCCTGAAACGTCTGCGTTCGAGATATATTATTACATGAAAAACAAGCGAAAAAGTCAATTAGCATAATGCACTGGCGTACCTCGACCTGATCCACTCGCTCTGTGTGCACAAGAAAAACCACTGAGAGCATGTATCGACTCCTGCATGCTAGATACTAGCCCATGTAACATGTAAGACTCTCCGCAAGCTACAAATGCATGCTCATACATAGCTCAGCCCATCAATTAGCGGTACCGTGCATGCACAGTGTTTACTCTTAGTGCTTTTTACTTTGTTTATGGCTCAGGTGGAGTCAGAACCTACAAGTATCGTTGGAGGCAAAGCTCTATGTTTGTTAGCTAGGTAGCCTGACTGTTAAAGATATGTGCACGACTTACTTTAACAATGCTTTGAGTGCTGCCTCCTTGAGGTCACCGTGGTGTTCTCGACTGATGCTGTCTATGTCAACCTCATCCACATTGAGATGACGGCTCAACATCTTCCACTCTTTCCCTACCTGCAAAAATTTACCATTGTAACTTGGCAAAAAATTCTTGCTTAATTACGAATGTAAGGCGTAAGGGTTGGCGTTGCCCATAGTGGCAAGTGTGTTTGCATTGAGGTCACGGGCCACGGCCAGAGAGTCTGCTAGCAAGCAAACACAGCGCTTAGCTACCTGTATGTACTTACAACGTTAGCTTTATATTGTGTAGTACTATTGCGTTACGCATATCGACACTATAACACCACATTTCTATTGTATAACAACTTGCCTCATCAGCAATTGCTTTGAGTATGGGTCTGTCTAGAGTCTGGACGTATTGTGAAGAGAGTTCAGATGGAGCTGAAAACACCAAGCAGTAAAAGGTAGTCAATGCAGTATATATATACATGTACTGCTTGGCATTTTGTTTACTTGCAGATGTAGCACAAAGTGTGAGAGCGAATCGTCATATCCTTAGCTACATAGGCATTATCGAAAAAGAGGCTAGCGAGCCCTTTGAATGTGGTGCATGTGTACCTTCCATTCGCTCAACGTAAGTCTTGACTTTGTCTGTGAGATCCTTTCGGCCAATCTCATCCAGCAGCTCACACAGAAACGCTACATTATCAGCTCCTATTAAAGCTGTAACAGTGCAAATAAACACCGTAGGACTGGTAATGATTGCACAAACATTGCGTTTGTGTATTTTACCACTAAATTGTGAATTTTGAATAGTGCGAGCATAGTTATGAGTACAAGGTGGCTATAAAAACTTTTTGCAAGTGTAATACTTTATTTGCGAAACTGCGGAAAAAGCCTTTATTCGCTACTGTTCTTGATGCTCGCAATTAGAACTGGTCCTACGGAATAGCAATATTGGTCATTTATAGACAGTGTTCACAGAACCACAACACCCCCACATTTAAAAAAAACACATGACGTAAAAACATAACACACTGCACAACAAGCACATGAGAGCAGGACTAGCCTTAACAACTGGGGCTCGGTGCCTCTTTCGCACAACTCTGCAAATTACACACAAACCGGCATATTTGGTGCTCGTTGGCCTAAGCCATGTTAAAGAGTGCCCAGGAACCTCCTAAGGGCCAGCTGTTATGACACATCTCTCGAAGACTACGAAAAATACCCTACCCAACAACAAGTTCCAACTTACTTTGCTCTATAAGGACATTGAACACATCTAACCCAACATCTATGGTGTCAAGTTGGGTTTTCGGGATGAAATCGTAGCACAAGTTCTTTAGGGCCTTCAGGTTCTCAGCACCTAAGCCATCGGACACCTGGAAACAGAAAAAAGCGAGTTATATAAGCACACCTGCCGACTAGACACACGTAACTTGTTGCAGTAGCTTCCTGAATTCTAACTTTTTTCTGAGATCAGGTTTATCCACCATCTTCCGTCAGATGCCCAGGTGTAGATTCGGACGCTCCGGGACAGTGGGAGTAGAGAGGTCAGTCCGAACTTGATGGGCTCTATTTAGAATAAAATGCGCTCTTATTGGGATCGCGGATCGAGCCGAGTGGCAGACACCAAGCAATGGCCCAGAATCCGCCTTTATCACCCGTGAGAGTCTCTAGAAAAATATATGATTGTTCTCCCGGTTCATGGCCTTCTGTGTCATTTAGAATCTTGTGTATCGAAGGCTCACAGCAACTGATGAAGCACAAGTGAGGGAGCTGTGTGCTGAGTGTTTCCCAATCACGTACCCAGATCGTTGGTACTCCTATATCACATCTGATCAGGTTTGATTCTATTCGCTGACTTTGCTAGACTGTTATAATAGTACGCTTAAAAGAAGGGTAGAAACTTCACCAAAATGCTCCTCAGACCATTTAGTTATGTACTGACGAGGTAAGATGGTGATAGAGGGTGGAGAAGTGGAAATGTAGACAGATTGAAAGAGACACATAGGGTTGGTTGTATGTGGGGGGATATTGCAGTTGATGTAAATGAATGCTGCTCAAGCATCTGTGTTTAGCCTTGTTCTCCTTTTTGTTGACTGTTCTTCTGTCGATATGGTACTTGTAAACATTTGCTGCTATATAGACCATTGTTGCCGTCTTGATTTATTTGTGCTCCTTTCCACATTCTTTCCTGTCTTACCCACGTCGACCCTCCTGCACTCACATCAACCATTACATTGCCAGTTCTTTCCCTTCTTTACTTTCTGCCTTGCTGCTTTGTGTTTACTTCCATCTTTTTTACTGTCTGCCTTGCTGCCTTGTGTTTCCGTCTGAGTAAATGACTTCCTTGTCATCATCTGCTCTTGTTAGCCACCAGCTACAAAAACAACAGAGTACTTTCTTGCCGTTTGTCCATTTCACTTGGTCAGTACTACAGTTGTGTGCTGAGTGTTCATTAGCTGAAGAAATTCTCTCTAAGTACTGAAACACCCCGTTAACAGTGATCATTGATGTGTTCAGAAGTGTTATAAAGACTTGTGGACCTTGCGGAGTATGTGTGATGTTGGTGTTTGTAAAAAAACATACTGTCAGGTGTTTTCACTGAGTGCCTGGACTGAAGGCTGCAATAGACCACCTGGAAATGGGAGTGGCCTGGTTGGGATGTTGGTTGCTGAGTTACAGGGGTTGGAGCAACTAGAAGGAGAAGGAGTACTTGCTCTGGAGAGATCTGAAACTAACACTACAGCAATGTACGTCATTAGCCTTGGTTAGTTTACCCCATGCATGTGTCAGCACAGTAAAGCTAATGACATTGGGCAAACTTAACTTAATACATACACTTTCACTTAAGGGGAATGTGGCAGTTTATAAGGGCTAAATTCAGAAATGTTACTAAAGATAGAACAAAACAAAAGGGGCACAGTGAAAGAATGCAATTGAGTTCCGTTTTCTAAAATTAGCCCTTAAATACTGCCACATTCCCATTAAGTTTGGAATTGAAAATGTATGCAACAAGTTGAGTTGCATGTATCATGGCCTGTAACCCCTGTTGCTGCTCGTAGCTGCAATTATGTAACCAGTAAATAAAAAAAAACGGAAGCAAATAATTCTGCTCCACTTGTGTGTTTGTATACATCATTTCAATACTTGTTTTTCCCCTGGATAACCTAAACCTACATATAATATACATAGCACCGTAAATTCTCACATCTATGTATATAGGTATAACTGAACGATACAGACGGTGTGGAATAGGGCACTATTTGATGACGTCACTGCTAGACCATGTGACCTCGACTCTGAGCAACTGTTGGGCTGTCTACCTTCATGTAGTCTCCTCCAACACTCCAGCCATTGGTTTGTCATTGCTATAGGAGAAGATGTGGTGGCTTGGCGTGCTACATACATAGGTCTGTAGAAACCACGTTATCTAAGGATCCATCAGAAAGACCGATCTGCAGTGTGACAAGTTAATTAAAAATCCTGCGCATTTAAAAAAGAGAAGGGATGGTATAAAAAAAAGGGAGACAAGATAGGGATGGGATACATGAAGCATGGTTAATAAACAGATTTGAGCACGCTGACACCCCCAACCCCATCAAACAATCCCTATATTGTTGCCTGGTGTGCCACTCCATTTGTACTCTTGGTTATTCAGTAGCATGACTTTTTCGTATTTTCAAGCTGTAAGTCCTGAATGTTGAATGTTTAATACTTCACCTAGGCAACAATATAGGGATTGTGTGATGGGGTTGGGGGTGTCAGCGTGCTCAAATCTGTTTATTAACCATGCTTCATGTATCCAATCCCTATCTTGCCTCCCTTTCTTTTTATACCATCCCTATGTATATGTATGCCTCTTTTTTTAAATTCGCAGGATTTTTAATTTACTTGTCTCCACTCTTATATACTACTACGTATAACTCTGTGAAAGGGGGCAAGCCCCCTATGAAAATTAATAATAGAGAAAAATGCCTGTTGTCGTCATGGAAATGATGTAATATTCATGCGTACCAAGTTTCATCTCCATATGTGCCGCCGTTAGCAAGTTTGAGGAGTAAATGCCTGAGGCTGTTTGTTGTTGTTCAAACAAAGTGGTTGTCATGGAAATGATGTAATATGCATACGTACCCAGTTTCATCTCCATGTGTGGTACCGTTAGCGAGTTTGAGGAGTGAAGAAGTAATTATAAAGAAAATTTCCTGAGGCTTTTAGTTGTGGTCGTCATGGAAACGATGTAAAACACGTGTGCAACAAGTTTCACCTCCATGCGTGCTACAGTTAGCAAGTTTGAGTGAAGAAGTGGTTTAAAAAAAATTGCCTGAGGCTTTTTCAAACAATATGCGGTCGTCATGGAAACATGTAATCGTCATGGTAATAGGCATACATACGAAGTTTCATCTCTGTGTGCTACCATTGGAAAGTTTGAGAAGTGATTAAGTAAATTTAAAGAAAAGTGCCAGAGGCTATTTGTTGTTATTTACAAACATGTATTGTTGTGATTTTAATGTTAGTGATTGAATAGATTATGTCTACAAAGTTTCGTTCACATAGCTCTTACCATTTGTGAGTTATACTGACACATGTGATCCCATTATAATGAATTGCCTGGGGCTATTTGTTGTTGTTTACAACAATTAATAAGTATGACCAGTCTCTTCAGTATAATTATCTACATTCTTGCAAAACATTTTTACTATATGTTATTTTGTTTTTGGGTTACGCAAGTTCAATCTGAAGAAGGTAAAGGAGAAGAAGATGAACAAAACTCCCTATCATAGCCCCAGACATATATGATGCTAGGTACCATGCCCATCCCTATATACTACCGTACTTAGTGATAAGTACTACCGTGTACTTAGGGATACTAAGTACTACCGTACTTAGTGATAATATAATATTAGATTTCAGTTGCTTGGTGTGCTACTGTAGAAACCAATAAAGAAGATTGGAAAGACCAAGTAGCTATACTTTTTTCCATTTAGAATTTTATCGCAGATTTGGATTTTCCTCCCTGACGTGCATCCCCGGCTATTACACCATATCGCAGCGTCCTCAGGATGGGCTACTGTTCATTAGATATGTCAACCAGGGCGAGCCGTTCTCTCACTCCCTCTCTGCCTACACTCGTCGCTACGTGACTGAATCAAGCAGCTGTCGACTGGTAGCTGGGCTCTGCCAGGCACTGAGACATTGGCTCACACAATATACTTTCAGAAACAATACAGATAGTAAGAACAGATTATTATGTCCGCCATGATAATTTTTCTGAGAGAAATGCAAAAAGCAAAGGCTACAATGATGCGCAGTACCCATATGTAAAGTAATCTTCTTGCAGTTTGGGTTTCAATGACTATTACTGAGCCAGACAAATTGTAAGCCTTTCTGTGTCAAAATTGTTGGCCCCATAGTGCACTCTTTGCATGGAGGTTCCACTGTAAGAGTCCCAATGCGATCGTTTAATTGAGTGTAATGATACTATGTATCAGCCTGCTAATAGACCTGGTGCTAGTCATGATCCATCAGCCACACAGAAGTCAGACACTGACATGGCCAGCCAACATTGAGGATCTATGGCATTGCCTTTGGAATTACTCAACGTTGATTTATGTGTACCACATTGTCCTATTCCACACAAAATGTAACTAACTTGTAATTCTAACTTTCTGGGAACTATTTAGTCAGTAAAATGTGTTGTTTATGGATTACAGTGTAACCATCAATTTTAATTGGCTTTGCAAACTGTGACCAGCCATAATGTTACATGGCAAAGTGTTTCTGACAAATATTTTGCACAGCTATGTTGCAATTATGTCACAAGTGAACAAAGAGTTCTTTGGCTTTGTTTTAGTATAATACCTCGCCTAAACTTTGTGTGAATTTCCTTTTTTAATGTGACTGAACATTTTGACTTAACATTTACAAGTATAATTTTCTAGGATGGTTTAAAAACACACTACATGCATTGCTTAAACATCAGTGACTGGTAAAGAGGTCAAGGGTCGTGGCGGGGGTCTGGGTCGTTGACGTGGAGGAAGTGCTGGAGCTCTACTGTGGGGGGACATGAGGGTGGGTGACGAGGAGACAGAGGAGGAGGAGGAGGAGGGGTGTGAGGGGGGGTTGCGGTTGATATCCACATACTCTCCTCTCTCTCTACAAAACATGTTTGCTGCACCTGAGAAATATTGATCATTACACTCAGATGATGTGAGGAAAATAATTATAAGCCTGGAAAGTTACGGAATTGGTGGTTGTGCTCGCAATAAATACCTACATAGTTGCATAGTTAAGGTCTCATTTAGCTGTCCTAAGGTTGACTAACACACACACCCACAGGGTGCATGCAATGTGTAAAATAAACATCCACTTTTTGCACATCTGCAGTGTAAGTTCTGCCCCAATTATAATCCGCACACTGTAACAATGGCTAGCGAATGCCAAATTCACACGCGAATGGCAGACAATTGTTAAATTAAAATTCTACTTAGAGTGACGTAAAACATTGGTATGTGGTGGATTATTACTAGAGCAATGCAATGCATTTTTGGCGAGCGTTTCAATATGACGTGCCTTTTCACAAGTATTTATACGCATAATATAATTATATCAGGAGTGTCACAACTACGTAGAACGGCATTTGATTCTGAAGTACTAACAAGAATTTCCGTGTATGGAGAAGTGGGTAATTTCCCATGCTGTCACAACATGAGTACAATTCATATGGGCGTGCAACGCTTCGGACCCCACTTGAGGGAGCTCCATATTACATTATTCGCTCAATAAAAAGTACATACACATAGGCACAACTACATACACTTAGTCACTTTGCTCACCAATCATGCAATACAGCTGTACACGGGAAACGTGTATGGTCCATATGCATTGGTCATTAGACAAAGTATCATACAGTGAACCCCGACTTACTTCGATTTGGTATCGCTGCATAGTCGTAGTCTCCCTCCACCTCATGTATGTACTCATAATCTCCATGCATGTCTTCATCTGCTGGGTGTGTGGGAGTACACATGTTATTACCGAATTGTAACATGGAGCTCCATAGTAGACACAATAATTAAGAGCATGCTATTACAGCCTGAGCAATAATAATAATAATAATACTCAGGTGGCTGCCATAGCACTATGGCCATAGACCACGCACTCAGAGCAATGGGCGGAACCGTTAACAAACGAACATACACCATATGAACATGAGGTGTCTGTCTCACCTCCCAGACACCTCAACTCACCCCTTCCACCAGCGACACCCTGCAACTCCCCAGACGCAATCTGAGACTGGGTTTGTTGTACGCGGGGACTATCGCCGTATAACCTAACCTTTCTTAGCTCCCAAACATCCAAAATAAAATCTTTAACAAGGCCAAGCAAAGAACCAAATTTATCCTCCCACAGTTCACTACCCAATATAAAGGATGCTTTCCTGAAACTATCAAGCGACTGGAAATGCTCAAACCCATCATCCCCAAGCTTCCCCTGCAGGGCAACTAAGAAATTGCTCCTAAGACTACTATATGCTGGACACTCCCACAACACATGACTCACACTTTCACACTCATCATCACACAACAGGCACTCCTTCACCCCCTCCCTCCCCCTATGCCTACCCAGTTCCTCATTTAGCCCATGCGTGCCTGACCTGAACTTAAACATTAATCTAGACCCAGTACTTTTTGAACTCTACCACCTTGTTAAATGTCTTATACAATAACAGCTTTACTTTGCTATTTAGCCCCTCTTCAAACTTTCTAATCTCCCTCTCATTAATACTGTCCCCTATTATAGACAGAAAGCCCTTCAAGGAGCAATCCCCATTTTGAATATCATGCAACCACTCTGCCTTGTCAAGACCTAATGACGAAAAGAGATCTTCAATGACCTTACTCCAACCCTTCCTCTGCCTGCCTCTCCGTGGCTTAAAATTCCATTCCTGGTTAAAAAGCTTCTTCGGATACCTATTGCCTGGCAATGCCGCTAACTTATACCACCACTTCAACTTATTCTTATCCCTACGCCCTTGTAATGTATCAAGCCCCATATCCCCCCTAACGGCTTCATTACATGTCTTAGACGAACACCCAAGAATGCGCTTAGCTCCTCCAAGCATAACGGACTCTAACGCAGTTGCCTGAGTCTTATTGGCTTCCCACACCTCACCCCCATACTCTAAAGTTGGCCTAACCACCGCCAGCAACAACAACCTGCGAGCACTCAAATTAATATCCCTATTACTAATTACACTATGCGACTGATTAACCTTCCTTCTACCATTGTCTAACACATTCTTGATATGCACATCCCATGCACCAGTACTAGTAAAATCAACACCCAAGTATGTCTATTTAGATACTCTAGGCAAAACATACTCCCCCCATTTCCAAGCACCATCCACTGACTCCCTAGCGAACACCATCACTGCACTCTTACTCACATTAGCCTTTAGCCTCCATTTTCGACAGTAGGCATGCACCACATCTATAAGCGTCTGTAACTGATCCTTAGACTCACTAACACCAACGCCCAGCAATAAATCTTTGAAGTTGAAAAACATTCAAGTGGGTTTACAAATATGGCTGGGAGGAAGGAACAAGGGGTTGTTACTCAAAACGACTAACACTAGCCCTATATCACATAATAGGTATCTTGTGTAATCACCCCTTGTTTCTTTCATTTTTGGTGCATTGGGGATTGCGTTGGAGTTCCGAATACACAGCAGTATTTAGAAACCCTATATATAATTATGGGCGTCCAGTGCACTAATTTACCTAATGTGTATTAGTGCAGCATGTGACTGACAGTTATAAGATTTTGGGGCCAGTTTGCAAAGAGCGGTAACCCAGACGACTGGCTTGCAGTTAGACTAGACTGAGGGGTATGCCAAACAACCCAATGAGTTTTAGCACTTTTTTTGCACTTGTGGTCAGTTTCGTAAATTTTAAGCAAGCAAGCCACTTTTGCTGATGCCGACAGTTTGGTGGCCATCACAACAGATGGCTTAAGTATAATGCTGCGACTTTCATTTCGACACTGCCGACAACAGACATACAAACAGATCACATAACTATTTGTACATGCACACGAGGTAATATGTACATATCTTATTTGTTCAAAATTCTATATGAACATACGTGTATTATGTGCCGCGATATCCTTGGCTCACTAGCCGTGATGGTTATGTGGTTTTCTGTCTCAGTATCTACAGCCAATACTGTGATTACCGTATAGCGCCCTTCTTGGTACATACTTTTCGCGGATTGGGACTTTCAAGCATTTTGTTGAAAAAATTTCATGATTACCCAGTTGCACAAAAATCACGGTTTGTGCTCCCAGACCCCTCCCACCCTAACGACCAGCTGCGTTCAACGGTGCTTAGCCTCTGGTAGGTTCCTAGTAGGTTCCTCCGTCACCCCTGCTAGCCTCCAGAGAGCATGCGATTCACTTGAGTGTTAGCTGAAGATGTCGCGTTTGATCAAACACATGTGGAAAGGACATTCGCTTGACGAGTGCGTTGTGATGTGCCAGCATGTGCGGCATGGCGGTATGTGAACAAAAACATTTTCGTTCAAACAATTTGCGTGCATGGCTATTTTTCCACGAATAATAATCTGGTGGCAGCTATAGCACTAGGGCCATCGATTACACACCCAGAGCAATGGGGAGAACCAAACAACCAAGCAAACGAACATACACCCACACTGATGTCAAACATCTAAAATAAATCCTTTAACTAGGAATGCACACGCGCATATTTTGGACTGAGGCCGCTCGTGCGTGCGCTCTACTGACTGCGCGCGCGAAGCTAGACTTCCTACGAATGACGGAATTAGACATTCCTAAGCGTGACTAATTGACATTCTTAAGCGTGACGGACACGTACATACGTACGCATATCGCGAGAATACAACCCGGAGTAGTGGCCTCACGCTAACGCGCTCGGCAACAAGGTCAAGCAGAGAAGCAAATCTATCCTTCCGCTGCTCACTTCCCAAAATAAAGGATGCTTATCGAAATGTTCAAACCCGTCCCTAAGCTTCCCCTGCAGGGCAACTAAGAAATTTCTCCTAAGACTACTATATGCAGGACACTCCTACAACGCATGACTCACACTTTCACACTCATCATCACACAACAGGCACCAAATCTCCTCCCTCCCCGTATGTATACCTACCCAGTTCCTCATTTAGCCCATGCGTGCCTGACCTGAATAATCTAGACCCAACATCACTTGCCCCATGCAAATACTTTTAAAAAAATCTACAACTTTATTAAACGTCTTATACACAGACACATTTACTTTGCTACGTATGTAGCCCCTCCTCAAACCTTCTCGTTGATACTGTCCCCTACTATAGACAGAAAGCTCTTCAAGGAGCAATCCCCATTTTCAATATCATGCAACCACTCTGCCTTGTCAAGACCTAATGAGATCATCAAGGACCTTAATCCAGCACTTCCTCTGCCTGCCTTTTCGTGGCGAAAATTAAGTGCCACAAAATTAAGGCGCCATACGGTATGAGGTCTGACAGAAATTTTTTTGGACTTAGCAGCCATTTGTTTGGGATTTTTCACGACGGGCGGGGCTTTATTACAAATGCCTTCTCTGAGTCCATATCCTCTTCCATTAGCGGTATTCAGCGAAGATGGACGTATAAGTCTATAACGCACACATTGAAGGTTCTTTCCACTAACCTTGCGTTCATCCACAGGTTAGTGAGCTTGCTATCTAGCGATGTAACGATTAGCTATCTAGTTTCTCCAAAGATGTGATAATACTAGTATGCCTGCTTGTAGACCTGTCAATTTATTCCGTGCTCTATGGGTAAAATTTCCTAGCAAGCTATGATGTTAGCGAAATAACTTGCTCCTTACTGGCCACACCCGCAACGCATGCGCACATCTAAACGTACTGTAATGAAAAAAATGACTAGGTCCCTAAACAGTGTTTCCCACAGGGTAATATTCAAACAGGGTGCTTATGAATTATTAATTACCTCAGCTTTCTGGCTGAAAAACATTACTCACGTTTGAAAGCACTTCCTGTTGGGAAATTCAGCCTTTCAAGTGCTACCCTATAAGCAGCGCATTACTGCGCACAGTGTAACCGCGCTAGTTGCATTTTGCGCATGCATCATAATTGTACACGCCCATTTTCAGGATTTAAAAATCCGGGCGGAGCGCCCGGTAGTTATAAACACATTTTAATTTTCGGGATTTTAAAATTCAAATGTACATACGGACTCAACAGTGGGTTGGAAGAGAGCTTGGGACTCAACAGTGGGTACATATGGACTCAACAGTGGGTCGGAAGAGAACTTGGGACTCAACAGTGGGTACATAAGGACTCAACAGTGGGTACGGAGGAGAATTTTTCAAACCTGGTACTCACTGATGGATGCACCTTTTTTATTAAGAAAATGGTATGTCAAGAATGAATAGCTAATGAGGTTCATTTTGGGGTAAGACACCTACACGCAGGTCTCTTAGCGATAAGATACCTGCGGTTAGGTGGCTTACTTCTAACTGAGACCCTCCCGTTTACAGTACGTGCAGACCGGGGCGTCCAGATGCGACGATCACGAGCTGAGACTGCTCAGACATCGCCCTGACTCCGAACAGTTACGACACTGCTAATAACAGTGATTCTCAGTCATCGTCGACGAAGTCTTCGACAGTGCCCAGTACCCAGTGTAGAATCGGGAGGCCTCTCCCCTGCCGGGCTACCGTCGAAAAGTTGAGACGCCGCCGCCAATAGTCAGTACTTACCAATTATGGATTGCGCCCGGTATCGGCCTTGGGAGAACTCTCCTCCGCGGTACTTTCTTCAAAGAGCTGCTACCAACCAAGGTTGAAGGCGGACGAGCTACAGCCAACCGTACGGCTATCCATTTTCTTAACAAGTCCACCGCGGTTTCTATTGCTTCATTCAGCCGACCACGCGGGCTGCAGAACCGCGAAGACACTCGAATCTGCCGTCTTACCTATACTAAGAAGCAATGCAGGACTCAATGCTAGGTAAGCCATGGTAAATTGTGGATTCAGTGCTGGGTAAAACACCACTCGTGCTGAAGACTTCACTTATGACTATTGTCATTAATATTGATATCTTGAGTGTATGGCACTGAAAAGTGCAATAATCTTGGGGATCTAGAAAAATATCCTGTTTTTCCCACAACAGTACAGTTGACCCTCTTATGGCTACATGTGGAACAGACACAGACAGAATGTAAAGTGCGAACCCTCGGTGAAACGCACACATAAATGAAAAAGCACTAAAGTGCACACCCTCGGCGAACTGCGCATGTGCGATACTGCTAATTTGATGGGCTGAGGCTATTAGCTCGTGGTCTCCCGCTGGTAGCTAGCAGAGAGTCTGACACGGGCTAGCTACAGCAGTAGATACATGCATGAGTCAATACACGACCTTCGTTGTGACTTCTTGTGCTTTCAAGATACACAGAGAGAGCGAACCGGCTCGAGGTAAGCCTGTTCTAATTAGCGGGTTTTTTTTGCTTGTGTTTCACGTCGTAACTCTCGAACGCAGCAGTTTCAGAGAAAACCCTACACACCTTTCGACCTATACCTGACGCTGAATACCTGGTATTGTTTGTGGTACAATTCATGGCTCATGAAGTGAGATGTTGGGTAAAGGACAGACAGACAGACAGACACCCAGACAGACACACACACACACACACACACACACGACAACTACAGTAACCCTCGCTGCGCATGCACACCGAGGGTTAATTATAAGCATTATACACAGGTCAGAACTGTGAATCTATAGGCTGGTGTGGTGGTCTGTCGCTAGATTTTGACATGGCCTAGCTAGAGTAGTATGTAGACAGACAGACACACACACATTCATACACAAACAAGTAGTGCGTGGAGGGTTATTGAATGATACCACAGCAGAGACAGTAACTCACACATTTCAGTTGAGAAACCGTCACCCACAGAGTGAGAATGTTGAAAAATACTTCTCTTCTCCTCTGCAGTTTTCATTGGGCTGGAGTCAGGGGATTCTACATGTGAAGGATTCTCCTGAGTAACTGGATCTGCATTGAACACACAGAACATACAACACACGTTTACATTCAGTGATGTGTACAACACTCTCTCGACAACTATGACACTATACTGAAAAATTTCATGCACATGCAAAAGTGCCGGAAGCATGCTTCCTGCACATTCATAAATGTGCAGGAAGAAGAATTGCTAAAAGTTAAAAGTGTAGGTAGAATTTCAAAAAGTGCAGGAACAATGAAAAATTAGGAAATAATTATTCCTGCAAAATCTACTTTTAGCTTCCTCATATTCTTCCTACACATAAGCAAGTTGCGCCGAAAATTGGCTACATTTTGCTTGAAATTCCTGCACATCAGGAAATTTCCGCCATATTCCCTATACATTATGATATGGGTTTCTTATAATGAGTGTTGTACTGGGAGTGGCTATATAAACTGAGTTTCTTGCTGGTGCTGGGACACATAATGCTGGGCCACACGATGTTCATGTGTAATCCTGCTGAAAAAATCAACAATCGAACTGCGAGAGTTTTTTTACCTTAATGGTATTCCATAATCATGAGGGTCATGCAGTCAGATAGATCTGTGCAAACTAAGGCACACATTTGCGTTTTCGTAAAGTTTGGAAATATCCAGCTTTACACAAGGTAGCCAGGAAGTATACTACGTTTATTTTTAAAATGTGCTGTGTTTATTGTTTATTAGAGCCCTGAAAGAAATCATGGGTACACAAAGCAATACAACTCAAATTTTATACATAACTTACCTTCAAAATATTTACGAGTTTGACAACAAAAAGTAGTCAATGTGCCAGTGTATCAGCTATGAGGCTATAGCAGGGTATTCACATACCTTGAGAAGCCAGTGGAAGAGGGGCAGGAGGCCTCTGACCAATGGAGGCAGGCCCAGTGAGAAAAGGTGCCAGCTCCGAGCAAGACGCAGAACGTCTCGGGTGATATTCCAGTCCCAGATCAAACGGCGTGGTGTAGATGTAGTCGCTGCCAGTGTCAGAGAGGACCTCGTCCACCTCGGCCCACTCATAGTCTGAGTCTACTTCCACTGAGGTGCCAGGCAGGGAAGGAAGGGGACCCGGTCTGAATGTACCCGTTCCACTTTTCCGTCTGCTGCTTCTCCTCTTGTGTACGGACCCATCCAGATCAGTTTGGTCCGCAACCGGCAACTTTATCCCTCCTCCGGACAGCGTTCCTCGCCTTCCTGACCTTCTTCGACTGCTACACATCCGCTTCTTCTTGAAGACTGGAGAGCTTCTTTTGATCCCTTTACCTCCAGGGAATGCTGGGGGATCCTGTACCTGTGGTGAGGATGGTGGAGAATTCTCTGCCCCCCCCTGGGTCAGAGGGGACGGGACAATGCTCTGCCTGCTGCTAGCCCTGTGTGTGTCCCAGAGGGGAGACCCTGATTCCGGCGTGGAGTTGGAGTGTTGCTCCTCCAGTGCAGGAAACATGTGTCTGTTCTCGGTGTGAGGAGGTGGGTGAGGTAGGCTTTGTGCCGTCGACGGAAGAATTTTGAGGTACGTGCAGTATAGGTCTTCGTCTTCGCTATATTCATTACCATCTTTCGTGGTCATTGGCATCCAATCCTGAACACTACTGCCCTTCCTCAGCCACTCGCTGCGGTATTCTTTCTCAGTTAAGCTCTCCCCACAGCACACTTTTCTCTCTTTTTTCTCATCCGAGCAGTTTCTCTCATCTGAACCATTCATTTCTGCCGAATCCCCCTCTTCATCCTCGTCTTCATCCACGGTGAGCCCCTTGGTTCTCATCAGAGGGGGCATATTGTAGTAGTAAGGGGTTTGAGGGCTGCTAACATGAGCACCGGCTTGCATCATGATTCTTGGGTTGCTGCTTCTGGTTCTGCTCAGTGAGAACCTTCCGTGTTGGTGGGCATTGCTCTCATTGTCACACTCCTGGTTGATGTCTTGGCTCTCTCGCCTTCGCTTCAGGATCTTGGCCAGGAAATCATCCAATGTCGGTGAGCCCTCTCTCTCTGGACTATCAGGAGGGCTAGGTACCACCTGATCTCCTAGTGGGAGCTCAATGGGGCGCTGCAGCTCCGCCTCTGATTGTTTCACGCCATCTTCTGTATGAGATGGAGATGTCAGTATGTCACAGCTCTTGGATGGTGGGACGGTGGAATATTGAGGAGCTGCCTCATGGTTACCTCCAGCTGCCAAATATTCATCGTAGCTTTTCGAAGGAGACAAAATGTAAGATGCAGGTAAGGCACTATCCCTGTTCTCTGCCCCTACTATTACCTCCCCACACTGATCTTCTTCCATATCTTTTTGACCCTCCTCCTGTCCGTTGCTGGTTGGTGAAGAAGTAAGGTTGACGTACATAGGCTCATTCTCGGTGCTGCATTTCTCAACTGCCTGACTGTCGACTGCATCGGCTTTGAAATCTTCGGTGACTGGGGGTTCAGTGTTATGGGGAGAAGGTAAGCTGCTTGTAGATGTGATGCTAATGCAAGATTGAAGGCTTCCATGAGAAGACTGTCCACCTAATGTGGGTTTTGGACGACGATGTGGTTTTGGCTTGGTCAAAGGTGGTGGTGGGTGAGGCTTGTCAGTGGTTCTCACAGTGTGCAGTTGATTTGAATCAAAAGAATGCTTCTTATGTCGTGGGAGAGGAATTGGGGCTTTTATTGTTTTGAGTGGGAGAGAAGATTCTGATCTGTAAAAAGATAACAATACATATCTCAAAGTGTGCATGCAGCATTTTTAAATTGAATGTGGGTGGTGCTTTAGTGACTCTATTAACTGAATGCATGAGAGCTCCACCTGCCGCCTATCCGTTACGAACTTGTACAGGACACAAGGGGATTTCACCAAACTGTTGTGAGAGTTTGCTCAAGTAATGATGGTACCATCTAGCAAGCTAGAAAGAGACAAAAGCTAGCGCTGCAGCTAGAGAAAAGAATATGGAACTTGACTTTGAGCCTAAGAAACAGCTATAGGTAGGCTCACTATGCTCAGGCAAGTACAGATAAACTGTTGCAATAAACTCCCCCATAAACATCAATTGATTCCTGGTGGTGTTTGTATGTAAGTATAGTGCAGGCAAAGACTACACACGCATGTCTGAGCGCAGTGTCCTCGGTTAGGCTCCTATTTTAAGTTCACTGGAGGAATGCAACGCTTTGTTGGCGAGCGAGCATGAGCAGTTCAGTATTTCGCACGTGTTTTGTGCGTATTTTGAATCACGTATAACATTACAGTATGTGCAGTGCCCGACAGAGCTGTCACGTAGAAAGAAAAAATTACCGTATTGAAATGACTAATCCGCTTCGCTCGCCAACAATTAATGTCCATAGTATCTGAAATGAAGATTGAGGACTAACGTGCTGTGGTTCAGATTTAAATCAGGATGGGCAGGCGAGGAGGTGTCTTGGGTGCTTGTCCTGGCTGGTCTGGGTGGTGGACGAGGCTTACTGGATGGCTGAACCACAGAAGGGGCCAATGGCTCTTTCTCACATATGGGAAAGCATGAAGAGGTAGGTAGTGACATAGCTGGGTAGTTAGGTAGGTGGGAGGAAGGAGCTGGAAGGAAGAAAAGAAATGAACTAGACAAATACGGTGCATTTAAGGGGAAGGAGGGGCAAGCCAACTGTGTCAAAGGTAATACAGCCACAGTTGGGACGACAAGCTTTTGGAGTTGCTTTCTTGCTGGGCGCATTGCGTATTAGCTACCCACTTTTAGCACTGGCTATATAGCGCGTGTAATGACTGAATGTGACCAACTACAACAATTGTTGACCCCTTTACGAACGTGGAACATATTAGTGCCAATTTAGGTCTCATGTGCTTCCGGCAATATATTATCGCCAAAGGTATGCACTTTTATTGAAGCACTGAAAGCGCCGCATAGTGAAGATGTTTGCCGACATTTTGACACCAACATTTTTTTCAATGTCAAATGGGCCCTTAGCCCATAGCGGATAACAAATATTATTCACTTATAGGAGTACACTAGTGAAGTGCATGTGTGCGGCATGTACACAATCCCATTCAATGTTGCGTAATTACATACGTAAAACATTAGTTAGCGTCACTTGTCGGATAAAATGAGCAAGACTGGGTTTCCTTGCTGCCAATTTTGTGTTTCACTACGCAATTCCAAGGCTGAAGAATACAGGGAGCCTCTATTAACGAAGCAGCCATGACTGCATAATGTTTCCTCCCTCTGTTGCTTACATACATAGCATTGTGAAAATGGCAGAGTTCACTCAGCCTTGTGGTACCTGTTTTGTACATGCGTTTTTTTTGCATAGGTCTACTCGTGACATTTCTAGTGAAGCGATTCCTTCAAAGCACTAAGTGCAAACCTTTTGTGGGAGTAATGTCGATGTGTACATGCACATAAACCACAGTGCTAATTGATGGGCTGGGCACACGTCGCCACGCGGTCCAACCCGTCAACAGAGCTGCTTTACACTCTAACACAGACTAGTTTCATTAGTGGGTAGCGCTTGGGCTGGATACACATCCCATGAGTAACTTTATCCCTCTATGGTGCACAGAACAGGCTAACCAGTGCGCGATTATGCATTTTGGCTTTTTCGTTTTATTTTCACGCCATATCTCAGAAATGCGTAGCCTGTGTTAAGAGAAACTGGCTCCATTGACAGGTTAGACTGAATTGCATAGTGTGTCCTAGCCCATAAATTTTTTATCCGCATGCCAATGCTAACAGCACATGTGCTCACATTCCTTGCACCGAGGGTTTGCATTATAGTCCTTTTCATATTTCGAAAGTTCTGTGGGCAAAATGCACAAGACTAACAATGGAGGGTATTTCCCTGTGACATTTGGTACTTTAGAGCCAAGCAATGCACGCCCAGGTGCACGGGAGTCCCTAAACACTGGAATGGAATGGACTGAACTGGAATACTGGAATGAACATTAAATTCCACAACTACTGTTAGAAATTCAGATGGCCAAGATGGAAAGGCCCGTGCGTGCATGTACATACTATGAACATAAGGGAGGTAAGACTGGACCGGGGGGGTGCAACAGTTGCTGTGTCATCGTCTGGAACACAGGACTCTTCAAGGCACCAGGCCCATAGTCAGGACGCTTCACTTTGCACTAGCTAAAGCTAGTGGGATTTTCCCCTTTAGCCAGGTGCTTCTTCCTATTAAACTATTAGTTTTCTTTTCACGTGAATCGTTGCCATTCTTCCACTACTTCCCAGACCTAGCAGCCAAGCAACCATTCTTTTCCATAGAGAACTTGGGACATTTCTGGGATATCACCTGGGAAGTCTACCATTAAATGTGGCTTCTACAGGTAGTTTAACAAATGTGTTCACTTCTGTAACTCACATGTTGACTTTTGCTGCCCTCTTTTGGATATCTCTTTGGCTCTATGCTCAATAGCGCGACATATGGTGCTGGCACTCTGTGTCTGGAACACAAACATTTCCTCATCTCCCACCACCCCACCATTACCAAATGCACAACTAGCAGATTTGGTGCTTTTCTGCACTGGTGTGTAGTCAGCACTTACATCGCTGGTGTATAGAAAGAAATATTGTGTATCAATTATGTACTGTAAAGGTTGTAATGAACACTCACCCATGGCAATACAATACAAGGACACTGAATTTCTGGCCTGCATCAGTGAAGGTGTTGTAACGAGTACGAGCCACATCTGACAGGGAGTAGAGGAATCTGTGAATAGAAGTGTGGCTGGTCAAAATGGCTACATCATTTCAATTACAGATACAGGGCGATAGGAAGTGCAATAATTATTTAGTGCTTTTACATACATACGTAATATATAATATAGCTACAATGTTCGTGGTGGCAACATTATTCCAAAAAAATGCTGTTTCATGTGCTATGTCGAGTTGCCCCGCTTTCTGTAGTAGTGTAATATTCCTCGGGTTGGACAAGGTCACTGCTAAGTAGCAGTTCCTGGAACGAACATACCCTATCAGTCATTGAGCACCGACATCTTCTGTTTACACACTAGTTTTGTAGCACTAAAGTTGCATAGTAAAGTCTTGCATGAGTTGTACAAAGGATCTGAAAAGACACTGTAAGAATAGTTCAGTTGGCTGGCTTAGCAAAATTGTCATGCTGTGTCCATCATGCTCCGTACTCAATAACGTAATTAACCCTCGGCACGCATGCCACCATGCACAAGAAATCGGCCAAAGAGAAATGGTACTGCTGTACGGAAATGGTGTTGCTTGATTTAAAAAAGGCAATTTTTATATAAATACAGTGAACAATTTAAGCAACTATGCTAATTAGCACTGGCTTACCTCGACCTCATCCGCTCGCTCTGTGTACCTTGGAGGCACAAGGAGTCTCAACGAAGGGCGTGTATCGACTCCCGCATACTATCTACAAGTGTAGCTAGCCCGTGTCAGACTCTCAGCCAGCTAGTAGCGGGAGACCACGAGTAAACATATACCAGCCCATGAACTAGCAGTTCACCGAGGGTTTGCACTTTAGTGCTTTTCATTGAGAAACTGTGACAAATGGCTACATACTCATTACTTTTTTCTCTGGCCATCTTAGAGTGGTTGTAAACAGAGAAGTCAGTAAACAAATTGCAGTGTTTACCTAGTAGGGAGAGTCCCAGTGGACGTGAAAAGGGCAATGTGAGAATCAGTGATCCTCAAGATGTATCGGCCACTCAACTGGAGCTTCTCAGAGTGACTGTTTGGGATCACTATCACCTGGTACTCGTCTGCAGAGAGAAGGGAGAGTGGCCCCTTCAATTCAATGCCAATTAAACTCCTACACAATTATTGCAATTAGCATAGGTATACATCTATTTGTTTGTTTAATAAAGTGGAAATGCTGTTACTCCCAGAAGTAATCACCCAATTTAAAACACTAAGTAAGTACTAGTAGTCTAGTGTACAGAAGAAATTCTTTACTGCTCACACTCATGGCAGAAATGCCGTGTCTAGATATACACGTGAAAACTTGATCTTCTGAGGAATCATAGAAGGAATGTGCCTGTTCAGCTATTGCCTAGGAGGTGAAGCATGATAGAATGTCTGTAGGAGTACTGCCTCCTGTGCCCTGTCGACTTTAGTATGAGTAGTTTGTCTGTGACTACTATTTTTTTGCTAATACAAGCATAAAAGGGCATCGATATTGAAATGGCGATTTTCTGAAAACCACTGCATTTGAGAGTAAATATTCTAGTGTTGTTCGAAACGCAAGCCACAGGCACTGCTAGCCTGTGTTAGAGCGATGAACTGACATCATGCGACTGCTTTGGATGGCCCATTCTATCATTAGAGACACTTTTTATGCATGCGTATAGTGCGTAGTGTACAGACCAGGCTAGGCAGTGTAAGTGTCTTGCCCTGAGGGTTTGAACTTCTATTGTCAATGCTTAAGTGCTATAAGAGACACGGTACTGTAACCCTTGATCACTGCAGATGACAAACAAGATAACAATTAAGCTGACGAAAAGGGGTGGAGCTCAGAAAAGCTGTTTAAGGCTTGTTAGCTCTTATTAACAGCTAGCATACAGTTCTCTTCTCCAGGCATCGTGTGGTATCGAACTAACTCCACGTGGCTTTGCCTAACCCGTGGTCCCACACATTTGCAGTTTACCTAGGCTCTTTTCCACTGCTGTAGGTTAGGTCAAGGCCAGTATGAGCCACACACCAAACAGTTTATAGCAACATACTGAAACTGTACCATGATTGAGAAAAGACAAACTGAGACTCACAGACAACACCACGGCGGGGTGGGCCAAACAAGAATTGCTTCAAGCCCTGCACCCATATCTCCCTGTCCTCAGCAGTATCTGTTGCTAGGTGGTATTTGCACCCGGTGGCTAGGATCTGGAACGCAAACCTCTTGGCCCTGGCCTCTCTGTCCAGCACATGCAGCACATCTGTGGAGGTGATTGGACTATGAATGTACTTTCACAGCAACAAAATAATGTTCCTTTGCTGACTCAGTATGCATGCAAATCAGGATAAAATTGTACTACTTAATTGTGGGGTGTATCTGATCGCTGGACTGGGAACTAGACTGGATTACTTGACTGCCCTAAATATCTGGATTGATTTACACAACATGTGCAGTATAAGGAGTTGTGCAATTGCGCTCTTCCATCACTTCGGCCATTTGCTAGGTTCAAACAAAGTAGGTTGGCTCAGCAAGAGAAGGAAGGGTGAAAAGCAATGTCTTCTGGCACTACAGCGGCGAAAGAGCAATATCTATGGTTATAGAGCTACAAGGGCATGGAGTGCACTGAAACCACACTGCTTTAGTGAGTTATGCCACAAAACACAAGTAAAAAGGCCAATTGCTTCTGAGAAATTGCTTACTTCGACTAGTTTTTCACCGCTTTATGCACTGTGGGGGGCAAAGTTTCTCAGAGGACGGGTACCCACTCCGGCGATGGTCGAAACACTACTCACTGATGCTATGTATATATGTACTAGCCTGTGTTAGAGCGAGAAACTGACATCACAAATTAATGTATGGCGTGGGCCAGCCCCCATCAATTAGTGGTGCTTCTGCACATGCACCAGTGCACACCATTGCAGCTAAAATACATGCAGTGCGAGCATTACTCTTGTGCCAAGGGTTTGCACTCTTTTGCTTGTTTGTAATGAAAAGCACTGAAGTGCAAACCCTCAGTGCAGAACAATGTTCCTGCAGCGTCTCAAGAATATAGCTACTTCACCCACACTTGAGAATTTGCAAAAAACGAAGCGAGGATAGCTAGACATAAAAAGTGGTGTAAAAAAGCAAAAAGATTTAGAGAAAACGGCTTATCTATTTTCTTTTCCTCATCATACTTAATAATCTAGTGTCCTAATAAACCCATAAATCATCCATGTCGTTGAAACCCCTGACCATGTAGAGGTATGAAGAGGTCAGAGGTGGAATGGACAGCCGAGAGAGGTCTGAAAAGGTCAATTCTCTGCAAGCCTCGTGAGCTCTCTCTCCTAACAACTCCCCAGTACGGCTCATAGCGCTGTGGGACAGTACAGAAACACATATTTTGTCACAACTACAGAGCAATTAACAGGATAGCAAATCAAAAGGATAGTGTAACCTACACTTTCTTGTACAGGCACAGATTTCATACTGTATACAAAAAAGTTTCTTTTCATGGCACACGTTGCGCTGCCAAAAAGCAAAAACTGCCATAGAGCACTTTCGTTCTCTGCATGCATTGACAGTGCTGCCAAAGGTTCGGATTTAGTCCGACTACTTCGGATTTTCGGTCCTCTAAGTATGTGTCGGACGGAGCGTGTACTTTACTCCGATTTTTCACGCGCGAGACTACACGGCCCGGCAGTTGAAGATGCTAAAAGACCTCGTCAGTATCATGTCGGACAGGGCAAAAGCAGGATGAACGTCTGCTGGCACGTCATCTACTGGCTATGAGAGTGAAACGTGCGAGACAGAGAGTGACCCACAACAGCGTGATACCCCCACTGAAGCGCAAGAAGTACGCGTGCGTTTTTCGAAGCACAGGTACAGTCTTAGACTCTTGTGTGAACATAATTATGTTTTAGTCACATTTCAGGATTTCTCAGGATATGTTGTTTATAAAATATCCAGATAATGTAACTACACATTAGGATATGTCCAAAAATATTTTGCCAGCACTGGCATTGAGTATAGTGACATAATACAGTACATATGAATGTAGCTAAACCAGTACAATAGACCAATAAGGACAGAGCACTGGTCCCGATGTTCTAGGGGCCCAGGAGAGGTAGACGTTTGTTTTATTTTAATACAGCAGCATTATCAGCACATTATGTAAGTGCTGTTACTACCATTCCACATTGAAAGAATGCTGGGGAATGTGTGCAAGTCATAAGAACAAAAAAAGAGAGTCTAGCTACAGCAGTAGATAGTATGCGGAGAAGAATACACGCCCTTCGTTGTGACTGCTTGTGCCTTCATCAAGCGGGCCCGCTCGAGGAAGCCTGTTCTAATTAGCAATTGGCTTTTCCGGTCGTGTTTCACGCTGCAACTCCCGAAAGCAGCAGTTTCAGAGAAAACCCCACATACCTTTCGACCTATACCCGACACTGAATACGTGGTATTCTTTGTGAAGCGATTGATGGCTCGTGAAGTGAGATGTTGAGTAACAGACAGACAGGCCGGCAAACGCAAACGACAACTACAGTAACCCTCGCTGCGCATGCGTGCCGAGGGTTAATAGCTGAGCATGTCCGATGTCCTCTGCCTTTATCCTATCTGCACCCTCGAGGCTGAAGTCATGCGGGTGCTAGCATCACAAACACCAGCATCCAATGCTCTGCCCTAGTGGTACCACATACCCATACATACTGGGAAAACTTTGTGTTTCAAAAAAGCTCGTCCCTAGACCTTACACTTCAAAAGCGATAGGGTCTGGTAGGCTCTGCTGCTTATTGGAGCCTCATTTACATTCATACAAAATAGCCTGAGGCCAAGGCTCTCTATAATAATCCACACAATAGTACATTTTTACGCTATGCAGGATGGCAGCCATTTGTTGGTGAGGAAATGACTGTGTCCCAAATAGGGCGCCACGCAATATTGAACCAGGCAGTGTAATTTACGTTTACTGATATTGTCAGAAAAATGCGTGGCACAAGAGAGTTGCAAAAGTGCTGTTTCTGAATGCAGCAATGCTTGAAATTGGTTATTGTAATAGCCGTTACACTCAAGTATGATGACTTAATGGTCTGAATAATCTGAAGTTGACTTCACACCACATATGTACACACACTACGAAAGTGATGCCAGACTAACAACGTCTTGCATGTACCTTCAGAACTTTCATGCTTGTTTATACTGACTGGTCAGTATAAAAAATGAGTCACAGTTTTGCGGACAATAAGAGAAGTGGCAATCTTGATGTTGGTCGGCGGGTATATAGGAGCGGCTCAAAATTATCGACCACTCATGGATATTGGAGGAGTAGGCAACCATGTACTATGGCTATGTCTATTGTGAGGACTACACCCAGTTGCATTCACACCCAGAGTGACAGCGTTCACTGAAAAGGTAGTGTTAACAGGTATTTGAGTATACTGAAAAGTACTAAATGGGTCACCTTAGCACAAAGAGCTGACATTCCAGTAGATGGGAACATCATCAGACATGTTTTTTGGTCATTCAAACTCAGCTCTTTCCCTCTCTCCCACTAATTAGTTCCTTAGAAGTACTTGCATATTTATTACTCTTGAATTAAACAGTCAACAGGGTGTGAACTGTGCCGGACCAACTCACCACCAGAGCCCTAAGGTTATCTGCACACAAGACATCAGTGAGGGGTATTATTATTCAACTCTTAGTGGCTCATAATTAATGCACCTTAGGTGAAGTCACCAGAATACCATGCAAGACGATTTTAAGGCAAATTGTTTCATAATTTACATGTCTCCTACTAAAAATTCCCCTGGCCATACAAGGCAGGTATTAAATTTCTTTGCAGTGTAAAGTGTGAACACCTGTTATGAGATGGTAGCAGGTGGGTGCACTGAAAGGAGGAAATGTTAACTTTCAAGCGCTCACTGACTTGTTTGTATCCAACAAATAGTGCTGTTTGGTGTTCATGATGATGAAAGCTAGTTACGTATCTAACGGTATAGCTACGGTAGGTCATCATGGAACCCCAAGAAAACATCCCCACGTCAGGTACTGCGAAAAGTTGTAGCGGGCAACGGATACTACGCGTATAATTATACGGCTGAGAAAACCTTGCATCTCCCGGGCGGAGGTTTGGCTGCATGACTAGCTAGTCTGCTGCTCACCGAAACAAACGTCCCTTTCTTGTAGTAGATAAGACCATCCCACGCCCTGTCACAGTCTGCAGGCAAACCTGACGCCATTCCAACTCAATACTGCACTTCTGAGATCGAGTCTGCAACTGCTAACTGCTACGCTACCGAAGTGGCCCGCCGCGCCGCAGCAGCAGCCGGAAAGAACGCAGCGCCGCCACATTATTAATGCAGATGGGAGGAGCATGCAAAGAGAAAGGAATGTGCAATGGAGTATTACATAATTGGATAAAAGGTAGAAAAACTGCTGGATTTCTAAGAGTGAATAGATTGCATGAAGCATGCATGTAGTACATTGTCCATCCACTGCATTGTCTGTCAGGAGTATTTACAGTGTGGTGCTACAGTGAACTATGGTAGTAGAGGTATTTGTGGGTTTGGTCTGCTCTGCTCATTGCTGCTTTGCCTTCTTGGTAACAAGAGACTTGTGGATGTAAGGAATAACACCTGGAGAGGGAAGGAGAGAGAGAGGATAAGGGATAGAATATTGTGGGGCACAGAAGGTCATGCTTCATGGCACACAGAAGGGAGGGGGGAAATTTATGGAGGTGGAAGTGTGGGACTGACCTCCTCCAGCAATTGTTGCCTTGATGAGGGAGTCGAGCTCCTCGTCTCCTCGGATGGCCAGCTGGAGATGACGGGGAGTGATCCTCTTTACCTTGAGGTCCTTGCTGCAGTTGCCTGCCAACTCTAGCACCTGTGGAAAAAGGACCAATAGCGTATAGCCCTACGTGGACAATGCTGCTTGGTAATCATTCATATTACCCTCATGCATGTGTGTTGTTCTAACACACTGCCCCTCGGTGCAAGAGGAAGAAAGTCTATCGAATGGCAATTATTTATGGTTGTACTGAATCAGCATACTTGGCTGCCTCACCTTTGCAAAAGTGACTATATATATACAAGCAACATGATAGCCACGGCAGACAGTGTGCGACATTGCAAGCTGGCTGTTACTGCGCACTTGAGAAGAGGATATACACGCAGTACTAACTCTGCATATATTTGCTCCAAAAATTGTTAGGATCCATGATTATTTGTGTGGCTGTAGTCATGAGGTATATACTAATGTCCTAGGTTGAACTTGTTATTACCCTCGACGCGCATGCGCAGCGAGGGTACTGTAGTTGGGTTTGTCTAGCTGTCTGTCTGTTACTCTCAATCTCACTGTCTGTTCGTCTCACAAACTACTAAGCGGGCAATGAAGGTCAGAAATTTCGAACGGTTTTCTCTGAAACTGCTCCGTTGCAGAGCTAGAGCGTGAAAAAGCCAATTGCAAATCCGCAACGGACGGGACGGCTTACCACGGTCTGACCGATGCGCGTGCTCTGCGCCACCAGAAGATGCAACGTAGGACGTGTATCGCCTCTCGCATGCTATCTAGTAGTGTAGTTAGCCCGCGTCAGACTCTGCGCGAGCTGGCACGGTACCACGAGTAGCAGCTAAAACTAAACCCAGCCCATCAATTAGTGGTACGGAGCATGCGTTTACTTACGCGTGCGCGTCACAATGCACCGACACTTCAGTGCACTGTAACCAGTAGTAAAGTGCAAGCCCTCGGTTTAACTTGAAAACATAATATACCAACACCCTTACACATGCACAGGTCACGGCTGGGTCACGCTGTAGATCGGCACATTGTTTCTCACTAACTAGCTGAGAGGTTATAGAGGTATAGGTAGCGTTTTAGGCACTGTGGGTCTTGATACTCACCCTCCGTCGTAATTTCTCATGCCTCCATAGCGGACAATGTCAGCGGAACCCAGTTAAGGTAAGACAGTTGTATTGGCTTGTTCACTTGATTTTCACGCCATAACTCTTGAACGCAGTATTTTTTACGAAATCGTCAGTTTCAAAATCAAGCCAATATGTAGCGCCCAACCTGTTGGCATAGGTTTTTTTGCGGCCTCATTGCGCCTAGTGGCAGAAAATGTGGGAACAGACACACGCAGACACACAAGTACTGCTACCCTCGCTGTGCACACACGCTGAGGGTAAAAACCATGTCTACTTCGATATCGCTCAAATGCACCATTTGTACCAGGCTCTTTGTAAATAGTGTTTCGGTCCTACTCAGTGAGAGGGAGGGCTGCAAATGAGGCTATGACTTGGACATGAGCTGTGTGCATAGTGTACTACAACAAAGTTAACCAGAAACCACAGTCATGCAAATCCCCAAAGAGTGGACACAGGAATCCAATCGTGGGAGAGTGTAAATGGCAATATCCACAATCGCTCATTGCAAGACCAAACATGTATATACAATGACACCTTCAGTCCCCAATATGGGCAGACAATTTAGTAGAATACTCTCTTACATGGAAAACCATGGACAAGAAAGTGCGTACAGTGGACTACAAGTGTGCTTGCCTCAGCTGTGAGGTACTCGAGGATGGCTGCACTGTAGACAGCTGCTGTTGCCCCAACTCGGCCATGGCTGGTGGTCCTCATCTTGAGATGTCTGTGTATCCTTCCCACTGGGAACTGGAGACCTGCCCGAGCGGACCTGGAGACCGCCTTCGCTTTGACCTTGGCATCCTTCCCAGCTTTACCTCCAGCCTGTGTGCGTGTGTTTGTGTTGGGGCATGGGTGGAGTACATAGGTCTTGTCACAAGACCCGTAATGGTAGGCATTTTACAGGGGCACACACTACAGACAGCTTGCCACAAGTATATTTTTGCCCCATAGTGTGACTTCTAGGCAGGTGAAAACCGAAGTAGATAGCTCTAGCTACACTCTTGGTTCAAAGACAAAAACGCATAATCCTAAACCAATGTAAGGGGAACACTGACAGCAAACGCACACAATCCCTAAGCTTCTAAGCTTTGCACGCCAACTTTTAGGTCGTCTCTTCCATTTCATGTTAAATTACGTCACCAAAAGGCAACAGGCCTACACTATTGTCCATAAGCTAGCCCAGAAGAGTGTGTACACGAAGTGAAACGGGACAAGCGTAGTAAGTTCACAGCAAAAGCTTTACACAGAATTTATTACACGTCCTTTTAACACCGGCGTCCCATGGACACGAACTGACCATGTTTCTTTGTCCTTCGAATACAGCAAAGAGCTACCACCACAGACACGGTCGCTCTCGTCAAGCCACCGCTTTCTTCTTCCCCGACAGTCCAAGTGCGAAGGTGGCGGATCCGGAGGGGCGGACACTGGTGATGTAATTTGATCAGACTAGGGCAACCAATCAAATTTCACCATTCAACCGCGTTCCCGCCAAATCTCTTTCGGGGGTGCCGCGTCGTGCGTGCGCGTGCGCGTGCGTGTGAATTATTATAATTATGCGCATGCCGCTACGAAACACCTGTTTGGTCGTCGCGCCATCGCTCTCTGGTGTGGGAGCCACCATGTGGCTTTGTCGGACTCCTTATCTCGCACCATCATCTGACGGGTCTTCCTTAAATTTCTTCTTCTGTCATACAATCTAAACTGTCATTTTCACAATAATTATTTCAAACCTTTTCTTCTGTTGTGTAACCTAAACTGCTGTGCATTATTCTGCGTTTGTGTTTCAATGAAATGATGGGTGAACAAGTTATGTCTGATCCCGATCCTCAGTTCCCTTCTTCAGAAGATCCAGATCCAGGTCTTCATATTTATCCAGCACGCTAGATAAACAGAATGTAACATATCCACTTCACATCATTATTGCGGCTGGCTTACAGTTACTATTCATAGGAGAATGGGGTGGCTGCTACCACAGACATGTGAATCTTTTATCAATGCGGTTGTGAATAAAGATGAGAGCAAAGTGCAGGTGTATATATACCAGCCACAGGATGCTAACTGCATAGCACTTGTGACCAAGTGTTACATTGCATGGGTATAATTTACAGTCGTTCTAGTTAGAACGTGTTTGTAACAAGAACAAATGCAGGGCACCTCTCTAGGGATGAATTAACTGCAGCTAGCTGAGTTGCAAGAGAAAGTGCAATGTTGGTCAGCTTATCAAGGCCTCTGTCCTCATCTAACTGCTCAGCCATTTGTCCCTCCTTGACCTAAACAATTATTTAGCCCATCACATGTTATACAATGGAGAGCCTACGCAGAACAATGGCACGTAAAACTGCTTCACAGACCTCACTTTCTCTCTCTTCCTGCTCCATGCCTCCAACAGTGCTAACATCAGCAACGTACTTTGACCTGGTGGCATTACATCATCGTGTTACGGCTCAGTCGAAAGGCCGTCTATCATAAAGTCTGCTGTTGAAAGGAAGACCATGGCGGACTCTAGCAATGCGTGAGTGTGGATATTAAACCTAGCGTGATGCAGTTTGTCGTTCCCTGTTTGTGATATTATAGCCGTCGACATAGAAGTCCCATAACTTCTTTAGTAACCTGACGTCTTTACTTTAGTGGGGGAGATGTCTCAGTGAGAGATGTTGGTAGAGCTAGGGACGGAGAAGCCAGTGAAGGGGCTATTAGAGGAGGAGTTGGTGGACAACCGAAAGCTGCAAGAGAGAAAAGAGAAGAAGGAGCTCATGTGAGTTTCCAATAAGCATCCTAACTTATGGCTAAATTCAAATTTGAGTGGGTTTGTGATATGCTGATATCTTTGGTAGAGGGGTAGTGTGGGCCCTCTTGTGTGCTCTTTATTAACCCTCGGCGCGCATGCGCAGCGAGGGTTACAGTAGTTGGGTTTGTCTGTCTGTCTGTCTGTCTGTTTGTCTGTTACTCTCAATCTCACTTCTCGGGTGTCTGTTCATCCCAGAAACGATACCATCTACCCAACAGGCGACGAAGGTCAGAAAATAAAGGCGGTTTTCTCTGAAAATGCTCCGTTGCAGAGCTAGAGCGCTTCCACCATTGTACGGCTAATGCGTAGTCGGCCATTTTTATCGCTGCGGAAAATGCGCATGCGCTTATATCCTCGACCGGGTCCGCTTACTCTGTGTGTCTTGAAGGCACAAGAAGTCACAACGAAGGGCGTGTATCGACTCTCGCATACTATCTACTACTGTAGCTAGCCCGTGTCAGACTCTCTGCGAGCTACTAGCGGGAGACCACGAGTAAACGCATACTAATAGCAGCCCAGCCCATCAATTAGCGGTACCGCGCATCCCCAGTTCGCCGAGGGTTTGCACTTTAGTGCTTTTCATTAACTAGTGGGTTGTGCTACCAGAAAACACCATTGTGAAAAGAGTGTCTCTTACCTGCCAAGCTTTACTCATTCACTCCCCATGATGGCCAGAATATTAACTTGGACCTCCTGGTGCCATGAGGTTACTAATAGGGCATAAGACTTGAGTAAAGCATACAAGTACTTCGCATCATCGCACTAGCCAGTGTTGAGCATTGATCTTGTGTTTATGATGGAACTGTTCCTGTACTTGTTGGTTGACAATAATGCTTTGATGTAAACCTGACTTGTAAGGGAGTTGTAAAGTGATTGGCCCATAGTGGACAATGATTGAGCTGTACACCTTTACATGGGTTTGCTAGACTATTGCATTTCAGTCACTTCATAGCCACATGCATGCTGAGTTTTAGAAAAGTTAAGTTTCAACCCCTGCTCCACTCTATCATCAACTTGTAGACAGACTAGAGGGTGGATGTGTGAACATGTACAGCTTTACAGGCGTCTCTTGTGTTCCCAGGTGTCGTACGTGGGTCAGGACGTGGAGGCTATCCCTCCAGAGGTGGTGGAGAGGTACAAGAGCACAGCCAGGAGACTGGACCTGTCGTACAACAAACTCAAGTCTGTGGTGGGGATTGAGCAGTTCAGCTGTCTGGAGGAGCTGGTCCTGGACAACAATGAGCTGACAGACTCCTCCCTTGCCCTCCCCCTCCTCCCTCGACTTCACACCCTCACTCTCAACAAGAACCAGGTGAATTCTCTATCACTGATACATATGTACGTACTTCTTAGGTCAGTCATTGGTACTGTCTGGAGTAGACAATTCAAGGCAATTAGACAGAGTAAAGGTTAGATGACATTGACTACTGAGGGCCAAATTCAAGTTCCTTTCACGCCAGTGTAATTTTGCAGTGCAAATTCCAATGGGGAAGCGAAAACCTCCCCCTGACCTCATTGAAATAACCGTGAAGTTGGTATCTGCCATTGTAGGCAGCCATTTGGAGGGGGCACACATGAATTTCTTATCTGTCTCAGAGTCCATGGTTAGGTGTCGCACCCTCTTTCTGACCTCAGTATATATGTATACATATATGTATATATTATATATACCTCTAATCTGGGTTAACAATTGCTTGTGTTGTGAGCCCAGCCTGCTGAGTTGCCCTGGTATGTAGCTCAGTGGTAGAGGATTCATCTAGAAAACAGAGTATCAAGGGTTCATGTCCCATCTAGGGCAGCTCCTTTTTCGTAGAAAAAGTATACTGAATTGTTTGATTTACACCCCATGATTTGTGCTCACTCAACCAATCCTCAGATCAGAGATATCGACAGATTACTTGCCACACTGACCAAAGCCTGTCCCAACCTCAAATACCTCAGTCTCCTTGGCAACCAGGCATGTCCTAACGAGCTTCTGGGGTCAGGACATGACGATGAAGACTATCAGAGATACAGGTCTGTATGGTTAATGTACTTTACATTGCTTTTACTGGTGTTCCTTGAGCACACATACGTAGGCACTGAAAAAATGAAAAGCACTAAAGTGCAAACCCTCGGCGGTAAACTAGCGAGTAGCATCGCTGTATGCTGGGCCGTGCGTCATCGATGGAGCCAGTAACACGAGTCTCACCGTAACACAGGATAGTTGCATTAGCGGTTACAGGTTAGAGCAATAGCTCAGGTGTTTCAGAGGCTCTCATATTTGCTTTATTCAATCTATCCGCTCTTCTGTGTTTCAATGCTCTCACCAGACGTTTTATAGATGGGACGGCAAGGCCGCAACCACAAACTGCTCGCCACCTGAACTATTATGCTACATTGCGAACATACCTTGCTCAGCATGTTTATCGTTTATCCATAGGGAACAGAGATCAAAACTGACAGGAGGCCGTGGATCGTATATAAGCTTGCAACCAACGTGGCGTAGCGCATGCTCCGGCGATTAATTGACATGACGCATGCGCGCTCTATAACTATATAGCTAGCCTGCACGAGAGGGTGCGTGCGCGATCGCGACCGCGCGTTGGCTTTTTCGCTTGTTTTCTCGCCATATCTCTGGAACGCAGTCGTTTCAGGAAAATCACCACATTAGTATCAATCTTCTCGTCGTTCACAACCCGTTGGTGCCACTCATTGGCCGCCTCATAGCCTGTAGTGCTCGCGCGGACAGACGGACAGACAGACAGAACGACTACTGTAACCCTCGCTGCGCATTCGCGCCGAGGGTTAATGGCAAGCACTAAAGAGCAAACCCTCGGCGAACTGCGCATGCGCGGTACCACTAATTGATGGGCTGGGCTTTTTATGCCTTTACTTGTGGTATCCCGCTAGTAGCTCGCGGAGAGTCTGCCACGGGCTAGCTACAGTAGTAGATAGCATGCGGGAGTCGATACACGCCCTTCGTTGTGACTTCTTGTGCCTTCAAGACACACAGAGCGAGCGGACGCGGTTGAGGTAAGCCTGTGCTAATTTGCATTTTGGCTTGTTCACTTGCCTTTCACGTCATAACTTTTGTACGCAGAAGTTATATCAAGATCGCCTTTTTTAAAATGAGGCCAGTGTAGCGATGAACCTGTTCGTGTCGCTATTTCGTTGTCTCGTTGCACGTAGTCGCAGAAAACGTGGTAACAGACGAACGGACAGACACACTCACTCACTCACTCACTCACTCACACACACAAACTCACGAACCAAGTACCGTAACCCTCGCTGCGCATGCGCGCCGAGGGTTAATGAAAAAGCACTAGGCATAAAACTTGTTCCTGCAGCAAATTACCGACGGGATATTTTTGCATGAACCAAATAGCTTTTACAGGTTCACTTTGTTCATTTCATGTACACATGGAATTTCCTTTTAAAATGATTAGCTACAGACCAGCCTTAAAGAAAATACATTTGTCAAAGTAAACAAAATGGCAGACCACGGCAAACAAAACACGGTAGAGAAAGTTTACATTATCAAATAAAAAGCACTAAGGTACAAACCCTCTGCACACTAGTAACCCGTGTGTGTATGTATGTGCATGCACTGTACTGATAATTGATTGGCTGGGCCAATCCCCCGTGGTGGTCTCTTGCCAGCTTGCTGAAGAGTCTGTGAAAGGCTAGCTACACTACTATAGCATGCCATGCGTTGCAGCTTCTGGTGCCGCCGTGCGCAGAGAAAGCGGATCTGTCGAGGTACGTATGCTAATTTGCATATTGGCTTGTTCACTTGGTTTTCACGCTATGACTCTTGAGCTTTTACAAAATTCGCCAAATTTATAGTAAAAGCCAGTGTAGTGTTGGACTGTTTTGTAGCAGAAAATGTGTTAACAGACAAACAGACACACAGACTTATGAACCAACCGTAACCCTCGCGCTCCGAGGGTTAATGAATCTTTTCCCTTGTTGCAAGTGCAAGATTGTCGATTAAGAAAATGCATAGGGCAGATGCACAGACTTATAAACCAAGCACTGTAACTCTCTAGCACATTCATACAGATGGTTTACTACATGTAGTGGTGCCATTTTACTATTCCTATCTCTTGCCAATTATGTTCTGCCATAACAGGTTTTTGGTTGACTATGAACTTAGTTGTGCCTACGTTACTTTTGCAGTACAAAAAATTCTGTTTTGCTCCATCTGTTCACGCAAAAACGGAGGTTCTACAAGCATGTGCTTTCCTTCGTGACGGATAGTGGGCGTGGCCGACCGTAGCAAGCATAGGCTCGCTCATGGAAACAAGCAAAAAGAGTTGTAGAGGTATGTATGTGGAGACGACGATCGCTGCTCTCCGCTTTCTTTGCCACTAAAACCACACCCGATTTTAGCGCAAATGCAAAACAGTGGCGTAGCGGTGGTATATAAAACGGAATTGAACGAAATAGAATTGTTTTTCCTTTCCGTTGTATATTTTTGACGTGTACAAGAGATAATGTGCGTTTAGAGTTCTATACGTGATTTATGGGAACGAGGGGTGTGGTCGAGAGAGTCATGCAGCACAAGGCGCAGCCGAGTGCTGTATGGGTCTCGAGACCACAACCTGAGTTCCCATAAGTCTTGTATAGAACGATAGGACGCATATTATGTGTTTTATTGTGACTTTGTAGCAGTCGTCGCCCTCCAGCGAGAGAAATGCGACGGCATAGCTTACTTCTCATGTGCACGTGCACACTCGCTAGGTTCTCGAGCGAGTTTCTGTTCTCGAGGCTACCGCAATCGAACAAGGTCATGATGGTGGCTCTTTCTCCCTCAGAGAAACTGGTTTCATAGGTCGCTGGGCCGTTTGACCGGTCGGTGTGCCGCGGCCACGGTCTTGCTTGCCACAGGGAGCTGAATGAAGGTGTGTGGTCGCCTCAGCCATCCCTCGCCTGTACAGCCTCTACAGAACAGTCATCCCTCTCCTCTACAGAACAGTTTTTGTCTACACTATGTAATGATAGTTCAATAATTTTTGTATTGAACGTTCAATATTGGCCATATTGAACGCGTGCTACAATATGGGAAATAAAAGTATGAGCGGCAACTTTGATCCGCCCACGCAAGTCACAATAAATCTCTGTACTAAAATCAAAACAATCCTGTATCGATCTACACAGATACACTCACGTCAATTGTAGTTGTGACACTAGATCGATTCTAGTGATTTCTACAGTAAAGGTTTTCTTGTCTTGTTTTGTAGCACATGTTAAAATGGGACCTGTATCCTTGCAGATACTTTGTTATCCACAAGTTGCCTGGTCTGACATTCCTGGACTCCAGAGCTGTCAGCGGAGGTGAGAGGAAGGAGGCCAAGAGGGTCGGTGCTTTCATGAGAGTTGTACGCCCACCAGATGAGACTGTAAGTTCTGTTCAATTATATACTAGCATGTGTCATGTCCAAAGCAATACACCCCATTTTTACGTAACTACTGGGGTGTTGCCGTTCCAAGCGTGTAGAGGTGTGATGTACAACAGAGTGGGCAAATTTTGGGACACATGCCCTTGATTTTGTTAACAGAACTGGCGTACTACGTATGTTTATTCACCAATGCAACATCATTAACCCTCGGCGCACATGAGCAGCGGTATGGTGATTGGTGCGTTAGTTTGTGTGTCCGTCCGTCTGTCTGTTACCACGTTTTCTGCCACCATGCGCAACGATACAACAAAAATAGTGATACCAACAGGTTCAGCGCTACACTGGCTTGATTTTAATTTGGCGAGTTTCGTAAAAGTACTGCGTTCCAGAGTTATGGCATAAAAACCAAGTGAACAAGCATTTATTTACCCTCGGCACACATGCGCAGCGAGGGTTACGGTAGTCGTTTTGTGTGTCTGTCTGTCTGTCTGTCTACGACTATTCTCGCACTACAAGCTACAAGGCGGCTTATGAGCGATACCAACAGCTTTAGCGGTACATGGGTTAGAAAACTAAAATGGCGATTTTGCTGAAACGATTGCGTTCGAGAGTGACAAACTGACACGGTCGTGGACAGCGTTGCGTGGCCCAACCCATCAATAAGCAGTGCGCATGCGTGTATTAGAGGCGTTCAACGCAGTATGCTGGCTCACCTCGACCTGATCTGCTTGCTCTGTGTACCTTGGAGGCACAAGAAGCCACAGCGAAGGGTGTGTATCGACTCTCGCATGCTATCTACTACTGTAGCTACTAGCGGGAGACCGCGAATAAACGCCAATAGCCCAGCCCATCCATTAGCGGTACCGCGCATGCGCAGTTCGCCGAGGGTTTGTACTTTAGTGCTTTTCATTAGTACAGCCTTACCTCGACCGGGTCCACTTGCCCTGTGCATCTTGAAGGCACAAGAAATCACAACGAAGGGCGTGTATCGAATCCCACCTTCTATCTACTACTGTAGCTATAGTCCATGTCAGAGTCTCCGCGACCTACTAGCCCACAAGTAAAAGCTTACTAATAGCCCAGCCCATCAATTAGCGGTATCTACCTTCTTTCTGTTGTGGGAAGTTTTTTCATGAGCAATTAGACTAGAGAGCACTAATAAGTTGTTGCACGTCATATCATTTACAGTTTTCAGAGGCCAGTAAAGTGTCTAAAGAGACTTCTTCAGGGCAGGAATATACACCACTGCCTGCCAGCACTGATACCAGTGGAAACCACAGAGGTATAATACTGTAATGTATGATACTACTTTGTTAATCTAACGCCAAAGCTAACCAATTTTGACGTGATGGAGAATGCTCGTTGCATTGGTAACCTAACTGTAGTAAACACATCACCCACTCTAATGTGCTACACGCGTCATGTCTTCAAGTGCTATATACCACGTTATGTCTTCAACTGTGTATATCACTCTGTCACATGTACAGTACATAGCACGACTCAGTAAAGTTCCAGTTACACTTCAAAGACATGGGAAAACATTCATTGATTGCGGTGTTTAAAGGGTGAAACTGTGTCCGGCATATATACTTGCCTCAATTCCGGCTTGCGAGAGGCCTTCCCTCATCTTTCCCACTAGTCTGTCCCGTGTCAGTGGTTTCCCTTCTTCATATCTGAAGAATACACCTGGCCCCGGGCCTCGCTGCACCATGTAGCCCAGCACTGCTGATACTGGGCAGAAGTCCTGGTATGTCCTCCCCAGGAACACTGTTGCCCCTGCTCGGAATGGGTCAATCTTCGAGGATTTCAACCTCACTTCCAAGTACCGTGGGGCTGTCGTGCTGTCCTCTCGGACGTCCCCATATGCGAGATGTGCTGTAGGGTCAAATGCCGAGTCTGCTGGGATAACCACCTCTCCTGATCGCAGGAACCCGAAGAAGCACATACAAGCTGCTGCCCACAGCATAGCAGCATCGAATGGCGACAGCAGGGCATCCCATGCTTTCCCCAATTTCCTCAGTGTGTCAGGCGTGATCGGAAGGCGTGTCCGCGTTGCTTGAGGGGCCGTTTTCTGTTTGAGGCCCTTAAGCACATACTCGAGCTGCACCATCTCCCCTATGCGTGGGTCCCCCAAGCCGAGTGCTCTCTGGGAATGCCGTAGGGTGGATAAGTAGCTCGTTACTGTGCCCGGTGAAATCCTGTCTTTGTGTAAGTACGCTACAAAGTATTTCAGGGTCTGTTGCGATACGGGAAATGGTTTGGTGATCTGGAACGTTTTGCACATGGATAGGTATATACCGCCTCGTGCCCGACTGGTAGACCCGTCCAGTGGACGGAGCTATTCCGGCTGCAAACAGCTCCTGAACAACTGTGTCCAGGTCCGTGGGGTCCAGTCTGGTCGTTGCACCACTAACAGCTGTACCAACTGGCTGGGTACCTGGCACTAACCCATGATGGCACCTGGGACCTGGGAGAAGAGATGTCCTAGGTTATCCCGGGAGATGGCGTCCGCCCAAGTGTTTTGTACCCCAGGGACATGTACCGCCCATAGCGCAATCTTGAAGTGGGCCCTGATAAAAAAACTCGGGAGGGACTCGGCTGTAACCTGAGTTCACCACCGCCACTGCTCCCTCGTTGTCGCAGTGAGCCGTTACCGCGGACTGTCTCCAACGTGGCCCCCAAATAACGCAGGCCATAACGATGGGGAGCAGCTCCATGGCCAATATGCTGTCCCTCCCCCCCTCCTGGTCGCCCACGGGGGCCGGCCAGTGCCACTTGAGCTGGAACTATTGCAGCGTGGCTGGTTCGATTGCTCCACACCCGACCCTACCGGACGCGTTCGACCAAACGTGGTGTGGCGGTAGGGCTTTCCGATCTCTGGTGATCAATACCACTCCGTTCCAATCCTCCATGAACATTAGCCACCATAGGAGATCCGAATGGAAACACTGGCCCAGTCTAATGTGGTGGTGTGCCTTCCTTGCTCCGGCTAGCAACTCGAACAACCTTCGCATGAATGTTTTCCCTGGACGCACCACCGCGCCGGCGTGGGCCAACTTCCCGACCAGAGACTCTAATTCAACGCGGCGGCATCCTTTCTGACCCTGCCACTGACGGAGGAGGTCCTGAACTTCCTACAGCTTCCCCAGTGGGAGGCGTACCTCCATGCTCGCTGAGTCCAGTTGAAAACCCAGGAATGTAATGCAGGGTGTCGGCCCATCCAACTTCTCGGGTGCCACTGGCAGTCTCAGCTGGCCGAAGACGCCGAGCAGTGTGGCTAAGGCCCTTTGAGCCTGGTTGGCCGATCACCAGAAAAGCGTCCAGATAGTGTTGCACGCAGTCGACGCCCTGCTGCTTCACGATCCATTCGACCGCGTCTGCCACCGCATTAAATATTTTTGGGGCAGACCTTAGGCCAAATGGCAACGCCGTATTGATGAATAGGTCTCCCTCCCACTTCATCCCCATCAACACCCGGTCGTCTGGGTGCACTGGGATGTTTCAGTAGGCGTGTCGTTTGTCTACCTTCGCCATTAGCGCCCCCGGACCTCTCTCTGCCACTCCTCTCGCTGCATCCCATATTCTCACATAGGATAACGAGCATAGCTTCTTCTCCACGCCGTCATTCACACTGGCACCGGCGGGGGATGACAAATGGAGGCCTGGAGGCGCGAGCATGGATTTAATTATTTCCGCCTACCTACCCTGCCCCCCCCCACACACAACAGAATCGAGTCAGATCATTCCGTGCTAAATGGGCCGTACTTAATGTCTGCTACCTTGTATAGTGTCTCAATTAGACAATGGTCCGGTGCCCACTCGTGTGGGGTTCAGTACGGCTTCGCCGGGGGGTTGCAAGACCCCTGTCTGTCATAGCGCGGCCCACGAGAGGGCCCGGCCCGTTGTCCCACGGCAGGGCACTGCAGCACCTGGTGGTTCCCCCCATAACTGCTGCACACGTGTTTGTGCGGGCACCTCGCGTAAGTGCAGCAGTTCAGATTCCTGAGCCGACACGGCTCCCCTGATGGCTCTCGTGGGGCTGGTTTCGCGCCCCTGTCCGGTTTTGGTGAGAATGCCAGCACTAGCGACTCCAGGGTCTTCAGCCGGTCCGAGAGGTTCGGGTCACTCGTCCCCTGCAGTGCGCATTCCTTGTCAGTGTGGGTTGTCGCCAGGCAGAGTTCGCAGCGGGATGTCGACCTGGCCAAACCAGTGAAGCAGGTACTGTAGAGTGTGGCATTGATCTGTGACCATTTCCAATTGCCGGTCAGAGCCACTTGTCTGCGGAAGGTTGCGTCGTAGCGCACCCACGCCAGCCCAGAAAAATCCTGGCTTAGTCTAACGATCCATGTCATGTAAGCCATCAGTTCCGGGATGCGGGAGAGGTCTGGGCGTGACACCACCGTTGTGTAAGTGGCTGTAGCACTGGAGCCATGTGGATATGTCCGTGACCTTCCGGCTCCTGCACGCTCTGGTGTCTGGCTTTCCCCCGTCGTCCTCCTTCGTGTTCGTTCAGAACTCTGGGAGCAACTCCCCCATGTCAACGAACTCTCCTCTCTGTATCTTGGTTGCTAGCTTTGCTGGCACTGGCGGCAGGCCGTCCCTGACGTACACACCCTTCGAGGGTGTGGTGAGGCGCACGTTGGCCCCTGAAGAAGGTTCGCAATCATTGCTGCCGTCGACCCCCCCGGCTGGGTGGTCGTGTTGTCTCCCTCCCCGGTGGGTGGGTCTGCGATGGTAGGGATCCCCTCGAGGGCTCCCGCTGCTGGCATCGTGCCCCGGCCTGCCGACGGCAAAAGTACGTGATAGTTATTGGCTGCTATCCCCGTCTGTAAGTGTTTTAGTGGGAAATGCACCCCGGCGGGTGCTCCCGGTATTCCTCGGGTTCGCCGAGGAGACATTTTACCCCCCTTAACCCCGCTGCCGCTGGGCTGCTCTGCGCTTGCCTGCGTGCTGGTCCCCTCCAGTGCCTTGCTGACCAGTTCCTCCACTGTCGCCTTTAGCTGATCCATGGGGACTGCGTTTTGGGAAGCGGATCCGGCGTCCGGGTCGTCCGCGTCTCTTCTGTCTCTGACGCCCATGCCCGTACTCATGTTTCCTCGGATCAGTAACCGTTAGTCCTCGCCGTGGAGCAGAGAAAGAGAAAAACAGCTGCCGCCCGCTTCTCTGCCACTTTGCGCGCGGTAACATGCCGCTGCTTTCGCTACACGTGTTCTCTCGTGTCCTGCGCATGCGCCACCCTCAACGCCTGCGCCACTCTCTGCGCATGCGCATTAGCCGGAAACCCCCCTATTAACCTGGGTTAATGGTTCCCACTAATCCTCATATAATACATACAGTATAGCGCCTTAATTTCGTTGCACTTAATTTTCACTATTTTTGCCGAAACATCCACCCAAATTTTAATACATGCGGCATGCATTTCATACGTACATAGGTGGTCAAGCAAGACATGACAACATGACAAACTGTGATCATCACATATTGTTTATGTTGTCATGTCTTCCTTGTCATGTCCACCTATACACTTGTGTCTGTAATGTCATCATAACCACCTGGTTGTGTCATCTTTCTTGCCTGACTACCTATTAATTTCTGTGTACGTGTGCATTTTGCCCATTCAGCTGAGGAAGGTCCACGGACCGAAACGTTCTGAGTCTTTTGAAGACTACTGATGCGACAAGCTAATAAATGCCCTCGCAGTAGAAATGATGTGTGTACAACACAAACACAGATAAGACATGTCTTCCTCATTGCAGGTGTGTTTGGACAGTGCAAGTATGTCTACTATGGCAAACACTCAGAGGGCAACAGGTTTATTCGGAACAACCAGTTGTGACTCCACACACCTTACACTATCATTATTCTATGCACGATGTATAGAACTTACACCGAAGTATAATACAACCTTGCATTCTTATGTTGCGTGGTAATGTGAGTTGAAAAAATGGAGTGTTTTACCCATGAGCTGTGTTGAAACCGTTGGCGTGTGAAATTTACGTTATGTCTTCAACTGTGTATAATTATCACAGTACATAGCATGACTCAGTAAAGTTCCAGTTACACTTCAAAGACATGGGAAAACATTCATTGGTAAAGGAATCTCCTGGGGAACTCTGTTCACAAACGTTTGGGAGAAGGTGGTTATACCAATGGCAGTTAGAGCAGATGTGTTCCTACATTCACCTGGCAGTGTTCAATGACGTGCATTTTGGCCATTGGCGAGTACGTACATATATGGAGTATTGGAGCATGGTCCGAAGTGAGGGCTGCTGGTTCTGATGCAGGGGAAATGTGGTTATTGGTATATAGCACAGAGGCCACTGCACGGTCTGCTGCCAATAGCGTGATAGTCACTGCATGGAACAACCCCTTTTTCAATTTGGTTGGCAAGATAGACCTAGTGGAGAGAAGTGTCTCTGTAATTCCACTGTTTCTCCTGCCGTTAGTGGGGTTGGTGGAAACTATTTACATCATAGGCCGGTGCCTCCAAACTTGCTGGCTCCTGGTGCATGTAAATGGGCTAGGGTGAATGCATACATAAACATTCTTGGATAAAGAAGAGCCCAGGTTTGTCAGTGTGGGTGTCCAGTGACCACCTAGCCACTACTATAATACTAAGAGCCACAAGCAGGAAGCGGGTTACAGCCCAATCTACAGGTATGTGGCATACTGCTAAATAAGTATGTCACATCAAAGACATTGTTATTCCATCCTAAGCCATGCTCCAGGGGTGGGCACTAAGAGCTACACACCGCCTGCTGCCTTCCTTGAGTGCATGTGACAAAAACGAGGTAGTACGGCAAAGGTAAAGCACCTCTCAACTCCTTTTTTCCAGAATAAAAAGACCTGCAGTTCGAACCCATGACACTGCTTTCCAGACGAGAGCTCTACAAAGTGAGTATCAAGGCAACTCAGCTGGTGGAGGTACGATTCTTCAACACAATACAACAAAAGACAAAGGCAAACCTCAGACTATTGTGCTATTGCACAGTATACTCTCACTCAGTTGTAGGAGCAGACCTGGGTAATTAAAACCACCAATGACGCCCAACTCTAAACTGAGTATAATTTGTGACAACAACGAGGTAGGCAAAGCAAACAACTCAACTGCACCCAGCTGGACAACTCTTTTTTCGAGGAAGAAAGAAGAGCTGCCCTAAGTGGGACTCAAAGTTGCAGTGTCCTGTCACAATCAGATCACATATATACCTACCAACCTGCAGATGAACCTTTGCTTGAGAAATGTGTCAAATTTGCTTGATTTGGGTTTTTTTTGCTTGTGAAAATGCGGTGTCCATTCAAAATGTATAGGCATGGTGCATAACCGGTAAGCACAAAAGAGGGATTTGGCATTTTTCTGGTGGGATAGGCAGTGTTGTTTTTGCTTGATTATCAAGCAAAAAGCTGGATGGTTGGTAGGTAGGTATGAGATCATAGACTTTGGTTGCGTAACAGTTGTATAATAATATTATAGCTACAGGAAAGTAGCCTAGAGTCACTTTAGACCCATAGTGACCTTACTCACCTTAGCCTTGTTCCCAGGCCTTACCTGCACGATCACCCTGCGTAAACGTGACCGGGTAAGCTTGGAATTCAGGCTATAGTGTTCTTTCGCAGTCGCATTGATGTTATAGATTTTGAATGCAAAGGTGATGGTCAAGTGAAGTGCTATGTACCTTGAACACATTTTGCTGATTTATCGATTTTGGTGGCGTCGATGGTTAAACAAGAAAGGTGATTATCAAGTCCAGGGTTACTATGCTACTTGCTGATTTTGTTAGCCTGTGTCATAGTACTATAATTATCTTAAAGTGTAGCTGCAATGCATAGCTAACAAAATTCTAAACCTACTAAACTACAGCGAGTTTAGTGGTCAATAAAGAAGACAAAAGTGGGGGATGTTGATACAGTAGCACATAGACTAAGTCGAGAGTGGAAAAGGTGGTGGTGGTGGCAGCACCTCTTTCGGGATTATATCACCCAAGGGCCACGGTGCCTCGCCCGCCGATTAGCCAGCTAGAGAACTCCATCCGACGGCAAGCGCTGCAACCTTCGGTGACTGACCGAGGCTGTACCTCTTCCCAATGTTCATGGTTCCAAGGTGCAACTTGCAAATACGCTAGGATTGCTCGTGCACATACTGCTGCATGCCACTGCCTTGTGGACCACCACTGGCGAGCTGAAAGCGTAAGGTAAGTATATGCCGTTCTGCTCACCTGCTTACCGTTCTGCCAATGTATGTAACGGCGGCAGGTACATCTGTTTTGCTTCACGAAAGGAAAGCTGTGCGCCTGGCGGCACGTTATGCAGCCTGAACATTGCGGGCAAATCCCAAGTTGGGTCGCTCCCGCTCGCCAACAATGTTCAACATTTCCACTAGTAATTGCCGAGCGCGTTAGCGTGAGGCAACTACTATACTCCGGGCGGGTTTGGGTATGCGCGTACGTACACGTACACGTGTCGTCACGCTTAAGAATGTCAATTAGTGACGATTTGGAAGTGTAACTTCCGTCATTCGTAGGAAGTCTAGCTTCCGCCGTGCCCGCAGATTCGTAGGAAGTTTAGTAGAGCGCGCGCACGAGCGGCCTCAGATCAGTCGGATCGATCGGATGACTGTTTACGCTGGCCACGCCAGGCCCACGGCTGTTCCGCGCGCATTGAAATCCGGCACTCTGTTCGCGGGGATCCGGAAACGCCCTGTGCGCGCGCCGCGCTAAAAGTATAGCAACCATGCGGCTATTCGGGTCAAGGATCATGTGACGACAGTAGCGCCTTACCCGTGAGCCGGGCGGACCTAGCAGTCCCAAGAACGACCGTGATCTGCCGTTTTTCGCCCGAGTTATGAGCCGCTGGATAGTAGGAGTAAAATGGAAGTTGCTAGTGGTGGAGATGGTTGCTATGTGCTTCTCCAAGCTCTAGTTTCAACTGACAACCGGGGCAGATAGGACCGTGGCAAGCTATCTGCTCTCGTATGCATGGAACACAGGCCAAGTGGTCGCAGTGAAGCTGGACTGGCCTGTCAACGATTGCCTGGCACACGATGCAGACTACTTCCTCTCCTAGATGGTGGGAGGCAGCTACGAGACGCGATGGGCTGATGCCACTAGCGAAAGATGCTCCAGCTACTTGGAGGAGAGCGTCAACAGTTGCAGATGCCGGTTCCCCACACTGTCGCCCCACTGGGTGCTGTTTATTTGGGCGCCCACCACGGAGAGTGCTGGTGAAATGGGCACAAGCACAAGAGGAACTATCTGTGTGGGGTGTCCACTCAAAAAGAATGGGTCTGGTGCGGTTGAAAGCCGAAGCATTTTCGGCAGCCTTGATCCGCCTCATCTTGGAGGTACATGCGTGACACACGTGTGGTGGATGTACGTCTGGATCATCCTGGTCTGTGTTGACCTCATAGCAGATTGAAATGAGTTCTTTCTCCTTGCTCTCCTGTCTAGTTCCACGTCCAAAGCGCTTTACACAAACTCTGCAGTGCTTCCCCAGCTGATCCTTGTGGAATTCAGTAGCTTCGGATGAGCTCATTTTGGGATTTTATCTCTGAATCCCAAAAAAGAGTCCAGGACTGTATTGGACTAATCAGTGCTGGTGAAGTACTGAATGAAAAGCACTTGAAAGTGCATAACCCTCGCCACTTTATTCTTTATTCAGCCAATGGCTACTAGCTACACTACTTCAGTTTTTGCCACATGCGTAGTTACTACTACAGCAAAGTGAAAAGCACTGGTCTTGACAACCCTCACCACTATTCAGCTACATAGCTACGCTACCTCAGTGGCTCCTTCACTGAACGGATTCACTGGGGCGTGTGCTGCTCTAACTTCACCTGCAATCAACTGTACTATCAATACAGCCAGACCTCCACACACGCAAAGAATCTAGCATTATACAACAATGGTTCGCGATCTCTATTTGACGCACACCCACCTCGGCAGCCGTCCGTTTCACCAGCTTCCCCCAGGCTTCTCCGCTCCAGAATCTTATTTTACCATGCATTCCTCCTAGTTGAAAATATGTCCACGTTTGACGCTCAGAGTTGCCGCGGTTACCGAGAAAAACGGAGGACGGACGGACGGACGGACGGACGGACGGACACACGCACACACACACGCACACACACACACACAGACAGACCGACTGCAATAACCCTCGCTGCGCATGCGCGCAGGCGAGGGTTAATAATCAGTAGAGGGCGAGGGGCGCTGTGAAAAAACTTGCGCGAGTCGGATAATCCACGTCGAACTCAGTGTGATGCATCGATGCGGGAGAGACGCGAAGTACTAATTTCATATGCGCAGCTGTTCGGAGTGAGTTTGTATACTGCGCAAACACGTTGCTATGGCCTCGTAGGAAGTACTCTAAGTGCGAAAATAACCAAAGTGATTATAGCTCTTCCGGAAACGGTGGGAGAACCATAGCAACTGACCGCTCGCACGCGCGCCCGCGTTGCTATACAATTTCTTGGGTACGTTTTCGCGCATGCGCATTAACCGAGTGCCAATTAGAAAGAGCCGTGGGCCATGGCACGGCGGCGCGAGGAAAATATGCGCGTGCGGCTTCCGATCCTAGTATTAATTGCTTTGGGCGGCGGCGTTGCTAATCACCATTTTTGGTTTGGCTTACGAGCTATATTATTATGATACGACCTATATACGCAGGCCAGCACGGGCCAGCAGTCGAGTCATCATGATGGATTTGGTTGTAATTGTTTTGCTAGCAATTTTGACCGTGGTAGTAGCATTTACCTTGCAGCGAAGGAGCAGTAAAACAGCCCTATCTTCAAAACTTATTCCAGGATGGGATAAGAAACCTGCTGATCTGGAAACGGGCGATCTCGAGGTAGCCCTTTCGACGGGCAGTCTCGGTGAGTTTTTGATACAGAAGCACAAAGGCGGAAAATGTCCCGTAACTTCGTTTTGGTGGCGTGATAGGCGCGTCGTGAGCGTGTGTACTCAAAGGGCGTTTAAGGAGACGGCGCACATTTACGACAGGCCTAGGCACATATTCGGACCTTGTTTTGAGCCTCTTCACGGTGCGTGGAGTATTCAATCCCTTAATGGAAAAGAATGGAAAGAGAGAAAAAACCTCCTTCACAAGACTGTGAGAGGGAAAAATCTGGAGGAATTCTTCTCAGACATTGTGCAGGTAGCCCAGGAAAGAGCCCAAGTATGGCCGACTGGCACTAATGTAGCACTCATGACAGAAATGTTCCAAATGAGCCTGAAGTCTATTGTTTTCACTTCATTTGGAAATATATTTGAAGATAATAGTGGCCTTGAACAGCTTGCCTCTTTGTATCACATCTGCAAGTTGGAAATGGACAAGAGAATTTTGAATGTGCCAAGTTCAGCCAGTGCACGTGAGATGGATTTTCAAAATAGTTTGAAGGACTTGCAAGGAATATTGAAAGAAATGATACGTGTGCGTCGAGAGGATGGAGGCGGTAAACCGCTTCCACTGCTTGATGCTCTGCTTGAATCGAGTGGTCCAGAGGAACGAATACTATCAGATATGACTACGTTTCTTGGTGGTTTTCACACAGCTACGTACTATGCGACATGGGTGTTTTTCTTCCTTGCTCAGCATCGTGATATACAGGAGAAAGTACTGGAGGAAGCGAGGCAGAAGGTAGGCAGTTGCTGTGGAGAGAAACTAAAGGCTTATGCACTTTCATCAAGTACCTATCTCCGACAAGTTTTAGACGAAGCTCTGCGAGTAAGTACCACTGTCCCATTTTCTGCTCACCTTTCCAATGAAGATACGGTCATCGATGGCTACTGTGTTCCGGCTAACACTCCTATTGTCCATGCAATTTGCGTATCACTGAAAGATGAAGCGGTGTGGAAGAATCCCGAAAAGTTTGACCCAGACAGATTTGCGCCTGGGACACAGCACTCCAAAAGAGGCCATGAATTCCGTCCATTTGGTATCCCACATATTAGGCGTTGTCCAGCCAATCAGTTTGTCTACTTTATGGTCTCGATTTTTGTTGTCATATTCCTCCAGCGCTTTGTGCTACTTGTGGACGCTACAAATGATCCTCAAAAGAAATACGGAATTGCAACATCTCCAAAGGAGAACTTGCTAATCAAAGTTGAGTTTAGAGAGAATCATGAAAATACACATTAGATGTTATATGGCAGCTCTGAACAGCATATCTATAGTGTACAAGTTTAATCATCTGAATGTAGATGAAATTTGGTATTGACTGATATCAGTCACTTTACCACTAAAATATCAACACCTACATAAATTCCATGCTGCTGTGTAATGCACCCCCTGGAGTCTTATTCCACTACCACAGAGACTAATTTCTGTAAGGGCTACAGCCACACCTGAAGCCCGTTTTCATTTCCCGACACAGTACAGCAAACACTGTAAACAACAACGAATAGCCTCAGGCAATTTCATGTAAAATTACTTCTTTACTCCTCAACCTTGTTTGCGGTAGCACACGTGAAACTTGGTATGCCCGCATACTACATCGCTTCCAATACAATCACGTATTGCTTGAACAGCAGCGAATAGCCTCAGGCACTTTTCTTCATTACTTCTTCACTACTCAAACATATTAAAGGTAGCACGCATGGAGGTGACACTTGGTACACATTGTGTATTACATCGTTTCCATGACGAGCACTTATTGTTTGAAGAACAACAAAGCCTCAGGCACTATTTCTTCTTCAATCCTTAAACTTGCTAACGATATCATGCACGGAGATGTAACTTGGTACGCATGTATTAAGTCGTTTCCATGACAACCACTTATTGTTCACTCATTGAAATTACCTCTTCACTCCTCAAACTGGCTAACGAAAGCAAGCATGGACATGTAACTTAGTACACATAAGTATTACATCATTTCGATGCCGACCACTCATTGTTTTACACAGGAAAAACACCCCGTTTTGGCGGAGTTTGACGGACTCCAGCGCATGCGGTCGATCCGGTAATTTCGCGGATAAGAACGGGAGTTGCAATGTCGCGGATCACTCCGGGTTCCGCGCTGACCGCTTGCGCGTAGTTTATCGCGGGGATCGCGATGCACTACGTCTTTGGCGGATACCGGGAGGAGGCAGCCGCTGGGTAGAGGAGCCGTTAACGAAAGAGGCCGACCATGGCGACGTCTACGCAGCCTTCGAAGTATATATAGTGCCCTGATACACACTTTCTCAGAAATAGTCATAGATATTTCTGTTTTCTTGTCATCCATACTTTGTCGCTGTGATTCATCCGCTGTGATTCATCGGCTGTTGCAGTGGTTCCTTGTAACTCATACTGTGGAATTTGAAATATTTACTCTGTGTGCAGTGGCCTCCTCCATTCACATGGCGTAGCGCATTGTGATACGAATTTAATATATAGTTGTGTACAAAATTAATTGTAAATAAGCTATAGCTGATAGAACTATTGCAGATACTTGTTCACTACTCCAGCTCTTCAGGACTCTCCTTATCTGTATAACACTAATAATAATTTAATAAACACTGTAGCTAACTTACCGTTAGAGTATATACAAAGGTGAAAGATATTCGTTTACTCTCCAGCCAGACAAAACGTTTTTGCTCTCTTGCTACAGAGAGATTTCATAAATGTATTGATACCAAGTTCTTGCAGCACACTAGCCGAAAGATGGGAGCATCTTAGCTGTACGAACAAACAACACATGCACACATACTCTGCCAAAAGATGGGTGCATCTTGGCAGCGCACTAGCCGAAAGATGGGAGCATCTTAGCTGTACGAACAAACAACACATGCACACATACTCGTGCCAAAAGATGGGTGCATCTTGGCAGCGCACTAGCCGAAAGATGGGAGCATCTTAGCTGTACGAACAAACAACACATGCACACATACTCGTGCCAAAAGATGGGGTGCATCTTGGCAGCGCACTAGCCGAAAGATGGGAGCATCTTAGCTGTACGAACAAACAACACATGCACACATACTCTGCCAAAAGATGGGTGCATCTTGGCAGCGCACTAGCCGAAAGATGGGAGCATCTTAGCTGTACGAACAAACAGCACATGCACACATACTCGTGCCAAAAGATGGGTGCATCTTGGCAGCGCACTAGCCGAAAGATGGGAGCATCTTAGCTGTACGAACAAACAACACATGCACACATACTCGTGCCAAAAGATGGGTGCATCTTGGCAGCGCACTAGCCGAAAGATGGGAGCATCTTAGCTGTACGAACAAACAACACATGCACACATACTCGTGCCAAAAGATGGGGTGCATCTTGGCAGCGCACTAGCCGAAAGATGGGAGCATCTTAGCTGTACGAACAAACAGCACATGCACACATCTTGATCTAGTGTACACACACCCTTGTTCTGTCAGTCATCAAGCAAGAAATGTAGGTGCAGTCATTGTTTAACTAGTGGTTTGCAGGGTGTGTACAATTGTATGAAAGATAATTGTAAACACTCTTTGTTCACTTTTACGACATTAGTTCAAGTGAAAAAGAGTACTCCTTTATTCCAAGGTATGAAGAAATAAAGCTTTCCAAACTGAAGTTGCCACATGTAAAGGAAGGGTAGAAAGTTTGAGGAGTTAAGAAGTAAATTTAAAGAAATGTTCCTGAGGCTATTAGTTGTTGTTTACAAAGGGTGAGAATTTCCCGTGAAAAGAGGCTAAGAGGTACATAGTTTAGAGGTGTCATTAGCCCGTCAATTATTTGGTGTCGATATAATTTGGCTTCCAAGACCAAAAAAATTGTACAGATTCACAATTAACTAATCCTGTGAGTTTCATTAGCACAGATCGCAGACTGTTACTGATAGTATGGCATTACTGCAACCTCAAGTTCAGGGACCAGCGTGTCACTAGACTTTGCTTGCTTCATGAATGCCATGTTGGATCATCTTGAGGACCTTCCGATCCCCCTCCCCTCCCACCACCCCCTGCACTGTGTGGGCGGAGTTTCCCACTGCCTGGCAACACGACAATGTCGGTACACCTGTCTCTTCGTCCACCTCTGTCTGCAGAGGTTGTCCTGAAAACATGTCCTGAAATCCGCGTGTCCTGATACTTTACCTTCAGTGTTACTAAGCAACAGAGGAATCTCTGTTGGTCTCCTATCACTATGGCATCGCTAATGAGGGGGAGCTCCCGTGTAATTGCCTCCTCTATTGGACGTGGCGGGACCTTCTCTCCACTGGCTGTGATAATGATCTCTTTCATCCTACCTGTGATGTACAGATACCCCTCCTGCATGGGGTGGGGGAGAGATTGAAGTACGTTATCCATAACCAACATTTGTGAAGTGCTCAGAACAACAATATTATCACAGATAAAGTGACGAAAATGCAGTTGCCCTGCTGGCATGTCATGCTAGAACCAAATTATTCCCGAAAAATACTTTCATATTCATGCGAAGTAATCAGGAGAAGCCTCATTTATTCATTTAGACTTAGTTTTTGAGTCACAGAATGTCGTGCATCTGATTCTCATATACTCAAAATAATTTAACGAAGAAGCAACCGGGAGAAGGAAGAAAGATCAAGAGAACAGAGCAGGTGTTTGAGAACACCACATGTAGTCTAGAGAAGGAGCAACTGGCATGGCTGAGAGATGCAGACGGACCCTCACCTCAGATAGATATCCGAGATCTCAAGAGCGTAGCCAGCCGTCGCTAGTCAGTACCTCGCTGGTTGCCACGGTGTTTCCCATGTAGCCCATGAAGACATGACGACCACTCACTAGGACCTCCCCTACTCCCTGGAGACGTAGAGAGAGGGAGAGAGAGGGGGAGAGAGGGGGAGAGAGGAAGGAGAGACGGAGAGAGAGGAAGGAGAGAGGGGTTAGAAACACACATTTACGTAAATTGGCTCATGTGGTGGTGTGCTCTTATTAAAGAACTAACTCACCATTTCTCCCTATGGGTTGTCAATGGTAACCTTGATTCCTCCAAACGGCCGACCACTGGACATGAACCTGATCTTGTCTGACGTGGTGAGGGTCGTTGGACCTGTACAACATACACGCGTGCAACCATAATGGTGTGTATAATAATACTGAGACTGTATAATTATATGCAGTATATTGTGTATCTGTAGGTAATATGTATAGAGATTGTTGGAACGAACAAAACACATTATTGATGAGTGAGCACGAGAGTCACACACATGAAGACTACAGCATTACGATAATATTTCAATTCCGCATAACTATTATACCTACGCTTATTTAGAATCACGTAGAACACTTTTGGTAAGGGTGGCAGCATGCCATAACATACACATGGTAGAGAAAATCAGACGACTAGGTACATGCATGTAGGTTCACTTTCCTAGCCATTAAAACCCGTGGTCTCACTCATGCCATATATCTCATGTACAGGGATGTTGATATGCTACTATGTACAGAGACAGTATGTTGTATACAGTACCTGTGGTCTCACTCATGCCGTATATCTCATGAACAGGGATGTTGATGCTCATGAAGTAGGTGAGCGTCTCTTGCGCCATGGGGGCACCTCCGGCCATGGGGAAACGACATCGATCCAGGCCCAGCGCCTGTCGCACTTTCTTGAAGAACACGACATTGACTATCGTCCAACCAAATGGAGTTCCTGATCCTCTAAATTAGAGGCAGAGAGAAGAAGAGGAAACATATAGGGATAAAGATTAAATTTCTTACGCCAAAAATCGTTCTCACTTTAAAAAACTGGCATCGGCTAGTTTAGCATGCTAAAATGACACTAAGGAAAATTTCTTTGCGTTTTCTAGGTATATTTTAGCAATGATTGTACTGTACTGATCATAATCAACCAATCAACCAATCAACCAATGAACACGTGCACTTTAAGAGTAATAGAGAGAGACAGACCCCAGCTGTTTGTTGTAGTTTGGCCCTGAAGCCAACGTTCTTGGCCAACGATGATATCCTGGACTTGAGTTTGCCCTGAGTGCTGGCCACCAGCTGGAGACTCTCCGCTATCTTCTCCCACACCCTGACATTACAGGCAAAGAGGGACAGAGAGGTAATTCAGCTAATAACTTATGTCTTTCATGAAAAAATGCCAAAACAAGGAATTTTAGCATTGAAGAAAATGCTAGGATAGTTTATTAAAGAGCAGCTAACACCACATCTGTCTTGCAAGTTCGCCATGATAAAATTGAGATGAAGATGATGCTAAAGACAGACACACAGACCTGGGCACCCGGAGAAAGATGGTGGGTCTAATTTCCTTCATTGTCTGCAGCAGGGACCCCACACTCTCTCTGGTACACTTGTATCCCATCCTGACAACAATACATGTTATGTATATACATCTGTATGAGTACGTGAGTGTGCACCTCTCGTCCTTAGCCACAGTACACCAAACACAGGCATAGGTTGAGTTGGCTTTGTTGATCCCCATCATGATTGCCAAAACTGTGGTTTGCATTATGCATTGCATTAACATAGGGATTTGTGCCGATTTATAACCTTGTAGCCTGAACCAAATACAATATCCAACTGGATCTCAGTGCCATGGAATTGGTGTTGTATTAGCTCTTGCAGCTCTCTCCACACTGGCGCGAAGCATGCCTTGAGAAACTCATACTCCTCTGGTCCTCTCACCGAGGCTAAGGTGTGGTTTTCTGTATGCCATACATTGTAATCTAAAAACATCCATTAACCTATAGCAGAAAGGACGTTTTCTGAAAGGCCAGGGAAGCTGAAGGTCAGAAAGACCATGGTGGCAGACGATGCAATGACTGCACCATCTCCAGAAAACTTGACAACGACAGTTGGTGGTGGTGCCTGTACTCCAAGTTTTACCAGCTGAAAGGTGACAAAAGTGCGTGTTATTGTAATAAATTACGTTTTTCTCACCGTTTCCCTAAGGGCCTTTTCCACTATCTTCTTCACGTTCATGTATATACCTCCCTACATAAGACTGTGGGAGACTGAGAATTTCTATCTCGCTGTTCATAGCCTTTCACAGACCCTTGATGTTGTAGAGACGTGGCATTTCTGGAAATATCTGTATGTAGTCATGTAACTTTTGTGTTGTGTGATGTACTGTACTCTGTAGTGTGCTTACCTGAGCTAGTTTGTGATAAAACTCATCAGACACTGCAAAGCGATCCAGGAGGAAGAGTGCCTTGGCTCTGCTGTCTGTTGGTGCAGGTTGAGTCGGTTCTGTGATGGTGGCCGGCCTCTCGGAGAAGGGGATCCTGAGCAGCTTTCCATCACTGGTTTTTGCTGTCAGCATCACTGGTGTCAGCCCATGAGATGTCACACGTCTCAACCGTGGACGACATCAATGTCTTGATGTCACGCACCTTCCTCCGTTTTTGTCTCTCGGCGACCTTTTAAGAACACAAGCGAGTTACAGTATTACTTGGTGTTTGTGCTTTTTAAAAAAACTTAACCTCATGATAAGCTCTTCCTTTGTTTTTTGTGACCCGGAGAGCCTGCTGTAGTTGTTTTTTTCTCTCTCTCCTCGTTCTCCAGTAGGAACTCTAAGGCCTCCTCCTCCAGTGCCGTCTGCTCTTCGGTGTTGTTTTGTGTATTAGTGGTGTTAAACTTTCCCCTTACCTGTTCTAAATTTTGCTTCACTGCTGCAATGTCCACAACATCACCTTCCTGTAGGGTAATCCTTGTCTTCCCCTCTCTAATTTTCTTCTTTGCAGACCCTCCCTTCGACTTCGAGAACATGTTGTGCAGAGTCCCAAGAAGCCGGTCAAGAGCATCCTGGAGACATTTACTGCTGGACTCTAGCTGAATGACCTTTTGCTTCTCGTTTAGTGCTGCTATTGGCTCCTTCCCTTTCTGCCTGATCTCCAACAAAAAATTATTGTTTACTTCCAACGCGAGTAGTGCAGAAGCCGCAAACTCAGCATTAGCGCTGACCACATCCGCCACGGAAACTACTCTTACAACGGGGGTTTCCGCCATCTCTAGCTGCACAATGAAAGAGTAATTTTCGCGCTCAAGTCTAGTCTCGTGGGCCTGGGAGCTGGTTTCTTGGCCACGTACCTAAGCCCAGTGAGCGTTCATCTCAGCTTTTCTTTATCATTGGGGATCGCTATGAGTGTTGTGTATATATAGAAGTAGTGGAACCGAAGTATAGAGGATCTATCCGGTTTATGCACCGTGTGTTGGTGGTCTGAGATCTATTCGGCTCCACACCACAGGTGATCTCTTATTTGGTCGTTTAAACCTTTCTTTTTTAAGATCTAGGTTCTCTTCTGCAATGGCTCGGTCTACTGTAATAATCTTAGCCGGTTACTCATAGAGGTGGGACCGTCCTCGCCGATCGATACGTTCAGTAGGCCACCACAGGCAACTTGAAGTGGACATCTTTAGCTAAAAGTTAGCTTAGAAACCAGATGAACAATCTCATCTAGCTTCTAGGGCTAGCCAGGCTTAGCCAGTGGTACGTTCCTGAAAGTTTCCGTCGGCTCTCCGAGCCCGCTCTGTATGTACTGTATTATAATAATTATACAAAATAAGCGATTTTCCCCTGCATCTGGCCTAACCCATGTAGGCTTTGGCTGTATATTTTTGAGAAACAGCTTTTAACTTGATGCTCAGAGAGTCAAAATACAAATACCAAAAAATTTAAAACGGGTATATACTCCGTGAAATTTTGATTGAAAAGTACAGCGTGGTGAGGTGCACAGCCGTTCGTGTCTCTGGCCTAGCCTGTAGAACTGCAGTTGACTATCTGTTGGCTTAGTGGAGGTAGGTAATGGTTGATGAATATCTTCAGATGGTCGGAGGTTTTTTTCCTGCTTATAGAAACGTAGAAAGACATTTTGGCCATTTATGTTTTCCCTCTGGGTTACGTCATTCGTCGTAAATAATAATTATTATTGCGCGTGTCCGCGCATTCCTGGTATTGCTGCACCGATCCGAAAAGAGAGACCAGCTCGCTACGGCACCGAGGAGAAGACACCAGCTCGCTAAAGTGTGCTGAAGGGACGGCTGTCGAGAGGATGACCTTTTCTGATTTTACCTGTGCCGAGGATCTGACGAGGGCCTTCGGGAACACCTACGTCGCCCGCCCCACTAGAAAACCGCCTTCCACTGTCCTACCGAGGTTCGTCAGGGCCGATATGACAGACACTGAGTGGGGCGCCGCTTGCGAGGCCTACACGAGTTCTTTCACGGAGGGGGACATCAACGGCATCACAAGAAGCCACGAAGTAGAAGGGCCCCTGAGGCCCTTGTTCGACTTTATAGCCCTGAACGCTGGCCCTGGGCTGTTCAAAAACGGGGCGGGAAAGGTTTTCATTTACGAGTTGCTAAAGATGTTCCCCCACCGGCTGTACAACATCTGTTTATCACAACTGCCCACTCGGGTCCGATTGGTGTGGGTATCGCCATGACAGCAAGGATCCTGTGCCAAAAACAGGGGGAGGGGCTTTAGCAGCTGCTTGAAGCTATGCAGAAGGAGGCCAATGTTAGGAGGAAGTGGCCCCTTGGTAAGTCATTTGTAAAATGTATTGGGAAACGTGTGGGGGGTACGAAGAGATAGTCTACTTTCCTAGCTTCATACCGCATGACATGCATTTTAAGCCTTGCATGTGCTCCTGGTGTATAATTGTATTCTTTTTTGCAGGTTTCCTTGCTTCACTGGACACACTGACGGTGGTGGAATTCGACAAGATAACACAAAAGAAGGAGTTGGAATTTGGCAGGATGATACCAAAGGTGTATCTGTGGATCTTTTCGTTCATCACACACAACCTCGATGACCTGATGGGGTTTGCTGACAAGGTACTCAGTCCATTTCTGGGACCAGCAGGATCAAGCCTAGCATCGAAACAGCTTGGGGTTGTCACGAGGAGGACGTCGAGGCTGGAGATAGAGGATCGCAAGGAGAGGAAATATAGAAGAGACAGCGACAGCGTCAGGGAGAAGGCAGCTGTAGCTGTCCAGAAAATATCGGAAGCTGCAGCTGTCCTGAGTGCCCTCCTGTATATAGGATGTATACTGGAACTCTTGAGCCTAGACTTATTCATCTTATTTCCCCTGTTCCTCCACCCCTCAGTTCACTTGTAATCTCAGTTCACCTAAAACACTGATAATGTTTCACACTCAGTGAAGGACAAAAGTTGCAAGAATCCCACAGTGTTAGCATAAACAATTTTTCAAGGGCTAAGGTGAAGTCAAATAACACCAGAGTTCATATCAAGTACACACAAAACCTGACCATAAGAGGCACGTTCTCGCTGAGATTGCATGCGGAAGTAGATAATGAGGAGGGTGATATATTCTAGCCGTATGTAAAGTATGCCGTAGAAATGTATGGGATTATGCATAACGTGCATAGCGGGAAAAAAACTATGCAGCGGATTTGAACGGGGTAAGCGCTAAACGAACTGGAGTGTGAAGCGCTACATTTTGATACCAAGCGTGGCTGCATACGGTGCTGGAATCAGAAGTTATTCTAGATTTTCAAGGTGCATTCTAAGCGTGAAGGTACTTTAGTGCAGCATGTATCCACAGACAGCATACAATAAAAAAGAGGTAAAGGACCCACTCCCACAGATATGAAAGGGTAGAAGCTGCAACATATCCTCAGAACTGTATCTGTATATACATACCTACATAGGAGGCAAAAAGGCGGGAAACTTCACAGTTTCAGAAAGCTTTATCTTGGAAGTTTGTGGGCAGGATCGTTTGTATGGCTGGGCAAGCAATCCAAGAAAGTAAGTTTGGCACTGAATTTTGAAGTGTTTTTCTTGAATGTTGTTGATGGGGACACAAGTGTCCATGTTACTATGCATAATGTGTGCCACCACCAGTATAAAAACACAACAATGTTTGTAATGACTCCAACACTTAGTTGCTTTGTTGGTTGCTGTACAATGGTTCTGCACAGAAAAAGTATTGTGTTTCAAATAGTGCCCCCTTACCCACTTTGACCCTCTACTGCCTGTTATGTGAAAGTGTAGAGTTGGTTGCTTTGTGTGACATGCAAGTGTATATTTCCTTTTCCGTCTATTTTTGCCTAATTCCATGGCTCACAGAAGTCCAGAGGGGAATGTTTGGAAGACGAGACTGTGGATTGCTGGGACTGCATTTGAACACTTGGGAGAAGTGTACTAAAAATGATGGCTCACTGTATATTCCAACACTGATTTGCCTAATAATTTACTTGCCAAATCGAGCCTCTCCTACATTTTCATGCTCAAATCAGCATTCCTGATATATTTTGCTTACAGTACCTCGTGAACTTGCTCATTGTGTCAAATACACTTCTCCACAAAGTGGGTTCTTCTTTCAGAGTGTGCGCCCCCATTGCCCCCCCCCCTTTGCAAAGTCTGCCTATTGTGGATTTCACAAAGTTGCCTAAGTGCATAGCACCCCCTTGGTGGGTCCTTTGTTTGTTTTGTTTACATGAAGGTTTGTTCCCTTTTCAAAATGTCAACCCCTGATGCTATGTTGTGCGAAACATTTGGGGAAGAAAGCAATTTAAAAATTCAATGCAAACTATAATAAACTGTCGCAGATTGTAAAGCCATTGCCGGAAACATGCACCAAACATGAAATAGGGAGAAGTCACTGAGTGTATGTGTCAAGCACAATGCCTTTATAAAAAGTGGGGCCGGCTGATGAGTCCTCCCACTATAAATATGACGGACGAAAACCATCTTTTATGGCTAGCCATAAAACAATCTTATGGCTAGCTATACCCCAGAGATGGTTCCAGGCTTTTTTGCCTTCCACAGGCATGTACAGTTCTGTGGACATGTTGCAGCTTCTACCTTCATCCTCTCTGTAAGGGTGAGTCCCTTTACCTCTTCCCTGCTTCTTTGTCCGCCTGAAAATACATACTGCACTAGCAATGTACCGTTCACCGCCAGGTTGAGTGTATACTTTACGAACTCTGGGTGTTGAGAGTAGTGGAAAGCACTACTGGCAGCTTAGATCTGGAAATTCTTTTTGCCCTGTCCAACAGCAATCACACTTAGAGTATTCTATACACTTATGTAACACACACACACACACACGAGGTAAGCCGGTGCTAATTAGCATATTGGCATGTTCATTTGGTTTTCACGCCATAACTTCTGAACGCGGCACTTTTACGAAAATGCCAGTGTAGCGCTGAACCCGCTGGTGTCGCTATTTTACCTGTTTGTTGCGCGTGGTGGCAGAAATCGTGGTAACAGACGGACAGACAGACAGAACGACTACTGTAACCCTCGCTGCGCATGCGCGTGCCGAGGGTTAATTATAGACATCACCCACAAACCCACTCCCCCTTTATGAAATTCCATACCTAGTAGAACCAAGTCCCCCAGAGAGCCCAAGGTGTGTGATTGTAATTACTTCAATACAGTACTGTAAATGCGTATATATTGAGTCTGTGACATTGGATGTGTGGGGAGAGTTGGCTAGCCATAAAAGATCTTTAACCCATCGTCCCCAGTTCTCAAGGCTGGGCATCTATGTCCTACTCTTGTGCTTGTATACGTACAATTTACACACGCACTGTTCCACTCTCCAAGTCAGAAGGGTCTCCACCCACCCCCCACACACAAAACCGAGTTTAACACAAAACATGTACACAGTACGAGAGCAGGACACCAGATGCCCGACCTGGCGATGTACGTGTCATAACACTGCAGGACCTCATAGTCAGAGCCATTAGAGGGAGAGATGGGGGTGTGCCTGCAACAAAACAAAACACGCAGGTAATAAGCAGGACAGTACTGACAGTACTGGCCTGGCAGAATGTGTCATATCTATGCCACTGTGGAATGATATCATACATACAATTACAGTTGCTAACTGCACTGCTGAAAACCATACATATTTTGTATACACATAGGGCCCTACCTAGGAAAGGGTGGTGTGGTAGCATATTGCTTTTGTGTGTGTGTGTGTGTGTGTGTGTGTGGGCAAACCATTCATGATGCTTCTGTGGTAAACAACGTACAGCCAACTTGAGTGTTGTTCTCCATAACTTGGACATGGGACTACATAATTATTTATGCATGTAGAAAAACCATGTGATGCCAAGAGAAAAAAGGTGCGGAGCTGTTTCGGCTTGTTGGCCCTCATCAGCAGAGCATACCACAACTTCTCTCTCTGGCATCAAGAGTTTATAAAGGCTGACATGAGAGCAGCTCTTGTGGTTTTCATCCCCCACAAGGCTTTGCCACTGGTATGTGCTGCTGACCACGCCCAGACATTCGTGGTTTGGAGCCTAGGCACCTCCCCACTCCTGCAGGTCAAGGTCAGCACCAGCCAAAACCAGATTTCAAAATACTGCCATAGTGGATTGGGCCTCCCAATGAAGCCAGCAAGCACCCACATCCTGCCAGTGCATAAAAACCATGTGATGTCAAAGAGAAAAAAGATGGGAGCTCTGGACAGATGTTTCAGGCTTGTTGGCCCTCATCAGCAGAGCATACCACAACTTATCTCTCTGGCATCAGGAGTTAATAAAGGCTGACATGAGCCAGCTCTTGTGGTTCTGAACTAATGAGATTCATCCCCACAAGGCTTTGCCACTGGTATGTGCTGCTGACCATGCCCAGAGATTCGTGGTTTGGAGCCTAGGCCCCTCCCCACTCCTGCAGGTCAAGGTCAGCACCAGCCAAAACCCGAATTCAAAATACTGCCATAGTGGATTGGGCCTCCCAATGAAGCCAGCAAGCACCCATATCCTGCCAGTGCATATAAACCATGTGATGCCAAGAGAAAAAAGATGGGAGCTCTGGACAGGCTTGTTGGCCCTCATCAGCAGAGCATACCACAACTTCTCTCTCTGGCATCACGAGTTTATAAAGGCTGACATGAGCCACTTAACCCCATTATTTCCCCAATGCACTGGAGTGCAGTTCCACAGCTGGGAACACATCTACTCAATACTTCACCACAATAATAGGGCTTATATTATGGTGAAAACACAAACAGGAATAATTATAGTATCATAGTTTACAGATCATGTTATATATTATGCCATTCCACACTCTTGTATATGTTTGTCCAGCACAATGCCCGAATTCCCTATAAGCCAAAGAGGCTGAACCCTGGACCTGGCAGTCCATGGGGGTATGTATCTATGGAGCACTTGGCACATTATATATACAGGTTATTGGCCAGTAGTAGCACCCACTTAGATGTAGTTTAACAGTATGTTAACGAGTTAAGCGGAAGTAGCCGAGCGCCCCGCAGCGCGCCACGGTGCATGACCAATCGGTATGAGGCGCACGCGGCCAGTACGCGCATCTGCGCCTGCGCCCAGACGAGACCACGGTGCGACGGTTTCAGTTTCAAAGTGAATCTTATACCGGACGGTCTCGTCCTACTTTCGCATCGTCTGAGTTTTTCTGCCAGGATTAAGGCCTTTTGCTCCCTTAGTCGCCCCTTGTCGTTCGGGGGTCCGTGCCTCGTTCAGGCATGTTTTTTCCCTCTGAGTATCCGCCAGGGGCCGGCGAGCCCGGTACTGTTTTTCACGCTGGCCGATCCTCGACAACAAGACTGGACCACGAACCTGCGTCCGTCGGAGTTCACACCTCACGTCCAAGTATAGTCCAACAGCAAGGGGGAGGGGGTACCCGTCTTCCCTTCGTTCTCTCCCGCCATCCGTCAGCGCGATTGCAACCAGGCGTCTGGCTGGCTGCTTCTCCCGCCTCCTATCGACCGCTGCGGCGTTCCGGTTCCGCCGCCGGCCTCATCTGGCTTCATCCAAAGATTATAACCAAACGCCGCGCGACCGAGACCCCACACTACAGGGTCCCACCCCGTGCCGCCGGATAGTCACCCCGGACCGTAAGCCGGCACCGGCCTTCCGAGTACGTCGCCTGTGATTCTGGTTAAAGATCACAACACCGGCGCATATTATATAGGCTGTCCTGTGGCGGCGTTTTGGTACACTTTTTTCTGCTACTGGCACTCGGCGGTTCTATATCTAACGACTCGCGGTACTGGACGGCCGCGGGCCGTGCCCGCGCCAAACGCGGGTATGGCGAAATTTCGCCCCGCTAGAGCTTCACTGACAGTCCCGCCCCCGCTGCAGACGCCGGCACCACACGGAGTTCAGGGGGGGCTTACCGTTACTGCAGCCGGCTGTCCAGCCATACCCACCTTCACCCCAAGTGACCCTACACCTCGTGGCCTCGACATCTTGGCATCGGCCGCGTTGACAGACCACATCGGACTGGCACCCGCAGTCAGGAGCGGCGACGTGGAGCTGCGGCGACTACATGCTCCAGGGCCATTCAACCCATCAGCCAACGCGCCTCCAAAGGTGGTCAAGAAACTCCTCGCGCTGGAGTTCGTGGAAATGGGCGAACTCCGAGTGGACATCTGGCCCGAGGAACCCGTCTCTTCAGACACCGGCGGTGCCCACCGCCGTCCAAGCAAGCCGCCGGTAACTACACTCCGCGTCTGGCTGGAGTGCTACGGCCGCATGGCCGCTGTCATCACCTCCAGATTCCCGGAGAAGGCTGCAGAACTCTGGGCATACCAGACCACCATCATCCACGCAGCCCACACTTACGAGGGTGCGAACTGGGTTGCTTACGACCGTCTCTACCGCCGCGAAATGCTGGCGGCGAAGAATCTCAACTGGTCGGTTCCCAACCAGAGGCTCTACAGCGAGGCCTTCACTGGGCGGGCCAAGAGGCACCCACAGTGCCCCCACTGCCTCTCAGAGGACCACGCGGCGGCAGGCTGCCCCCACAACCCCAACCCGCCCTTCGTTGGGTGGTTCCAGGGAACCCCGCACCTCCAGTTTGGGCCGGCCGCATCCGGGCCGCCAAGCGCAGCTCCACTGAAGGCACAGGAAGTCTGCAGGAATTTCAACAGCAACCGTTGCCGCTTCACCAGATGTCGGTACCTGCACGCGTGCACCGACTGCTCCGGCCCACATGCGGCCGTCA